TCTTCACCAAATCCCAATTAGTTCAAATATTTTTGTGTACTAACTACTCACAACACTAAATATCAAGACAGCCGACGTTGTTATCTTTATGACGGAAAGGATCTTCCACCAAAATTGAGAATTATTTAAATTCTGGCGAAGAAATTGATAGTACATTGGACTCGAATCTTTTTTCAATGCTATTTTTTGTGCAGTAACTACTCAAACGAATAAAAGACTTCCATTAATATTTCATTTTTCAGGATGAAGAAATGGATCCTTCACCAAAATTGTAAATTAGTTTGTCAATGCTATTTTTGATCATCAAAGTATTTTTTGAGCACTAACTACTCACACAAATAGAAGGAATGGATCCTTCGCTGGAATTCTGAATTAGTTAGAATCCTATTTTTCGATCATCAAGTATCATTCTGTGCACAAACTATTCACACTAATAAAAATCAAGACTCCCGACGTTGTTTTCTTTTCCAGCAATTACCTGAAAACAGGACCCCGTTATCGCTCAATCTCTTGCCGTCAGTCTTGCTAATTTCCAGCGTGAAACTTCCCAATTAAAAATGCATTACCGGAGTTGTGGCTAGAGAAAATCCGAATTTTGCCGCTATTTCTCACATCTGACACATCAATTCCTCGTTTATCTTCAATTAAGAGTGAAGTGAAGGCAACTTCCAAATGTGATATCTCACTTAAACCAGATTAGAATGAAAGCCTGTGTGTTGAATGAGAAAAGTTGTGTCAAACATTTTATAATAATTGAGCCATAACTAAGCAGATTTCGATCAATTTTAATGTTGATATCACACTCATGTTTCGAGCTTGATCTGAAATCTTCTGGTATATTATTCAACGATCAGTTTGTAGTATAATATATATAAAGAACTCCAATAGATTTAGATAGGTAGTAGAATATGTATAAGTTAGAAGAAGTAAATGGGCTGAAATTAGAATTTATTGAAAATAGGGAAAAATTTAATAGTGAGCTGCATGAACCCAAATTAATAGATAGGATGAAATTGTATGTAGTCGATGTAAAAAAATAGTTTGATGCTATCTACGGTATTTTAACTGAAAGGTTGAATGAAATGAAAGAAAATCCTTCAGAGCATACAGTAGATTTCAAACACGATACGTCAAACTCAGAAAAAGAAGTAAAAATGTCTGAAAAATTCGATTTGAGAACTGTTGCAGGTTTAATTCCAGTAATGAATGGGTCTGAAACAGTAACTAAGCCATTGATAGATGCAATTGGTTTATATGACTCTTTACTGGTTAGTGATGGCGAAACTTTATTGACAACTTATGTATTAAAAACTAGATTATCAGAAAGTGCAAAAATCAGATTGAAATCATCGTATACATTCAACACACTTTCAATTAATGATTTGAAGAGCTTTTTTATATCAAAAAAATCAGCTGCGGCGCAATCCACAAAGCTTAATAACGAAAAGCAGAATTCTAGGTCGATTTATGAGTTCGGAAGATGGCAATGAGTAAAATGCAAATTTTTCAACGGCCTGTTAATGAAAAGATCGCAATTAATACCTTTGCGAATGAGCTTATTAATCAAAATTTAAGAACAATTAATATGATTCAATAAAAAACTGACCTCTATTCATTTCAATAAAAATGCACGGCACTGTCTAAAATGATGTTTGTCTTTGAAGAACTGGCCATATTGATGATTATTCATACCGATAAAGATCGCATGACTGATAGCTGAGATATACAGGGGGGGGGCGTCATTTTTACTAAAAAAAAATTTATATTTCCATATCCTGGTCGAACTGCTGAGAATGGTATGGAAAAAAAGTTGGGGAAAGAAATGGCCAATGGCTATAACTCCCCAATGGGCCATTTCTGGTCTCAGGTTTATTAAGTTTTCTCACTATTTTAGTTTCTAGAATCTGTAGTTGAAATATATTTATGTAATTTCGGGACACCATGTATAGAAATGAATGTTAATCTTTATGTCTTTTATAGAATCATAAAACCGCTTGACCGATTTCACTTATTCTGTTTATTATAGAGTCAGGAGGAAGTTCTGATGAGAGAAAGAAATCAAGATGGCGGATACGAATTTTCAATCAGCGTCATTTTTTGAACTCCAAATACGTCTAGTTTGCGGTTCAGACGAAACAGTCTGTATACAATTTCTGAAGACGGAACGAAAACGAATTTTTCGTCCCAAGTCACAAAAGCTGGGCACAATCAATCAATATTGCGTTTGAAAGGTCCCTTCCGTACAGTAAATTTATGAATGGTTCTACAATTTGATGTTTCAACAAATATGTAGAACTCTTTAACAGACTATCCGAGATTCCAGTGTTACAGTTATCTGTAGTCTTTACGGAATTCTAAGCAAACTTTGTCGCAGGATTTGCAGTTTCCATTAATACAGGAGTGTTTTTCTCCTGAAAGAATCAGGTGAAAGGAAGAAAATTGAGACAGATGCTATAATTTTTTTTGAATTAAGTGCCAATTGAGATATTCATCCATGCACATTCAACAACAAAATAATTTTAATTATTTTTTCAATCCAAAACCGTTTGTCTCATGAAAAAAAGTCAGGTAGTTATTTCAACTAATGAGAGATTACAAAACTGTTTTTTTTTTATAAAAAACAGTGGCGTGCCAAATAATAAAATTATATCATGGTCAATATCAACGATTCAAGAAAAGGTAGATGATAATTTATTTCCATCAAATTGTAGAGAAATGTATACTATTCCAAAACATATAGAAATGCATATACCATTACATTTGATTTTTTTGAAAAAAACTAAAAAATTTGCTAACATTTCAGTTAACGGCATCTAGCGGCGACAGCAGAAGTAGAAAATTCAAAACCAAATAAACGTTTTGTAGGGCAAATTATGCTTTATCATATGGCCGCTCGATACCCTTAACTGATCACTCTGTACATAAATATTCATAATTTCAGATTGCAAAACTGTATAATCTTCTGCCTGAATCTTAAAAAAACACGAATGAAATGAAACATTTCAAAACTGCCCTCAAACAATTTATGCTCCACAATGCATCTGTGTTCAAAATTTTCTGAAAAAAAAAAATGTCATCTCTATCTTTCACTGATCTTCTCCTCTTGCCTCCCCAATAATTATACACGGAAAAACAGGAGCAAAATTTAATTGAATAGAGCAAATGAAAGTGTCAGAAGAGATATTGAATTGGCTCAAACAAACATTTTGTTCGATTCAAAATAACAAGATATTGATTCAATCAAATATTTATATGGTTCAACGAAATATTTGGTTGATTCAAAGAAATATTTGGTTGATTCAATGAAATATTTGGTTGATTCAATGAAATATTTGGTTAATTCAATGAAATATTTTGTTGATTCAAGAGAAACTATATATCTATACGACAAATTGTTTTGTTGATCCAAATTTAATATTCGGGAATTTTCTGAAATTTCACATCAATAGAATAAACAAAACTAGGAAACTAGTCGACTTTTAGCATACATCTTTAGTCTTCACTCCTCTTTAGCTGATGGAAAACTATTTCGGATTGCTACTCATCCTAACTTCGATTTATCCAGCTGATATTTCGTACACGAAGAATCAGGCTTCACGTATATAATGAACTCGAGGCAGGCATAGACGAGGCGAAATGATCGCCATCTAGAGGCGAAAATCTAAGTTGATGTAGAATGAATAAAATAATTCATTGATATTACTTATTTCGTTGCTCTATTCAAGCAAATGATCCGTTCAAAACGAGTTCATTGATACATCGGAGACAACTTGTATGTTGTTTCAAAGATATATTCTCATCAAAATGATCATTGTTTGATCAAATCAACGAGATGTTTATAGTTGAATGAACATCATCATTATTTTGGATCGACATAATTTGTTTTTGAAGAAACCATATATTTTGTTAATGGAATTGATATTATACTGTTGATCAATTAGACTACATTCTTGATTTGAACAAGCTGCTTCCATGGAATAATCATGTATCTGGTTGACAAAAAATTGCTCAGTCCAACAAAAATAACTCAAGCATAAATAATTTGTTGATGCAACAAATCCTTTTTTCCGTGTAAGTATAGCAAAGCACTGTTCTTAGAATAAAACATTTGTTGTGTATTTTAACATGATAACCCTCCCATGTTTCATAGGAGGAAATAAAATCTACGAAATAGTTATTTGTTTAACTAGGCAGCAAAGTAGTAGATTGACTGCCGAGGCTGAATTCATAGCCGAGCGTAGCGAGGCTAGGAATCCAGCTAAGGCAGTCAATCTACTTTGCTGCCAAGTTGAACATATAATTTTTTCTCCGATTGTTCATAATGATACAGGAGGATATTGTATTTGCACTTTATTACAATTCCCACAATCTCTTTATTTTTCCTGTAGTGTTCAATTTAAATAAAATTTTATAGAAATCGCAGTTGTTGGAATGGTTGGTTGCTATGGAAATGTCCATAAGTTGTGCAAAAAAATATCGGTATATTTGAATTATTATATAATGGACAGTGATAGCGACCTGGAAGTACTTTCTCCTCCAGAAATAAGGGAGGTGGCAAAAAATATAGAGTTGAATTTGTTGCCGGAGATGTCTCGGATGAAATATGAAGGCAATTATAAACGATTTATGGATTATTAATTCTGCTGATACATATCAATCAGCAAAGTAACCACTTTGCTGCCTAGGCAGCAAAGTACCCACTTTGCTGCCTAGGCAGGAAAAGTAATACTTTGCTGATTGATATGTGTCAGCAAAATTAATATTTGCTGCCAATCGGAGAAAAACAAAATTGTTGTACTGTATCATCAATTCTTTGAATAAATCTTGAAATCTTGAAATCTCATTAACCAATGTTCGACGACCTCTCAAGAGGTAGCGAGCCTCAAGGGCGGGGATGGACCACAGGTCATGAATCGCAATCGCTGCGGAAGGGCTGTAGGTGACCTTTTCTGCGCATGCGTGGGTCGCAGCATCCCGTCCGGACTCCGGAGCCACATCCCGGAGTCGATTCCGTGCGTGTCTACATAACCATAATATCGTCTAGATGGTGCTAAACATTTTTAAATATACACTCTATTGATGCCTCAATAAGATAACAGACTAATAAACGAACTTGTGATAAGATAAAAGGAAGCTCAAAGTTGATGATAAATCTGTTCGGACTGGGGAAGTATTCAGGTACAACATCCGGACGAAGTAAATCAATAACTGTTAACAAATTGAGTAATAAAATACACTAAATCTGGAGAGATCATCTCTTATAAAATATGCTACATGTGTTTCAGAAACATGTGAGTTATTTTTTTATAATATTTTTCGTAAATAAAGCTGTACTGATTTACCTAGATAAAGATTAGCTAATATATTTTATTGTTGTGAATAATAAAAACGGGGCCAACGAGACTATTTCAATATTAAAACTAGTGAATCAAAATATACACTGAGAGAAAGTTAATACATTGTGGAATACTTGAACTCATCATAAATAATATATAGATTCGGGTACCTATATGAAATAATCCATAAGCGTCTCAAAGGTGAGTGAATTTTCTACCTCTATCAGCTGAATTTTTTCACCATTATCTACAATACAAATAAAAGAAATTAACCGAAGTGAATGAAAACAATTTTCAAATGAGTGATATAATATTAATTGTCCCAATTTTCTTCTCATTGCTCTCACAGTTTTGCAATAGTAGGTATACGAAAATAATCATCATAAGACTGAACTTTTTCAACAACAACTCAGCAAGGTTTATTTATGATGTCATGTTAAACATGGTGCATGATTATATAATACAACAAATTTTTTACTCGTCTGTATAACAATGTAGGCGATCAGGTGAAATTTGTCACTATCATGATGAAAAATGACTATACGGGGTGTTTATGAAGTACGTGTAGATAATTCAGGAGCATAATTATGTCCGAAAGTTATCCGTTTCTGAGGCGTGAATTCTTATTTTTTGTTAATAAATTTCAAAGTAATCGTGATATTGGAATGGAATGAAAATATCAAATTTTATGATAGTTTGTCTCTTTCTGGGGGGTGGCGCCAAGTACATGTCTTGTGAGTCTTTTGGAAAGTCATAACTTTTTTGTGCGTACCTGTATAAAGTTTCATAGTTGAAAAATAGATTTCTAGAATACTTTTTTGTGAAAGATATATTCCTGGTGGAAGTCGCTGCTAGCAACTGTTTTCGAGTTATTGGGAATTGAAATAATCAATGCAAGTAATTTGGATTGACAAGAAGTTGGAATGCGAAATTCATTGAAAAATAGGAATTGGGTGGTATTACGATTTGATACTAATAATGGTAACAGAAATCAAGACCAAATTGATACTAAAGCAGTTAGTTGAGAAAGCTTGGATCACAAGTACAGAAGACAACAAACTTCACTATCACAAGAACGGATTGAAATAACATGACAAGTATTAGATTGTTATTTTGTTAAATTGGAAGAGTCTAAAAAAGTAGGTACAAAAGAAGTAAGAATCATATTTTGCCTACATTCCAATGTTGAATGTACGAGAGTATTGAATGATAGAAGAAAAATGCACTGGCGTATCTTTTCTGATAATAGAGAGTTGAAGTGTTGTCATGAACGTTAACGTAAACGTAGAAATTGACAGCTACGCATACGCATTTTTCAATTCTTCACGTTTGCGTTGTTAGTGGGCTTACGGGTGTACGTTATCTCACGTTCCTTCACGTATACCTTAAATATCAACGTACGTTAACCAAACTATACTCGAAATATGCCGATGAGTCAAAATTATCAAATTCGAGATCACCAACGAGTTCTGCATCAAGGAGTCCTCTAATTTTGACAGGAATAAATGTTCGAATCTAAACACACAACCAAAAATGACAAATACAAACCGAAAACAAAATGTATTATGACGTTATGATGACAGTGACGACCAAAGTGGCGACTTTAACTCAATTTAACGACAATACGTAAACGTTATTTTTCGTACGTTAACGTCTACGTGGAGGTCTACGTACAGTGATTACTTCAACTCTCTATTCACTAGAGGCGACTTACGAACCAAATGGAAATAATTCAAATGCATCGATTATTTCGAATCCCAATAACTCGAAAACAGTTGCTCGCAGCGACCTCTACCAAGAATATATTTTTTACACAAGAGTGCTCTAGAAATCTATTTTTCTACTAGTCAAAAGAATCAACATACATGTTTGTGGGGCCTCCCCCACGAAAGAGACAAACTAACATAAAATTCGATATTGTAATTGAAAATTACCCCTAGATACCAAATTTCATTCCAATATCACAATTATTTTGAAATTAATTAACAAAAAAACAATAATAAGAATTCAACTTTGACACTCTGTATCTCAGAAATGAATAACTTTCGAACATATATTTATGAGAACTTTTCTTCTTATCTTGACGTCAGCAACATGCTCCTGAATTTTCTACACGTACTTGAAGAACACCCTGTACAGTGAGAACGTAGAAAGTCCCCCCAGGTACTTCTTTTACTATATCATTCTTTCGTCATGAAATTTGTGGTGTTAAAGTGGCCTAGTGCCAAGAGGGTGACGTCAACTTTTTATTATCAAATGTAAAGAAAGGTCACGTCGTGGTTCTTGGTTTTGAAGGTTCTTCGATTATCTATCCAACACCACTTAAAACTGACGTTTGAAAGGACCCCGCACGAAAACACGGTAAATTGGCTCTCGGTCGAATTTGCTGAAATTTGACTATGTTATTGTGGGATCGCTCATTAGAAAAATATGTGAGTTTGAAAAGTTTTGTGTGTTCAGTTTCTGAGATATAAGCCTACAAAGTTCGTAAAAACGTCGTATCGGGGTAGGATTGACGAAGAAAAAAACTGATTTTTTAGTATAAATAAGACAAAATAAGCTAGAAAATGTATTGATCGGAACTCTCAAATACATGTCTAGTTATGATCACATGAATTATAGTGAATCAGGGTGTATACGAGGCACGGTCAAAAAATTCGAGCACTATTCCAAAACAAGTTATATTTTGGTGAGACATTATAGTTTTAGTCTATTGTAGGCTTCGGAAACGTATTTCGATTCTTGATAACTATCTCTGTTCGAAATATGAATTCTTCGAATTTTGTGTTATACCCCTTTTTGAAAATAATTGAAAGCTTGTTTTTGATCACAAAGAAAGGGATTGATTGATACTGTGGATTGAATGAAAGCTGAGGAAACTCACAAGCGAATTCAGTTGTTCAATATTGCCTTTCGTTCAGATACAGGGTGTGTTAGATTCTGTTGAAGATTATTTAACATGTTTCAATTGAATATCTCGAAAACAGTTCCGTTAATTTGGATCTCATTTTACACAAACTATTTTGAATATGTTGACTATCAGATGCAAAAAGTGTTTCAATTTTTTATGTTTCGTTTCACAGCTAGTTATGTAAGGTCATACGTTCTGACTTCATTCATGAGTTTTTAAAAGTATTATTATTTACGTTGAATTAGGAAGTCAAGAATTATTTCGGAACGAACCTATCATATCTTGGGTTGTACTGGTTTGGTGGAAATCAATTACAATTTGCGTATCCACCATAAATATAAAAGTCTAGGTTCCAGTGCATTCACCAAATCATCAAAAAGGACATTTTCAAAGACTTGATAATCGTTATGGTGTACATATTCTATCATGGAGTTTAGAAACTCTGCGAGATTATAGATTTTCTGGTGCTAGCCATTCCTGTAGGTGTCAGGAAGGAACTTTCTCATTGGAATCTGCCGCAAAAAATGTATTTGTTGAAAGCAGTTTCTGAGATACGACGATGAGAAATAGGCGAAAATTTTGGAAGTCTCTTAAGAAAACTGAAAAATAGTTATGCTTTCTTTACAGAACTCACTCTGACCTGCATGGAACTCATAAAAAGTAGAACATCATGGATCATATTCCCCCAGCAGGTGAGATGATTACTAATACTAATCAACTTATTTTTCATCAACTATACAGGGTGAATCTATATAACACCGAAAAAATTCAAGGGATGATTCCTTGTGATATTCAAGGAAATAAAATTCATATAAACATGTGTCCTACCTTGCTTCGTTTTCGAGATACAGGGTATTAATATTTCCATGAAAAATCGTTTTTCTATTCATTTCTCAATTGTCTTTTCATATATTTCAATAAAACGTTGTGGTTTTGGTAATAGTATATGGAGCTTCTTCTTGTGCAATCAGATTCGGAATTATATTTCCAATGACGTCATAGTGGGTGAATTTATCGATATTCATGGTAAATGTCATTGTATACCACCGGTTCTTCATATTCATATAGTTTCATATATTTATTAATTTCAACTATTGGAATCACAACTTTTTCATCCTTTGTGCGATTTTTGTATCTAGCTTAGTTTTTCAAGAAGCAATAAAAATTCGATCTGACTCAATAACTCCAATCAGAATCATTTTGAAATGTTTGGTGCTTCCTCAGTCTACATCTATACTGAATTTTGGCATCATGGAAACTTATACAGAGGGGTTATAAATAAAAACAATTAATACTTCCAACTTCAACATCCTGTATTTCAAAAACGGAGCAAGTTAAGACACATGTTTTTATGAATTTCATTTGCTAGAATGTCACAATGAAACACCCCTGAATTTTTCCGGTGTTATTTGTACACTCTGTAGAGCCAATATTATACAACAAAAATTGATCATGATATCATTTTCAACAGTATCATGGAAAAATGTTGAAAGTGATGAAAAACAATCAATATACCTATTTCTTGACTATGTTCCAATGATGTTATTTTCATATACAAATGTTATTTCTTGTAACGCAATTGAATGAATCAAATGTAATCTAATTTGGGATAAAGTGAGACATTTGCGTGTTATTTCCAGGTTTCGTGAGAAATCAACGAGTAGTTCTCAATCATTTGGATGTGTCAACCCAAGTAAGTATTGGAGTATCCAAGATTATTTCTCGTTAACAAATTATATTAATGCTTTTGGGTGTATGATGAATTGACATTCATCATACAGGGCGTGGAAAGAATTTCTGAATCGAGACTCTATCACGAATAGGCCAGGAAAGTAGTTGTTTTCTATTGAATAAACTGAAGAAGAGTAGATATTCTCATCACATCGAGAATGCGAATTCTCAATGTATTGCTTCATATAAATATATATCCATTTTTGTATGTTCATAATTAATCTGAGAATATTCCTTTTCAAATTATATGAAATAAGGCAAAAATATCACAAATCACGATTCTGTTTGGAATTGATTTCTTTTTTCTTTTGCTTTCTGTTGAATATTCAGAATGATAATATGTGCATATACATATTATTATCTGAATAAGAATGCCGATTCTCAACTTCAGAAGATTTTGTTTTCGAATTCTTATCGTGTGTATTCAATTGATATAATTTAATGTTCGTCGTGGCATATAGTCAAAAGAGTAGTTGTATTCTGTTGAATGAACCGAGAAAGAATTGATAGTTTCATTACGTAGAGAATGCGAATTCTCAATGTATTTCTCCATATACATATTCATTTTTTTATGTTCATAATAATTATATCTGAGAATATTCCTTTTCAATGGGTCAATTTGAAATTCAGGAAGCGTCAACTGAAATTGAGAAAGCGACAATTGAAATTCAGAAAGTGTAATTTGTGATTCAGAATGTATGATTTGTAATACAGAACGGGTGGATTGTAATTTAGACTACGTCATTTGTAATTCGGATTGGTTAATTGAAATTCAGAAGGCGTCAGTGGAAATTCAGATTAGTCAATTGAAATTCAGAAAATATCAATTTTATTCAGATTGGCCAATTGATATTCAGAAATAATCCATTGAAATTCAGGAAGCTTCATTTGTAATTAAGAAATATGGAACAGTGCTACCTTTGCTTGTTGAGGCAAGCGTAATGAATGTAGGTAATAAATTACAAAGCAATATTTTTGTCGGAAATAACGTTTTCTATTATAACTTCCCCATTTCACCTATTGAAATTGTTTCAATTGACGATCAATGAAAATAGTTCAGGATCTTCAATCACTTTATCCACTCTAAACACCTGGTTAGTTTTTCTTAAAATTTGGAAAACGATGTCTCGAAGGTCGTGGCACTGCACACACTTGGTTAGTCCTATAAACTTTGATTCTGTTCGAATTAGAAGTCAACTATACAGTTGATTTATTTCTTCACTATTTATTGAGAAATAATTGGTGATATATCGAAAATATAAAACATTGGAACGAAAAAGTCACATTTCTGAGCAGGAGCAGGAACAAAAGAGACATGTCAATCTTCATTTGGCACACGAAATATGGACGCCATTCTGAAACCATTGTGCCTATGCTTGCAACGCCTGCGCACTATCACAGATCACAGATCATCATGTCTATTGTTTGGTGACTGAACTAATAATATTGTTCAAAGTCATCCTGTATATTTCATGACACACTCCATCAGAACTACCTGAAGTCTTCAAATCGATAAAAAATCAAAATGCTGCGGGTTATGATGAGTTGTCAATAAAACATTTTGAAAATCTTCCTCAGTTAGCTTTGACAGTACTTCCGATGCTGATTAATGATGGGTTCAGGAAGTGCACATTTTCTGAGTTCTTCTATTCTCTATTCACAAAGGAGGTAACACTCAAGATCCATCTAACTTCAGATCCATTTTTTTTATTCCAACCTTGGGGAAAGTGATAGAGAAGTTCGTAAAAAATCACCTGATGAAATATCTTGAAGCTAACAAATTAATAAGCAAAGAACAATTTGGATTCAAAAAAAACAAGAATACGTCTGATGCCATGTTCAATTTTCTAGAAAGGGCATACAACAACATCAATGTAGGGAAGAACGTGGCGACAGTATTCTGTGAAATGACTAAAGCTTTTGATTGTGTCAATCACACATTATCACTGCAGAAACTCTCTCACTATGGTACCAGAGACATGGCATTGAAGTGGATGGAATCATATTTGTCAGGAAGAAAGCAACTGGTCAAAACGGACCATTCATCCGGACTACTAAAAGTTACTTGGGGAGTACCTCAAGGTTCAGTTTTAGGTCCATATCTTCTTATCCTGTATATTAACGATCTCTCCCTCTTAGATATATCTGGTTCCTGCACATTATTTGCTGACGACACTACCATTCTATGGCACTCTGAAGATGTGGATTTGCTTCGTGAAAATGTTACAAGAGACCTACAAAAAATCAAATCGTGGTGCGATGCATACTTTCAATGTTTAAAATCTCAATAAAACAAAATTAATCACATTTAGATGTCTTCTTCCCGATATAGGACTAGGGACTGATCCGTACCATCTGATAGCAATATGAAATTCTTGGGACTCAACATCGATACCAATTTGAAATTCACAAGTCACATTAACATTTTGACCAAAACATTAGCATCAGGATGTTTTGCCCTCAGGTCTACAGCGAATGAATTAGGTTATGCTGCGGCAAAAAATGTTTACTTTTCTCCCATAGAGTCAAACTTGAGGTACCCAATTCAGTTCTGGGGTTCATGTAGTAATAAATACGTTGAGAGTGTATTTTTGCTGCAAAAACGGGCGGTGCTATATCTGTGCCAAGTAAATAGAGTTCCTGCAAACCTCTTTTCCTGAGACACGGCATATTGACACTTACCTCAATCTACGTTTCAGAAGCTATATGTCTCATTTTCAAGAATAAATCTTCATATGAAAATAACAATCGCACTACACGAAATGCATCGAATCTATCATTAGTCATTCCTAAATCCACACTGATTAAAAACTCAACAATTTACAATGGTGTCAAAATGTATGATTGACTACCTGCAGAATTGAAGACTTTGGATTCTCTTAAAACATTTAGAAAAAAACAACATTGAATACTGGCATCTACAGCCTATTACTATTAAATAAAATATTTTAATGACGAAGCGTTCTGATAATGACGGTACTTATATGTAATGGAAAAATATAATGTGTATGTTAACGTGAATGTGATTATTTAAATGTATTGTTTTCATATAGTTTTGTAATTTTCCTTTACCAGTGTTTGTCAAGGAGGTCCTGTATCTTATAGCAAATTCCATTCGTAAACCTGGTGGTGCACTGGTTTAGCACCAGTTTTGTACCCGCACTACGTTAATTCTCTCCAAAATGTGAACTACTGCATCTCAAATGAAATACGAAATAATAATAAAATAAAATCATTGTTGGAGGTTGAATCGGATAAGTCAGTTTGTCTTTGTTTATAACTTGTCCGCATCCTGAAATTCTTTCTTAACTTCAATTAAGAACACAGTAAATGTTTCAAGGAAATAATTTCGAAATCTTTTTTTGATAAGTACCTCTTCATCATTGAATTTCCAAAATTATGAATGCTGGGAAGTGATCTACTCTATTCTCTTGAAACCTCCAACTATTTATCATTATTTGATGATGATAATTGAATTGCCACCAACAATTTTCATTTCAAACTATTCATATTCAATGTTTCCGCCATTTTTAAAACTGCACTGACTTCGCACGACCTATTAGAGCTCGTACGAGAATTGTTGCACTGAGCTCTAAAGTATGTGATCCAGTTTTCCAATGGAATTCAAAACCCGACACCAGTTTCACCATTGGAATACAAAATATGCACTCAGTGCGAGCCAGTTTTACCAATGGAATTCGCTTTAAGATAATAAACACATACTCTCTCTCTCTATCTACTTAGAGGTCTATAGAGTGTAGTTTGTTTATGCCTCGAACCATTCCAGGCCAACTTCCACCAGTCCGACCACCTCGACCAATCAGACTCACCCATGTCCCGCTTCTGCGCCAAGGAAAAACGCGACACGGCCCACTACGACCGGCAGGACATCCGCGAGCAGTACTGCATCACGGATCGAGGTCTGGGCGCCTTGGAGGCCAACCGACCTCACGCGGCCAGCCTCTTCGGCTGCCTCTCTACGCGAGGTTCGCCTTGCTCCAATCGGCCCTCGCTGCTCACCGCTTGCGTGAGACAGAAGGCGCCCTCTGACGAGAATCTACACGAGCTGGGGAAGAGGAGGTCGGCTGAGTATGCTCCCTACCCCAGGAAGAACAGGTTGGTTATTTTTTTCAGCTGCAGGATTCATTTGTTTGTTGCATTGTTGCGAAGAGAGACTTCTGAATTGTGGCGTGCCTCAGGGTACCGAACTAGGTCCCTTACTATTTTCTATCTACAGTGTGTCCACCTTAAGGACTTACCACCCCTGTAAAATCGTTATTATCCGACCAATTTCAAAAAACCTTTTTTTGTTGGATAGGTATTTGAAATGCCCATCCAACGAGAGGGTGATCTGATTCTTGGACTGTTATCTTGGCCAACTGCGACAAATTTCAATGACCCATTTTCCAGAAAGTACTATTAGGTATTTTTTTCCACGAAACCTGATGATGGATTCTGAATCAGTACCACTTGAAATATACCTATATCGATTTCCATCATCATAAAACACAGGGTGTCCAAAAAAACGAATCATCATTATCTTCAAATAGGTGATCAGTAAATGTAGTTCTGTGGTTTTTCTAGAAAGAAATAATCACAAATTATCATTGAGGATTATTTCAAATATACCTGTACTAATTTTCGTCATTTGAATATACAATGTGTCTAATGAGAAAAAAATTAAGAAGGATAGGTATATAAGCAATATTTTCCATCCTGATAATTCTTCACTCAAAATAAAAAGATGAATCAGGATCACTTGGAACATACCTGTACCGATTTTCATCATCATTAAACACAGGGTGTTCGAAAAATCAAATTAATATTTCTTTGAGTTGATGAAAAAATATTGCCTACTTTTTCTTTTTAATTGTTTTCTCATACACATCGTATTTTTGAATGATGAAAATCGGTACAGATATGTTCGAAGTGATCCTCAATAATAATGTGTCATCGATTGTTCTCAAAAATACCACAATACTACATTTTCTGATCACCTATTAAAAAAAAACATAATTCGTTTTTTCGGACACCCTGTTTTTTATGATGATTAAAATCAGTAAGGATGTTTTTCAGGTAATCGTGATTCAGAATCCATCATTGTTTTTTGTGAAAAAAAATCCCTAATAGTACTTTCTCAAATATGGGTCAATAAAGTTGGTCGCAGTTGGCCACGATTACAGTTCATGAGTGAAATCACTCTCTTGTTGAATGGACATTTCAAATACCTATCCAACAAAAAGAAGTTTTTCGAAATCGGTTAGATAATAACAATTTTACAGGGGTGGTAAGTTCTTAAGGTGGACACACTGTATATAAATAGCCTCCTCACTATAAATACAACGGGAAAAGTGATGAGTTTTGCCGATGATACTGCGATTTTGTATACAAGTGATATGTGGGTCAATCTGAAAGAGATAGCAGAGAATGGTTCAAAAAACATTATAAAATGGTTCAATCACAAAATTTTGACCATTAACTTCGATAAAACTTCTTTTGATGCCATTCTGCAGTTATAGAAATGGTCAACCCAACTTCAATTCTCTCCAGATTCAAAATGGTAAAGAAACGTTTGGGATAAAATCAACAATCAAAATAAAATATCTAGGAATCACGATGGATCCCCATCTGAGGTGGGACAGTCATATTTCAAATGTGGCAAATACGCTGAGGAGTCTTTTACCGAAATTTAAATACCTTAGACATAGATTAACGACTCCCCATCACTGACCTCGAAACTATTTATTTTTCACTAGTCGAGTCACGCCTGCAGTATGCAATATTGAGCTAGGGAGGAGCTCTAAGCACACATCTGGGAAAGCTAGACATAACACAACAAAAAATTCTGAAGATAATGTACAAGAAAAAGAATGCTTACTCATCTAATCAGCTATTTTCTGAACTCAGGATCCTAGATATTAGGCAGCTATACTTTCATCACAGTTTAATATTCCTATATAAAAACCGAATTGACTTCAAAAAAATAGACCACACTTACCCTACACGTAATGAAACAAAGAATCAGATACAAACTACTACTTTCAAAAAATCTATAGGCCACAGATGTCACCTTCGTCTGTCCCAAAAAATCACAGTACTATGCCTGGCATATGTAAAACATATTCGGCAAAAATCGATTCAACACAACTCATCAAAAAACTTTCTAAAAACTACCTATTTTCTATCGATAAAAAACAAATCCATAGTATATTCGACAATACCTCTAGGTCATATAATTAGTTTTTTGATCACCAACGATTGAAATTTGTAATTGAACATGCCTCGTTTATACTCATTGGTATATTGAAAGTTTGACCCATGCCCGACCTGATTAGGTTCTGATGTGATTTTTCAAGTTTGTTCAAATTTTGTTCAATTGTTCAATTATTGTGATTATATTTTTATGATTATCACTATTATTATTATTACAATTATTATTGTTATTACTACTATTGTATTACATTGAATAAACTTATTATCATTATTATTGTTTGCATCAAGGTTTCTAGTCAAATTCCATTTGGAGTAGATGCCCAATGAGGATACTCCTGAGCCAAATGAGTAAATTAGACTCTTCAAAATCATAATGGCGACATGACCGTGACGTCACTCTACCACACCAACGAGATTCTTTAGACATTCACACGGAAAAAAGGATTTGTTGCATCAACAAATTATATATGCTTGAATAATCTTTGTTGGACTGTGCAATTTTTGCTGAATCAAACAGGAACATGATTATATCATAAAAGCAGCTTGTTTAAATCAATAATGTAGTTCAATTGGATTAACAGTATAATACCAATTCCATCAACAAAATATAGTTATGGTTATCTCAAAAACAAAATATGTCAATCCAAAATAATGTCGATGTTCTTTCAACTATATACATTTCGTTGTTTTGATGGAATAATGATCATTTTGATGAGAATATATCTTTGAAACAACATACAATATGCCAGTCCGGTACAGTGATATTTCGTTCCTCTGCATCTATGTATTGTGTGTTTCATTTATTTTCAAGAATTTTGAGGTTTTGGGCACAATGTTATTATCGTCTGAAGGAATAAAGACTCGTTTGATTGATTGATTGATTGATTGATTGATTGTTTGATTGATTGATTGATTGATTGATTGATTGATTGATTGATTGATTGATTGATTGATTGATTGATTGATTGATTGATTGATTGATTGATTGATTGATTGATTGATTGATTGATTGATTGATTGATTGATTGATTGATTGATTGATTGATTGATTGATTGATTGATTGATTGATTGATTGATTGATTGATTGATTGATTGATTGATTGATTGATTGATTGATTGATTGATTGATTGATTGATTGATTGATTGATTGATTGATTGATTGATTGATTGATTGATTGATTGATTGATTGATTGATTGATTGATTGATTGATTGATTGATTGATTGATTGATTGATTGATTGATTGATTGATTGATTGATTGATTGATTGATTGATTGATTGATTGATTGATTGATTGATTGATTGATTGATTGATTGATTGATTGATTGATTGATTGATTGATTGATTGATTGATTGATTGATTGATTGATTGATTGATTGATTCTTCTAGGTACCCTTGGGGGCCCGTGATAACGGACATCTATCACTACGACGAAGACCTGCAATCTTCTTATTTCCGGAGGAAGGTAGGCACAGATCCAAGCAGATACACTTGGATGCCTGCTGATGATGAATCAGTGAGGATGGAGAAACCTACTTTCCTCATGGACAGCGACCACAGCTATGAGCACCTACTCAATACACAACCTGCTCTATTAGCCGGGTAAGTAGATAATCTGAATACTTCCAAAAAAAGTTCTTGAGTCGTCCTTATTTGAAACAATGTCTTATACTGTAAATGATATTAAGATTGATGTTTCTTTCCAGATTTTATATGTACAGGGTGGGGCATTAGTGCGTCGGAGCTCGATTGCTCGAGTTCTATGATAGTTAGAAACCTGATTCAAAAACGAATGTGAATGAGACAACAAGGTCCATAACTAGAAATTATTGCCGCATATACAGGGCGTACCAAGAATAATCTAGAGGATCGGGATCATTTTTTTAAATGGAATGCCCTGAATATTTGCATATTTTTTGAAGCATCCCTGTGACCTCCATCCACTCCTATGATATCGTTGACTATATTTCGTTCATATCAAAGTTATGAATTTTTTTGTCGAAATAATGTCATCTGCAGATGCCTACCGAAAATCACTGTTGTCACAATTATAAAATTTAAGAAAAAATAATCTCAATATCATTTATTGGAAAGATGAGTGACATTTCTGAAAATGTTTCAGGCTCTCAAATGATACACAGTGGCTGAAAATGATTTTTCAATTCGGAACTTTTCGAAATGATTTTTCTCGAGTTTTTCAAATGGAACACCCCATATATTATTTGACCATTTGATGTTAAATCGAAACACGAACATATATTTATTCGAACATCCATATGGATATTCGCAACCATTTTTGAATTTTTGAACTTTGAAAATTTTAGGTTGGCCATTTTTATCGATTCACATTCTTATCTATTATTGAAACATCAAAAGTTCAATCAACAATTTAGTAAACCAATTTTTCATTGAAAGAATCGATGTCAGAACCAAAGCAGACATGAATAGGTCATAATTATGCTAAATATTTACAAAGTAAAAAGAGACAAAATTTGCATTTCTGCAAGACCAGAATAATCGAGATATGAAATTTTTTCCGTCGCTACTTTATAAATATTTAGCATAATTATGACCTATTCATGTCTGCTCTGGTTCTGACATCGATTCTTTCAATAAAAAATTGGTTTACTAAATTGTTGATTGAACTTTTGATGTTTCAATAAAGATTAGAATGTGTATCGATGAAAATGGCCAACCTAAAATTTTCAAAGTTCAAAAATTCAAAAATGGTTGCGAATATCCATATGGATGTTCGAATAAATATGTTCGTATTTCGATTTAACATCAAATGGTCAAATAATATATGGGGTGTTCCATTCGAGAAACTCGAGAAAAATCACTTCAAAAAGTTCCGAATTGAAAAATCATTTTCAGCCACCCTGTATCATTTGAGACCCTGTAACATTTTCAGAAATGTCACTCATCTTTTCAATAAATGATATTGCGATTATTTCTTCTTAAAGTGTATAATTGTGACAACAGTGATATTTTCGGTAGGCATCTGCAAAAATTCACCGATAGAATTGGCCCTATTGCAGTCCAGGTATATTCACCATTTCTGGTGGTACAGACCTTGCCACATGTCCTCCTCTTCGTTTCTTTAAACACCCTGTGTCACGATACTTTTGCACCAAATTGACGATCATTTTTGGAGATGACTTCGAGCATTCCTTCCTTCCTTTGGAACATTCGTGGTGTTCAAATTCAACCATTGTCGTTCTAGATGACAACCTAGTTAGGTAGTTAGTAGGCGAAAGCTATAATAGGAGCTATACTATTATCATTATTATTAAACCTCCTCGCACTAGGTCGCCTACTAGGTTTTCATTTAGAGCAACAATGGTTCAACTGATTCGTTTTCCTTGGATGCTGGTCCTGTCACCGCCTACACCTCAGCCTCGTGGGTTTTTGTGCATTCTAGTCTATTTTACAGCACCCATTCCGTAGCTCTTATTCGCTGCACCAGTCTGTACATGTTCTTCACCGGTAAGCTGTTGTATCCTTCGGAAGTCAGCCTAGGTGGCCCGAATATTTCTTGTCTTTTGCGATCCAATGTCTCGCATTCTATTGATCAGTGTTTGGCCGTTTCTGTCCCTTTACCGCATTGTCTGCAGAGAAGTTCTCCATTGTACAGTCCCATTTCATTCAGGTGTCCTCTCGTTGGACTGTGACCAGTGAGAAGTCCCGTTATTGTTCTGTCAGTCCCATATGTAGCCTCGGGTAGCTGTTTCTGTAACCTCGAGTACGGGTTCTGGGCCAATGGGGGTCAGGTAGCCGTGCGGACAGAGTGTCGGTATCCTAATTCGCATTCGCTTGCCGGTCGTGGGTTCGATTCCCAACGACTGCAGAAATTTTTCTGATGGCCCAAGAAAGTGTTTGGGATCACACGTTAAAAGGTAAGGCCCCCGTCATTCCTTGCTCGCACAAGACTCTCGAAGACTTCTGAGGGTTGCTCGTAAGGGGGCAACCGAATGACGGATAGAACAATTTTAGAACAATGTATGGAGTTGATGAGCCGGTTCTTGCCGGTTCATCAGCTTTTTCGTTCCCTACGATGCCGCAATGTTCTGGAACCCATAACAGGGTAATTTTGTTATGTTCTGACAGGACATTGAGTTCTTCTCTGCATTTCCGAACCAGTCTGGATGTCACTTTCGGGTTCGTGAGAGCTTGCAATGACGCCTGGCTATCAGTGCATATTTTGATCCGTGCATTGCGCACTTCCCTCACATTGTTTGTTCTTGCACATTGCGAGATTGCGTTCATTCTTGCTTTAAATACGGAAGTGTTTATTCCCAGTGAGATGCTCATTTGGGAGTTTCTCCCTTCACTGTAAATTCCAGCACCAGAGCCTTCCTTGGTCTTGGACCCGTCTGTGGACCAGATCTTCTCTCCAGGTTTGCCCTTGATCTTGTCATCTGTCTATTCCCTTCGATCTTGCATGATCACCTCGAAGTTCATGTTGAAGCAGTATATTGGGGGAATGTGGTCCGTTGGTTTCATTTCAAGAATGTTTCCTTTCCTTATTTCCTTTATCTTGTTGTGTCCCGATCTATCGCTCGTGTTTTGTAGCCTTAGATTTCCCATTCTAGCCACTTCCATCATAACTATGACTATTGGGGGGAGGTTCAGTAGTGCTTCGATGGCTGCTGTTGGTGTTGTTTTCATAGCTCCCGTTATGCTGAGGCATGCAAGTCTTTCTACCTTGCTCAACTCAGTCGCGGCTATTTTTTAGTTTAGCTTTGTCCACCATACCAAAGATGCGTATGAGATCATGGGTTTCACCACAATGCTGTATGTCCAATACATCATTTTGAAGTTAAGCCCCCATGTTTTTCCTCGTGCCCGTCTGGCAATCATTAGTGTTGGCTCGGCTTTCTTCTTCACTTTTGCCAGTTGTTGGTTCCAAATAAGTTCCGAGTTTAGAATTACCCCGAGGTATTCAACTGCCCTTGACAACTGGATGTCGGTCCCTTGAGGTGTTAATGGACCTAGTCCCTCTAGCTTCCTTCGTCGGGTGAAGACTACTATGGTTTATTTGGAGGCACTTATATCAAGGCCCTCTTCATCTATTCATGTGTTGACCAGGTTTAGGGTCATTTGCATCCTCTCCCTGACCGTGTTGTTGAATTTCCCTTGGGCTGTGATGACTATATCGTCTGCGTACCCAAGTGTTTTGTGTCCATTCATATCTAGTGCCACTAGCAACTGATAATATCTTTTATTATTACTATGCAACTTTCATTGAGACCATATTCAGCGGATCTGTATATTCGAATGAATTCTTCGTCCTCAAAGAATATCCCTATATTTGTATAGTCCAACTCATCAGTTTTTCATCAGAGAGCATTATTGATATACTGTTTCAGAAAGAAACACGTTAGCTTTGCTAGGTCACATACACTGGCTTCTTTTGATGACGCTAGATCAACTTTGAGCAGTTCTACCAGTCAGCTAAATACGCTCACCAAGAGCCAAGAAAGGCTGCTGGATATGAGGAAGATGGAACTGCAGCCTATTACGAAGCAGCCAGAGCATGACATTTCTTCAGGTAAGCATATTTTTTAAATATTTTTGATTCGAATTTACAACTACTCAATCAAAGTGTATGAACGAATATGAAACGATAAACATAGTGATTCATTTGAAGAGACTAACATTTCAATTTCCACTAAAATCTCCATTTTTTGTATAGTTACAAAAATGAGACTTCAGAAATTTGAATTATTCAGTTTGAATATTCTTCATACTTTTCGTCTCTGGATATAATGATGCTGTTCAATTCTTGAAAAACTGGGTACTATGCTAACGAAACGTATCGTATTTTCGTGAATTCTACAGAAATATTATCGTTTATAAAGTTCTTTCGGATTCAACTCGTTTGGCGTATAATGAATTGGGATCATGTTGTTTCAGATAAAATCAGGAAAACACCGATGAAAACTCAAGCAACTCAAACTGAGATCAATCTTGGAAGGAGAACACCACCTAGTCATATCAACTTGAGTCCCAGAACAATGCAAAAGGTATTATATATCAAAGCTGATTCAAATCACCAAATTAAAATTAGATACATACCAGTGTCCGTCTTAAGTCCGTTCTCCTCCTACTAATTTTTGGACCACCTGATATATCGTAACGGAATTCGAATGGCTCAAATAGGATATAAGAGTGTTGAAAAGGAATATTCTCAGATAAATTATGAACATACAAAAATGGATATATATTTATATAAAGCAATACATTGAGAATTCGCATTCTCTATGTGATGAGAATATTTACTCTTTTTCAGTTAATTCAATAGACAACAACTACTTTCCTGGCTATATGCCACGACGAACATTGAATTATATCTATTGAACACACACGATAAGAGTTTGAAAATAAAATATAAATATTTCTGAAATTGAGAATTTTCATTCTCCTTCAGACAAAAATATGTATATAAACACATCATTCTGAATATTCAACAGAAAACAACTACTTTCCTGGCTATTATATATACATATATAGTAAAATGGCAGCTTGATGTTTTAAAATGATGGCTGAGCGCCATCTTGAATTATTTTTGTAATGAAACACCCGGTATATTACTCCATTTTTGAGAACCCCTCATGATTTCCGAAACAAACTCGATAGAATAAACAATAAAACGAGACCAGGTTCCAAATTTGGATTTATGTTGAGTAATTCATACTATGTTATATCCTAATATTCTAGAATTTTTGCGCTATTTGAGTCACATAAAGGACTAAATTTTGCCATTCCGAAATGTAATACATAGTGGACAGAAGAAGAATCTGTGCATATTTCCAACTTCGACAATTTGTATCTCAAACTCCAAGACATTGAAGACATACGTTCATACGTTTCTCGAAATCAACTCACTAATCGCCCTTTTGAATATTTCTCTCCACTCTTGAAACACCCTGTATATTCTCATTGAAAATAAAAGAGAATTTGTCATTATATTTTATTATTATAGTATTTGGTAGTAATATATGTACTTCGTTGGTATTTATGGACATACCAACTGGCCATCGACCTTACGAGAGGTTTTTAAGCCAATATGTGTTATGTGTAGGTTTTGTTACTAACTCCATACACTAAACTGTTTTTCCACTAACTAAGCCGATATTTCACATGCCTGGGCACGTGTTTCGCTAACTATTAATAGAATAGAATATTTAGTTTTAATCTTGAAGATGCTCACATAGTAGTTATAAGTAGCACTCTAAAATAGAATATTGTCGCAACTCAGATATTTTCGGATGATTTTTTTCAACTCAATGAAATCATTGGCAAACTTCTGGGACCGATTAGGGTATGGAAAATATTCTGATAATATAGACTAAGTAATGATCTTTGGATTTTCAAGCCTATCAAGCACCAATATCAATTTGTAATACAGGCCAATAAGATAGGCTACAGAAATATACCATTTGAAAAAAAAATTGAGTTTACTTTCATTCAAACAGGTGGTTGAAACAACTTGTCATTGGGTTCAAGGAAAGTGCCATCATCGATTATGTAATGTGAATTGTGAATTCCAAATTTGTTTCTCTTCAAATATAAAAACTACAGACTGTTTCATGTCTCCTGTGTCACCCGGAATAACTCGCTTTATGAATAAAAATGCTTTGCTCTGCCGGGGAATCGAACCTAGGAACCTTTCGATATTCTGATGACTACCTCAAATTCAAGGTGAAGATGGTGTCCCAAGGCGCCCAAACCAACGGCCAAAACGGCCGCAAACTGATAAAATCCTACTCGGAGGCGGGCGATACTTTCGGCGCCCCGTTCCTGAACGGCGACACCGCCTGCAACGCCATCTTTGATCACGAACCCCTGCACCGGACGCAGTCGGACGAGCCTCCAAGGTCGCCCTTCGTGCTGGACTCCTCGCCTTGCCCCTCACCGCCGAAGAAAGTTGAGAGCGAGGCGTCTTTGTCCATCAGATCGGACCAGGACTCAGAAGACTCTGCTGAGGTAGGTTGGGTTAGCTTTTATGTGAAAACTGTCCCTCCATTACGATCCCAGATAGGTTTATCGTGACTCACCCCTAGAGGTTACAGTTCATGGTTCCATGAAGTGAGGGTTTCCTGAACGGTAGTTTCTACAAAGGAAAGATAAACCCACCCAACAACTATAGGCCTATTGGCCTCTCATCAGCTATCAGACAGGGGAAGCCATCAACATTGAGCTCATCAAATATCTGGAGAGCTCAGGAATCATAAATGATAGACAATATCATGGCCATCGGGGATCAACTGGAGAATCAATTGCCTACGATACCCATACCTATATATGGCAAGCTTCACTAGAAAAACATATGGAATTTCTAGCTGTGGCTAGATATATCGAAAGCATTCTTCCCTGTTTGGCACCAAGGACTCCTTCACAAACTGCCATTATAATGGCTTACCACCTCAGCTATGCCATCTCTTATCGTGTTCTATTTTAGGCAGATATCTACATGTGGTAGTTTAAGAAGCATCGTCTGATAACATAACCATCGATTCCGGCATTCACAAGGATTAATTTTGACACCAACATTGTTCCTGCTCCATATCAACGATATGTTGAAAGTGCCTCACCTAAAGCCACAATAGACCCATCTGGGGTCTCAGGGGAGGGGCGAATACCCCACTTACATGGAACCCTAACCTACCCAAAGCATTGCAGATAATATTACTCTCCCTACTACGTTCTCTTCCAGAATTTCCATTTCTTTCCAGGCAAATAAGAACTAACGAGACAAAGGCAGGTCGATGCTGTCAATGGAGATCTTGCTCAAATCACAGCCTGGGGAACCATCAACCTAGTTCCATTCAACGCCACCAAAACTCAAGCCTGCATTTTCTCTAGAATAGTGGAACACAGTATTCCTGATATATCATTGTCTGGCACCACCATTCCCACAGTCCACTTTATCTCTATGCTCGGTATTTCCATCGGCGATACTCTTTCATGGGAAAATAATGTCAGACCCATCGCGAAGGCTGCTTCACGAGAACTAGAACTTTTGTTCTGTGCGAGAAGCTACTTTTCATCCCAAAGCTTCTCATGATCTAGAAAGCATTGATACGGCCTGTTCTAGAATAATGTTTCCACATATCGGGTTCAGCGTCCAACCATACACAGATGCTCTCATCTCCAGAGAAGAGCCACACTCACTAATTCAGTAACATCATTTGAGCACTGTAGAAAAGTCGGCGATATTTTTCAGGAATCTCTTCTATCATTCCATTACTAGCAATATGCCAGTCAGACGAATTCGACAAGCCTAGTCAGCACATCCGTTCATCATTAACCTCGAAATATGTCGAACAACTCTTTCCCAAAACTCGTTTGTCTATAAAACGGCAAAGTTCTGGAATTCTTCGCAAAAGGAAGTAACCTATTAGTCTAAGATCCGAACCTAAATCGACCTTCACCGAGCTGATAATAGAACGAAATATATTTTATCATGAATTTAGTATATTAGAAAACATATTAAAAATGGGTTCGCTAAAAAAATCCTGGGCAGACTATTTTTAATTATTTTTCGAAAAATGATTTTTAATTAAATGTTGCAACATCAGGATAATAAAAAAAATTTGTCCTGACTGAAAGTATATAACGTATAGAATGTGCAGCCGTTAGGTTGTCTACTATTTACCTGGGCGAACTACTGGGTTGTCAGGTAACACAGGTATATCGATGCCAGTTACTTTCACTGGATTGGATAATTAAAAAAAATTCATATCATCATAAGCGCTGTTTAATTGCGAACACGTTGATATAGGGTTGTCTGCGAAAATTCCGGTCCTATTAGGGGTTTGCGAATTTTAAAGATTTTAATTTCAACGCGCGTGGAAGTGTGTGACAGAGAGATCCGAGGTAAGTATACTGTGTAATAATAAAGGACCCAACATCGCAGTCTTTTATTGTCTATTATAGATTATAGATATATTATTATGGTTATAACGAAATATATTGATATTATATTGTTTTTACATATTAGTATTATATTAAATATATTTAATTATTATGTAATTAATTAATTTTTTTTTGCTACCGAAATATCAGTTGCTCCAAAATAACACGCACTGTTTACTATATGAAGGGTAGTAGAGGTACCTTTACCCCCCATAGTTTACACACCGAGCATGCGCACTGTCTACTATTCAGGGTCCCATCACAAGCGACTGCGATGTTGGGTCCTTTATTATTACACAGTAAACTTACCTCGGATCTCTCTGTCACACACTTCCACGCGCGTTGAAATTAAAATCTTTGAAATTCGCAAACCCCTAATAGGACCGGAATTTTCGCAGACAACCCTATATCAACGTGTTCGCAATTAAACAGCGCTTATGATGATATAATTTTTTTTTAATCATCCAATCCAGTGAAAGTAACTGGCATCGATATACCTGTGTTACCTGACAACCCAGTAGTTATCCCAGGTCAATAGTAGACAACCCAACGGCTGCACATTCTATACGTTTTATACTTTCAGTCAGGACAATTTTTTTTTATTATCCTGCTGTTGCAACATTTAATTAAAAATCATTTTTCGAAAAATAATTAAAAATAGTCTGCCCAGGATTTTTTTAGCGAACCCATTTTTAATATGTTTTCTAATATACTAAATTCATGATAAAATATATTTCGTTCTATTATCAGCTCGGTGAAGGTAAATTTAGGTTCGGATCTTCTACTATATGATCTCCAAAAGTGAAAAATTAAAAATAATACCTACCTTCTTTCCTTGTCTTCTCTAGATATAGAAATTCCCTTACGTGCGTTCCAATAAATGAAATGAACTTAGTAAACTTGGTAAAGGCTGATCCAAATGATGTATTTGTTCGCTGTTTTCATTTGTTTACTGTGATTTGCTTGAGTCCTTCAATATCTTCTGTATCGCAATGAAGGAAACCACTGTTTTGATCTCTGACGAAGTTATTCATTATCATTCAAGGTGAAAAACGAGATATTCATCGACTTCAAACCTCAACTAACGAAAGAAGCAACCACAGTAGTGAAAAGAAGCCTGATCAAAGCCCTATCCGACGGAGAAATCCTCCTGGAGCAAAGAAGAGCCACCATAGGAGACGACCGCGTCGTCCCAGACAAGCCAACCTACTCGCACAGCCACGAGAACGTCCATCCCGAAGAGAACCCCAAAACCTTCTCCCCCTACTTCCAGAAGTCCCCCATCCTGAACGAGGGCATCTGCAAGCCCTTGGAGGACAATATCTACTCGTCGAGGGACACGGGTCTGTACGGCCAGGACTCCATCGATGAGGACTTCCACGAGCACTTGATCTACAACAGGAGGTACCTGAACACGCAACACTCGGTAGAGGGGGGCAGTATAGGGATGGAGACTTGGCTGAGGGATGAGTGCGTCGTGCCATCTATCAGTTTTACCTCTGAGAAGAGGCTGTCTCCCTTCACGTCCAATGATTCTCTTGCTAACGATGCCAGGTAAGACATTCTGTCAGAGAACCTCATAAGGTATGGGTATCCATTGACTGAATCATCCAGAATGACTATCAAAGGTTATCGTTTCCCTAACGCCACAGTCATTGAGATCAACAGCAGGCTTGCTGTCTTCGATTGGCTTAACAGTAGCCTCTCTGATAAGTGTTTCTTGGAAAAGCCTCTTGTGATGATGTATCCAGAAGGTTGGTGTCGCAGACTCTTGACTGCTTCCTTTTCTCATGTAACTAATCCCATCACTTGTCCAATCTTCTGACTCTTACAATCATTATCCACTATCTCTGATTCATTGGTGATATTCCAATTCTACAGTTTATTGAGCCTTTGCTCTAGAACATTTCGAAACACTCGTGTCCATTTCACCATCCAGCTTTGAATTGGAATCAAGCTCTGGCACTGACCTCTTGAAAATCAACACCTCTTGTTTCCTGACTCACAATACCTTGATGCCTTTGAACTAATTATTGAAGTGTTACCGTGCCTATTTGGCAGACACAAACCAAACTTGATCTAATTTTAGCGCTTGCTGTGCCAGAAAGCATGGTGTCAGCATTATCCTACCCTTGGACCGGTTCCTTCCTTCCTCACAATACTTCGATACCCTTGAACTCACTAGAGATTTGTATCAATTTGGCTTGCCAGAGTGTGCAGAGTTTGTAGAAAGTCTTTGAACAATCTTGATCTGATTTTGATCCTGAAGCCTTGGTGTCTCACCAACCAGCTGCTTCGTATTGACATTCTTGTTATTTTGAACCAAGGCTCTGACACTGGCTCTTTGAACATCACCACTCTCTTACCTTTGCACCTGTTGCTTCCCTACTCGCTATGTCAGAGTTATCAGGCTTTCAAGTAGTTCCAGACCAATATGTATGCTCTCACTTTATTCGCATCAGGTATGCCTCGATATCATGTACATTGAACAGGTCAATATGCAGCAGTTTCATTATTTGATTGATTGATTGTCTTTATTACCCCAAGAAACATTTCTGTTTATGATAGGGATACATAAATACATATAAAAAAAATAATAATAAAGGGTTAACTATAATGAATTCCACTCAGTGGAAACGAATTAATATTGTGTCTTATAAGATTAAAGTTATATTTCATTCCTAAGTAATCAAATCATGCCATAGTGAGCAAGGTTTGCGTGTGCAGTCTTATTGCAACTGAGCAACTGAACATATTTTCACCCAGGCAAGCCTACTAAGCATGTAATTAGGTATTGGTATTGATATTGGTAGGTGTGGATGGTGACAGATGCATTGCGACCTGATTAGATCTATTGTGCCCCTTCTTCTTCTTCTGCTATCTCAAGGTATTCTTGTTTATCGCAGCCCCTCAAGCTTCTATTCTTTTATACAAATTTGAGGATTTTGAGATGATCTATTCGTGGTCCACGGTCCGCTGGTATGCTCTCAGTATATTCGATCTTCTATGTATGTTCAGCAACACACTCCTACAGGATGTTCTAGGGTATTTCTGGATTTTCCCCGTAGAATCTGCAGGTGCTGTCCTCCTCTAAACCTAGCTTCCTCAAATTTTATTCGAGTCTACAATGCCCCGTTAGAAATCCCATTATTGCTTCAAGATTAATTTTTTTGAGGTGTATCAGTGTCTTCGATCTTGCTCGGTTGAAATGTAATTAGGTACGTCTCAACAGCTCTCAATCACTCATTGTCTCAAACTTGTGCGGTTTGTTGACATTTTCATAATGGCACCTCCTGCTTTTATTCGTAGAGACCAATCGGACGGCATTTGGAACGAGTCGCAAGTGACGGTACTGCAAGCCGATTCGGGAACAGACAACGGTACCGCCTTGAGCGGCTCCGAGATGACCTCAGCAACCTCCCCTGGATCTGCCACCCTCTCCCTCACGCCTTCTTCCAGACGAAAGCATCTGCTGATGCTGCAGCACCAGCAGAGGTCCTCCTTCGACACTGAAGCCCTGCTGGACGAGGAAGTCGGCGACCAGGCGAGCAGCCACCTCAAGGTTTCTGAACCTGACCAGCAGCCGGAGGTCTCTCGGCAGTACCTCTCCGTGCAGAAAGTGGTACCGCTTCGCAGGAGGAGTCAGCAGGAACCTCCAGCGGAGACGCAGCCTGCTGTGGTGCCGGATTTGCTGCTGGCTAGGACGGATTCCTGCAGGACCAATACCGATTTGTCGGAGAGCACTACCACGGATGATTACGTCACTGCCAATTCGGGAACTGATAGCTCCAGAATAAGCGTTTCGTCGAAGGTAAATAATGTGTTTTTTACCACAGTTCTATAAGCTTGATAGGTATGTTTGTAACGGAATGGTCGAACGTGATGTTGACCCACTTCAAAGCGTCGAATTGAATTGAAACTTCATATCATGATGTAATAGTTTCGTGAATGATGTTCCGCCACCAAAATTTCAAATGATCGTTTTTATTCCTTCAAATAACTTTTCACATCCAGAGACACCGCAGTGTCTTGAACGTGAATAATATCTGTTACTTATCCGATTCGGAAACAGCCTCGTTGAACTGATCGTTTTTAGAAATGTTTAAGCAACGACATATATAGTTCATTATAAAGACATACCACTACATTTCAGTATTGTTGTATACTGGGACATTAGAATTGCACATGATATATTCGTCATTGTTACGTGTTTATGAAAAGTAATCATTTTTACTCTGGAAATAAAGACGGCAAACATCTTTTTCATGTTATTTGCCCAGTGGGAAAGATGTGTTCCATGTTTTGGAATCTTGTACAGACCTAGCTATAGCCTCTACACGGATTCGATTATTCCAGGGAATGTAAATGTACAAAAATATCTAGCAGTACCAGCTACTCTCCCACGTAGGTTCGAGTTTCCTCAAACCACCACAAGATTTCTCAATGTTCTTGAAACTTCCTTCATTTATATCACTCACTGTAGCAAACCTGGAATGTACTACAAGAATGAAGGTTGTTTAACGATGGAAGATGGTTTAAAAGAGACAGACATGTTACATTCTTTGACATCTCGTGCAGCCCTCACCTCTACCCGATTATTCTAGAGGATGGAGATGTACAACAGTGTCCAGCAGCACCAGCTACTCCCCAACAAAAGTCGAGCTTTCTCAAACCACCTCAAACTTCTTCGAACTTTCTAGAATTTCCCCGAAATTCCTCGAGCCTGTACATCAAACTTTGATGATGATTACTGCATCGGAAAACCCTGATCAAGTTTTCAACTCATCAAAACGTAGTAGAGCTGTGGAGATCAGCTCAAGATGGTCTCGGTTGAAAATTGGCTGATATGGCAGATGATTATCTTATTATAATTGTGACATAACTGTCATAGTAGGTACTGTAGCAAAACTAAAGTGTGCCAAGGAGGGATGGAAGTTGTTTCAGGACGAATGATGAGATGAAAGAGACAAATCTGTTTCATTCTTCGGCACCTTGTACAGCCCTCACCTCTTTGCGGTTTCGATAATCTCAGAGAATGGAGATGTACAACAACGTCCATCAGCAGCACCAGCTGCTCCCCAACTAAGGTTCGAGTTTTTCAAACCACATCAAACACAAACTCCAATCTCACTCGAACTTTCCCGAGTTTGCTAGAGCTTGTACACCAATCTTCCCAAGTGGACATTTTCTCGGGAAACCCTGTCCATAATGATTTTCCACTCCTCAAGACGTAGTGGAGCTATGCTTATCAACTCAAGAAGGCAACGGTTGAGTAGTACTGACTGATATGACAGATGACTTCATCTTCTTACGACTATAACGTTGAAATCATATACTACTGTAGGTAAACTGAAGTGTATCACATGGATGAGTGTCGTTTGAAAATAAATGATTTTGAATGTTTGAAAGAGATAAAGGTGTTTCATTCTTTGGCATCTTGTTCAGCCCTAACCTCTATTCGGTTTCTATATTTCAAGTGGATTGAGATGTACTATGATGTACAGCAGCATCAGCTGCCCCTAAGGAGGGTTTTGCTCTCCTTCAAACTCCCGCCAACTTCGCCGAACTTCCCAAGTAATTACCCCTCGAGATACATAGGTGAAACCCAGATTATAAGGATTTTCCAACTCCTCAGGCGGAAGTGGAGCTATGCTGATGGCCACTATTGACAATTGACTGATATGGCAGATGACTTCTTCTTTTTACAATTAAAACGTACCTTCCGTAGTACTGTAGCAGAGCTAAAGTGCACTACAAGGATGAAGGTTATTTGGAAATGCAAGTTAGTTTGAAAGAGATCAAGATTTTCAATTCTTTATCCGATTTGGATATTTCCAAGATATGGAGATGAACAACAACGTCAAGCAGCACTAGCTGGTTTCCAACGAAGGTTCGAGCTTTCTCAAACCAAATCAAACTTCCTTGAACTTCGCAAGTGATTGCCTCATCAGAAAACCCTGATTCTAACGATTTTTCAACTTGTCAAGCCATTGTGGGACAGAACTACGTATGGAGTTATGCTGATCAAGTCAAGATAGCCACGATTAACAATTGACTGCTGATATGGCAGATGACTTCTTCTTCTTCTTACAATTATAAAATGGCTTCCATAGTACTGCAGCACCAAAGTGTAGCACAAGGATGAAGATTATTTGAAGATGAAAGATGGTTTGAAAGAGACCAAGCTGTTCAATATCCGGTTTCGATTATTCCAGGGGATGGAGATGTACAACAACGTCCAGCAGCACTAGCTGGTTTCCAACGGAGGTTCGAGCTTTCTCAAACTAAATCAAACTTCATTCCAGAAAACCCTGATTCTAACAATTTTTCAACTTCTCAGTCCATAGTGAAGCTCAACTACGCATGGAGCTATACCATATATGTACTATTTCTATATATGGTTCATCGCCTATATGATATCTCAACAAAAATGGGACCAAAATGAGAGGTACTTTCTGAATCTTTAAGGACGGAAAGTGAAGGATGAAAAATTTGAAATAAGTAGCCATATTGTCGTATTATTTTTCCCTACGTCGGAATCAACGTCTATTGGTCGATTTCGTTACCTATAGAGACAGAAGTTGGTCCCGCTTTGAGGACAGCGATAATTCATATATTGGTAGTAGATATATGAGCTATACTGATCATGTCAAGATGGTCCCGATTGACAAAAATTTGCTGATATGACAGATGACTTCTTCTTCTTACAATTATAACGTTGCTTCCATAGTACTGTAGAAAAACAAAAGTATACCACAAGGATGAGGATTATTTGAGGATGAGAGATGGTTTGAAAGAGACCAAGCTGTTCACTTCTTCTATCCGGTTTCGATTATTCCAGGGGATGGAGATGTACAACAACGTCCAGCAGCACCAGCTGCTCCCCAACGAAGGCTCGAGCTTTGAAAGCTCCCGAAGCGTCGACCAGCTACTGACCGACGACATGGTGGTGCCAAGCGACCCCCGTAGCCTTTGCAGCACCCCCTCACCTCGCCACCCCCGCAGCCTTTGCAACACCCCAGTGCCTCTCGTCCATACAGGTAAAGGGTAGTGGAAGAGCAATAATTAATAAATAATAATGATAATAATAATGTGTCTCTATTTTTCATTCATGAACAAAATGCATAAGAGTATTATAAGGAGGAGGCGGCATTCAACAAAGTTGCTCTTCCATACAACCCCATATGAGTATCCGACAAGTTGAAAGGGTATTTTTCAATTAATTCAAGAAAGAATAAATTACCTACTATTGAAATATAGTACTATAAGTACATATAAAGCATTAATATAATCAAATATAACAGCTGAATAAATCAGTCAATAATGATAATGCCAACAATAAAATACTGACAACAGTATTCATAATGAAAATAATAATAATAATAATAACAGAAATAATAATGCACTAATTTCGAGTTGGGGTTTCTCATGTCATATACATACATAGGATTTGGCATATATTTTGAATGTATCGAGGGTCCGGGCAGATCTAACTTGGCAAGTGAAGCATTGTATGTGTGAGTGAGATTATGCAAGATGGCAGCCTCAGAATGGCGGGTTAGTTTCGTGATTATGATCCGATTCTATTCAGAATTGGTATCTAGGGGTCTTCGGGATCGGAGATTATGATTCTTCCGTCGGCATTGAGATTATTCAAGATGACGGCCTCAGAATTGCGGATGAGTTTTGTAATTATCATCCGGTTCGTTTCAAAATTGGTATCTGGGGGTTTTCGAGATCAGAAATCATGAGTCTCTAGTCGATATTGAGATTTTTCAAGATGGCGGCCTCAAAATGGCGGATGAGTTTTGTAATTATGATCCGATTCTGTTAGAACTTGTTATCTGGAGGTTTTCGGTATCGGAGATTATAATTCTTCCGCCGGCATTGAGATTATTCAAGATGGAGGTATCGTCCGCATATATCGTTAGTGATTGCGATTTTAAGTGTACTGGTAAATCATTTATAAAAAGTAGAAATATTAGCGGTCTCAGTACAGACCTCTGAGGGACTCTCCTATTCAAAACATGAGAACCGGAAATAGTATCCCTTACTTTGACAACCATCTTTATATTGCCGAGGTAATCTAATGTCGAATCCAAAAAAATTCCTCTGAATCCAACATTGCATAATTTATCTTTGATAAAATGTATATCTACGCTGTGATAGGTCGAAAAACAACCCTGCCACGTGCCTTCCGCTGTCTATTTCCATATAGACATATTCGAAAAGATCGCATGCAGCAGTTTGTGTTGATCTATCAGCTTGAATTCCATGTTGGTATGTAGCTTGTTGATATTCAGAAAGTGTATCATCCTACTGCAGACGATCTTTTCAAAGATTTTGGATATAACACTCAGTACTGATACTGGTCGATAATTGGACAGATTTTCCGGATCATTTTTTTTGTGAATTGGAATGACTTTTTGTTGTATTTTCGAAATTTTTTATTTCTTGTTATGCACATTCTCAGGCCGCTCCACTCCGTCCGAAGACACATCGTCGTCGTGCGGCAGCTACAGCGTCGGCGGCATCGGCAGCGGTGGCGCCGGCACGCCGGACCTGCTCGAGCGGGCCACCCCGACCCCGTCGAAGCGGGGCGAGCGGGCCCGTCCCGGCTCGGACGACGACAGGAGCGTCAGGTATTCTTCCTCGGGGTACTACGAGTCGCCTGTGGAAGATGAGTGAGTTTTTGACCAATTTTTTCCCATCACTGGCTATAGTGGGAAAGAGTATCATATAAGCCATTTTTCCTCGAAGTAAACCACACACACCGGGTCAACAATAAGTTAAGCAGTCAATTTTCCTCGATGTGTATTCCAAACTATGACGTGATAGTTAACCAACCACACAAACCAGCACACTGAGGTAGTTCACGGAGTAGTTAAGACTGTTACTGGATTGCGGATTGGGCTCTTGTTGTTGCTATAATCTACAATTAATGAAAAAATTAATTGAGATCTCATCATATTATTGATAGAAATAAATTGATTCATTGTAAAATGTATACGTGGCAAATTGTTCCAATTTTTCTGAATTTGAAGTAGGTAAGTACCTAGTTCCTAGCTATGATATATTTTTGTTACAGATTATGAATTACTTTTTTTATGTTCTGGTTTCCACGAAAAAGTCTATAATATAATGTTCAGAGAACATCGTGAGAACCAAGTAATTAAGGTAGGAATTGGTGTTCTTCTTGAATTTCTGGAGGTTATATACCTCGGGGAACACCTCCCTTGGCAATGTGTTCCAGAGCCTCTCTGTTTGTTGGATGAACGAGTTTTTGGCAAGAGATGTTCTGCAGCTTTCCAAAGTGACCACGAAGGGGTGCGAAGCCTCAACTCAACAAAAGGAGGAAAAATTGTTGATATTTCAGAATGGCATCGTCCATGAAAATATCTATGAAATAGAGCCAGATCGCCAATTTTTTTACGATGTTCCAGAGAAGTGAGTGAGTTTGTGAGCGAGGCATCACCCACGAGACGAATTGCCCTTTTTTGAACAGAATCTAACAGTTTCAGGGTATTGATGCACTCCAAATATGGGAACAGTATTCCAGGACAGGTCGGATCTGTGCCTCGTAGATCATAAGCAGCTGACTGAAAGTGAAATAGCTACTGGCCCGAAACAGAAAACCAAGTTTTTGGGATGCACTTTTAGCAATTGATCTCACGTAATTTTCCCAAGAAAGGTTATTGCTGATAGTAATACCAAGGATCGAAATGGATATCTTCAAAGGTATGGTTACTCCTGACAAGCTTATGTTGGGCATAGTGAGATCGGCTTTTCTAGAAAAAAGTCATGCTTGTATTTTGTTTGCATTGAAATCTACCAAGTTATTGGATCCCCATTCAAGAATTGTTTCCAAGTCCATATTCATGTTGTCAACATGTCTCCCTCGTTCGTTTCTGATTTGCCTGGCTGGTATTGGAGCAATGGAAGAGAAGGCGGTATGGGGTACTATCATCGGCGAAGCTGTGTACTCGACATGAAGTTGCTTCCAACAAATCGTTGATATGGAGTAGAAATAGTGTTGGTGCTAGAATTGATTCTTGCGGAACACCACCATTTATGGTAAGAGAGTCAGATGAAACTCCGTCGACTACTACATGAAGAGACCTGTTTGAGAGAAAACTAGCTAGCAGAGAACATAGCTGTGGAGGCAAGCCATAAGATGGGAGCTTGGCGAGGAGTCCGTGGAGCCAGACTCGGTCGAATGCTTTGGAGATATCAAGTGCCACGGCTAAGGTTTACCATATTTTTCAATAGATTGCTGCCATATACGTGAGACGTGAGCGAGCAGGCCACCAGATGATCTCTGATGACGGAAGCCATATTGCCTATCGCTGATAATACCTGAATGTTCCAGGTATTCCATGAGCTCGATGTTGATAGCTTTCTCCATGATCTTTGAATTGATAGATAGCAGTGCGATCGGTCTGTAGCTGCTAGGTAGGGTCTTTTTGCCTTTCTTAGGAACTGGTTGTCCTCTAGCAAGTCTCCAGGTATTACTACTCAAACCAAACAATTAACAAAAACAGCTGATGAACTGACATCTGTCAAGCTTCACAAGTAGACCTTGAGATCATAATAAAGTTACCGTGATGTCACCATGAAGTTAACCTGGTTTGTCTGGTTAGGTTCGAGGAAAAATGACTTAATATTGCACAAAACTTCGAGGTCATATTTTTCGGGTCAAAATAAGAAAAAAAAATTATGTAAACATGTTAATGTCCGAAAACGATTCATTTCCGTGGTCGATTTTTTTATTGATTTCTAAAATATGCCTGAACCGATATACAGGGTTGGGATAAAGAATGGAACCAAGCAAATATCTCGGTAACCGTATGTTAGATTTTTTTGAATTTATGTACAGGATGATTTCAAAATGCGTCGGATTTGAAAATGTTATCACCAATATTGCCACTTTTTCAGTTATTCCGTAAATATTATCAACTTACTCATTTTGAATTGAATACCCTAAACTATATGAACAAAATTTTCGAAGAAAAATATTTTGCAATTTTACGTTGAGAACGTCCAAAGATAAGTAGAAACCCGATATTTTTCCAAAATATCTATATTTATTCTCTTCAAACTTTTTTCCAAACGAAGTGTCACTGACAAGCTATTGGATTCTTCTTTTAGGCTCCCTGATAGGAAAATTCTTTGAAGTTGCATGTCAACATAGGCTACCAAAATTATTTTGAAACATACAGGATGTCCCCAAAAATCACAAAAACTGAAGTTGAACTTTTTTCAATCGAACACCCTATATATTATTTCATTTTGAGATTCTACCTGGTGAGCTGATTTCAACAATCCATCATACTTGGGGTCTAGCAGTTATAATTACTGAGATATAGGGTGTGAGAAATCGAGATTTTCCAAGTTCAAGAATTATTTGTGTCTAAACCATTCATAATTGGTCAAAACGGCTCACATGTCCCTATCTCAACTTTTGATCAACTATCTACTGACATTTAATTGAAACAAATACAGGGTGGTGCAGAATTCAGAATCTTGATCATCCGGTATATGTCCCAATTAAATATCAGTAGATAGTTAATCAAAAGTTGAGATAGGGACATGTAAGCCGTTTCGACCAATTATGAATAGGTTCGACACAAAAAATTCTTGAACTTGGAAAATCTCGATTTTTCACACCCCATATTTCAGTAATTATAACTGCTAGACCCCAAGTATGATGGGTCGTTGAAATCAGCTCATCAGGGAGAATCTCAAAATGAAATAATATATAGGGTGTTCGATAGAAAAAAGTTTAACTTCAGTGTTTTATGATTTTTGGGGACACCCTGTATGTTTCGAAATAATTTTAAATGGTAGCCTATGTTGACATGCAACTTCCTAGAGAGGAAGAATTCCAAGAAGATAAGTGGTTAGCCTTCTAGAGACCGAGGCGTTACTGGTGGCCCACCCTGTATATTGAAATAATACTCATATTTTTATCTTGTAGAAACAAGGAGATGATATCCCAAATAATCAAGTAAAATAGTTGTTCTCTGTTGAATAAACCGAGAAATCGATAATTTCATAACATAGAGAATTAATTAGTTATTTTCACACCTCAATTCTCCCACATGAAAATAGGTTGGGATGACACATTAACTTACATACTTTGAGAGGAAAGCAACAGGAAAAGTATGAATGCAGGAACTCAAAAATCACCCAATTCTTTCTCACATGAAATAGGTTGAGATGAAATAAATAAATGAAACCTGCCAATAGTACCAATCTAATAGTCTCAACCTCAATTCACTCAACAATTCATGTTCTTCATTACTCAGATTAGGTCATCGAAACCTCTCTCAAAGAACAACCAGTATTTTCAATCAATTTCAGTTCTACGTGGACATCACCAAGATACGAGAACAAGAAACCCTCCGATCCAAAGTCGTATCTAGAAGTCAACTCTGTCCCCAACAGTAAACCGAGCAAAAGAAACATCAAACTATCCCCTTCATCCGAAAAACCAAAGCGAACCAGATCCAGGATCAGGAGCCCCATGCAAAACAACAAGAAATCCCACCAGCTGAAGAAATCCTCGGTGGTATACCTGAACGACAAAGAGAATAAGGCCACATCAGACGAATCCAGCTGCGATATAGGCATGAAACATTTGGCCAATCCGAATTCGCCTTGGAAAAATAAGAAGAGCAGAGACAGAGAGAACGAGAAGAGGAGATCTCCTGTCAATGCTGATAAAAAACCATCAGGTGTGTCTGGAAGCTTGGGGAAGAGGAAAACCACCAGAATACCTAACACTGGACCTTCTCCTGATAACAGTTTAAACAAGAAACTAAGGTGAGTTATCTTTGGTTGAAGTCCATGGTTTCTCAAAGTGAAGTAAAGTAGTAACTACTAAATCATACTAATGCATATCGATGTGCTTATCGTGGTGGCCCCTTTGGTCCCTAACAACACAGGGATGTCCTAGGTACGTCTCTTTTTTGTCCCGCGGTACAAAGACATGATTGGGACATCCAGGGGATGTCCTGCCCGGTACATCCCTAGGTTATCCTATTCGTGTCCCTGGAGTATCTGATATCCATTCACACCAGAGTCATTGAATTTCATCAAACTATTGAGTTGAATTTCTTTGAAAATGTTTGTTCCTCTTCCGGAAAATGATTGTAATGAAAATAAAGAATAAAGTCTCAGAACTTCCTAAGAAATTACCATTTTTCGCAGACAGAAATCGTACATGCATAATGCCCCTCATTTTTAAACACCCAAGAATGATAATAATTATACCCAATTCCTAATAAAGTTGTTTTTATTCAGGTTTCTGTAGCTATGTCCTGTTTATAAATCTGTTTAGTACATAAATCTCCAGGAGGCATGATAGCCAATGGAGCAAGGTGCGTGCATGATAAGCAAAAGGTCCCGGGTTCAATCCCTACTCGACCTGCAACTTTTTTCCTTTTGTCGAAAGGATGTCCCTGGGATATCCTTGGGACGTCCTAGGGATATCCTTTCATCGTACTTGGTACATCCCAGGGACGTACCAGAAGGACATCCCTTGGATGCCTTTTTTAGCGGCCAGCGGATGTCCCTGGGACATCCCTAGTATTAACGTTGTCCCGACAAAGGACATCCCTGAGATGTCCTAGTATAAGATCAGGGACGTCCATGGGAAGTCCCTAGGATGTACTGGTATTGTTAGGGGTGGTTTCCGCCATGAAAGTGTGTCCATTTGGGGTGGTTGGGTTTCCCCTCTTCAACAAAATGGAACCATTTTTCTCCTTTTCTTATATTGAGATTCAACAACCATTTTTCACTAGGCTGAGGATGGACATGTATATGTACAGTGTGTCCCACTTACCATGCTCACCATGGGTATCTTTTCAACGGTGAGAGATACGAGGTCGGTTAAATGACACCAAATGTGGAGTTTGTCAAGGCCAACTATAATGTGAAAAAATATTTTCATAAAATCTATTCGTTTTCGTTTTATACGCAAAAAACAGATTTTGATCATTTTCATGTCTCCTCCGTAACTTCTTTATTTATGAAAATATTCAAATAGGAATTTCACAATCTCATGGCAGTTTTTTAAAGTGATTTCGAAAAAAATATGAAATTTATACCAACTCTTCTAGAATTTGAGATATCAGCACCAACTTTAGTTTTTCAAATGTAGGTCATAGCTCACTATGACTTAGTTACAAATAACTTTTTTCTCTCTTACAGATCATATGTCGCAGTAATAGTTTTGTGTTGATAACAACGGAGTTATCGTCATTTAAACAAAAAAAAATTATTTGGAAGCCGCCATCTTGAATTTATGAATTTTAACAAAAAAATCATGATCTCCAACCTCAAAAACCCCCACTTACCAATTTTGAATGGAATCGGACCAAATCTTGTCCGCCATCTTGGAGCAGCCATTTTTTTAATTTCAACAAAAATTCCATTATGTATTGTCACCTGAATCATGAACACCTTCCAAATTTCAAGTTAATCGGAGTTATGGAATTTTTGTTGAAATTAAAAAAATGGCTGCTCCAAGATGGCGGACAAGATTTGGTCCGATTCCATTCAAAATTGGTAAGTGGGGGTTTTTGAGGTTGGAGATCATGATTTTTTTGTTAAAATTTATAAATTCAAGATGGCGGCTTCCAAATGATTTTTTGTTTTGTATAAATGACGATAACTCCGTTGTTATCAACACAAAACTATTACTGCGATGTATCATCTGTAAGAGAAAGAAAAGTTATTTGTAACCAAGTCATAGTGAGCTATGACCTACATTTGAAAAACTGAAGTTGGTGCTGATATCTCAAATTCTAGGAGAGTTGGTATAAATTCCATATTTTTTTCGAAATCACTTTGAAAAACTGTCATGGGAATGTGAAATTTCTATTTGAATATTTTCATAAATAAAGAATCTACGGAGGAGACATGAAGATGATCAAAATCTGTTTTTTGCGTATAAAACAAAAACGAATAGATTTTATCGAAATATTTTTCCACATTATAGTTGGCCTTGACAAACTCCACATTTGGTGTCATTTGACCGAACTCGTATCTCTCACCGTTAAGAAGATACCCATAGTTATCATGATAAGAAGAAAATCATGGTAGAATGAAACATCCTGACTGACACCCATTGCAAAAATAAGGGATAATAATAAAGAGAATGGGGAAAAATAATTTGAGGACGATCTGAGGTCGGGAAGTGGAAAGGGGTAAGTTTTTAAGGGCAAAAAACGGTTTATCTCGATTTCTGGAAAAACAACAAGTCCTATAAAAAAATGTTGGATGACAAAGTTGTAGGTGATAAAAAGATCAATATCTTTTGTCTTCACACTTTTTTCACATAACCTCAAAATTTAAGTGGAAAATGTGGTGGAAACTTACCTCTTCATGTCCGAAACACACTGTTATTTTATTGATTTGGAATATTCATTCTTCCACCATATTTTCACTTAATATCAAGAAAGGATCATAATTTTCGATCGAAAATTCTCGCGTCAAAACATCTGCTTCTTTAAAAAAAGTTGGTGGGCTTCTTGTCCGTTGAAATCTCTTCTTTCTCATGATGTGAAAGATATATACATCACTTGGGTGAATGTTCTCAGAAAATGTGAAAGATGAAAATAAATAATATTTGAATTTTCCACATAAACTACTCAACACTAATTTCGTCGCACACCAAAATGTCGCCCCTGTTATAATGTGAATAACTTTTTTCAGTTCAGAACAATTTTAATTTGGTTCACACTGTTCGATAGGTCAGTCCTTCAGCTATAATCTCGTACTTCATTGAAACATGAGGGTATTCACATAAAATCTCTACATGGTGTTTTCCGACACTGTGCAAAATTTCGGAATATTCAAAAGGCTCTCAAATGGTGAAAACATTTTTTTTCTCAACGTCGACAACAGAGGCATGAAGATGATCTCATTACCTCGAGATGTTTCGCGAATCAACTTCCTATCTCTCTTATTTACAGAGTGATCTCAAAAAATCAACTTTTTGGTTTTGCAGCCATAACTTTTTTCCACGTCAACCGATTTTAGAAATCGTAGGCTCATTTTGAAGATAAAACTTCAGATGAAGAGATCTGAGTATCAGAATTGACTCAAGATGGCTATCAAAGATCTAGAGTTTCCTTGAAAGTGACCCAAATCTGGAACGCCCTCCGAATCTCGGAAAAACAATTCATTCTGGATGCGTCCATATTTTCCTCGCTCTCAGTAGTCAAGAAAGTGCGTGAGAAAACACAATTGAAACATGTTCTTGCAGACACATCAGATTATTTCTCCTCTGTAATGCATGGCCCGTAACCAACGTTTCAAGAATCACAGTAAGTGACTGACAAGTCAGGTTAGACGTCGTTTTCGAATAAATAAACAGATCTCGATAGTTTCGATGCCGCATCTAACGCGAATGTGGGTGACAACTTTGTTCTCGTTGATGACAATGCGAGACCGCATAGGGTTGTTGTTACATCATTTATGATGAGCCTTAGCTGGTCGGGTTTGTCAGTCCATTGTGATTCTTGTAACGTTGGTTACGGGCCTTGCATTACAGAGGAGAAACGGTCTGATGTTTTTGCAAGAACATGTTTCAATTGTGTTTTCTCACGCACAATTCTTGACTACTGAGAGCGAGGAAAATATGGATGCCTCCTGAATGAATTGTTTTTCCGAGAACAAGTTGATTTTCATTCAATTCTCCTCCCAACCGAGATTCGGAGGGCGTTCCAGATTTGGGTCACTTTCAAGAAAACTCTAGATCTCTGATAGCCATCTTGAGTCAATCCTGATATTCAGATCTCTTCATCTGAAGTTTTATCTTCAAAATGAGCCTAAGATTTCTAAAATCGGTTGACGTGGAAAAAAGTTATGGCTGCAAAACCAAGAAGTTGATTTTTTGAGATCACTCTGTAAATAAGAGAGATAGGAAGTTGATTCGCGAAACATCTCGAGGTAATGAGATCATCTTCATGCCTCTGTTGTCGAAGTTGAGGAAAAAAAATTTTTTCACCATTTGAGAGCCTTTTGAATATTCCGAAATTTTGCACAGTGTCGGAAAACACCATGTAGAGATTTTATGTGAATACCCTTATGTTTCAATGAAGTACGAGATTATAGCTGAAGGACTGGGCTATCGAACACATTATAACAGGGGCGACATTTTGGTGTGCGACGAAATTAGTGTTCAGTAGTTTATTTTATATATTCTGTTCTTTTCTCAATGTCTTTTAACCTACTAATTTTTTTCACTTTTTACCATTTCAAATGCTTCAGAACTGGTCTTGATAGTCATGCAGCAACTGCTTGCCAGAAGCTGCCAGCTAATAAAATCTAAATAATGTAAGATATTCGAATGATTTTTTTTTTTTCAGTAATGGAGAAACCCCTGAGTCCAATAGGCATTGCCCCAAGGAGAATGAAGACACCTGCAAGCTGAAAGCCCTGAGCGCTGAATCCCTGAGATCAGTGAGCCCAGGGAGCGACAGTGTCTTCTACAGCGATCCTAGCAGCCTCACTGCCGATCACCACATCCACTGTTTGCACTGCGGTAAAGAGGTTCGTACAAACAATTTGGGGATCACAGAGCTATCTCAAACTGTTATGAAGTTTGGATCTACTAACATCCTCACCCTCCAACTTGAATCCTACCGACTGCTCCAATCTATTGAAGAATATGGTGAAACCTTGGCCGTGGCACTTGATATCTCCAAGGTATTCGATCGAGTCTGGCACCACGGACTCCTCGCCAAGCTTCCATCTTATAGCTTGCCTCCCCAGCTATGTTCTCTGCTAGCTAGTCTTCTCTCAAACAGGTCTCTCCATGTAGTGGTCGACGGAGTTTCATCTGACTCTCTTATCATAAGTGCTGGTGTTAAAATTCCTGAAAATTGCAAAAATTGCAGAAATCGCAAAAATGCCTGAAAATTGCAAAAAGGGCAGAAATCGCAAAAATGCCTGAAAATTGCGAAATTCACTGAAAATTGCAAAAATTGCGAAAATTCCTGAAAATTGCAAAAATTACTGAAAATTCCAAAAATTGCAAAAATTCCTGAAAATTGTAAAAATCGCAAAAATGACTGAAAATTGCAAAAATTGCAAGAATTCTTGAATATTGCAAAAATTGCAAAAATTCCTGAAAATTGCAAAAATCGCAAAAATTCCTGAAAATTGCAAAAATCGTGAAAATGCCTGAAAAATGCAAAAATTGCAAAAATTCCAGAAAATTGCAGAAATAGCAGAAATTCCTGAGAATGAAAAAAATTTCCGAAAATTGCAAAAACTCCTGAAAATTGCAAAAATCGCAAAAACTCCTGAAAATTGTGAAAATTGCAAAAATTAGTAAAAATTGCAAAAATTGTAAAAATTCCTGAAAATTGCAAAATTTCCTGGAAGTTGCAAAAATTGCAGAAATTCCTGAAAATTGGAAAAATTGCAACATCTTCTGGAAATTGCAAGAATCCCTGAAAATTGCAAAAATTGAAATGATTCCTGAAAATTGCAAAAATCGCAAAAATGCCTGAAAATTGCAAAAATCCCTGAAAATTGCAAAAATTGCAAAAATGCCCGAAAATTGCAAAAATTACTGAAAATTGCAAAAATCGCAAAAATTCCTGAAAATTGCAAAAATTCCTGAAAATTGCAAGAATGCCTGAAAATTGCAAAAATTCATGAGAATTGCAAAAATTGCAGAAATCGCAGAAATGCCTGAAAATTGCAAAAATTACTGAAAATTGCAAAAATTGCGGAAATTCCTGAAAATTGCAAAAATTGCAAAAATTCCTGAAAATTGTAAAAATTGCAAAAATGCCTGAAAATTGCAAAAATTGCAAGAATTCTTGAAAATTGCAAAAATTGCAAAAATTCCTGAAAATTGCAAAAATCGCAAAAATTCCTAAAGAATGCAAAAATTGCGAAAAGTCCGAAAAATTTTAAGAATTCCTGAATTCCTGAAAATTGCAAAAATCGCAAAAATTCCAGAAAATTGCAAAAATCGTAAAAATGCCTGAAAAATGCAAAAATTGCAAAAATTCCTGAAAATTGCAGAAATAGCAGAAATTCCTGAAAATAAAAAATCCTGAAAATAAAAAATCCTGAAAATAAGAAAAATTTCCGAAAATTGCAAAAACTCCTGAAAATTGCAAAAATCGCAAAAATTCCTGAAAATTGTGAAAATTGCAAAAATTACTAAAAATTGCAAAAATTGTAAAAATTCCTGAAAATTGCAAAATTTCCTGAAAGTTGCAAAAATTGCAGAAATTCCTGAAAATTGGAAAAATTGCGGAATCTTCTGGAAATTGCAAAAATCGCAAAAATGCCTGAAAATTGCAAAAATTGCAAGAATGCCCGAAAATTGTAAAAATTACTGAAAATTGCAAAAATCGCAAAAATTCCTGAAAATTGCAAAAATTCCTGAAAATTGCAAAAATTGCAAAAATGCCTGAAAATTGCAAAAATTGCAAAAATTCCTGAAAATTGCAAAAATTGCAAGAATTCCTGAAAATTGCAAAGATTGCAAAAAGTCGAGAAAAATTTAAAAATTCCTAAATTCCTGAAAATCGCAAAAATCGCAAAAATGCCTGAAAATTGCAAAAATCGTAAAAATGCCTGAAAATTGCAAAAATCGCAAAAATGCCTGAAAATCACAAAAATTCCTGAAAATTGCAAAAATTGAAAAAATTCCTGAAAATTGCAAAAATCGCAAAAATGCCTGAAAATTGCAAAAATCGTAAAAATGCCTGAAAAATGCAAAAATTGCAAAAATTCCTGAAAATTGCAGGAATAGCAGAAAATCCTGAAAATAAGAAAAAATCCTGAAAATAAGAAAAATTTCCGAAAATTGCGAAAACTGATAATTGCAAAAATCGCAAAAATTCCTGAAAATTGTGAAAATTGCATAAATTACTAAAAATTGCAAAAATTGTAAAAATTCCTGAAAATTGCAAAAATCGCAAAAATGCCTGAAAATCACAAAAATTCCTGAAAATTGCAAAAATTGAAAAGATTCCTGAAAATTGCAAAAATCGCAAAAATGCCTGAAAATAGAAAAAATGCCTGAAAATTGCGAAAATTGCAAAAATGCACGAAAATTGCAAAAATTACTGAATATTGCAAAAATTGCGAAAATTCCTGAAAATTGCAAAAATTGCAAAAATTCCTGAAAATTGCAGAAATAGCAGAAATTCCTGAAAATAAGAAAAAATCCTGAAAATAAGAAAAATTTCTGAAAATTGCAAAAACTCCTGAAAATTGCAAAAATCGCAAAAATTCCTGAAAATTGTAAAAATTGCAAAAATAACTAAAAATTGCAAAAATTGTAAAAATTCCTGAAAATTGCAAAATTTCCTGAAAGTTGCAAAAATTGCAGAAATTCCTGAAAATTGGAAAAATTGCAAAAATTGCAAAAACTTCTGGAAATTGCAAGAATCCCTGAGAATTGCAAAAATTGAGAAAATTCCTGAAAATTGCAGAAATCTCAAAAATGCCTGAAAATTGCAAAAACTCCTGGAAATTGAAAAAATTGCAAAAGTTCCTGGAAATTGGAAAAATTCCTGAAAAATGCAAAAGTTGCAAAAAGTCCGGAAAATTTTGAATATTCGTAAATTCCTGAAAATTGCAAAAATCGCAAAAATGCCTGAAAATTGCAAAAATCGTAAAAATGCCTGAAAAATGCAAAAATTGCAAAAATTCCTGAAAATTGCAGAAATAGCAGAAATTCCTGAAAATAAGAAGGAATCTTGAAAATAAGAAAAATTTTCCGAAAATTGCAAAAACTCCTGAAAATTGCAAGAATCGCAAAAATTCCTGAAAATTGTAAAGATTGCAAAAATTAATAAAAATTGCAAAAATTGTAAATATTCCTGAAAATTGCAAAATTTCCTGAAAGTGGCAAAAATTGCAGAAATTCCTGAAAATTGGAAAAATTGCAAAAATTTCTGGAAATTGCAAGAATCCCTGAAAATTGCAAAAATTGAAAAAATTCCTGAAAATTGCAAAAAATTCCCGAACATTTCTGAGAAGTGCAAAAATTCCTGAAAATTGCAAAAATTCCTGAAAATTGCAGAAATTACAAAAATTCCTGAAAATTGCAAAAATTCCTGAAAATTGGAAAAATTCCTGAAAATTGTAATTATTGCAAAAATTCCCGAAAATTGCAAAAATTGCTATAATTCCTGAAAATAGCGAAAATTACTAAAAATTGCAAAAATCGCAATAATATTTTATTCAGATCATTTGATGTTCCATCTTCAACATACTTATCATGTAGGTATTTTTAATCATGTATTCTTGTAATATAATTCATCTATTTATGCACTTTAGTGATTGAGGGTGAAGATTATCTTCATTTTCAAGCACTATGGCTATTGTAATTATGACTTGCCGTACATGTAATTCACATAACATGGTCAAATAAACTACTCTACTCTACTCTACTCTACTCATGGCGGTTGGAAAATTTTCAAATGAAAACTGGGTATGTAGGTACCTATACTAGCATCCGGCCTAATATTATTATCATGCGAAATATCCATCATAATGTTGAAAACAATTTCAATTTTATTACTCCATACTCATATTCCATTTCGGCCTATACAGATTTTTACGGAATACTGATGTATATTGCCTAATGCACAACTTGTAAGCTGTGCCTGTGGGACTTATTCGGAGAATTCAGACGACCGCAGAAGCCTCAAGGGGTAACACTCAAGGCCGCTTTTACTATAAATGTTGAAATATTTTACGCTAGAATGAGTTGGAGTGAGACACTAGACGACTTCCTTCGTTATCGGGCCCCATAAAACATAAAAAAACATGTTTTATTGTTAAAAATTCAAATGTCAGTATACTCATCCAAAACTCAACACAATAGCGGAAAAGTGGACTTCTCCGCACAGTAGTAGAAAAAAATTATAAATCAATATTTCGAGCACATATAATATAATAACGCGATAATCTTTATATTTCTACAAGGTTGACATAGTCACGACTGACGATCCTGACAAACCAGCTACCTGTGGGGAAATCTTTCAACCACCTGCAGGATTCCAGGATTCCCCTAGAATAAAGCCACCTGAAAGGTTGTTCAAAAAATTCGATAGAAGACTGAGATCAGAAGACAGGAACTTGACGGAGAACAAACAAAATCGTCATGGTACAGAAGTGAGAGCAAAGGTAAGGACTTGTCACTTTCACTTTTTATTATTTTTATCGACTAAATTGTTTTCAACGAGAACCAGAAAGAAAATGCTATCATCTGCACAATACCCATCATTCATTTTCAGCTCCTTAACGCATATCCCTTGTGGTATACCACAAGGATCGGGTTCGGGCGTTACCACCGATAAAACAAGGCCTGCATTCTCCGTGGGTGACGTCACTTAGTCAGGCCTAACCAGCGACAAGCGCTTATAGCGCTATAAGGCGACCGCGTATTTAGATTTTAGTTTTAGATCATTATTGAGCCGATTTTGCTTTTTTTTGAAGGGCTTCCGGTTGAAAGAGGATGCCTGCCGTCAACTGAGCCCTTCTTCGCATCCCATTCGATTTTATTATGGAAAAACGGAGTTTCAAACCAGCAACCCATTCGAATCAAATATATTGGCAAAAATTGTAGTGATTCAATCTCATTAGAGGTAAACTTCACACCTACTTATACAGGGCCCGCATAACATAAACTCATCATGAGATTGATCGAAAGAAAATTGGGGAAAATGTATTTTAGTTTGATAGACATGCCGTTTGTTATACCTGATTACCTATATTTATCTTGGAGAATTCCTATTACCTAAAAAAATTTCCAGTGAGTGTTTTCAATTTCCTGTTGTTGGATTTTTCACCCAATTGGTCGTTATACTTGAAACAGTAATTTTTAAGTAGAGTGTTTGTAGTACATGTTAATATAATAGTTGCAATTTGATCATTGGAATGAATTCTGCATTCATTGCCACGTGGCAAATGACCGTTTTCAGAAAGAAATTTGAGAATGTATTGAGTCAGAAACCAAAGAGTCCAATGCATTCGAAATATGTTTCAAAACCCTCTTTTTCTGATTATCAAGACATTTTCCCGAATTATGTATCTCGTTTTTATCTATTTCAATTAGTAATTCCTTGATTTGATTGATATTATTAGAGATAAAAGGTGTTTTCAGATTGGCTTTTAGAGATGTTTGTATCGCTAGGTCATACAAAAATGATTCCACATTCAAAACAAAATCAATCACAACCGAATATGTAATTACGGGCCCTGGAGAATAAGATAATTTGAATAATGTGACTTTTTGCAAATCGATAATTTTGAACCACATTTCGGGCAACTGAAAAGACTCTAATACAACTAGAAATTCTTGAAATTCTGTGTAGCAAAATGATTTTTGGTAATTTTCGAATTAAGTTTTACTTTTGGTAAGTGCTTGTGCCAAATTTTTAGTCTCTAGTAGGTATCTCAAGTTTTTCATCACGACTTGTGCGTAATTTTACATCTTTCGATAAATAAGATGGACAGTTGGGAAATTGAGTGGGAATAACATCTCGTTTGAGCCTAGGAATTTTCAAATCTATTGTTACAGTTTTGCCAGTTTTTGAATCGGTTGCAGTAGATGAAGTAATAATATCATCTTTAGTAAAATGTAATTCACATACTTTACTGTACGTAAAGTCGTAAAATCCTTGCGGTGAATTGCATGTACCCACTTTTTCGATAGTTCCTTGTCCAATGGGAAACTAAAAGCATGAACTTTTGGACCACCCACATAATTCCCCCGACAAAAGGGAACACAACACTTGTAAGGCATTGTTATTTCGCCTATCACAACACGAAATATTTCACAAAACAGTAATTTCTCCGCCAATTATTTTGATGAATAAACAACAAGAGAATATTCAAGCACACGCGATTTACCTACGCCACAACAAACTGACGATCGATCGACGCGAATGCCTTGGAAGATCGCCTGAGTATGCGACGTCACGAGCTGTTTACGTCAGAGTCTGCTGGCCTTGTTTTATCGGTGGTAACGGTTCGGGGCCTATTACATTTTTTCCATTCATGAATAGTTCCAATAACCTAATAGATCAATTTTTTGGTTAAGTCTGAAGAACGAGCAACAAAATCCTACCGAAATAAGCTGCGACCTATGGCGAAGTCTACTAACAACAGTCAGGAGCAGCTGAAAGCGACAGACTCGAGTCCGAGCATTCTACCCGGTGAGCCAGAAAACGAAGACGATACCGGTATCTACGATGTGCCTTATATTGATGGTTGCTGGATTCATATTGACGAAAGGGAAGAGGTCAACTCTTGCAAGACTTCTTGTTCGAGTCCTAATGGTGAGATATGATTTTCGTGAGATAGATGTTTATATTTAAAAATGTAGAATATTCATTATACAAGGTGTTCTTCTTGACATTCAATCCTTCTCCTTGGTGATTTTGAGAGCCTATAAGTTGATCGAAATGACTTGAATTTGTATTTGGTACGTTTTTGGATACACAGGGTCTTTCGATTTTCCAGAATAGATATCAACTCCCATTTTCGAAATGAACGTCTTGCTAAATTTCACACTTTGAACTTTTTTATTCTGGATTGATAGCGGTCGATATAGGTTTAGCAATTTGATGTTGAGAATATAAGTATTACAATAGTGATATAAGTAGCATATTTTCTCAACATTGTTATAAAAAAAAATGAGTTCATGTCTTTTGAGTTCAGTTTGAAATTTGGAAATATTTTTTTCCAGACTTGGCCCGCACTGACTCCGTTTCTAGTACTGAATCTGAAAAAGAATTCCGGAAGCGTTATCAAGCTGTTACACATCGAATGGTCCATCGAAAATCCTGTCTGGAAATGTACAAAAGACAGAATAATAAATCATTTGGTGAGTGCGTCAACCCAAAATGTATACAGGGTGTCTCGAAATTAGCCTGCCAAACTCCACTAGCGGCTTCTTTGATCAAATGAAAGCTTCAATGGCCATGACTCGAAAAATGTCTCCCAAGGGAGCTATACATCAGCCCTCCTGAAGATGATATTCTTTGAATATTTCCGAAACGCCATGTGTTAAAATGATGTTTTTCAGTACAAGAACTAAACCTTGCATGCTCAATACGGAGAAAATAAAACCATTCCCAAATTTGATTCAGGGGTGTATAATATTGGGTGGGACTACATTAACCCTTTCAAGCCCAGTGATGCCATATGGCATCATATATTATATCCACGTATAGGCGCGTTCAGATCATTCGGCAATTGTTTAGGATTATCCCAATGATGCCATATGGCATCATAGTATTTGAGTCATAAAAACTACATGTCTGGCATTTTTTCTTCTTTAACAACCTTCAGAATCTTATCAATGATAGAATTATCGAATGATATATTTTTTTCAACGGATTCAATAATTTGGGCCGGAAAGGGTTAAATATTGCTCAAACTTTCTTGTATGTATACTTTCCGACTATTTACAGAGAAAAGGTACCGTTTTCCGTATGCACTGGACATGGAAAGTTCAGTTATTGTACCTAACTGCATCGCATGTAATCACATGGCGTTTCGGAAATATTCAATGAATATCATCTTCAGGGGCCCCCCAGGGGCTAATTTCACAACACCCTGTATATTAGTGTCAACAAATATTTTCAAGCGAGTTTTTTAGTCAAAATATCTCAATTTGAATCTATTCATTCAAACTGGAATCCTAAATGGGTACTGTTGCATTTATATATTAAATAGAAAAGTTCTCATCGGTGACATCTGAAGAGGAAAAAATGATTGATCAATGATTATTATTGTGAAATATGTTTCAACAACGTTTCTTGTATTCTTGGTACATTCATTTTTTCCTTTTCCAGGTCCGATGAGTAAGTGGAATAGCAAAGAAAAACACGACCCCTACTACATCTGCATCCATGAGGATTAAAATCAAAATAAATATGGACTTAAACAACCACTGCGAATAATACATATTAAATAAACTGTATACTTATGACTGTGTGTTAAAAAAATCGATTTAAATATATACCTACTTTTTATGTATACTTTTGTATTGTCTTGAACTAAATAAATTGTGGAGTATTAATAGGTGGTATTAAACAATATCATAGTCTTTAATAATTGTATGAGTATAAAATCCAAACGCCTCTATTTAATCATTTTATTTCTGGGGAATCTTCTGAAATGGGCCAAAAATTTAATATCGATTTGATCCACATTCAAGTTATGACGTCCCCCAGTAAACATGTCAATATGGGGCATTGATGGCCTAATATATTTTCCCCATACTTGACATCTGCGGCCCAGTGAATGGTCCCTTATGCGGGACCCTGTATATCAGTACAGTGTGGCCGGCAGGTGGTCCAAGTAGTGGGTACCCAGCAATCATATTCAGTATCTTGGCAAAAAGCCAGTATAACATTATCGACACATCGAGTTTCCCATAGCAAGCCCAGCACATACTTAAATGATGGGGCTGTAATGGCCAATTATCGACATAGGTTGAAATTATGTTCTGGCTCGCACGAAAAGGGATATCTTGTAATGTACAGAGATTGGGGGAGGGGAAGGGGTTTTAGGGGCCTGATGGATCTGAAAGTTTTAGTAGCTCTATATTTTTCAATGTAATGTTTTTGTGTGGAAATTGAAGAAATACATTGAACATTTGTACTATTTAATTTGCTCCACTTATACAGGGTGAATCTGAAAGTGAGGTTTATTTTCAAACAGGATTTATATCTCATCAAAGTTAGTTGTTTGACAAAGCTCACATAACATATTTAAGATAACGGAGGTACAGGTATTCAAAGATTTAAAGAAGACTCCAACTATAAAACATGTTGATAACATATCCTCAAAAAAAACGCAGAGAAGCAGAAGCCTGGACTTTAGATACCATACAGTTGCAATCTTTCTCCAGAAAAATAAATCAATTCTCTTCCTATTGATTTTGATCATTCCAGATTTTTTGGGATTTTCTCTCCTCCTTTCTATTGAATAAAAATATGAATATTATTTCAATATACGTGTAGTTAGGACACATCAGATGATTTGCCCCAAAATGTCACTGCCTTTGAACAATTTTGCTATCAGAGAGCCTAAAACAAAAATTCACCAGCTCGTCTGTGACAATTTGTATTGAAAAAGGTTTGGGGAAGAGAAATAAAGGTATATAGAAGAAACATGAAATTTTCACTTAGCTTTGGAAACGAATCTGCTCCCATTTTCAACATAAAAAATGTATATTTTTTCTGTGACGGGAAAAAAGTTTGGCATTTCATCCCTGTTGGCAGGTTATAAAATGTCACTTTTCATAAATTACTTTTTTCCCGTGGGCAAAAAGTGAGTACTTTTTTCCCGGATATATATCACATATATATACACTGTTGACGGCTTTTGTTGTGCTATAGTTCCGAGAAATGAGTCAATAATACCGTCTCCGAGAAAGTCCTTTTATCTTCCATTCGACTTCGCGGTTACGTATAATACTAAATAACCACTGAATTCGCAATTTCTTGAAATCAAATCACAGAATTAGACTGACAGAAGTGACATCAGATATTTGATTACTTCAAATGAATGATAAAGATGCCTACAACGCGGTGTCCCTACTGTTAAAAACTTAAAATTTCACGTCGATAATTTTCTGATTTCGAAATAATGTAAAATCTCTCAATATTGATTCGTCCTTTCTTCTGTCACAGAAAAAAATAGTGTATTATACACGGGAAAAATATTAGATTTCAGCTCACGGTTTGTTGTCTCCCTCCGCTACGCGTCGGGAGACAACACAACCTGGAGCTAAAATCTACTACTTTTTTCCCTTGTATAATAAATAACTATTGAATAGCAAATTCATATTTGTCTTAACACTTTTCAGTTCTCAGTGACAATTGGTGACGTTGGCAATCAAATGAGTTTCAGGATGTTTTCATCAATTGATCTTGAATCTACTGTCTCCGTTCAGAAGAATGCAAACAGATTCCTCGATTTTTTTCTTCAGGTTGTTATCGTCTTTTCCAATGATTTTAATATTATTCCATTCCAACAGAGATATATTGAATTTCGTTTTAAAGTGAACTGTTATCTTACATTTTTTACATAAACAAATTTTTAGCCAAACATCTTATTTTGGCGAGATATACAGGGTGTTTCACAGGTAAAGGGAAATATTTCAATGGTAGATAGGGGTCACCAAGGTGGTTCTGAAAATACCATATTTGATAGGTCTTAGAGTTTTCATAACGGAGATACAGGGCGATTTATCGATTTCGAATAATTATTCATTCGTCTATAAGTATTGAACTACCCAGTATATTTTTCTAAAATTTGGTATGGACCTTTAACTTGGGACGTTGAATTCATTCACCTATCGAGCGAAGAGAAAATCCAGGCTCGGCTTCAGGAAAAAAATCACATTTATTCGAAATATTAAAATAACACACTGTATGTAATAATTGACAGAGTTCATCTAAGGAATCGTGAAGAGGAGAAAAAACTGAACTGGATTTGATGCTTTTTGTTTTTCCGCCACCAATTCTCATCGTAACAATCATAAACAGAAAGCTGAAAGTATGTCAATTTGAAGAGTACTGAAATTATGAAACTAGTGTCAATTATGATTATTAGATGAATTTAAGTCAAAAAATCGCTCGAAAGAACTTACTAAGTCTCACAGTTTTTATAACGGAGATACAGGGTGAATTATCGGATTTGAATAATTATTCACTCGTCCATAAGTATAAAACTACCCAGTAACATTTTCTCAAATATGGTATGTAGCTTACTTGGGACGATGGATTCATTAACCTATCAGGCGGAATTATAATTCGATAATTCACCCTGTATCTCTGTTGTAAAGACTATGAGACTTTTCATGAAGCTGAACCTGTGTTTCCATTCTGCCTGATAGGTCAATGAATCCATCGTCCCCAGTAAGCTCAATACCAAATTTGAGAAAATATTACTGGGATGGGTAGTTTAATACTTATGGACGAGTGATAATTCACCCTGTATCTCTGTTATAAAGACTGTGAGACTAAGTAAGTTCTTTCGAACGATCATTTAACAAGAATATATCAAATAATCATAATTGAAAGTGGTTTCATAATTTTAATACTCTTGAAATTGACATACTTTTAGCTTCCTATTTATGATTGTTAAGATGAGAATTGGTGGCGGGAAAACAAAAAGCATCAAATCCAGTTCAGTTTTTCCTCCTCTTTACGATTCCTTTGATGAAGTTTGTCAATTATTACATAAAGTGTGTTATTTTAATATTTCGAATAAATGTAAATTTTTCCTGAAGCCGAACCTGGATTTTCACTTCGCCCGATAGGTGAATGCATTCAACGTCCCAAGTTTAAGCTCCATACCAAATTTTAGAAAAATATACTGGGTAGTTCAATACTTATAGACGAATGAATAATTATTCGAAATCGATAAATCGCCCTGTATTTCCGTTATGAAAACTCTAAGACCTATCAAATATGGTATTTTCAGAACCACCTTGGTGACCCCTATCTACCATTGAAATATTTCCCTTTACCTGTGAAACACCCTGTATACCTTGTTAAATAAAAAACCTCACTTTCAGATTCACCCTGTATCGACAAATTCTCAACTTTTTGATTCTGGAACCGTTCAATAAAGAAATTCGAAAAAAACATGAGAGTTCATTGCGTAAGCGGTGAAATAAATTGTTCACATAATTTGAGATATGGAGTATCGAAGTCAGTTTCCATTCATTTTAATTTTAGAACAGATATTTCATTCTGTTTTATACCAGAGAACGAAATACCTTTATGAAAGACGTTCATATCTATTTTCAGCAATAGGCATTCTTAAAGATGAGTATTTCTCACAGTGTTTCAGCGGTTTCAGTGTGTGTTTTGAAATGTACCGTGGGTTGATGAAAACACAGTATGTTGGGTATGAGCACATTTCATTGTTTTCTGTGGAAATTGAATGAAATTCTTCGAATTGAATGATTCATCAGCAACTATACAGGAGTGTCCCCCTGTTTTATTGATCACTATATACTGTGAGGGACCTTGGAAGCGGTGAGAGATATATAGAAAAGAAAGTTGCCCTATTTCAAATATCATGCATATCTAATATTTCTATGTCAAAATATAGTAAACCATTTCTGATTATTTTGAAGAAGTCGAATTTAAAATTTCACAATAACTATATTCTTCTAACTTCAAAGATAGCTTTTTGTAAGTCAATTATGTATGTCACCGATTCAAATAAGATGTATACAGTGTGTCCCACTTACCATGCTCACCATGGGTATCTTTTTAACGGTGAGAGATACGAGGTCGGTTAAATGACACCAAATGTGGAGTTTGTCAAGGCCAACTATAATGTGAAAAAATATTTTGATAAAATCTATTCGTTTTTGTTTTATATGCAAAAAACAGATTTTGATCATTTTCATGTCTCCTCCGTAACTTGTTTATTTATGAAAATATTCAAATAGGAATTTCACATTCTCATGGCAGTTTTTCAAAGTGATTTCGGAAAAAATATAAAATTTATACCAACTCTTCTAGAATTTGAGATATCAGCACCAACTTTAGTTTTTCAAATGTAGGTCATAGCTCACTATGACTCAGCTACAAATAACTTTTTTTCTCTTACAGATGATATGTCGCAGTAATAGTTTTGTGTTGATAACAACGGAGTTATCGTCATTTATACAAAAACATAAAAATTATTTGGAAGCCGCCATCTTGAATTTACAAATTTCAACAAAAAAATCATGATCTCTGACCTCAAAAACCCCCACCTACCAATTTTGAATGGAATCGGACCAAATCTTGTCCGCCATCTTGGAGCAGCCATTTTTTTCATTTCAACAAAAATTCCATGATGTATTGTCACCGAAATTATGAACACCTGCCAAATTTCAAGTTAATCGGAGTTATGGAATTTTTGATGAAATTAAAAAAAATGGCTGCTCCAAGATGGCGGACAAGATTTGGTCCGATTCCATTCAAAATTGGTAAGTGGGGGTTTTTGAGGTCGGAGATCATGATTTTTTTGTTAAAATGTGAAATTCCTATTTGAATATTTCTATAAATAAAGAAGTTACGGAGGAGACATGAAAATGATCAAAATCTGTTTTTTGCGTATAGAACAAAAACGAATAGATTTTATCAAATTTTTTTTCACATTATAGTTGTCCTTGACAAACTCCACATTTGGTGTCATTTAACCGACCTCGTATCTCTCACCGTTATGAAGATACCCATGGTGAGCATGGTAAGTGGGACACACTGTATACATTTATTTTCTTGATCATTTGTGATTTTCTCTCCTCGTTTATATGAAATGAAAATATGACTTTCATTTCAATATATGTGTATTAGGACAAATCAGATGATTTTCCCCAAAATTTCACTGCGTTTAACAAATTTTTCTATCAGGGAGCTTGAAAGAAAAAAATGCAATAGCTTGTCAGTGGCACTTTGTTTGGACAAATGTTTGAAGAGAAGAAATATAGATATATTAAAGAAGAATACCGAATTTTTTCTAACCTTTAGACGTTACGGGAACGAATCTGCTTCCGTTCTCAACATGAAATACTAACATAGTTATCTTCAAAAAAGTTGTGTTCATATAGTTTGACACTTCTCAGTGACATACTTGTTAGTGTACAAATAAGTTACAGGATGTTTTCATTAATTGATCTTGAATCTTTCATTTTCGTGTTCAGTTTTCAGTAGTGAATACCATGTTCTATCTATAATATTAACTGAACGGGAAGCAATGCTATCGTGTCCGTTCAGAAGAATGCAAGCGGGTTCCTTGATTTTTCTCTTTTGGTTGTTTTCTTCCTTCCCTATGATTTTGATATTATTCCACAATTCCACTCTGCCATATGTTGTCCATTTTCAGTAAAGAATTGTTCAGTTAGCTTTGATATTTTTTCAAAATATGTAGTTGAAGATGAAAAAAGGGACACTCTGTATACTTGCTAACTATACAGTCATACCAAATGATATCCTACACTTTTGGTCTTCATCGGATTATTTCGGTGATTCATTCTATTTCCAAAATTCATATGAAATACTTGTATGCAAAATTTTATTCTTTCAGAATACTAACTTCTGTATGTATAATCCCAGATATCACAACTTTACTTGAAAAATGACAGCCGACTGTTGAAATATAAGACATTTGAATCGAGTGCTTTAGCAGTACCTCATAAACGACAGTAATAAGGCACTGTCGCATTTATAGTTAGTAGCTCGCGGTCAGATACTTATAAAGTGCTCGAAAAACTCATCCTCCTTGATATGTATTTGAAATTTGTTGCTGCTGTAGCACTTCTGAGTCAATAATTTATTCGCCGGTAATGTGTATTAGTCCAAGAGCCGGCTGCAAATTTCCATCATCATCTGATAACGAAATGATATAGGAATTTTAGGGGTTATATGCCTCGGGGAACACCTCCCTTGGCAATGTGTTCCAGAGCCTCGCTGTTCGTTGGATGAACGAGTCTTTGGAAAGAGATGTTCTGCAGGTCTCCAAAGTGACCACGAAGGGGCCTCAACTCGACGCGTTACTCTCGTGGGGACTGCCAAGGGAGGAACAATTGTTGATATTTCAGAAGAGCATCGTCTATGAAAATATCTATAAAATAGAGCCAGATCGCTAACTTTTCTACGGTGTCCCAGGGAAGTGAGTGACTTTGTGAGCGAGGCATCACCCACGAGACAAATTGCCCTTTTTTGGACAAAATCAAACAGTTTTAGGGTATGTTTGGGTGCTGCACTCCAAATATGGGAACAGTATTCCAGGACAGGTCGGATCTGTGCCTTATAGATCATAAGCAGCTGACTGGAAGTGAAATAGCTCCTGGCCCGAAACAGAAAACCAAGTTTTTGGGATGCACTTTTAACAATTGATCTCACGTGATTTTCTCAAGAATGGTTATTGTTGATAGTAATCCCAAGCATCGAAATGGATGTCTTCAAAGGTATGGTTACTCCTGAGAAGCTTATGTTGGGCACAGTGAGATCGGCTTTTCCAGAGAAAAGGCATGCTTGTGTTTTGTTTGCATTGAAATCTACCAAGTTATTGGATCCCCATTCGAGAATTGTTGCCAAGTCTATTTTTATGTTGTCAGCATTCCTCCCTCGTTCGTTTCTGATTTGCCTGGCTGGTATTAGAGCCCTGGAAGAGAAGACGGTATAGAGGGTACTATCATCCGCGAAGCTGTTCACTGGACATGAAGTTGCTTCCAACAAATCGTTGATATGGAGTTGAAATAGTGTTGGTGCTAGAATTGATCCTTGCGGAACACAAGCATTCATGATAAGAGAGTCAGATGAAACTCCGTCGACCACTACATGGATAGACCTGTTTGAAATAAAACTTGCTAGCAGAGAACATATCTGGGGAGGCAAGCCATAAGATGGAATCTTGGCGAGGAGTCCGTGGTGCCAGACTCGATCGAATGCCTTGGAGATATCAAGTGCCACGGCTAAGGTTCCACCATATTTTTCAATAGATTGCTGATACCAATTGAATGGTAGATTTCAAGAACCTGTCTGTATCTTTCGACGAGGACGAAATATTCACGGAAATATTGACGCTCTGCCACTAACTTAGATCAGTTTGATTCGCGGCACGTTATCACATGACGGAAATATGTCCGGAATAACAGGAGCAAATAAACCGCTGTGCCGTTGATTTAGCTCAGACTAAGGGGTGGCACAGGTAAGTGCAATTTTTTTATCATTTTTCTCAGGATAATGATTGGCATAGATGCCGTTCGATGGACTACAATATTTTTACTATCCTTTTGGACATACAGGGTGTTTCACAGGTGAAGGGAAATATTTCAATGGGAGATAGGGGTCACCAAGGTGGTTCTGAAAATACCATATTTGATAGGTCTTAGAGTCTTCATAACGGAGATATAGGGCGATTTATCGATTCCGAATAATTATTCATTCGTCTATAAGTATTGAACTACCCAGTATATTTTTCTGAAATTTGGTATGAAGCTCATACTTGGGACGTTGAATTCATTCACCTATCGGGCGAAGTGAAAATCCAGGTTCGGCTTCAGGAAAAATTTACATTCATTCGAAATATTGAAATAACACACTGTATGTAATAATTGACAGAGTTCATCGAAGGAATCGTGAAGAGGAGGAAAAACTGAACTGGATTTGATGCTTTTTGTTTTTCCGCCACCAATTCTCATCGTAACAATCATAAACAGAAAGCTGAAAGTATGTCAATTTGAAGAGTATTGAAATTATGAAACGAGTGTCAATTATGATTAATCGATATATTTTAGTAAAAAAATCGCTCGAAAGAACTTATACTAAGTCTCACAGATTTTATAACGGAGATACAGGGTGAATTATCGGTTTTGAATAATTATTCACTCGTCCAAAAGTATAAAACTACCTAGTAACATTTTCTCAAATTCGGTATGTAGCTTACTTGGGACGATTGATTCATTAACCTATCAGGCGGAATGGAAATAATACCAAATAATTATGATTCGATAATTCACCCTGTATCTCTGTTATAAAGACTATGAGACTTTTTCTGAAGCTGAACCTGTATTTCCATTCTGCCTGATAGGTCAATGAATCTATCGTCCCAAGTAAGTTCAATACCAAATTTGAGAAAATATTACTGCAATGGGTAGTTTAATACTTATGGACGAGTGATAATTCACCCTATATCTCTGTTATAAAGACTGTGAGACTTAGTGAGTTCTTTTGAACGATCATTTAACAAGAATATATCAAATAATCATAATTGAAAGTGGTTTCATAATTTCAATACTCTTGAAATTGATATACTTTTAGCTACCTGTTTATGATTGTTACGATGAGAATTGGTGGCGGGAAAACAAAAAGCATCAAATCCAGTTCAGTTTTTCCTCCTCTTCACGATTCCTTTGATGAACTCTGTCAATTATTACATACAGTGTGTTATTTTAATATTTCGAATAAATGTAAATTTTTCCTTAAGCCGAACCTGGATTTTCACTTCGCCCGATAGGTGAATGAATTCGACGTCCCAAGTAAAAGCTCCATACCAAATTTTAGCAAAATATACTGGCTAGTTCAATACTTATAGACGAATGTATAATTATTCGAAATCGATAAATCGCCCTGTATATCTCCGTTATGAAGACTCTAAGACCTATCAAATATGGTATTTTCAGAACCACCTTGGTGACCCCTATGTACCATCGAAATATTTTCCTTCATCTGTGGAACACCCTGTATATCATTTCGTTATCAGATGACGGTAGAAATCTGCAGCTGATGGCTCTCTCCTACTATATAAGGGCCGGCTGGCGGCCGCCTGGACGCCAAAAAAGTACAGTCGTCTTCAGCAAACATGTCGTGGTTGGACGGTAAGAGCACTCTTATTGCAGCAGTGATCAAGGGAGCTGACAGTGTCCATGTGCGACATGATCTCTGAAGACGACTGTACATGAACTGCCGAGAGAGGTGTGCATTACAAATGCTGGTCGATGGTTGGTGTTATCTGGGATAATTATTATTGATACAGGGTGTGATATGAATAATTAATTATATATCAAATGTGAACACGATCTAATCTACATTTTCTGATACAGTGTCTGGTACGACATGGCACAACCCAGAAATAACTGTGGAAGTGAAACCCAAATTGGAAGAAATTATGAAAATGATGTTATTAATTTGGTGTCAGAATGACAAGGCTGTTAATATCACTAGTAAATGTAATGGTTTGTATTTTCCGTTTTGCTCTTCTAACCAATCGAATCGCTCAAATCACAATTAACTTAAGAATCAAAAAACTAACTCTGCTTTTTACGAAAGCGCTGAACGGACATGATACTTTTCTTTATAATTGCCAGTTTTAACGGGCATTCAGCTATAATTGCCAGTTTGATCTGGCAATTAGCAAGGTTGGGGATCTAGTCATGTTATCGCCATCTAGTGACGCAAAAAAACTAATGCGAAGGCGAACGATTATTTCGACCAACGCAAAGGGCGAGTGGACTGGCATTCAATTACTCCAATGTGTCGTTAGGGACCTATAGTATATTGCTCAACAAGAAAGGAATGTTAGTGATTTTCCCCGAGAATTGAATTTGCAGCATGAGCCGTAGGCAAATAATGCTGCAATCATTCGAGTGGGAAATTAGCATTCCCTGCGAGTTATACACCATAATATTTCTACGGCTGTGACAGATAACAGCGAAATTCTTGATTTCTTCTTCTTGTAGCCATCTGATTTCCTCTCAAGTAATGGGCATCTATTAGATAGATCTGTCATTGCTTTAACTGTGACATTCCATTTGCGGAGTCCTTTCGTACGAAAGCGCTAAATGCCTGTTCAAACTGGCAATTATGGTCCCGGGGACACCCTACCGAATATTATTGTCAATAAAATGTGCGCCACTGGTTTTTTCAAATTCTATGTTGTTTTACTATTTTGCTGCGTTTTCGTTGAAAAAAATGAATACCAAATCATTGTATATATTTGTGCAAAACATTTCTTCAAAAACATGGGTGAAATTAAATGTGTGATCCATGTCCATAGACGTAGAATGAGAATGAAGATCATTTTCTTCAAATATTAGAATACATAGTTCTCAATATAATAATAATAATGATAATAATAAAATTTATTGAATCCTTCACGATCATAAAAAATGTATTTTCACTCCAGTTTTTGAATGAGTTTTTTGACACAATTTTATGCAATAAATTGATATTTATTTTTTTCCTTGGAAATGAAGCAAATTATCGAAACAATTCAGGAGACTAAAATGTTGTATTTTCAGTTGGTCAATAGGTTATGAAGATACATAATTCAAAAAAATCAGTGGCGCACCTTTTATTGAGAATAATATTCGGTAGCTTGCCCCCCGGGATGCCAGTGGATTTCATGATTCCAATTGAATTATGGCCATATCAGCTCCTCATGACAAAAAATATCATTGACAAATTTCGAAAAAATCGATGGATGGATATTTGAGATATTCATAAAAAACCGATCTCTTTTAAAATGTTTTAACACTCTGTATGTTGGAAACTATGCATTTTCGGACCCACGTACATATAAAATGAATTTCTTATTTCATCATGTACAGGGCTAGTTTTATTAATGTGAACCCTCCTTTATCTTTTTCGTTTCACACTCATTAAAAAAAATTAAAGCTGATTTTAAACAATTTTTCATACAGACTTGACTCATATTATATATTTTTTTTCAAATGGAATGCGCCGTATATTTTTATTGATTGGGATTCCCCAATTCATCCTGATATCAAATAAATGATATGAGCAGGGACTCATATCAAAATATACAGTGCATTCCAATTAAAAAGTATATATTTTCTCTGATTCCCTGTATATTTGAAGAGATATTGCAACACTGTCACTATGATTGGAACCTATATGAAGAATAATTGTATAAAATCTTCATCAATGTTTTTTTGATGGGTGGAAAACAAAAAAGAATAAGAGGGGTTCACATTAATAAAACTAGCCCTGTACAATCAAACCCTTGATTTTTTGCGCATAATTTCCGGACACCTTGTATTGTATGGCTTCAATTCTGTGGAATACTTATTGCCCGAGCTTGGAGCAGTTGGTCTCACAAACATTTTTCATTTCAGATTGCGATAAAATCGTCGTGGTTCACCGAGAATCCGGGGAGTTTGGCTTCCGGATACACGGATCAAAGCCGGTGGTCGTGTCAGCCATCGAGCCTGGCACTCCGGCAGAATCCTCCGGGCTGGAGGTCGGTGATATAGTACTAATGGTGAATGGGGTCAGCGTGCTTGACAAGAACCACTCGGAAATCGTGAAAATCGCTCATGCTGGCAGCGACACTCTGGAGATGGAGGTTAGTTGGTAAAGAATTACCGGAATAAAGAATTTCCAATGCGTTCTGACGATGGTTACTGTAGTCAGTCGACCAGCACATAAGATAGTTGTACAGTGTCCTTGAACAGGTTTCATCATTGAAGATGAAAAAAACATCGAATTCAGAAGTTGTAGGGTTTATTCTGATCCTCCAGAAAATAGTACTAGGTGAAACAAATGAATATCGCTTTTCTATTTTCATTCCTTAACTTCAACGAATATAGAATATACACTGAGAAAAAAATCGAATAGCGGTTATTGAAAATTGAATAACCTTCATAAAAAAATTGAATTAAATAGGGGACACCTAGCTGCCTTATGAAGGCTATTCAATTCATTTTGCTATGACGACCCAATAACAGTTACTAGATAATTTAATGAAGCATGACATGAAGGCTACACCGTGAACGAATTACGGTCATTCATCAATGTGTATTACTATAATTAAAGAGTATAATCGCTGTTATTATCCGGAACCTATAACAGGCATCAAACCCCTGTATCGAAATAATTAATGACTCTAGTTATTTCAAGTTGATAATCGAATATTTTTTTCCAAATAATTTTCCAGAATAGAAAAAAATCTATTTAGCACTCTCCATTTTTGGAGCTCTGTCAGTGAGAATTACATCCACATAAAAATCTTTCGAAATACTCTTGGAAACGGAGTAGAGAAAATAATATGTTGTATGTTTCAAGTTCTTTAATGGGTGAAAAATAGTGTATTCTCAACATATTATTTTCTCTACTTCGTTTCCAAGAGTATTTCGTAAGATTTTTATGTGGATGTTATTCTCTACGGTTGATAGTTATGATCCTGAGTTGTGATCGAGTGAGGTTTTGAAAAACTGATGGTTAGAAGTGTGCAAAAACTGGCATTGACCGCGACATTTAGGAGTGATATTCTGATTTGTAATGTTGGAGTTATTTAATTTTCAATCACTTATCTTAACTTAAGGCATATTCAATTTTTTTGTTCATTATTAAAGTTCAATATTCTCATTTCCTACCATCTACAGAGTTTAGTTCAGGGCAGTTCTTCTTCAACTTCATGACAGCATTTATATTTTTGTTGCACCAATTTATCTTTGCCTATACGCTAGGTATAGGTGAGATCGATAATCAAATAATTCTTCATCAAATGATTACATAAAATAAATAGAAAAAAAGATCTTTTTGCATAAAACCTCTGTATTGAAATGATTAATTACTCTAGTTGATTTAAGTTGATAATCGAATATTTTTTTACCAAATCATTGTCCAGAATAGAAAGAATCTATTTGGCACATTCAATTTCCGAAGCTTATATTCAGTGGAAAGTTCATCATGAGGAAAAAAATAATCGGAAATGAATTATTGAAATAGTGAAATTTTTCAAACATTAATGTCCGAAAAATTTCTGCCCTGAACTAAACTCTGTAGATGGTAGGAAATGAGAAAATTGAACTTTAGAAAAAACAAGTTCAATAATAATGAACAAAAAAAAATTAAATATGCCTTACGTTAAGATAAGTGGTTGAAAATGAAATAACTCCAACATTTCAAATCAAAATATCACTCCTAAATGTCTCGGTCAATCCCAGTTTTTGCACACTTCTAACCATCAGTTTTTCAAAACCTCACTCGATCACAATTCAGAATCATAACTATCAACCGTATTTGACCAAGGAAATGCACGAAGCACGAGTTTACCGACCGACTAGGCCGACCTAAGTCTGATAACTGACGAAGGGGTGTGTCAATGTGTCGGAAAAATTCTTGTTCGTATGTATACTCGAGGACATTCGTCAACGATCGTCATTAAATTTTCCCATGATGGTAATACGATAACAAGTAATGGTAATATGATTAAAATTCACTCGTCTGCGTTAATTATCATAGGTTTAGACATTAATTGTCATCACAAGAAGTCCAATGAAGTTGATTGAAGTACCCCCAATAAAACGTCTCTAGTTATGGTAATTAGTCCTTGGTGCTATTTTTATACGTAACATGAGTGAATATGATTAGAAATTGAATTACAGTCATTAACTCAGACATAACAAGAAAATTTAATGAGTGCTTTTTCCTCAGTGTAGAAGCTGTTTAAATATACGGAATGACACTGTACATACCATACAGACAGAATCCTTTGCTTGGTTGCTAAAATCCGAATTTTATTTTGAAGGTTGCTAGGACTTGTTATGCCCTAGAGGACCCCCCTACGGAAAGTGACTGTGCAAAAACCTTGCACTCTGGATACATGTGGAAAATGAACGGTTTCGCTAGTGGGAAAATGACGGACAAATGGATACGAAGATGGTTCTGTCTGAAAGACAACAGCTGTCTATACTGTTACAAAACCGAAACGGTGAGTACCTTCCCATGTGAAATACTTCTACCACTTTAATAATTCTTTCATTGCATATTAATGTGTATCTATAAGTATACCTAGATTTTTTGCTTCATTTTCTATTGTACAATATCCATAGCTCCTTTAGCTCCTAGGAAATAAAGTTCAACTTTACCTCCTAGGAACTAAATGTGTTGCCTAGCAACATACCTATTTTTGTGTCAGTAATATAAACGTAAATTCAAGAGCTAATTTTAGTATAAAAATGGATGACTTTTCTGTCGATTGCAGAAAAAAAGACACTATTTAATAAAATATTTCAAGGACGAAACGTTCTGATATTGACGGTGCTTATATGTAATGATTTATAATGTGTATTTCAACCTGATTATTTATATGTCTTCTTTTACCAGTGTTTGTCAATGAGGTCCTGTTTCTTAGATAATAAACACATACTCTCTATCTCTCTCTTAAAAAGCTGCTCGCTGGTGCTAACATCCACATCTAAAAGTGCGCCAGTGCTCTCACAGATTCACTACTAACGCATAATTGTTCTTTGGCAGGATAAACACCCAGTGGACGTCGTCATGTTGGTGGATCAGCAGACCAGAGTGCTGACCGACGAAGACAACGTCTCTAAGTGGAACGGCTTCTCCATCCAACGTCCAGACGGTTTCCCGCTGTATTTGGCAGCCGACAGCAGCGAAGCGCGCGACCTATGGATAGGCCTGATCGACAGAGCTCTGAGCCACAAGGAAGTCGAAGACCGCTTCTTGGAGACGTCGAAGAGGAACTTGACCTTGGCTCCGAGCTGCGTGGCTGACCCGGATTGCTTCGGGTATCTGGGGAAGTTCGGCACGCAGTGGAAGTCGTGGAGCAAGCGGTATTGCGTGCTGAAGGATGCCTGCCTCTACTTTTACCAAGACGCTAATGCCAAGAGAGCTTTCGGTGAGTCTTTTCACCATAAACGGTATAAACTGAAAGTCGTCCGTGGACCGAGAGCGAATAATATAATGCGGTGGACCTAAACAGTGTACTTTCTCGCTCTTGCTGACAATATTTATTCATCGTTTAGGTATTCATTGTTTGATCTCATAACCATAAGATCATGCGCATATGAATCGGATAAACCACCTGACTGTTGCAAAAATCCCGCTAAAATGTTGATGGAAATCCATGCAACTGTTGTAACCTTCAATCTCATACAACTGTTCGGAGGTTGTGACCGAAGCAAAATGCACAATTTCAATCTGCTTCGCGGGTATATTGTTCTTTGTTTCAATTTGATGGGAAACAAAAAATATTGAGGAATTTTTGAGATTCTTGAGCGAAATAGGAGTTATATAGCCCCTTCCAATTTTGACATTCTGACAGACTGACACACATTCTACCATCCATTTTTCCATCGGTTCCAGGGCAAGTTTACCAATATCTATTCAAGACCTATTTTAGTAGGGGGGGGGGCAAAGAGGCTCAATAGGGATTTACTCGAGCGTCGTGGGGACGTATCATATTGTGAAGATTAGATGCGAAAATGAAAAAAAGTTCATATGATATATGACCTTTCACTGGTGGGGAGAGTCTGTACAGGTGTTCAAAATCTGGCGGTTTTTTTTGTTAACTGAATGTAAAATTTGTGAAATTTGTATATCGCTACTTCAAAGTTGGGAACCAACTCCCCAGAAGTCGAAACTTGTGCGGGGTTAGGAAGAGCGGGACCTACAGCTTATAGTGGAATCCGAACCACTTCTAGGGCATCGAGGTGCTGCCAGGAATGCAACCATGAATCACACATTTTAAAGAAAAATGCTCAGCCGATAGCCGGATTCGAACCGACAGTATACCTCTGCATCGTGAACGACTATCTAGCGAATTTCAGCGCATAGACAAACTCGGCCACGGAGCCCATAACTAAAATACAAAATATACAGAGTCGTGGGTCAATAACAGAACTTCAACAACTCGGAGAAATCACAATTTTGAGATCGATGGCTCATGTAGACATACAGGGTGGCAAAGTGAGCTAACGGCTTTGCTGTTTGAGTCTTGAGATAGATGAACAAAAATGCTTGAGATGGTCTAGTCTCATGAGCAGTACATTTCTGGAATATTTTGCGTTATTCAGGGTTACTCAAAAATGCGTGGCGTATCAAAGTTATACTTTCTCTTATAGCACACCTTGTATTTTACTGCATTTTCAGACCCCTCGTTATGACAAGGTTCAAGCATTGATAACAATATACGAAGTGATACTTTTTCAGTTTCCTACGTTACCACAATTATATACATAGTTCCCAGTGGTTGCAAGCACCACACTTAATTGATGATTTTCGGTACTTGAGCTTGTGCAAATCGGCAGATTATGTTATTTCAGTATTCCGTGATTAATTGCCTTCAAAATCAGAAAAAATTTAACTGCGCTCGAGAATGTACAGGTGACGATTATTTTTGCAACTTTGAGGTTCTCTCATGCCAAATTATTGAAATGCACACTTTTCTGCATGTAATTAACGTACCGTGTCTTAATCTGACGCACTCGAGTATTTCTGACGATCGATTTTTTTTTTACTAATCTGATCGGCTGCCCCAAACTTTCGACACCATATAAAGGGCCCAGGTATGGTGAGAATACTTCATGATGTCCAAGGATACCCACCTTATGTTAATCTGCCGCGCTCGAGTAAATCCCGAAATCTCCGCTTGGGCTTCCCTACTATTTTTTCCCTGCCCCCAAAAGATTCTTGTTCCCAAACGATCATAAGTTTTTTTTACAGGTGCGGCTTACTTGCATGGATATAAAGTACAACATTACCTATCAGGGGTTAAGAAACACGCATTTGAGATTGTTCCAACAGACCCTGCCAAAAAGCATTTTTATTTCCACACAGATTCTGAAGCAGATAAGAAGATGTGAGTATTCACTATCTATACGTTACTGAGTTAATGAATTGCCAGCTTCAGTTTTCAATTTGTATCTCTGAATTGAACATGATATGTTGTAAAAATTGATATGTTTTCGAAAATCACCCTATATCTATTGAGATGGCTCTGCACGGGCCAAATTTTCGAGGCACGCCCCGCCCTGCGTGTTTATAAAATGGAACCCGTACACTGGTCTTCAGTGAACATTTCGTGGTTGGACGGTACGAGCGTTCTTATTGCAGCGGTGATTTACAGAGCTAACACCGTTTATGTGCGACATGTTCTCTGAAGACGACTGTACAACGACACCGCCTGCGATACGGATCCGCCCGGCCCGTGCAAAGCTCTATCTTGAAAACGAGCACATTGACATTTGTCTCAAACTTTTCACATTTTTCAGGTGGATAGCTGCTATGGAATATTCGATAGATAAATGGTTGAAGATCTAATAATATAAATGTACATGATGCATACTCCATATACATTATGCTAATTTCATTTCAATTCGAGAAAAAGAGATTTTATATATTGAACATGATGTAACTGTAACTGATGATAGGAATACATAAATCTATACATAGTTCAAATTTATATTGTATTTTAGAGTGCCTAATGACTAGCAACTCATTTTTTCCTATGTACTAGCAGAGAATATATTAATATGCAGGATTGAATTTGTTTCATGCCAAGCGTGCGAAATTCTAGCACAGAAAGCTGGTCAGTTTGTTCAAATTTTGGAAAGAAATGTCTCAAATAATTTATTACTTGGGAGTTTAGATTTTTGTGTGAAATAAAAATATTCTTTTTGTTTTGGAGTGTTTTCATTTCTTATATCACCTTTTTTTATGTTCTGGTTCCCACGAAAAGGGATATCCTGTAATGTTCAGAGAACATCGTGAGAACCAAGGGAAATAAGGTAGGAATTGGTGTTCTCCTTGAATTTCTGGAGGTTATATGCCTCGAGGAACACCTCCCTTGGCAATGTGTTCCACAGCCTCGCTGTTCGTTGGATGAACGAGTCTTTGGAAAGAGATGTTCTGCAGGTCTCCAAAGCGACCACGAAGGATTGCGAAGCTTTAACTCGACGGGTTAATCTCGCGGGGACTGCCAAAGGAGGAACAATAATTGTTGATATTTCAGGAGAGCATCGTCCATGATAATATCTATAAAACAGAGCCAGATCGCCAACTTTTCTACGGTGTTCCAGAGAAGTGAGTGAGTTTGTGAGCGAGACAAGTTGCCCTTTTTTGGACAGAATCCAACAGTTTCAGGGTATGTTTGGGTGCTGCCCTCCAAATATGGGAACTGTATTCCAGGACAAGTCGGATCTGTGCCTTATAGATCATAAGCAACTGACTGGAAGTGAAATCGCCTCGCTGACAAACTTACTCACTTCTTTAGAACACCGTAGAAAAGTTGGCGATCTGGCTCTACTTTGTAGATATTTTCATGGACGATGCTCTTCTGAAATATCAACAAGTGTTCCTCCCTTGGCAGTCCCCGCGAGATTAACCCGTCGAGTTGAGGCTTCGCACCCCTTCGTGGTCACTTTGGAGACCTGCAGAACATCTCTTTCCGATGACTCGGTCATCCAACGAACAATTAGGCTCTGGAACACATTGCCAAGTTAGGTGTTCTCCGAGGCATATAACCTCCAGAAATTCAAGGAGAACATCAATTCCTACCTTATTTTCCTTGGTTCTCACGATATTCTCTGAACATTACAGGATATCCCTTCTCGTGGGAATCAGAACATGAAAAAAAAATTAAAATAAACAAAGCTCAAAGTCATTTCCACAAATGTTAATAAATGAAGGAAACTGGTAGCTAACGAGAGAAAAACAACTACTTTCTTGGCTATATGCCATTGAAAATTGAATTACATCATCCCCATATCTATGCAAGGATTCGTATAGACCAATAAGATCACAAGTGTGTCTTTCCTAAATGCTCAGTTATGGTTAAAGTGTTCAGGAACGCTAGACCACCTACAGACCGGTTTCGAACTTTTGGCTCTCATCAGTGCAGGAGTGTCCCAGATGGCTTCATGGCCGCCATCTGGTGCGAACCTGACCCAATGTATACACAGTCCAGCATTTAAAACCCACGAGGCGTTCGGCCACTGCGAGATGGAATTTGATTTGGAGTGTTTCTTTCCTTCTAACCTAGGTGGCGCTCGAGACCAGACAACAAAATTCTCATTGAAATGTTTACTTCAAGAAAAAAGTTGCTTTTGTGTTATTATAAGTGATAATAATGTACAGATTGTACCATAATTGGCGTAGTACATAATCCCTAGGTTCCACGAACGAAAAATAGAGAAAATAGTTTCCCTTGAGAGCCAACTTACACTCACCGGCATAAAAGCCCGGCAAAAAAATTGAACAAAATCGATTGCCCTGTAACTTATTATTCTTTCCGATTTTGGTGGAATTGTAGATTCAAGATTCGAAATATTATCCTGAATTTCAGTTTTCAAGAAAAACTAATGGCTTGATCATTATACAGGAGAAACAAAATTTACTTTCATCCTAACTATTCAACGCGCTGTGGCAAGAGTAAGTAGTTAAACTTAGCTTCATTATGTTTTAGATCGAAGTATGATTTTTTTTCAATACATTGGTTCATGATCCAAAAAATAATATAATTCCGTGTTAGCTCATAATGCTCCTGTCAGATTCAATTCAATTTTGAAATTTATTTTACCAATTTAGTCGAATGGAAAATGGTAACTCAATCAGTTGAAATTGAACCGACAAGGAACAAGTGTGATGTATCGAATGTATTTTTATAATATACACCTAGCACCTAGGCATCCCTCAAATGTGATTTTCAATAATAATTCAGAGTAATATGTTGATACGAAAAAACCTGTATTTCATCAGGAATAAGGAAGTTGACCAAAAGTCCGCATTCAGGTTGAGATTATCGTTTCAAATGACCCTGTATATCTGTAGTATATTTTATGTTCGATCCCACGACCCTGTGTGATTCAGATATCATTATTATTATTATTATTAGTCATAGATAAATACGACGGGAATTAATAGGATCGAAAGGTGACGCAACTAATCAGTCATTCGGAACGAGGTGATGAATCGTGTCAGTCTTATATTAGATGTCATCGCGTTCGGTCTACTTGAAAGTGCTCGTATCAATTCCTAGCAAGAATCTAGTCACTAGTGCATATCGCGAGATAGTATACATGTTTTTTCACAATTGTGTCGGTGTTTTGTGAAGTGTTTGGTGAAGTATTTTGTGGAATGTTTTGTGAAGAGTTTTGTGAAGTGTTTTGTGAATTCATATGTGGACTATATGCAGATTTCATAATGGTGAGTTTTTTAATCTTTACTAACACGTGATAGGCACTTTGCGAGAAAATAAATCGATTTCTCACTCAAAGGAACAAAACTGTATTTAGCAATCCATAATGAAAAGTTTAGTCTTCTCACAAGACCGAATCAGTACTGAATTGAATAATTTTTAGCTCAATTAAATATTCCTGAGGAATCTTCCAGTGTAATTTCATGTTCCTTCCCCCAGGGAGGGAACAAATTTCTGGAAATTTGTTTAGTTACTATGGTAACGATACGAAATACAGACCTTCCCAATTGGTCGAAAATGTGATTCGTGGAAATTTCAATGATAATGATAATGAGAGACGAAAAAACTAGATTTATTAGTCATAGATGAATACTTGTCCGGGAATTGATAGGATAGAAAGGTGACGCAACTAATTTGTCGTTCGGGACGAGGTAGTGGTAGTGAATCGTGTCAGTCTTGTGTTAGATGTCATCGAGTATGGTCCAGTTAAAATGCTCGTATCAGTTTCAAGCAAGAATCCAGTGTATATCGCGTAATAGTATACAGGGTTCTTCACGATGGGCGTTAATTAGAAGTTTCTGGGAAACCAAGCAACTGATGAATATGAAAATCTCATGCATGGTATGTATAAATCGACATAATCTACACGTCTCGAATATTTTCAATAATGCGGTGTTGCCGCGTCTACTAAAAAGTAGATACAACTATGATTTTTCAAATGAAACAACCTGTATTTCATTACATTTTCAAATTTTCTCTCAAACGATTAAAAAGATAAGAGGTGTTCTAAATCGAGATTTTTCAACTTTAGGATTTTTTGTATCGAAACCGAAGTCGAAACTATACATTATTAGTCAACACGGCTTCAATGTCCCTATCTCAACTTTTGATTCCCTATCTAATGTTATTCAATTAGAACAAATCTCGGAACAAATACATATAGTTGTTCATGATTCAGAATTCTGATCACCCTGTATATGTTCTTTAAAACATGAGGTTCTTTATATAAACTCGCTACAGGGTTTCACCTGGAACTGTGAACAATTTTTGAATTTATTTACCTTGAGACATTTTTCGAATTGTCTTATTATCCCTTTTAGCTACAGAGTGATATCGTTGAATCAACTTTTTGCAGTCATAACTTTTTACCTTCCTTACCTTTGAAAGTCTCTGGCTCATGTTGAAGATGAAACTTCAGATGAAAAGATATGAAGATCAGAATTGACTCAAGATGAAAATTGCACAGTGTGTCTCACTTTTAATGGGAGCATCCCTGTATATCTTTCGTATTTGTTTAGTTAGGATTCTGAAATTTGCAGGTACGGTAGATATTATACTGGAGGTACAGACTGTGACCAAGTGGAGTCATCTTCAGTGATATACACTGCTTGCTAACAGCCATGGAACCATCCACAAAAATGAAATAGGCGAGTTGACTATTTTTTTTTTATTTCTTAAATAGAATCATCACTCAAATAACTTTCAATTTCATATATTCTCATAATTTTTCATTCGATTTCGAGGTGCTGAGATCAACAATAATGTCACGGTAATTTTCAAACGGCTAAAAATTTACCGCGAGTAAAAACTGAGATTACGATTTTCTAAGTAGGGACAGGCAGACTGCAGTTATTCAATAATTCATAAATTCTCAATTTTGTTTTGGTTATATTCCTAATTAGACATGAAAATCAATTATCTCAAGATATTCCCTCATCTGTTGTGGCTTATTTTTTATAATACGATTGTGTTAATATTGATATGATTATATTAATTCACACTAGAAGGTATTTGAGGTTAAACGTGACAACCCGGCGCACGAATTGTGGGCGGTGCCTGGTTAGTTCTCAGCATTCAGCACATTGTTGCCAAGTCTTCAACATCAATATGATATTTTGTTATAGGGTAAAAGAGATATAGACATGCTGGTTTCTCGAAAAAGTCGAGAATGATCTATAATATCATGTATTACTCTTATTATGTTTCATATCGTGTTTTATCCAACGGCAGAACTCTAATCTTTATGATAAATTGATTATAATTGGTGACTTGGCAACGATGCTTCATGAGTGGAAATGAAAGATGTTTTTGCCGTATTCCAGTAACATTGCAGAGAAAGGTGTTGTTTATCTGCCTGCCTCGTCTCCATTGAGATAGTTGATGAATTGACGAATTACAAAAATATATCGCGTTCCAGTTACGAATGTTGAAAATATTATTCAGGTATGTTTCAAATTCAACATCCATGTTTCGCCTCTCATGAAAATCATCAGTATTATTTCTATGGACTTCGAAATTAGATGTCATATGTTTGCAGATTTGCAGATCTGAGGAGCAAAGTGTTGATACTTGTCACTGAATCTGAGAAAACCATCCAGTCACGACGAATCGCATAAAGAATCCGCAAAGAAAAATGGCCAGAGAATACTTTACAGAATTCAGATCCTTATATTCATACGGAAAGCGATATATTGATATCCTTTTACAGATTCTCAAGAACAGATAAGACAGATATTGTTTATTTGCCTGTCTCGTCTTCATTGAGATAGTTGATGAATTGATGAATCACAAAAATATATCGCGTTCTAGTCTAGTTCTGAATGTTGAAGACAATATTCAGACTTTTCATAGATTCATATTCTATGTAGGTTTCACGATTCAAAGTTGAAATTGATACCTAGTTTCAGATCTGAGCAGCACATTGTTTGGCCTCCAAGGTCCTTGGTATAACTCACATAATTGAACATGTGGAAGATGCCTACTGGAAAAATCACTATACGAAAATAAAGCGGATATGTAGCAATCTATTAACGGACGTTGAAAATATTATTCAGGTATGTCTCAGATTCAACATCTATGTATTTCCTCTAATGATATTTTCTGATTCAAATGTACTTCGATTCTAATGTGATGTTTAGTTGCAGATCCAAGAAGCAGTGTTTGATACTTGCCACTCAATCGGAAAAAACCATTCAGTAAATACGGACCGAACAGAAGATCTGCAAAGAGAACTGACCAGAGTATACTTTACAGAATTCAGATTATATTCGTACGGAAGGCGATATATTGATCACCTTCCCAGATTCTCAAGCAGACAGATAGACAGATATTCAGCTTTATGTCTCTATGGAAACACGACAGGTACCCTTACGAGGGGAGAGTATCAACTCGGTGTTCATAAACCCTCTCTGCAAAGGAGGTAGACGCATGGTGGGTTAGGTATATACAGTGTTCTTCATTGCAGAGAAAATTGTTGTTTATCTGCCTGCCTCGTCTTCATTGAGACAGTTGATGAATTATAAAAATATATCGCGTTTCAGTTACGAATGTTGAAAACAATATCCAAACTTTTCATGGATTTATATTGTATGTAGGTCTCATGATTCAACTTTGAAATTGATATTTAGTTTCAGATCCGAGCAGCATATTGTTTGGCCTCCAAAGTCCTCAATATTACTTACGCAATTGAAATTGTGAAAGATACCACTATTTGGAAAGAAAGCGGATATGTAGCAATCCAGTTACAAACGTTGGAAATATTATTCAGGAATGTCTCAGACTCATCATCCATGTACTTCATCTAATGATATGTATTTTCTGATTTGAATGTACTTCGATTAAAATATGTGATGTTTAGTTGCAGATCCGAATAGCAGTGTTTGATACTTGCCACTCAATCGGAGAAAATCACCCAGTCAAGACGAACCGAACAGAAGATCCGCAAAGAGACCTGACCAGAGTATACTTTACAGAATTCAGATCATTATATTCGTACGGAAGGCAATATATTGATATCCTTTCCAGATTCTCAAGGAAACAGATTAGACAGATATTCACCTTTATGTCTCTATGGAAACACGACAGGTACCCTTACGAGGGGAGAGTATCAACTCGGCGTTTATAAACCCTCTCTGCAAAGGAGGTAGGCGCATGGTGGGTTAGGTATATACAGTGTTCTTCATCGCAGAGAAAATTGCTGTTTATCTGCCTATCTCGTCTTCATTGAGATAGTTGATGAATTGATGAATTACAAAAATATATCGCGTTCCAGTTACAAATGTTGAAAACAATAGCCAATATTCTATGTAGGTCTCACGATTCAAATCAGAAATTGATCCTTAGTTTTAGATCCGAGCAGCACATCGTTTGGCCTTCAAGTTCCTTAATATAACCACAGGATGTATACTGTGATATAACCCACGTACGTAATTGAAAATGTGGAAGATGCCTACTGGGAAAAACACTATTCGGAAAGAAAGCGGTTATATATCCGTCCAGTTACGGACGTTGAATATATCATTCAGGTATGTCTCAGATTCGACATCCATGTAATTCATCTGATGATATTTATTTTGTGATATGAATGTACTTCGATTGATATATGTGATGTTCTGTTGCAGATCAGAGAAGCAGTATTTGATACTTGCCACTCAATCGGAGAAAACCATCCAGTCCAAACGAACCGAACAGAAGATTCTCAAAGTGAACTGACCAGAGCATACTTATGGTGACTAGTTACCTATGTTATATACTTGGTATATCTCACTTGGTATATTATGATTATTATGATTTGATAGTCTGACATTGATGTGACATTTTTATAATATAATTACAATTCAAAGTCTTATAATTTGTATCAATTGTAACCACAAACAAAACAAACCCTGGTATACAGTCTAAGAACAGTCTCTTTTGGTGGAATATATTAAGCTTTTAGTACAAATTATATGTTCTCTACCTCGCAAAGATTATGCTGGAGTAGTAAACTCTTAAGGGCACCGTACATTATGCTTTTTACCAGCAAGTTCCATGCAATGCAATTTTGAATCGAACAATGCGCATGCGTCTATGATATTTCACGGCAAGTTTCATGCAAGTTTCGTAATAGAACCAGTCCTATTTTTCCTGCAACTTCAAGGCAAGTTTAGTAAAATTTTAGTAATATTCATCGTAGCATCTTGATAAAATACAAATTTCCTCCATAACGTGACCTCTGAAACACCAAATAGCCTCAAAAAGTACATTGAAGGCTCAAAAAAACCTGAAAATAGTGAATATAAACAAGAAAATATGACAGAAATATCTCAATGTACGGCGACTCGCAATAAATTGAGAAAATTGAGAGAAAATTGAATTGCCTCAAACTTGCCGAGAAATGCATAATGTACGGCGCCCTTCAGACTAGAAGATTGTTCAAAACTTATAAACATCTCAGTTCAACTATAATATCTTGGTATAGTTGAATCAGGAATTCCATATGGAAATTACGTATGATACGCCAATGACCTTAATATAACCTAAAAAGGGACCCTAGTGTCGCCAAAGCCAAAATCGCAGTCTTGGAGCCACCATACTTTTCACGATACTTTCGTGAGCACTCGCTCGAGTTGCTCGTCAGTTTCTTTTTGATTGTGGTCACAAAACGACAGAACCAAGGCTATCGACAGAACGACTTCTCACTTCTGTCAGCTGTCTTCTGTTTTATCTTGCTTGTTCGATGATTGGTTTGATGTTGATCGTTGGTGACGTATTTTAAAATGGCCGGTGATAAAAATATCGTATATTAGCGTTGTTTGATGTTTGGTAATCACTAATCAGCAATTTCTATATATTTTACAAAATTATCGTCAATGTGGTCAGTTGTACTAATATCATAGTGTTTTACAGTGTTTTCTAGCAATTGGAGCAAATAGTTGATGTTTCAGTAATTTTGGTAGGTAGCTGTAGATTCCACTCTTCAGGTAAATAATTCAGGAAATCATGTTCATAACAGACTTGGGATGTTTCACATATATATTTTAGGAGTCCATAACTATGGACCCAAATAATACAAACCCAGGAGAGGAAAATGGAATTCAGATTGAGGGACTAGAGAATCAGCAAAGTATTCCACAGCAGAGTCAAACTGATTTCACTGAAGATAATACTTTGGCTGGTTCAGAAACCACTTCTCAGGATTTTCAACTGAGTGGGGATTCATATAGCACTGAACAAAACAACGTCCCTATGTATATTGCACCTATTCCACCAAACACCTCCAATTTAGCCTTGGAGCCAGAAGGTAATGAACATTTAGATAACATTCCTGGTGAACCTTATTATCACATTGAAGAGAATAAGCAGGAGGGGGAGCTTACAAAGTCACATGTTGATGAAAAATTAGTGGATAGTAATGTTGTGTCTGAGGAAAATAATCAAAATAATGGTGGACATGTGACTGTTGGTATGGAACAACAATATGTGCAATCTACTGATGATACATTGAATGAGGATTATGTGCAAAGGGAAGATGAAAATTTTGAGTCTCAGTATGAATCTGAGAATAAAGAAAGTGCTAATAATAGTCATAGCGAAATATCTGAACAAGATGTCTCTTCTATAAAAGTGGAAGATAACCTTGCTGTTGATGTTATTGAAGAAGATAATACCACAGAAGTCATGACTGCACAGCCTGAAAAATCAGTTGCAAAGCCAACAGATGAATCTCTTACTTCTGAAGAAGCAGCTATTGAAAATCAAGGTGAAGAGAGATCAGTCTCACAGATCAAACAAGAATTATCTGCTATGGAAGTAGAAAAATCTAAAAATGTTGATATTCAAGATGCTGAACCAACAAAGCACAATGAAAAACCAACTGAATCTGTTGAGATGGTGGAACTGCAGTCAGAAGTGCAGATTCATCAAGACTCCACAGTTTCAGACACAGTGAAAACCAAGGAGAAAACTTCTGAAATGAGTGTAAATCCATTGGTTGAGGTGGCCTCAGAGGAAATTGAAGCAGTACATGTCATAGAAGATGAGCCTGATATGCCTGAGCTTGAACAAGGTAAAAACTAAACAGCTCCGTTTGAATTAGTGATTCTATTTCAATCTTTCTGAATGTTGAGGATTTACAAATTGAAATTGAAAATCATACTCACATTTACACTATTTGTTGGACTGTAACTGTGAAGTAACATATTTTGTTTTGATGAAAATATTTGTATTCTTAGGCATTGATGAAATGTTAGAAAACCAAGAAAAGTTAAATATTGCTGATGGTTATTTGAATATCAGTCTTACAACTCAATCAGCCTCCTCACATCTATAATAATATAATAATAAATTTATTCATCTTGATCATACATATAGTTGATATAAGACATGTCAGGGGTAAAACAAAAAATATATATAAAACTGCTAGTATAATCATTACAAAAAATACATTAGCACATAAAATCAGTGAGTATGTTACACATACTTCTCTGCTAAAAATTTTTTGAGACATCTTTTAAAAAGATTATGATCTTTGATTTTCTTTAAGGATGATGGGAGATGATTGAAAAAACTTATTCCATTATAGTGTGGGCTGAGCTGATAGAGAGATGTTGAGAATTTATCACCATATCTTGTAGAGTAATTATGGAAGTCATGGTTTTCAGAGAATTCTGATGAATTGGTTTTTGCATATAAAATGCAGTTGTAGATATATATCAACGGCAATGTTAAAATTTCATGCTGTTTAAAATGTTCCCTACAGGTTTGCTTGAAATTTAGATTGAAAATCAATCTGATAATTCGTTTCTGTGCTATAAAAACTATTTTCACATTTGGTACTTTATCCCACAGAACAATATTATATGATAGATGGGAGTATACAAGTGGATAGTAGACCAGGAGAAGTTGTTTGATATTGAATACAGTCTTCAGTTGTAGTATAGCATAGTATGTACAGTTCATTTTTTTACCAAACAAAGTCAATTTTTGGGGCCCAACTTACAGCATTACACCTAGAAATTTCATTACAAAGGATGGAGGGATATCCTCTCTTTCTACTTTCACAGTGAAGTTATTTGTTAATTTGTTCCTTGAAGAGAACTGCATGACCACAGTCTTAGTAGAGTTTACATATTATGTAAAAATTATGTTATATGATATTCCAATTTTCATTTGATTTTTAATTGAATTATTAAACAGTGTTACCAACCACTTCAAATATCTCTGTTTTTGTTGTTTTATTTGAGCATATTTTTTCTTTAAATGAATAAAATTTGGTACAATTCAATTCAGTTGAAAAATAATAATGATTGATTAATGATTTCACCAGCAGTGATATAGTGTATCCATTTAACCTGTTCAATAATTTGATTTAGCTAAATGGACTATTGTTTATTTATTGCTGGTAATGTTTCTCCATTCCCAATCATCTTCTATCTTCTACTAAAGACCATGTATTCAGAACCAGAAAGTGTACCAAATATATAGGAAACAAAAAAATCCACATGAAACAATTCAATATCTTATGATGAGTTATTATTTGGTGCAATGTGAAATGACATGAGGGTTCAGAATATCTATCTATTTTTATCAAGGATTAAACAAATAACCAAGTTGCTGTGTTTCTTGCATTTTCAATATGTTCGCACCAGAATTCCAAAACTGCTGTTTGAAGAAATTTCTGGGAGTTTTGGATGCATTCTCACAGATCAATTTTCCCCTACACATGTGAGTAAAGAAATTTCAAAGAGCTGTGAACAATTTTCAAGAATTTTGGAGAACTTTGAAGAATTTTCACAGATGAATTTTCTGTTCACTTTGTGGGAAATGAACAAATGAGGATTCATAAGGAGTTTCAGGAAATCAATGGGAACTATTGAAGACTTTCTGTCACACACTTTGTAGAAAATGTCTGGGAAATTGCAAATTTTTTTTCAAGGTGATTCATACATAGAGAAAGCAGGGTCGGCATGAATTAATTTATATGGATTAAATCAGTGATTTAATTCCATTGACTTTTTTCGAAAAAGTCATGAATTCATTCAAATTTTCAAAAATGAGACAAATTGCACTTTTTTCGAAAAAGTCATGAATTCATTCAAATTTTCAAAATTGAGACAAATTGCACTATTACCATTGATTTTAACTAGTTTAAACTGAAAAATTCGATCATATTTTGGCAAGACTTTATCAGTATCAAGTATCATCCATAAAATCGAGATTTTTCAACTTTAGGATTTTTTTTGTGACGAAACTATTCATTATCGGGCGAAACGGATTTCATGTCCGTATCTCAACTTTTGATTCACTATCTACTGACATTTAATAATTGGAACAGATACAGGGTGATCATAATTTTGAATCTTGAACCACCCTGTAAATGTTTCAATTAAATGTCAGTAGATAGTAAATCAAAAGTTGAAATAGGGACATAGAAGCCGTTTTGACCAATAATGAATAGTTTTGACACAAAAAAATCCTAAAGTTGAAAAATCTCGATTTTGAAACGAGTTTTGAACCCCCTATATCTCTGTAATCATTCCCGCTAGACCCCAAGTGTGATGTATTGATAAAATCAGCCCTTCAGGGAGATTCTAAAAATACAATGAAATACAGGGTGTTCCATTTGAAAAAATCAAGTAGTACTCTGTAGATCGTTTGTTCCGAGCACCCTGTATTTTCTGATGCAACGGACAAAAAAATTTCTGAAAAATTATTTTAGATTATTCTTCAAATTTTCAAATCGGTTCAAAAATAAGTGAGCTAGAGGGGGGGGGACATTCATGGTGATTCACCCTGTACATTGTTTTTAAAAAATTATCATGGGTTCTGCTAACTCAACATTATGTTAGCAAAACCCATGAGTTTTTCAGCAATGGGTTAGGATTGGAACCTTAATTTAGCCTTGATGGTGGTATAATCAGTTTTGTTATTGAATTTTTCATAAGCCTTAAATTATGGTATAATTGATTGGTTGTCATGTTCATGTTGGATTTGTGGAAATTATTTCAAAAAGTCAAAAAAATCTATTAAAGACTCAATAAAGATCCTTGAAATAGCCTTAATTAGCAAATGATAGCAAAAAAATCGGCAGTAAATCTCATGATTTTCATCAAAAAAGTTCATCATTTCAGATATTTTTAAAATCCACATGGTGATACGTTTTTGAGGGTAGAGGCTGCTTTATTTCCTCCAAACTTTTTTGTAGTTCGCCTTTGACATTTTCCTGTTACCAAAAAGGGTGGATTGTTGAATTCAAAGGCTTTATCTGCATCTCAATAACATGTTAATTTTACCTATTATTATTTGCTTTTGCCATTTTTTTCTCATTTAAAATGGGACGCCCGGTATATTCTAACTTATTACGATAGAGAATCACATTGTTAGTACAATGACACCCCTTTTGCCATTAAACCTGCAGTGGTGACCTGCGGTCTCTCAGACAACATACCAATGGCACTGATAAAAAGACATAGTATTGCTCTGAAGAAACCACTTGCCTATTTATTCAACTTCTCACTCAACTGGTATATTTCCAGATTTATACAAGAAATCTATCATTCCACTCTTCAAAAAGGGAGAAAAGACAGATACAAATAATTACATCGGAATCTCACTGCTTTAAAATTTCTCAAAATTACTGGAATGGATTGTGAACAGAAGAATAACATCATATTTGAGCGCACAAAACATTCTCACAGATTCACAATTCGGATTCAGGAAAAACATGAATACCACTGATGCTACATTTCAAATGATAAAAAAAATTCCTGAAATTTTAGAATCAAAACACTTGGAATATTTTGCGACCTCTCTAAGGCTTAGAATACTATGGAATCTGAGGTCTCGCTAAAGATTGGTTCAAATCATATCTATCGCGGCGAATGATGTGTGTCAGAGTGAAATATGAAATATCAGGAAACGTATCTAACCAAGATTCAGAATATACTCATATACAGGCAGGAGTCCCACAAGGTTCAGTGTTGGGTCCTACATTATTTCTGATCTATGTGTATGACATTGTTTGTAACTTTCCTTCAGTTACCTTCACACTGATTGCTGATGACACTAGTATACTAGTTACGGAAAAAAATTCGGACCTGATCACTACTTCGTCAGTAGGGATAATGGAGGGAGTGTCAGACTGGTTTCTATCGAATAAATTGTCTCTCAATTATTCTAAATCGAATAATATACTATTCAGCCTTTACAATGATATCGATGACGTCACTATTCACCTCAATCAAAACTCTATCAATTCTGTGAACTCAACTAAATTCCTAGGAATAAACATAGATTGCAAGTTGAACTGGTTGGATCATTCCTCTGCACTTCAATCTAAATTGAGTAGGCCAATTTGCGCTCTGCGTACTATTAAGAGAAATACCAACCTTGCGACCACAAAATTAGTATACTCTGCTTATTTCCACAGTATCATGCAATATGGTATAGAATTTTGGGGTACATCTATACACCGTGTCCCAGCTAAAATGTCCCCCCTGTAAAAAATCAACCGCGCGATCGAATGACTTGAAATTTGGTCACCCAGTATATTTGATGATGTTCACTCGAAATATGCTATTGAATAAATCGTAGGTATACAGGGTCACACCGAAGTGCACCTCAACTTTCTTATTTGAATAGGGACACCCAGTATATTATTCCATATTCAAGTGGAGTTTATTATTACAATTTCAACAATGCCGGGTTTGATGGGATTTTTTCAAACGACTACGAAGATATGGCAAAAAATAAAACGATTCAATGAAAAATGTATATGATTAGATTTTATTGATATAACACGATTTAAATCGAATGAAAAGAAAATAATTAAAACAAGTGAGCTAAAGGGGGAGACATCTATGGTGAATCACCCTGTACATATTCTACTACTAATTTAATTATGACCGAAGAAAAAATCCAAAGTGGTTCTGCTAGCTCAATAGAGGCCTAGCTTAATGGAGCCGCTTCTCTTTCTCTGTTGCAAGAACCCATAGACAGACCGGCGCGTCGCGGCCGCCGCTCCCACGAGGTGCCCATGCACCTGTTGGGCCACGACATGGCCCGGCCGGTGGACAGCGTGCCCAACGGCCGCTCCATGCCCAAGCCCAGGTTGGGCGTCAAGGTGCCCTACAGGAACCTGGCCAGCCAGATCGTGTCCAAAGAGGAGCTGGAGAAGGAGATACTCGAAAGGTAACATCAGAAAGACACCGCGATTCATTCATGAATCATTAAAAACAATCCTAAACGCCGAACACGGATAGAGGAATGAAGTCGCGAATGGTGGGGATAATAACAGACTAAATAACAGAAGATTGACACCGAGATTCATTCATAAATCATTGAAAACTAAACGTTTACAATCCTGAAAGCGAAACACGGATAAATGAAAAGTATACGTTGACAATCCTCAACGTGGATAATACCAGGCTAAATAACAATAGACACCGCGATTCATTCATAGACCATTAAAAAGTATTCGTTTACAATTGTGAACGCCGAACACGAATAAATGAACGAAATCGCGAATGGTGGGGATAATAACAGATTAAATAACAATAGATAGACACCGCGATTCTCAACATTTCTGTTCAGCTCATGATTCAGTTTGGATGCAAATGATGTAAAACTGATGAAAAAGCAATTGATTCTACATGATGTAAAGGAGCTGTGCCAATGTCACTTGAATCCATTGCTTCATCGCCACTAGGAAGTGTAGCAAACCACTTGAGAGAAACTGCTCTTTTGTCTTCAAATTTTTTTTTTCATGAAATCGAAATGTAAAATTGCAAGAAAACATGAATATATAGTTTATGCAATGTCAGCTGAACAGATCATCAAACGAATGTCAGGCTGCGCTGTTAGATTGTGTCCAGAAAATAATCTGCACCCCATCCTTGACAAAGGTAAATTGAAATACAATTCATTCACTTACGGCGGTAGAGTCATATAGCACAATTTGTGTAAAAATTATTGAAGGAAATTAAAAAAAATGTGCGTGGCCGATCCCGGGTTGAAAAATATACGCCAATAATCCTAAACACTAAACACGGATAAGGGAATAAAATCGCGAATGGTGGAGATAATCTCAAACTGAATAACAATAGATACACCGACATTCATTCATGAACCATTTAAAAGTATACGGCAACAATTATAAACGCCAAACACGGATAAATTAATGAAATCGCCGGTGGACAACGACCGCTCCATGCCAAAGCCCAGATTGGGCATTAAGGTGCCCTACAGGAACCTGGCCAGCCAGATCGTGTCCAAAGAGGAGCTGGAGAAGGAGATACTCGAAAGGTGAGGTCGTGAGTTCGGTAACATCAGATAGACACCGCGATTCATTCATGAATCATTAACAACAATCCTAGACACCGAACACGAATAAAGAAATGAAATCGTGAATGGTGGGGATAACCTCAAAATAAATAACAATAGATAGACACCGAGATTCATTGATGAATCATTAAAAACAGTCCTAAACGCCGAACACGGATAAAGGAATGAAATCGCGAATGGTGGGGATAATCTCAAACTAAATAACAATAGATAGACACCGAGATTCATTGATGAATCATTAAAAACAATCCTAAACGCCGAACACGGATAAAGGAATGAAATTGCGAATGGTGACAATAATCTCAGACTAAATAACAATTTATTGACACCGCGATTCATTCTAAAATTATTGAGAACTATACGTTTACAAACCTGAACGCAAAACACGGATAAATGAAAAGTATACGTTGACGATCCTTAGCGCGTATCATACCAGGCTAAATAGCAATAGACACCGCTATTCATTCATAGACCCTTAAAAAGTATTCGTTTACAATTGTGAACGCCAAACACGAATAAATGAACGAAATCGCGAAAGGTGGGAATAATAGACTAAATAACAATAGAAAGACACCGCGATTATATATGGTGAAACTGATGAAAAAGCAATTGATTCTACATGATGTAAAGGAGATGTGTCGATGTCACTCGAATCCACTGCTTCATCACCACTAGGAAGCGTAGCAAACCACTTGAGAGCAACTGCTCTTTCGTCTTCAAATCATTTTTTTTTTTTAAATATAAAATTGATACTGTAACAATTAGATTTTATCCAGAAAAGAATCTGCACCAACAGATGTTGTGATATAAAAGGGGTTAGAAAACACTAAATCGTCTCCAAAACGTTTAATAATCGAAAGATTAATCCTTACAAACCAAAGGTTTTGTGTTTGTGTTTTGATATGTTTCTCATGATTAGGTCCAGAGCCAAAGTGGAATCCATCAACGCAATGGGGGATCCCAAATTTGCCAGAGGTCTTACTCAGAGGTTAGCCAGTAAGATAGCACCCGCACCTGATAGGTAGGAAAGCAATTAGGAAGTTTCTCTGGAACGAATTATCATAGTAGTTGTTTTCTGTTGAATATACCGAGAAAGAATTGATATTTTCATCACATAGAGAATGCGAATTCTAAATGTATTTCATTATATACAGTATGATGCAAATGTATGGAATAAATTCATTATTTCAGAAATGGGCGACATTTGAAAAAAGTTTTAATTTCTGAAGCCTCATCTCATGATATTCATATGAGAGATGTTACGTCACCGGTGTTGGAGTAAAGACGTAATGGACGATTTTTTCAAATACAAATAGGGGTCATGTGACACCTCGATTGAAAGGTCTACTGATCGTCTATCCAACAGTCAAAATTTTGCATAAGAATATTGCAATTAAAATGGATTATCATTTGGTTAACTGAATCATGCAGAGGTCTGCTACTGAGAATTGAACATCGAAGGGTCGTCTAGTTGAAAAAATACACAATAAAAAGAGTTCTGAACTCTAGTTTTTGGATTTTTTTCGGAAGTCGTCTTGTTTTGAAATGAATTCATTCCATACATTTGCATCATACTGTATATACAGCGTGTCTCACTTTAAACGGCCCCCCTCTATATCAGTTATTAGTCATGCGGTTCCAACCACATTCGGTGTGGTATGAATTCCCATCAATATGATCAGTTTTACATAGATGCACATTATTTTGGACAGTGCCGTGCATTGAACTAAAAAGGGGTCGATTTTTCATAAAATCATATTAGGCATTTTTTACAGGAAATCTAACCTCATATAATTGTTCCTCATGCTTTCAAACCTCCATATGAAAAAAATCACCTGATTACCGAATTAACAGGATTGGCTTCATTTTTTTCATTTTCAGTCTGGAATAAATAGTGACTTCAAATCAATTACGAATTTTGGAACGTTCAATGGCTCCGGTAGGTGGAAAATCATGATTTGGAAGGAAAAACGAGTTATACTTTTTTCTTTTGAACTCACCGTTTCCGAGTAAATAATTATTACGTTCGCAAAAATGCTGTTCAGATGTGCCTGTTTTTCTGAAACCCTTCATAGGCATCTTATGAAAATCCACATATATGTGGGTTTGAAACCATGAAGAACACTATTATATTAGGCCAGTTTTCTTGTGAAGAAATGCCTAATATGATTTGATAAACAACTGACACCTATTCATTTCAATAAACACTCACGGCACTGTCTAAAATGATGTTTGTCTTCGAATAACTGGTCATATTGATGGGCGAAGTTAGTAATTTGGCACAACCACTAGCCGAGCCAGTGAATATTCACTCGGACCACATCCGACTAACCGATACTCGCTTAAATTCAGTCTGTTAGTCCTATACCTTCCTACCAAACCCATCCCCAACCCTTACCCACACCACCCCATGGCAGTTGCACTTGGAAGTATTGAAATAGTGGTTTTTTATTTTCATTTTCCACTAATTAAATCACCTAATTTAGAGAGATCTTGGAAGCATCAAATCTGAACGTTGAATTTTCGCTCGCCCTGAGCATCTCGCTGATATTGGCCATGGATAGGACCCCGTCCTGGGACATAGCCTGCCCATCATATCTATCATGTGTGTTGTGTAAAAACCGACCCCCCTGGACCATTCGTGGCCGACCTCTGGGCACCGGGAGGTGTCCCCAGAGGGTTTTAACGTGTATTGTTACCGTAATGTTTCATATGTTGCTGTTTTATTTACATGTTATATTAGGTTTTATATATACCCACATAAATGTTATTCATGTTTAAGTTGAGAAATAAAAGTTTGAATCGGTCATATTGATGATTATTCATTCCGATACAAATTTGGTGAAGATCGCACGACTGATAGCTGAGATATAGAGAGAGGGGGGGCCGTTTGAAATGAGACACGCTGTATATTATTTTTCATGTTCATAATATATCTGAGAATATTCCTTTTCAATACTATCATAGAATTTCATATTCTACTACCTAGTATTAGGTTTCTGATGTCTAAAATGGCGATTTAAATTATTCAAATTATTTTAATTTTCAAAATACAGCAATTTAGATGATGTACTACCTAGATCTAGTGACATTTGAAGATATTTGTACTTATATGATGTGTTTTGACTTATTTGCTTCACTCCTTTCTATGGTAATGATAATAGGTCGCGTGCACGATGACCGACCCTGGATGCAAAATATTGAAACACAACCTCATTCTTCTGTACATTATTGAAACACAACCTCACTTTTTTATTTGGTTACAGAGGAATCAAAGGATTGAAATAGTTTTTCACAATATTTTAGCATACGAATCGCGTTTTTTGCGCTATTCATTAATTCAAGCATGCCTTCGCATTGTGCTGTTGTACAATGCACAAAAAATGCAGCAAGAGACTAAGGAATATGATTTTTCAGGTAAATAGTAATCTCACATACCTAGTTATCATTATGAAATGTTGTCATTCCTTATTAAAATTCCTTCTGCCTTCTGCCACTCCTGCAATACAAGCTAATACTGCTAATAGATTGAAAATGTCTACAACACACACGATCGTCAGCATGTCAGACCAGTTCTCCTGATTGACTGCATGAATCCAATCTTCTTGCATTATTTTAGAAATTTCAGGTGTATTTCTATTAGCTCCTATCGCAGAAGGAATTCCGATGAGAAATCAGAGAAATTACCAAATTTCAAAAATGAAAACTATATGTGAGTGACTATAGTAGGTACCTACTTACTTTTAAATCATATTGTACCAACCGGATTACTTCGTCTTCCGCTGCAGTTTTTGTGCATTTCACAACAGCATAATGTGATGGCATGAGCGAATTGATGAATAGCGGAAAAATACCATTCGTATGCCAAAATAATTGTGAAAAAAATGTCAATCACTTGTAAACAAATAAGTAAAGTGACGTTTGTGTTTCAATATTTTGCCTCCAGTGTCGGTCATCTGACAGTTCTTGCACGCAACCCATAAGAATAAAGCTGTCAGTATAGTCTAACCTCAAACATTCAACAAAAATGTAAACAAAATACATCTCAGTATGGTGTGAATCAGGTTTACAACCACGGTTGCCAGATTTAAGATCGATTTCCTGGAGAAATTGAATTATGCTATTCTAATATTTATGTTTCGCCTATAATTTCCATTTCAACAAGTATTCAGTATATAATTTCAAGATATAATCGAATTTCCACCCATACTATTGGTTGGTTGAATACGTCATTTCAGATACCTACCATTGCTAAATATGATGTTAGAGTGAAATTTCCGGAATCATTAGAATTATCGATAAATCTTGTAACGCTGTACTGGTGTAAAACGGCTCGAATCTTTAGCTGTGCAGCCTTCTTAGTAGTACGTCATGAAAATGGTGGAGGAGCCAAAACAACTACTTCACAAATTTTTTCTGAACTCAAATGGGGAAGTTTCCTTCAGATGAATTTCCATGAAATAAGTTCGGAACTCTCCAGTATGTCCACGATGTACAGAATGGGGACCGATAAAGTCCAACTCGTTTTCATTTTTTAATTAAAGCAAATTCTAATTTCCGGGGCGGCAAACTGTGACGTACAGTCGTATTCAATAAAAAAGCGTACAAGTATTAAAAATAGAAGATTTCGGGATCCTGGTTCTAGTTGTGTAAAACTGGCTCAGCCAATGCTTTGCGTTTTCCAGAACCTATGACAACTTTACGGTCAACATTTGGTGAACAATCATTCCCGATAACCCGTTTTATGCAGAATAGGATGACGTTAATTTCTCTCTGTAATATACTTGTACGCTTTTTTTTAATGCGACTGTACATGCTGATGGTGAAGAATATAGCTAGCGAATAGCTAACGAATGAAAAACGAATGACAAAAATAGAAGAAGTAAAACTGGTTATCAAAAACATACATAACCACAAATGCACTTGGAGCAGGAATGCAGAAGGTAGCTCGCTTCATTCTGACAGGTTATTGTTTTGTTATTCATGCTTGAAATATCTTGAATAGAGCTCGATCCTGACGAAAATATCACTGAATCAATGAATCACTACCGGCAACATTCGATGATACTATTCTAAATATTCCTAATGTACTGCCATTGGTCAGAACAGAATGAAGCCGACACCCATGGCTCCTTCCTCTTGTTGCACCTGTCGGTATATTGAGTGGTGTGGACGGACTCAAAGTATTAGACGCTGTTGCAAGATATAATCTACAGCTTTCCTAGAAAATAGATCCGTTTTATTAAGGAACGAATTCATTAGCAAAAAAATGACTAACAAGTTATGAATAACATATTGTATAATATAACGATTGTGAAAAATTATAGATACTATCGCAAAATATCATAATGTATCTTTATTAGTAATCAACTTCATTCAATCAATGAGAGATTTGTGGGAATTATTGATGATACTTTACAAAGTATGATTGAAGAACCTATTATATACTATTGCTGTTATGATATAGTTATTATGAATTCAACTCTGTGTGAATGTGGATTTTCAGAAAGTAAAGCATAGGAATGGTGGAGGAGCCAAGTTTCTCTTCTGTTTATTTTTTTCTGAAGTGAAAAATTTGATCCCGCGAAAAAAAGAGAAAACACGTATATATTATTTTTTTACAAACTTCACAGTGTGATGAAAACCTCAATATACGAAACTTCCCCATTTGATCGCACGAAAAAAATGAAAAATATGTGTTCAATGAATTCTCATAAACTATAGAGGGAAATGAAACTTCAAATGTTAGAAATTTGCTCATTCAAGTTATTCTATCAAGTTAATTGTGATTTTTTTTCTGGAGGGGTGGAAAACAGAAAAAGGGCTCAGAAACAACCACCGAGTCCATAGACGTTTCGGAACCTTCCCAACAAACCGAAAAAAACGACCAGTCCGATCAAGAAAAAAACCCAGATAGTGACAGAACAGTCGCCGAAGAAATAATAGAGAACGATGACGATCTCCTCGCAATTTTGGAGGGAGAAGGGGAAGAAATGCCCGTATTGCCAAAAGAGGTTCCAGACTGTGAAATAATGGAGGTAGGATATTTTCATTGATTTTGTAGCTCATCAGCATAGTCGTTACTATTTCAGAATCTTCAATCATTCCTTCCCGAAAACTTCGTTATATTTTTTCAATAATTATTGGAGTGATCAAAAACGCGGGAAATTGTCTGAAAGAGATGCCATTAATGCCAACATATTCAGAAAAGGATCGTTTACTTTGGGGCAAACTGTCATTATCTTGATATAAGTACTGTCATTTGCCTACTGGCATAACTACTATCCTTGATTATTCAGACTAACAAGTGGTATGTTCGTTTGTGTTTGCTCTACCTGCTAAACTTGATTTTGTTTCTATGACTCTGTTTACATAATGCCATTAACAGAAGAAAACCAACATTAGCAAATTCAGCAACACAGACGAACAGACCTTACAGGAACCATTCTCATGATGAAGCCAAAAATTCTATTCAGTAGGTTTGTGTTGAGTAGAGTTCCTAAATGTACTTGACACTGCTGATTTTGACGTTTTTTGTATATCAGAGTACGGACACTATGACAAGCACAGACAATCAAACATAACCACAAATAAATTGATGGAAAAAGCGGGAACTGACAGTACACGGACGTACATGACATAAATTTCAAAGCTTTGACAAATTGAGAGAATCAGGAGAAAGATGCAAGTTAGCGCAGTTTCCAACTGTGAGAACACGGAAAATCAATTCACTCTATTCGAATTTCCATCGGATAACGTAATTCTACAAAAATGGAAACAGAATATGATGCGACCGGCATGGAATGTAGGTTCAGGCCACAAAATTTGCGAGGTATTCAAATTTCTTGGTAGGATATAGAACATTTTTCATCGTATTTTTATCAGGCCTACTTCAGAACAAAAGATTCAATGTTGAAGAATAGGATCATATTGGGAGAAAGAGCCGACCCCACAATTTGTCATCTGATGATGAAACAGCAGCAACTTCCTGAATTGACTGACTCTAACAGATTTCACATCCCTGCTCAGCCAAGAATTCTTTAGATCATCTGCGCATACGACCTCTTATAATAATTTTGTAAAAACATAAAGTCCCTTTGTGGAACTCTGATGTACCAGATATTGATGTTTATATATCAGAGAGTTGAATATATCGTTCGTGTATCGCTTCTTCAAAGTTGAAATCCCAAGTCTGAACGTGCATGTTAACGAGTGCACCATTATGTTAGGTATTCAAATGATCTCCCGAGTGAGTCGAGCGCTGAAGTCCATTTATACCTACTTCCGTATGTCTTGGAGAAACATTATTATTTATCCTAACTGAAATTAGCTGTTATTGTTGCTCTTGTACAAGTGAAATTGTTCCATACGAAATAAAAGTATGTTTCAGTTTTTATCCCATTCTGAACTGACAAATATTCAACTGAATGTATATATGTATACCTACATATAAGAGACTTATTTCATAGGAATAGTATATGTATTTCGTTGGTATATATGTACATACCAACTTGTTATCAACCTCCATTGAGGTCCTCCAGCCTCATCATTCAATATTTCGAGAAGAACTAATTTCCCAATCAATTTATCTTTCCCTTTTACCCACTCGAGGAGACGCTATGCACTCTCATACAAAATTCAAAGATATATGGATGTATTCATCCCAGAACTTGTGGAGGAAGGAAGATATGAGGATCCTTTATCCTAAGCGAAAAACATTCTTGTCCTTGTCTGGCAGAACATATGATTTGCTTCAAAATCGTTTGTGGTTATGTTTGATTGTCACTGCTTGTCTAGTGTCCATACTCTATTATACAAAAAAACGTAAAAACAGCAGTGTCAAGTACATTTAAGAACTCTATATAGTGTTGAGTAGCGAAGAGTAGAGATCGGTAATGCAGAATATTCGAAGTTTACCTTCAGATGTGTTACTGCTAGAAGGTATGTCGCATCAGGGCTGGATTAGTATATTTTTATTTGAAAGCCTAGTGATATTCCTACTTTGGAAAGAATGATATTTCTAGATAGTTCAGCAACTTGCAGATAGATGAACGTCAGCAGACTTTGAGAGTAATGACAAACCAGCCAAGAACTAAGGCAAAATTTGCCTTCAGAATTTTACATGGAGGTGGGTCATTTTTTTAGTGTAAATAATCACGTTTGAAAGTAAGATATTTGATTTTCTGGCTTCAACGGTCTAGTTGGTAATTCATGGCGGAGTCTAGCTAGTAAATTATGTCGGAGTCATGTCAGTGCATGTAGGCTGCAACATAGGTCGCGTGCACGATGAGCGACACTGGAGGTAAAATATTGAAACACAACCTCACTTTTTTTATTCCTTTACAGAGGAATCAAAGGATTGAAATAGTTCTTCACAAATTTAAATATAAATTCCCAGTAAAAATAATGAATTAAATTTAAGAGATAAATTCCCAGTGAGAAAAACTTGCGTGCAATCCTACGACGAAGTCTAATGGCGAGTTCACATGCCAGCTTATGTCTACAGCAGAAAGCTTGAATAAAACGGGCGCACTGTTCACATGAAAAAGTTGGAAAAGTGACAGTGACTGCCACATATTTGGTTAAATTTTAGATGTACGTCCTCCAGAAACCACATTTATCTCATTTTTAGGAGTGTTTTTCCAGTACTGTTTCCCACACTGCATAATATGATGATATAGCACCAATATGTATTCATGTCAATATTTGTGTGGTTCTGTCAAACGATCTGAGCTTTTTTCCGCAAAAGTCGGACTGAAACCGACTTTCTAGCTTAAGACCTCGATAAGCGCTTTCTGACGAATCGGCCAATGAGATGAGGATACGCTGTAAGTCAAAAGGCGAAAAGCCAGCATGTGAACGCGCCATAATGTCTACAAGTCAGTTGCAGACTGATCGAATGGTTTTGATAATGCCTGTGACTAGCAGAAGATGGTAACTGCAGTCCAAGTTCGGCTGATGATGGTTCAAATACAGCAAAGTTAAACCTGGGCCGAACAACCAGGAATCTTAAGCCTCCAGATTTTAGCACCAAGCACAACGTGAAATATAAGCAGACTCATACCAAAAGGAAAAACCGCGAGTGTCAGTGGGGTTTGTTTCCTCTATAACCTACCAAGGTGTCTCAGGTTTCCTATTACAGACCTCATTTCTGTTGCCTTATGTCTGAGAGGTTAGGTTATGTTATAGTGGTTCAACTGGTCGTTCTTGCTAGCTGGCTTTATGCAGTTGCTTGGGTGTACACAGATATTGAAATCCCGAAGACGGCAGTAATTTTGAAACGTATACTCAAAATATGCTAATGACAAACCCAGTACGTTTCAAAATATAAATTTCATATAGGCAGAAAATATCCCAATTTATGGATGAATAAAATATTCATGAATATCTACCAATAGATATACCATGCGACACCATCAGCCTGTGCAGAAATGATCGAAGGAAGTCACTCAGTGACAAAGTGTCTCTGTCCAAGCTGTCAAATTCTCAGCGTCATTAACTAGGTATGTTCCACTGATGATTGAGGTGCACCTACATTTATCAAGGTTCAGAGTATATCTCCACAGCCACACCTTAAATCCAATTACTTGCACACTCACAAATTTGACGTCGCTCAATGTATCTATTGAGCATACGCTGGTATTTTTAACATACGCCGACAGGCAGGCAAAACCAGTTCATATCGATCTTGGCGCTGATTAATTATAATTATAATTCGTAAGACGTAGGCTTAGAGACAGGATTCAGGAAGTTGTTCGCTGCTTATGTCTGTCTTGGGACAGGATTCTAATAAGTTGTTCGCTGCTTATGTCTGTCTCGGGACAGGATCCTAATAAGTTGTTCCCTACATATGAACTAGGAATTACGGTCGAAATGAACTGTAACAATAAGAAAGGTGAGGTGTTTCAATGTTTCACCTCCAGGGTCGGCCATCTGACAGTTCTTGCACGCAACCCATTGTTGTGAGGTTGTTTATGTTGATGTTTCATGATGTTGATTTCCTTATTGGAATTTTTTTCTGGAAGATTAATGTTCACAAGTCAGTGTTCGATACTAGGACCACAGATGACTCTATTTATTGGGATTCTCTCTTTAAGATTGACGATGTCGGTAACCTGAAGATGCTTGAAAGAGAAATCGCTTTGCAGCAGCTGCAAGAATTGCCTCATCTTGAACCGAAACCGAGGATTTTCAAGTCGCGACAAGCGAAAACCTCTGTTCAACCGCCCCAACCTAGTCCCAGAAGCAGGTAAATTTATATAAACCCAGACAATAGTATTTTTCCTACGTCCACCTATGAAGACAGCATATAGCACACTCTCAATTATCTTATTGTCAATAAAATGATGAAATCTGATTTTATAGTTACTAGAAATTCGGAAATTCATAATTATTAGAACACCGTAGAAAAGTCGGCGACCTTTCACTTTTATATATATGCTTCCACGGGAAATGTTCCTCAAAAATCTCTGCTATAATTTTATCATCAGCAATACCAGTCAGACCAACTCGACAGGCCCAGTCAGCACGTCTTTTCGTCTATAGAACGGCGGAGCTTTGGAATTAGCCAATCGAAGTTTTCCCAAGAACTTACAACCTCAAAATGTTCAGAAAAATTCCAACATCTACCTCCTCTCTCTATGCTCTCTGACATTATATGTTGAATAGTATATTTTACATCCTGTACATCAGTTTACCCTGTATACAGAATAGGTTGTTATCGAGGAGTTGAGTCGTTAATTTTCGAATAACATAATAATCGTTAAAAATCAAGAGATGAAAAAAATATAATACAAGACAACATAACTTGTTCCATCTTGATTTTGAATACTTTGTGATTGGCCAAAAGAGTATCATTCACGAAGCATTCTCAAAATTCAATTCAACTTCACTACCCTGTATCTCGCAAACGATGCCTTCTACGACTTTGTTTATGCGAACTCATTTATTTTCTTGGGACATCCTATCATCTCTCAAAGTGCGTCCCACATATTACAAAACACCCTGTATATCCATTATTATTCCTTTTTAATACCAGAATACATAAAAAATTGTCTGGAAGCTATTTTCTCAATAACAAAACTTTCGTTTGTGAGATATAGCCCATTGTATAGTGAGTGGGGTAAAACTGTTCAATAGTATATTGTTTAATGAGCAAGGAATGATAGTGATTTCCTACGAGAATGAAGTTTGCAGCATGAGCCATAGGCAAATGCTGCAATCATTGGAGTAGGAAATCAACATTCTGTGCAAGTTTTACACTATAATTTTTCGACGGCTATAATAGATAACAGCGTCATTTTCGATTTCTCCGTCTTGTAGCCATCTGATTTCCTGTCAAGTAATGCTCATCTATTTGACAGAGCTGTCATTGCATGAAATTTGATATTCCATGGGCGATGAGTCTTTTTTGAAATAATACCACAATGGAGTCATTGTGATATCAGATACGGAAATAAAACTGATGACATACAAAGTACCTCGTTGATGTATCGAACACAGTAAAACAAGAGCAATATTGTGCTATAGCCGTAGAAAATAGTATATTGTTTAACGAGCAAGGAATGATGGTGATTTCCTACGAGAATGAAGTTTGCAGCATGAGCCATAGGCGAATGCTGTAATCATTCGAGTAGGAAATTAACATTCTGTGCAAGTTATACACTATAATTTTTCGACGGCTATAATAGATAAGAGCGTCATTATCGATTTCTTCGTCTTGTAGCCATCTGATTTCCTGTCAAGTAATGCTCATCTATTAGACAGAGCTGTCATTGTTTGACATTGACAAATTTGACATTGCATGGGCGATGAATTTTTTTTTAAATAACACAATGGAGTCATTGTGATATCAGATACGGATCATAGTGGAAAGAGAAAATGGTGTGCTCAACAGAAAGCTCAAACTCGTCTTGTTCTGCGCATGACGTCAGCTGGGATATAACTGTCATTGTTATTATTTGTTTTCGTGATTGATGTCTCGAACTTCAGATATTATATAAGTACTAAAATTGAATGAAATAATTTCGAAATCCCCACTTGTTTCGTTTCTGGTTATGGAAATTCCAACTAACATACAAAAGGCACATATATTAAATTTTTCTGCTTTTCCAAGAATGGAGACCTGATGAAACGATGGGAGCTTGCTGCCGACAGAATATAAACTCAAATAATGGTACCTACCTTATATTCCTTATATCCTCATTCCGAAGTATTCACAAGACTTAACACACCTCCAAAAAATCACAAATATCTGAAACAAGATGCCATTCCTACAGAACATCTTCCGTCGAATATCAAGTCAGAAATAATTGAAAATGAATTCAAAACTCTTAATTTCTCACAAAATATAAATTGCAGCAAAGATTTGAATAACAAAACGGTAAAAATTGATACTCCTGTTCTGTTGTCGATGTCGGAGCAGAAGCAACGTCAACGTCGTTAACTGCTGAATTTGAATCTGTCAGAATCGACACAGTAGTGGATCATTCAGATGGGATTGGCAATGCATGATAATTCGTATGTTTTTGCTATTTGCGATTGCGAATTACCTCAACATCACAATTTCCAGAATCAATGAACATGATTGAATTCATTGCGCACGCCCATGGCAACGGTATCTGTCTGTGACTAGCAGCTGATATTGGTATCATAGATGACGTCACATAATATGCGCGTAAGCACACCGTCTTCTCCATCCACTATGGATACGGATATAAAATTGATGATATACAAAGTATCTCATTGACGCATTGAACACAGTTGAACAAGAGCAATCTTGTGTTATAGCCGTAGAAAATAGAATATTTCGTAACACTCCTAAATTTTATTCATAAACAACAAACTTGTGATCATTTTTTCTCAGAATCGAAAAACCGTCGACGGCAGATCCGAAAACACCCAGTGCAGCACCGAGAACGTCAGGAGCCGTTTCCAAAATTCCCACCGCTGCCTCGAGGTCGTCGCCGAAACCGGTCCAGAAACCGGTTTCGGCGCCGAAAACACCCGATAAACAAGTCTCGAAGCCGAAGTTGTATCATTCTCCCTCGCCCGTCAAAGCCCCCATTGAAATCATCGACATGCCTCCGGCTCCCAAGAAGGTTTACGAAGTCGAACCACAGGTGAATGATTATTTTTCTGCAACCGACACAAAAGTCGTCCATTTTGATACCAAAATTAGCTCTTAAATTGACGTTTCTATTACTGACACAAAAATAGGTAGGTTGCTAGGTAACATATTTAGTTCCTAGGAGCTAAAGTTGAATTTTAGTTCCTAGGAGCTAAAGTTGAACTTTATCTCCTAGGAACTAAAAAGGAAGTACTGGACGTCATCAAGAATGAACAACATTGTGACGGTTGGTTATTTGGGTTGAGACGCAAACCTGATTTGGTTCCGATTTCAGCAGATTTGGAATTTCATACCCATGCTGGAGATATAAATACACCCTATCATAGTTCAGTATTGGAATTATAAACATCTCAGCTAAGTATTTTTGTTTGATCAGGGAAGCCTTCAAGATTCAAATACTTGCTTGATCTGTATTTCATTCGTTATTCTCGGGATGGATAACTTGTTTTTGAATAATCACGGCAAGCAATAGTTTTTTGTCTCAAACAACCATATTGTTTAGCTTCATTTGATTAGTAAGCGAAAAACATTGTATTATAGAGAGGAGTAAATAATCGCCATTATCATTGTTGATATGCTCATTAACCTAACATTTTCCACGTCTTGTTCCTATAGCTGGCACTGTCGCGGTATTTGCTATTAGAGCACCTGGTCCATACACAAATGTGTCACTCTGTGATTGTACTTACATTGAAACTACAATTCGAACATCCTTGAAAATTGAATGAACCTGCTGTTGATGCAGGTAGAATGTTCTCACTACACGGATTATTTGTCAATATTTGTTGCATGGCATACATATGGCACGGCATATAGGTGGTAACTTCACATATTTATTTGAGTTAATTGTTTCGGTTGCAGAAAAAATAGCATGTTTCATTCGGATCAAAAGTGACTTTGTTCGACTCGCAAATTTTCCTTTCGCTCGGCTTCGCTAAACGTTCCGCCTCGCAAATGCAAAATTCGCTTGTCAAACAAAGTGTCACTTTTGATCCTAATAAAACAATCTACTATTTTTGCAACCGACACAAGTTGAACTTCAGTTCTTAGGAACTAAAAAGGATGTACTAGACGTCATCAACATTCTCACGGTTGGTTATTTGGGTTTGGACGCATACTTGATTTGTTTCCGATTTTGGCATATTTGGCATTTCATACCCATGCTGGAGATATAAATAATATAATGATGAAGATGGAAAGCCCTAATTTCGAGTGACAATGGAAAATGAAAAAACTCCACCGCCCCGTGTGAGAGTCGAACTCACAACCTGGGTTACATGCCCAACGCTCTGCCAATTGAGCTAACGGGTCATATCCGTCGATCAATCGACAGGGAGGTCGAGTTCTCATCACACACCGGCGGCAGAATCCTTTCATTCCCCGAAGTCACTCGAAATCATGCACTATAGGAAGCATCGCTGGCAGGATGGTACTATACAGTCTCCATATTTCCCCTTTCGTCCTCTGGCATTGTCTTTATTCTTTGAATACGGAAATATCCGAAGGCAATCATACATAGGAGTCAAGTCCTTCTAGCGAAGTATTTTGAAAGGTTTGATTTCAAGAATTACCTACTAAGAAAACTATTAATTCAACAGCAATGAATTATTGAGGTCTAGTTGATCGTTAAGCGAAATGTAAGAATTTTTGCGTTTATCGATTTCTAAATCGACAGACGCAAAAATTCAAACATTTTACTTAACGATCACCTAGACCTCAATAATCCACTGCCTTTGAATTTGTTTTCTCTAGAGTCACTGGATAGTAGTAGGGTCCCTTGATGGCAATTGACTTTAAAGTCATCTCAACAGGGTCCTCGTCTCCTCTCACTCTAAAGTGTTTGTGAAACAGTTATATAATTCCATCTTCGTTCCTTTCTGGGCATAAACACTAGATCTATGAAATTTGTTGTTTTTTAGGTTATATTGAGAACATTGATGTATCATACGTAATTTCCACATGTAATTTCTCATTCAACTCTACATATTATCTCCAAATGATGATGAAAATTTTTTGAGTTTTTGATTTTTCAACTCCAGCATAATGTGAGGCAGTGTGCAAATTTGTCTGAAAGTGTAATACGTTTCACCAAATGAGACTGTTCTTAGGCAGTACCTACCAATAAATTAATCTTTATTTCAGATGCCTTATGGTTGAGAAATGGTGGAAAATTGTATGTAGGTATTCTAACTAATGTGCTCATATGTCATGTGTGCTGTATATATTCATGTTGGGAATCATTTTTGCAGTTTTTCACGAACACTGAATATTCTTGGATGTTGGTATAATTTTTTAAATAGTAGGGCATATGCCTGTTCTTTTGATCCTCCGTTTTAATCAAAACTGTTTCTACTAAAATGCATTCAAAAACTAGTGGACGCCTATGAATGTGACGTGACAGCAATGTCATGTCAGTGACGCCAATACACGAAACCCAAAGTCACTAGATGATTAAAAGAGAAAGGAGCTATAATCTGTCCGTACCCTGTTAGATGACAAATACATCAGTTTGCATCAAGGGAACCTAGATGGTATTAGTTGGATTAGAGTTTGGACGCAGAAATGACAACTGTTGGTGATTTTGAATGTTTAGATTCATCAAGTTACACACCTTACATTGTGACAAGAGCACCATAGTCCTTTAGCGCTTTTCCATTAATTTGAGGTTGGTTACATACATTAATAATTCCCTTCAAGTAACAGCAGATTGAAATGAAACTATATTTCGTGTCCATTTTCAAACAGAAGATTTTGAGATTCGTTTTGGAGATTCTGCTGTTCCATCCATTTACAAAACAGACTATTTCGAGTCCAATTTTATAAACAATTAATGATTAGGAACTAGCTATAAGTATATTCATATGTGTCCATTTTGTCATATTTTCATAACTGTTGTTCTGCGAAAACTGTATCGCTATAAACTGAAATGGCCGATTATACTCTATTTCCATTTCCATCTACGGCTATTCTTGATTTGGCAGAAAATCTAACCTCTAAAATCGTATCTGATAATCAGGCACTATTCGGAAAAATGAAAAGGACAGAAGTTCATCTGTGTCCGAACTCTTATCTAATGAATACCATAATGTGACTCTAGTTTCCTCCTAGTAGGTATTTTTTTATGAACCCTGTCAAGTAAATCCAGTACATCATATTTTAATGAAGATTTGTGCCCGCATTTCGAAAATTAGGGTTAATCCTACCTTTCCACAGGTATCTTAATCATTTAGGTTGGGAAAGTAGGATATAAAAGTTAGGCAAGTAATTTAAGTTTAGTTTATTGTACCTGTATTTTACCTGACATGCCCTGTAATAGAGAATCTTGTGGAAATCTTATTGTTTGTGAAGTTTTTACGTGTATCTCTCTTATTGTCACTGCCTGTCGAATGTCCATACTCAACTAAAAAATGTGCATTCATTCAACAACAAGTTTGCTCGGGTTCCCGCGTTTATTATAGTTCTCTCTTTTGTGTCACTGTTTGTTGAGTGTCCGTGCTCAACTAAAACGAACATGAATGACAACTTGTAGAGAGTTTCTGAGCAAATTCCAAATTTCCAGGTGAAAGTCAACATGGTCCTGAAGACCTATTCGAGGAAGCGAAAGCCCTCCGACTCTGCCGATTTCGAGTCCGCCTACCCCAAACGCATGTCCATGGAGGAATCGGACCTCATCTTCGAAAAACCGGACCCTTTGGCCTTACCGACCGATGTTTACGTCACCAAGAGTTCGCGGGTGATCAAGAAAAAGGTGATTTGGGACCCGGACGACGAGTTCTCCGCTAGGAAAAGCTTCGGGAAGACCAGTGAAAGCAGGACTTCGACCCCGAAGGCCGTCAAAGCGACAGAAAAGAGCGCGAATAGCGAGAAAATTCTGGATAGGAAAGCGATTGAGAAAAGCGCGAGCGGTGAAAGGTCCGCCAACGAGAAGAAGGCTGTGGAGAAAACGGTGGAGAAACGCGCTGCTGTGCAAGAAAAGAAGATCGACGTCAAGCCGGCGGAGAAGAAGATAACGCCGAAGAAGACGCCTGATAAGCCGAAGACGGTGGTGCAGAAGGTTAGCCCTGCCAAGGCGGCCAAGACGCCGATCAAATCGAAAAGGGGTGAGTATTTCAAATCTATACCTATTTGTATGAATTACATTCAACAGCTAATTAAGTTACCCCTGCTCTGGCCGAATTTCGTGCTCAATTTCTCAATGGAAACCTTCTAGTCGTAGGTAAAGTTCAACTAGGTTTCCGAATCTATACATATTTTTATAAAGTTGGCCCTGGTCTGGCCGAAATTCATGAAGTGCTCAATTACTAATTGAAAACAATGTATCTTACGTAAAATTACACGAACACATCTGCAAGGCCGTGACCAAGAAAAGAAAAAGAACTGGTATTTCCAACATTTTCTTCAGTGTCTGGACCCCCCTGAGCACGGCCTTGCACATCTGTATCGTTAATCCAACGGATTAACGATAATGTTGATCCTGCTCTGGTCGAATTTCAGGAAGTGCTCAATGTTTTATTGATCTATACACATTTGTATAGTAGATCCAACGTATAATAAATTTGGCCTGGCGGTGGGATTCTGTTTCCCGATCGTCGATTGTCGTACGATGATGAACTTGAAGTCGAATTCATTTCCTATTCTATTTCACGATCAAGGCGAGATCGAATTCGACTTCGGGAATCGTCGGTTTTTCGGCGAAATGGGATGAGATTTTGATCCAATGAAACGAGCACCGAGGCCATATCCCCAAAGTCATCACTAATTTGAGGTTATGGTGGTTATATATCTTTTATGAATTTCAATTTTTCCAATACCAAGACAAAAATAAAAATAATTCTAATTGTTCGAGATGGTATTTCAGCAGCTTAAGATTGGCAAAGAAATGTGGATCTAATTCGTCGTCGACAAGAACTATGACTCAGAAGTAGGTACCGACCTAATCGTTTCTCATTACCTAAAAAATGATTTATTGAGATATTTAGCTGGAACAAAAGGGTGGTTCGTCTTCTGATAAAATCATTGAGACCCCACTTATTAGTGGATAGGTCAAAGCATGAAGGAAATAGGTATACAGAATCTAAAATACTCTGTGCATTGAGGTTTTATGTCATTTCTCAGGAGTTCACTCGCCAAGCCCCAATGAATTTACTCGGCTTAGCCTGATTCACAGTATTTTACTGATATCACATTAGACTCTGAAAATCATCCTGTGGCCGTGGCCATGTTCTTTGCTGTTTTAAAAATGTTATTAACATTTCCTAGTGGCCCTGAGTTTGAACAACATAGAAAATCAATTATATATTATATTTATGAAGTAATAAGTTGATTACACACTTTCAAAGCTGTGCTTTCACATGAACAAGATTATATAACCTTAAATTGGGATGAAAATGAAAAAAAAATCGACGATAGATAAGGATAGATTGACAAAACGCATCAATTCGACTCCTCTTGAGCTATCGAGGTATCCAGTCGAGCTTACACGTTTCATTCGAGAAACAGAATACCAAATATCAAATAAAGATGGCCGATTCGACTCGATTCGTGAACTGGTCTGGCCGAAATTCAAGAAGTGCTCAATTACGTAAAATTTCACGAAGATTCCGAATCTATACACATCTGCAAGACCTTGCCCAGAATTTTTATCGGGGGGAGGGGGGGGGGGGGGGTGGTACAAGAAAAAAACTGCTAATGCAAAATTTGTCTTCAAAGTAAAGGAACAAAGTCGGATTCAGGTCATCAATTCAGGGGGGGGGGGACTCTGGATCCCCCTGAACACTGCCTTGCACATCTATATACTAAATCCAACGGATAAAAATGTTGATCCTGCTCTGGCTGAATTTCAAAAAGAGCTCAATTTCTCATTTCAAACTATTTAGTCTTAAGTGATATTTCACGAAGATGTCGAATCTATACCCATTAGTATCGTAAATCCAACGGATAAGAAAGTTGGCCCTGTTCTGGCCAAATTTCAAAAAGTGCTCAATTTCTCAATGGAAATCATCTTGCCTTACGTACAATTTCACGAGAATTCCGAATCTATTCACATTTGTGTCTTAGAAGTGAGGGATAACAAAGTACAGGGTGTCTGGAATGTGACCTCATCATTGGTATCTCTGAAACTCTAAGAAATACTGGGTCGGTTAAATCATGCCGCAATTTTATGCCTCACAAAATGCCGTTTTGAAATTTGAAAAATTACAAACACTTCCAAAGATTTTTATCGAAGATTTGTGATTTCATATTCATTTTTCATCATTCTATTTAAATAGATGTAAGAAAACGAACTTTTACTTAATAAAATAAATTTGATGATGGCAGCTCCAACATGAAACGTCGGTATGAAAATCTAAGAATACCATCTTGTAGGACAGAAAAAGTAGCTTTGAAAATGTGTAATTTGTTTTATCTACTACTACTCAGTTAAAGAAACAAAGTTGTCAATTTACTCCCACGGGAGGAACAAAATATTAACTCCCATGGGAGGTAAAAAGAATTGGCTTAAGCATGTATCCTTTGGCGTCGATATACCTATAATATCTGTGCAATCCAAGTAATCAGTGTTTTTATCACTATCATAAAACAAATTCCAATGATATTATACGCTTCTTCTCATTCCGAACGTACTTCTAATCGAAACAATCAAGTGGGGTTACACAATATACAAATCAATTAATGCATGATGACAGAGGTGTCAAATTGACTTTCATTCAAATGCCGTCAATTTTCTATGACAAAAAGATATGTTAACTCTCATCAAAATTAAATCAGATATGGGTAAAAGATCTATTTTATACAATGGAACAATTCTCTATAATGAATTACCTGCCAGACTAAAGAAAAAATTAAGTGTTGAAAAATTCAAAAAAGAACTGAAAAAATACTTATGTCTTTGATTCTCTTCATGTCATCCTGAATCAATTCAAGAAATTATATTTAACAGTCTCTAGAAGAAACAACATCATATGTATTATGTATATGATTTAAAAATGATTATCTGATTATCTAATTTTTGTTTTTTTTTTTTTTTTAGTTGCTCTTTCATAATTTTCCCTGCTATAAACATGTATGTTTCTTATGAATAATAATAAAGATATATTATACCTTTGTAATGCATAATGATTTGGATCGAGAGATATAGACCACCTGAAGCACAATTTCAAAAATGGTGTTGCCGAATTTTGAAAAAAAAATCTCATTGAAAACTATCTAGTCTTACAAAAAATTTCACGAAGATTCCGAATCTATACTCGCAGATCGAACGTAAAATGTCACGAAGAATCCGACAGGTTCCTTCTCACCTTCATCAACAACTCCAATTTTGAAATCGGAACTTTCTTCGACAGGACAACAAAACATTGTTATTTGTATGCCGAATGAATTCACAATATTTTGACAGTTCTTGACTGAGCATGATCTGACACTGAAACACCTTGTTATGGGTTGCGTGCAAGAACTTTCAGATAACCGACCCTGGAGGTGAAACATTGAAACACAACCTCATTTCTCTTATTTGTTTACAAGTGATTGAAATAGTTTTTCACGATTATTTTGGCATAATGCAGCGGGAGACGAAGGAATCCGGTTGGGACATTATGATTTGAAAATACCCACTAAAGTCACTCCCATGAAGTTTTCATTTTGAAATTTGGCAATGTCTGATTTCTGATCGGAATTCCTTCTGCAATAGAAGCTAATAAAAACTAAAACAGAACTATGAGATTACTAATTCACCTAAAGAAATCATATTCCTTCGTCTCTCGCTGCATTTTTTGTGCATTGTACAACAGTACAATGAGAAGACATGCTTGAAGTAATGAATAGCGCAAAAAACACGATTCGTATGCCAAAATATTGCGAAAACTGTAAACAAATAAAAAAAGTGAGGTTGTGTTTCAATGTTTCACAGAAGAGTGAGGTTATGTTTCAATATTTTACCTCCAGGGTCGGTCATCGTGCACGCGACCTATTGTCGTTGCTTTGGAATGTCAAATTTAATAGCGGACTTTGGTTTGATGGTTTTGCTATAGGTAACGGCTCTGAAGTTGTACTTCGCGTAGTGTGTAGAGAACGAAAAAAACTTCTGTTCTTTCTAATGTCAAAAAACAAATAATCAGTCAAATGATGCCTTTAAATAACAAAAAATCAGCTAATGGAATGCATTTGGCCCCATTTTGTAGGCCTCTCAGAAGTTGACCGGCTGCTGATGGACGAAGGCGCCGTCAAGATGCTCTACGAGCTTAACAACTCCGACGACTCTCCACAGATGGCGAAGCGCCAAAAAGACTACATCTCGCTGGACAAGTACGAGAAGGACTTGATCAAGAAGGCGAACCGGCTGAAGAGCGATCTGGTGCTGCACAACACCAGCGGCGGGGAGTCGTCGGCGAAGTCGTTGCGGAAAAAGGAAGGGGGTGGTGGTGGAGGGGGAGGGGGAGGTTCGAGTTATGGGTCTCCTCCCGGGTCGAAGCCGGCTGTCTCCATGGAGAGGAAAATGTCGAAAGGTGAGTATGATAGTAGGAGAGGTAAAGAGGCTAAATAGGGATTTACTCGAGCGTCGTGGGGACGCATCAGATCGTGAAGATTAGAAGTGAAAATGAAAAAAAGTTTATATGATATATGACCTTTCACTGGTGGGGAGAGCGTGTACAGGGTGGCTGGAATTCGAGGCTCATCATTGGGATCTCGTAAACCGTAATAGATACAGGGTCCGTTGAATCATGGCAAAGTTGCGCAATTTGATGCTGATAGACCAAAGTAAATTTGAAATTTTCGCAGTCATTTTTCAAGTCGCCGTCATCAGATTTTTGTTCCGACTTTGCGTTTCCTCGTAACCATCATCAAATAATAATGATGATGATTTTTTGGTCCGAAACGTAGGATAATTGCATAGTTTTATATGATTGGAATTGAAGTTTTTAAGGAACGAAACATGTTTTTCTACCATTTTAAAAAACAAAGTTGATGATGGCTTCTCGAAGATGAAACGTCAGATCATGAATCTATTAATGCCATTGGATAGAGCAGAGAAAGTGGCAATGCTAATATGATATTCATCCAACTTTGCCATGATCTAACGGACCCTGTATCTATTACGGTTCACGAGATCCCAATGATGAGCCTCGAATTTCAGCCACCCTGTAACAAATGAAACATTCCGACAGACTCGACTAGAAGTTCCGTCCACACACCACCCCGCTCGCCCACCTTCCCCGGCTCCATGATGCTGATCCGACGCCGGTCGAGCAGCTCGATGTCCAGCAGCGAGGACGCCGACGCCTATCTGCCGCCGAAGACGACGTCGAAGAGGAAATCGGACGGCCAGCAGCGCGGCAAAAAGGCGAAGAAGTAAGATGAGATAGGAATTTATATTATTGGTCTTTGTCTCAGACTGTATAGTTGTGGTGGCTGACAACAATCCGGCTCGAAGGACCACTATTGTTTCTCAATTTTATCTTCCAGATATTTGAATTTCTTTCTATTTCGTTAAAATGTTGAAATCATTCGACTTTTTTATCTGTGACAACTCTTCATTTTTTATTTTTCAACTGTCTGTCATAAACGTAATATTCTATATGAATCAATAATAGATTAACATTTATAAATATGAAATGACGATAACAGACTGAATAACGATTGATTCGCGGTCGCCAAGGTCATCAGAAGACCTAACCTAATCTGACCTTGGCGACGGCGAATAGATACCACAGAACTCATAATGTTCATATCTTACAACTTGAACGCGCGATCCTATGGTTTCATACCAAAGGACCCCGCACCGCAAAAGTGGGGAAGTTGGCTTTCGATGAATTTCCTCGAATTTTCGATTGTAGAAGTTCAATAGTTTGAATTATACAGGTTGCTGAAGTTGACTTTTTTCAAAATTTCGAATGGCCATTGTGAAGTTTCCTTTTTGAATACCAAAATCAAATCGACTACGTTTTGTTTGTCCATGTGGCCGGTGAAAATCCACTATATATTTCAATGATATCTGTACGTACTCACGATATACCGAGTTGGTGAGCGGTTGAGAAATCAATTCATTTTTGGACATTTCGTAGTATATTAATATCAACATCGATTCATGATAATTGCATTTCTTGTATCAGACTACATTATTATACACAAGATGTTCAGTTTCCATGAAACCGCACCCGTCCTGATATTCATATCCATCGAATGATTGGAATCCCGTAAAACTTGGTGAGGAAGTTGATAATTCGTGATGACAATATTTTATGCAAATACCTGAAATATACAGTGTGGTTGTGGAAGTAGTATTGGCGTTTTTGGAGCAATTGAGAAACAATACAGAAATCCAGAGTACGTCAACTCCAAGAAAACTCCACTACTACTTTCACAACCACCCTGTATATTTCAGGTATTCGCATAAAATATTGTCATCATGAATTATCAACTTCCTCACCAAGTTTTACGGGATTCCAATCATTCGATGGATATGAATATCAGGACGGGTGCGGTTTCATGGAAACTTGAACATCTTGTGTATAATATGTGATCTGATACAAGAAATGCAATTATCATGAATCGCTCACTTTTTCGGAAATAATTGAAACATTTGCTATTTTTAGACCAACTCTGTATATCGTGAGTACGTACAGATATCATTGAACTATATAGTGGATTTTCACCGGCCACATGGACAAACAAAACGAAGTCGATTTGATTTTGGTATTCACAAAGGAAACTTCACAATGGCCATTCGAAATTTGAAAAAGTCAACTTCAGCACCCTGTATAATCCAAACTATTGAATTTAGAGCGTTGATAGTTGGGATGAGAAAATTCACCGAAAGCCAATTTCCCCCCTATTGTGGTGCGGGGTCCTTTCGTTATTTCAAATATATTCTATATTTGTGCAGTGAATTCCTTTCTCATAAACTAAGATCAGACATGTGGAGCGCAAAAAATTAGCAGCATATTTATTTACTTATATCATCCAAATTTCCCATTGGAATTCTATTCGCGGTAGCCAAGGTCATCATCTGACGTAGCAATGACATGAGAAGTACAGAAAACATTCCTAACTCCTGGCGCAGATTGAAAGCTAGACATGTTTTCCCGTAGTCATCGCAACGTCAAATGATGACCTTGACTTCTGATTTTTCGAAAATTCATATAATATTTTCATCTTATCTTCGAGATACGCCACTGGCGTCCATTCACATTTCGCCGCCACTCTTTATGGCTTACAGTGTTGCAGCTGATGCATGATATGTTCGTCCGCCATATTGGATTCGCATTCGAGTCGTAAGATATAAAGTTTATGAGTTCTGTGATAGATATCGCGATTCATTAACCAATAATTGAAAAGTATACGCGAACAATGATGAGTGGGAACTCGTTGATCTCTTGGGTACTTTTGGTTGGGTTTACAGGTGTCCGCAAGACAAATGTTTAATATTTCCTAATATTTGCCTAAATTTGGTTGTAGTATCACTCAGTATAAAAATAAAGAGACATTGGAATTGAGACATTGAAAAAGTGTAGTTGTCATTGACCTATAATTTGATTTTACTATACAAAATAGTTCCAACTTATTGATTGATTGATTGTCTTTATTACCCCAAGAAACATTTCTGTTTATGATAGGGATACAAGTACTCGAGATGTTGTCAGTTTCGACTCATCTGGCGCCCAACGTGGGGCCAAGTATCAGCCTAAATCCGACTTTTTCCCTTTCGAATGAAAAAAAATTAATTAGTTTTTCTTTTTTTCTTGACCCCCTCCCCCCAAAAAAAAAGAATCCTGGGCATTGAGTGTGTATCTTTGTTTTTGTGTAAAGGGTGACGGACGACGGGAGAGGGGAGGCAGCGACGGAAAGTGTGTCGGCGGAGAGGGGGCGGTACAAGTCGTTCACGGTGAAGAAGTCGGGCAAGCATGTGGCGATCGACCTGCACTATATCGACGAGAGGTGTTTCTTGGACACCAAGGTGAGCAATGCAGTCTTTTTTTTAACTTCAATTGACTATTCCACGACGTAGCTGTGAATTAGGAGAAGTGTACAAAAAAGTTCTCTTGTTCTAATTTACAGTTGCAACTGTAAATTAGGAGGCGTTTTCAAAAAACATGAGAAAGTTTTTTTTAAATATCGGGTGACCAGTTATATTCTGACCCATTTCAAATGCTTATATCTCTGAAACCATTCAAGTTATCGTTGTGCAGTTTGGACTAGTCTATTTTGATATTTTTCAAGTTTTTTTTGACAGGTTCACCTTTTCTCTTGAACTTCCGGTTCTACCGGAAACAAACTAGCCATTATTCAGGTATAGGGCAACTTCTTTATTTCATCGAAGCACCCTATATATTTTTGCACATTCAGAAAGACTGGTCTTTTCTCTTCCTAACAATGTATAACAAGTTATGTTTTCTTAGAAAACTATCAGAGTTATAACTGTTTGAAGCATCTACTGCATATTAGGATGTTATCCTGAACCGTATATTGAGTATAAATCTGATGCAGATTTATGATGAGTTCATTTGCTTTTTCAGTCAAAGTAAAAATTTTTTCAACTCGAAGATAGTACAAATGCCCGACAATATTTATTTGACACATCTAATCTGGCATTTCATGTGTTGTGATCAGGATTTCCAAAGACGACTTTGGTTACATTGCAAAATCTCATTAAACCATTCCACATGCAGTAGTGGTTTCAAACAGTTATAACTCTGATAGTTTTCTGAGAAAACATAACTTGTTATACATTGTTAGAAAGAGAAAAGACCAGTCTTTCTGAATGTGCAAAAATATACAGGGTGATTCGATGAAATAAAAAAGTTGCCCTATACCTGAATTATGACTGGTTTATTTCCGGTAGAACCGGATTTTCAAGAGAGAAGGTGAACCTGTCAAAAAAAAACTTGAAAAATATCAAAATATACTAGTACAAACTGCACAACGATAACATGAATGGTTTCAGAGATATAAGCATTTGAAATGGGTCAGAATATAACTGGTCACCCGGTACCTAATTTAAAGTTGCAACTGTGAATTAGGTGTTTTGAAAAACAAGTTTTCTCTCTCCTATTTACAGTTGGAACTGTAAATTAAGAGGTGTTTTGAAAAAGTTATATCTGCCTAATTTACAGTTGCACCTGTAAATTAGGAGATGTGTTGAAAAAAAGTTCTCTTGTCCTAATTTACAGTTGCAGTAAGTTTTGAAAAAAACAGAAGAAAGTTTTTTTTAAATATCTCCTAATTTTCAGTTGCAACTGTGAATTAGGAGGTGTTTTGAAAAGTTTTCTCTGCCTTATTTACAGTTGCAACTGTAAATTAGGAGATGTATAGAAAAAAGTTCTCTTGTTCTAATTTACAGTTGCTACTGTAATTTAGGAGGGGGTTTGAAAAAAGAGAAGACACTTTTTTTTAATATCTCCTCATTTACAGTTGTAACTGTAAATCAGGAGGTGTTTTTGTAAAAGTTTTCTCTGCCTAATTTACAGTTGCAACTGTAAATTAGGAGATGTGTAGGAAATAATACTTGTTCTAATTTACAGTTGCAACTGTAAATTAGGTAAATCAGGAGATATTAAAAAAAAAGTGTCTTCTGTTTAATTTACAGTTGCAACTGAAAATTAATAAGAATTTACAGTTGCAACTGTAAATTAGAAGATGTGTAGAAAAAAAGCTGTCTTGTTCTAATTGACAGTTGCAACTGTAAGTTGGGAGGGGTTTTGAAAAAATAGAAGGAACTTTTTTTCAATAACTCCTGATTTACAGTTGCAACTGTAAATTAGGAGGTGTTTTGAAAATAAAGGTTTCTCCGCCTAATTTACAGTAATTAAAAAAAAAGTTTCTTCTGTTTAATTTACAGTAGCAACTGACAATTGATGCTAATTTACAGTTGCAACTGTAAATTAGGAGGGGTTTAGAAAGAACAGAAGAAACTCTTTTAATATCTACTAATTTACAGTTTTTACAAGGTGTTTTGAAAAAAAGTTTCCTCTGCCTAATTTACAGTTGCAATTGTAAATTAGGCAAATATTCGTGAAAAAACAGTATATTGTTCAACGAGCCGGAATAACAGTGATTTCCCACGAGAATGAACTTTGCAGCATGAGCCGTAGGCATTCCCTCAATTGAATTTCAGAACGCGTTCATTGTATCTCAATTGATATTTCCTGAAATACAATTGAAGCTTTCTGATCTTTAATTGACTATTCAATACAATTCAGTTGTTGCTTTCTGAAATACAATTGACTATTCTGAAATATAATTGAGTATTCGGAAATATAATTGAGTATTCTGAAATACAATTGACTATTCTGAAATAAAATGACGCTTCCTGAAAGATAACTGGAGAAGGTGTGGTGACTATTTTGAAATACAAATTTCCAGGTACTGGACGAGCTGACCACAGTTTTGAAAAAATACGGCAGCGACAAAGAATGCACTGTAGTGTCGCTAGTGTCGAGCAGTACGGCATTTTGTCTGGGTCTCGATTACGCCACCCTGGTGTCCGATGACGATATCACGAAAACTTGCAGAGCAACGGATTTGGCCACCAAAGTGAGGTATGTTCAAAATATCATTGAAGTCGTGCACAGAAAAAAGAGATAGAAATAGTGAGAGAGAAGGAAAGTAAGAATAAGAAAATGAGAAAAAGAGAGAAAGAAAGATATAGAGCGAGAGTTGTTGTTGTTGTTGTTGTTGTTCTTTATTACCCCAAGAAACATATTTGTTTATAATAGGGATACATAAACATATGATATATATAAAACAATAAAAAAAAACTAATTAACAAGTTATGTCAATATAACATAATAATTAAAATAAAACCATTCCAAGTATTCAAATGAGAATAAATTGCTCCGTTTATTGTGTCATGAGTATATATTTTTTCATATTGACTTTGAATCTTGTTTCATCATCAATATGTTTCGAATCATAAGGTAATGAATTATATAAAATGATTCCGTTGTAGAATACTGATTGTTTGCCAATGATGGAGTTATATGGGTTTGCTATTAAGAGGGGTTTAACCCTATGAGCGATCATTGGGGAAACAAGGAACGGCAGAAATCAAAATACTCGAAGCTCGCTAAATAAATTCAAGATTTTTTTTCACGGATCGTTTCTAGAAGGTTGGATCTAGGCATCTCTCGGAGTACTTTTTCAAATTTTTGAAAAAAAATAGTCGAAAAAAATTCCAGAAAATTGACCAGATTCACTATTTTTTTTCTCACTAGGTATATATTTTTTTTGAAAAGTACTTCGAGAGATGCCTCACTTATATATTTATCTTCGTTGTCAAAAAAATTCGCAAGGATCCATTCAAAATATCACCATCAAAAGTGATTTTTGCTGGACCTCTGCAGACGCAATTTTGGATCATTTTTCTTCACTGATACGAGCGCCCTCACACGAATATGCACTTCTACATGGATACTATGAATGATTGAATGAATAGTGAATTCATTCATGAAAAGTAGCACTGAAGATATTCAGAAAATTTCAGCACTGGAGATGAAACCAAAAGAAGTTTTAGATGGGTTGATTGAATTTTTGTATACGACGTATAGGTACGTTTATTAGGTAACCCATATATAATAAAAATACGTATGGTTTGCAGGTAGGACACCAATTCCAATAATTTCAAAATGCGAATATAAGGAATGCCAGAAGTTCCATCATATTTATTCTAGGTAATAACTGGTATTATATAATATACGAGTTACATATATTTTAATATTCTTGTCAACATTAAGAATTTGCCTTCTGGAAATAGATAAACAGAGAAATTTCTCATTGAAGAATAATAGTTTCGCTCCAGGTGACTCACCCAATTAGCTGATAAAAGATTGAACATGTTTGGCAAGCGGCAAGCGATGGACATAAAGGCGGTGAGCATAAAAGCGGCGGACATAAAGGGTCCGAAAATCCTGGAATTCGTGTTATACACGGGGGATTGGAATATTGTTTTTGTTCAGTTTACTTCAGTATTCCGACAGTGACATTTGCGTTTTTCAATATTTGTGCATTATTTGTGTGAGCAAAAGTTATAATGCCGAGAAGTAATTATCGAACTGGTAATAAATACCGCAGAAGACAATCTGTCAAAATATACCTCGCAATGATGAATGTTGGCAAAATAAAATGTAATCGAAATAGTGGATAGTAGATTCGAAAGGAATATGGAGATTACAAAGTGAAGTTGTTCCTGTAATATATACAGGGTGTCTCAGGTTTAGCTCGTCTAACTTTGACTATCGAAAGCAAAAATTGAAATATTATACACGTATTTATTTGTTTTGTCGTGGAGACACTTGTTTTCTTTATACGGGGTGTTCGAGGTCGCATGAATTTTTGGTTTTTATTTTTTATTTTTGTTGAAATCAAACCTATAGATTTGACATTCGGTAAGCACTTTCCTATCTGTTATATATGAACTGTCCCTATCCTTCTTAGTTTCCTTGTTATTCGAAATAATTTTACACCTACTATGCATATATAACAATTTTATAACCTAAATGCGTTTATCTTACATCAAATTATCATTCGAATTGAATATTGAATGGTTCACGTACACGAAAGATATTGAAACAAATGAAAAACACAAAGTGTGGTGAAGAAATAATAATGATTTTTCATTAGCTTCGATCCACCCACAAGCGTCCCAATAAAAAAAAATCTGACGAGTTCCATGTCAGAGGGCTCGAAAAAGAATAAAATCGTTACTCCCATTGGGGGTGACGATAACACCCAGTTTTTTCAATGGATAAGGACTGTTCATATTGCCGATAGAAAAGTGCTCACAGAATTTCAGATTGCTAGGTTTTGTTTCAACTGAGACAGAAATTAAAAACCAAAAATGTTTGCGATCCTTAACACCCCGTATAATTAAAACATGTTTCTCCATGACAAAACAGAAAAATACGTATCTAATATTTTGAGTTTTGCTATCGATTGTCAAAGTTAGACGAGTAAAACCTAAGACACCCTGTATATGGCGTTGTATATTACACAATATAAATTCTGCTTATACAAACCAAAAAATTCCACTCATGTAATAGTTATTTTTCTTCCCCTGTAACAATGCATTTTGATATTCCATTTGCATTAAATTTGTCGTCAATCAATAAATTTAATCATGTATAGGTGAGTGCAAGTTATTCGAATAGCAGTATTTTTCTGTAAAAAATTCCCTATCTTGAACTGTTTTTGCTGCCTTTCTATTATTCAGATTCGCACTTTCGAATTATATTTTTGCAGTTGAGTTGATACATACCACTTATTTATGCTCATATAGGGTATACCGGGTATATTTTTTTGAAAACTTCTCACCCCCACAATATTTAACATTTTTGAGGGGCTGGCGGCTGGCATCATCAGTGAAGGCAAAGGGGATGAAACGAGCAAGGTGATTTTTACGTGAAAACATGTCCTCCTCATAGTTATTAGTGTAGAGGGACACAAGGTGAAAGTAATCAAAAAAAATTTTGGAAGTAGAAAGATATCAGATCCTCACTATCCTATCTAGAAACAATTGACTACTTTTTTCTATGGTACCGAAAAAAGTTATAAACGAACAAACTCAGAAATTACAAAAAAAAATCTACTTCGCATGTAAATGTATAAACATGGTATAAACCTTTGTAACTTGGAGACTACATAACTTAGATGCCTCAACTTCTCATCATTTTGTTGAGGATATGATGAAGATTCGATCGGATTCGATCCATGGTATATAAACTGGCAAAATTGAGTTTTTCATATGAGAAAATAAATTTTTTGTCACGCATCACATGAGTAATTTAGCATTAACACCTCTTCAATTGATAATAACTTTCTTTGTCACGATATGAATTTCAATTCTTTTCTCCCATCTAGATAGATTGAAGTGTAATGAACAATTTGTTTCGAATAAACTTTTCGCACGTTTCAAAAATAAACTTTTTATAGCGCTTTGAGTGATAACGTACAACTTCAGATAGGTCATGCACAGTGAGTGAGACAGAGTGCGATAGATACTGGTGCATGAGTGCGGAACGAAGATGAAGGAATATCAAGAGCTCCATCCACAGATATGATGAATATAATAGATTTATATCGATAAATTTACATATTTGCTCGCTAAGAATGTCAATTTTAATATAAAACATTGAATCTAACTAAAATTTATCACACATTCCTCTCAAAGACTCTGAAAAAGTTTTTTATCATAAATATACCATATTGGTATACTATAGTTTTTCCAGCTGTATAATGTTGATCAATTTTTCTGGGGACTCATGTTTGGAAAATTCTAGCATCTCCCAATAGATATCTTCTTGGTATTTTTTCTTTACCATTTTCACTTCGTTGCCTTTGAAGTGAATTATTTTGGGACCATATTCATGAACTGAAGTTATTTACCTACATATTCAACCAAGAACGCTCCTTTCTCCATTCCCAAATGAGACAGTTATCCTCCCCGAATCTTTACTGTTTGTTCTTGTCTAGAGCACGTAAACGCCGCTGTATCGTTCTCACTCGTGCGCTCGGATGGCCTCTTACGCATTAGACAATAAATGCTTCTACAAAGTTCATTTTTGAAACGTGCGAAAAGTTTATAGGAAACAATTTGTTGCTTACATTTCAATCTATCGAAAGATATCATAAAAATCGAAATTCATATCGTGAACTAAAAAGTTATGATAAACTGAAGAGATGACAATGGAAATTTTTTCGCGAATTCTGTACAAAATGATAAATTTTGGATCGAAAAATAATGCAATTTCCCAACATATTATATATGAATCGAATCTCCAGAATATGCTTGATCAAATTATGAAAAGACTACGTATATAAGTGTTATAATTGCGAAGTTACAAGGGTTTATATATTTACGCGCAAAGTTATTTTTTTCTTAAATTTTCGAATTTGGTCGCCTATAACTTTTTTCGGTACCATAGAAAAAAGTAGTCAAGCTGGAATATTGTGTAATAATCATATATATTCAAGGTGGTGAAGGTCCTATATCTTTCTACTCCGAAAAAAAAAAGTCTGTAAGGAAGGGGATTGTGCCTCGTTCTCCTCTATACACTAGATGTATATTGCCTAAAGCACAACTTGTACGCTGTGCCTGTGGGTATTCGGAGAATTCAGCGACCGCAGATGCATAGGGGTAACACTCAAGGCCGCTTTTACTATAAATGTTGAAATATTTTACGCTAGAATGAGTTGGAGTGAGACACTAGACGACTTCCTTCGTTATCGGGCCCCGCCTCCTTCGGACAGGATTTTTACTTCCCCCTTTACACCTTAGATAAAGTTTGACCTTTTTCAGAGGGTAAACCCCTCCTTAATGAATTCAACTGTCTCGTTGCATGAGTATGAATTGTATTTACTTCAGTAAAGTTCAAGTTGGATATTTTAATTTTTTTTCTCACAAAATGAATAAAAGAACAAATTTTCATTTTATATGAAGATGATAAATTCAACAGATTTTTTGGTTTGTAAAGATTAATAGTTGGTTCCAGGTAACGTAAATTGTAAATGCACTTAATTGTTTTATTTTGTAATTTCATTAATGGTTTCAAATGTGCTATACTTGTGCTTCCCCAAATTGATATTAAATATTGTAATTTTGAGTAAATCAGACAGAAATATATATTCTTCAAATAGTGAGAAGAGCGGGCGAGTGAGAGAGCGAGAGTAAAAGCAAAAATGAGAATAGAGAGAGCAAAATGAAGAGCGAAGAGAAGAGAGAGCGGAAGTGAGTGAGTGAAAAAAAAATTGGTGAAACAGAGTGAGCGGGTGAGTGAGTGAATAAGTGAGTTAGTGAAAATGAGAGTGATACAGTGAGAATGACAGTAATATAATAAGAGTGAGACAAAGATAGTGAGAGTGCGACAGAGATAGTAAGAGTGAGACAGAGATAGTGAGAGTGAGACAGAGATAGTGAGAGTTAGAAAGAGATAATGAGCCACACATCAATAGTGAGACATACAGAGTGACACAGTGACACATTTGAAAGTGGGCCAACTTCATTTTTTTTATGGAGCGATTTTCACAATTTTTTTTTCTGAAATGTAGAGGGAGGAAATGTCTATTTTGGAGCCCAGCGGCATCCGTTTTTTTTTTCAAACCAAGCCCTACTAGATAACATTCAGAGGCTGAAGAGTGCCATAATCCTTATTATCGATTATTTAAAAAAAATCCGCGTACACTACTGGAATTGGCGTCTTCTGAGAGAGGTCTGAACCAAATATTCAACATTAACGAATCTACAGCGTGTCTCATTTCAAACGCGCCACCCCCCTCTCTATATCATAGCTATTAGTTGGGCGATCTTTACCAAATTGGGATCGTTATGGATGATCATCAATATGATCAGTTGTTCACAGATCTACCTCCTTTTGGACAGTGCCGTGCGTTTTTATTAAAATAAAAAGGGTTAAATTTTTATGAAATCATATTAGGATATATCAACCCAATTCTCTTATGGAATGTATTATCATCACATGAAATGCAAAACAAAAGTAAGTACCTACTATAGTCACTCACATATAGTTTTCATTTTTGAAATTTGGTAATTTCTCTGATTTCTTATCGGAATTCCTTCTGCAATAGGAGCTAATAGAAATACTCGTGAAATTTTCAAAAGAATGCAAGAAGATTGGATTCATGCAATCAAACGGGAGGACTGGTCTGACATGCTGACGAAATATGATCGTGTGTGTTGTAGACATTTTCAATCTTTTAGCAGTATTAGCTTCTATTGCAGAAATGGCAGAAGGAATTTCAATGAGAAATTACATAATTTCATACTGAAAACTATGTGGGATTACTATTTACCTGAAAAATCACATTCCTTCCTCTCTCGCTGCATTTTTTGTGCCTTGTACAAAATGAAAACTATATGTAAGTGACTATAGTAGGTTCTTACTTTTAAATCATAATGTACCAACCGGATTCCTTCGTCTCTCGCTGCATTTTTTGTGCATTGAACAACAGCACTATGTGATGGCATGCGCGAATCAATGAATAGCCGAAAAACACGATTCATATGCCAAAATAATTGTGAAAAACGAATAATTCAATTATTTGTAAACAAATAAAAAAAGTGAGGTTCTGTTTCAATGTCTCACCTCCAGGGTCGGTCATCTCACAGTTTTTGCACGCAACCCATTAGGTGAATTGAAAAGAAAAAGAGCATAATATATGTCTCATTTTATTCACTAATTGTAAAATAGAAAAGAATAGAAGTTCAGCTGTCTCCGAATTCTAATTTATCAATACCATCCAGTGACTTTGGAGAAAACAAGACAGGTGGATGCACCTCCATATTGAGTACTGACCGATCAAAAAGTGAACAACTATTGTCGTCACTCTATAAAGTCACTCTAAATTTGATGTTTCTTTTAGCACCATCATCTACTCACTCTAGTGAGACAAAGATAGTGAGAGAGAGGTAGTAAGAATGGTAGTGAAAGTGAGAGAGATATAGTGAAAGTGAGAGTGAGATAGTGAAAGTGAGAGAGAGATTGTGAGACTGAAATAGAGAGGAGAGAGAGAGATAGGACAGAAAGAGAGTAAGATAGAGAAAAGGAGAAGGAGAAAAAGTTGACCAATGAATAATGATGAAGTATGGATACGGATGAAATAAAACTGCTGAGTTTTATAGACGTATATTATTATTACTGTCCTATCGAGTTTTTTTTTTCACATTTTTCCATTTTGTTGCAGGGACTTTTTGTTGTGCCTGCTGAAATTCCCGAAGGTGCTGGTGGCCGGCATACAGGGCGAGTGCGTCGGCCTGGGCGTGACGATGTTGCCGCTGTTCGACATGGTGATCGCCAGCGATACGGCCACCTTCGGCACCCCCTATGCCAGCTTGGGCTGCCAGGGGGAGGGGGTGATCCTCCTGAACTACCCCAATCTCACCAACAACGGATTGGTAATTTGTTTTCTCTGCTCGTATTGTTTTCGCAAATTTCAGAGTTCCTGAACGGTTTTTTGTTTGGGAAATTATCGATTGAGTATGCTTACCCGTTATATTGTAGCTAAACCAATACGAGATTGCTATATTCCAGTCATTTCCCGAAATGATCACCCCAATTGTATAGCATTTCATACTTTATCATTATCCCCACGGGTACTACCCTGTGTCCGAATCCTCGTTTCAAAATTATTTAGTCGTTTCTTGTTTTTGTTGAATACTGAAAGAAGCGAGCTCCCGTTTTTATAATAAAGTAAAAATTTCGAACGTTGTGGCTCTTGGGAATGTCTAGTGCGTAAAATATATCCAAGCTGATATCGTCAACCAAAAAGTTTTCCCCAATTTCGAAAGTGTTTGCCATTGAGTGCACAGAATCTTTGTGTTCTCATCTGTCCTGAAATATAATTATTTCAGCAACAGTGTGCCTGATCTGTCAGGTGAGTTACGTCATTAAAATATATTGCTTATAGTTTACTGGGCTCGATTATCCTTGCTACTTATTTGTCAATTGTATTTTGATCATATCGCGGGAAAAAAATGTGTACAGTGCAGACTCGATAATCCGAACTAATAAAAACCAAGGCGATTCGGATTACCAAAAAATTCGGATTACCGAAGCAGTTTTTTTTTTAAATTTTTTATTACGAAATGCAAAAAAACCATAAATACGAAAAAGTAACACTAAAATATGCATAAAAGTAAGAATAAACACAATATTATTTCCTTCCTTGCGTAATGTGAATCCCAGATACTGACAAAAGAACAATTAGGGGAATCCCTGAACATTTCACTCACAATTTCTATAGGAAATAAATAGGCCTAAAGGTATAGGTTCGGATTATCGAATACTATGAAATTCGGATTATAGAGTACTCAATGTATTAAAAATGCTTGTTCGGACTACTGAAGAATTCGGATTATTGAACGTTCGGATTATCGAGTCTGCACTGTATTTGGGTTTCTGTCAGTTTTTAGACGCATGCTACGATTGGGTGGAATTAAAACTTGGTCTGTCCGACTTACCGAGTTTTTCTTACCCAGAAACCACATTAACAGTGTGGACCCATATAAACTACCCCTTGAAATTAAGAGAGTTTCGCCGCAAGCTGTAGATGTTTTTCATCATCATCAGTGACCTGCAAGTGTTTCAAACAACCATGTTGCCGTACAAATTTGGTGATAACTTTCCAGAGGTCGGACTGGAAACTCCAGAAAGATATTCCCTTCAGAAACATTTTTTGTCTAGACGATTGGTACAATTTTACGCCTTTCTGGTTCGTTTTTTCAGTAAATATTGCTGAAGAATGATTTTAACGTATACATTAAAAACATTCTCCGAACATTCTAAAGGGGGCTGTGAGAAATAGTTTTATGAAAACTTTGGTAGTGGATATTCTCAAAAAAAAACTCGAAAACTTTTTTTTTAACGCTTGGAGCGCACGAAAGGGAATCCCTATAATGTTCAAAGAACATCGTGCGTTCCTAGGGAGGATAGGGATAGGAGGTAGGTATTGGATTTTTTTTTGAACTTCTGGAGATTATATGTTGTTGGGAATACTTCCTCAGGCAATGAATTCCAGAGCCTAGCCGTTCTATGGATGAAGGAGTTTTGATAAAGTGCTGTTCGACATCTTTCGAGGTTGACAACGAAAGGATGTGCTGACTGGGCTTGTCTAGTTCGTCTGACTGGTATTGCTAGTGAAGGGATGATAGCAGAGATTTCCGAAGAACATTTCCCGTGGAAGTATCGATAGAAAAGTGAAAGGTCGCCGACCTTTCTACGGTGTTCCAATGATGTCAAAGAGTGAGTGAGTGTGGCGTCACCCACCAGGCGGATGGCTCTTCTCTGGATGGAATCTAAGAGCATCAGCGTATGTTTTGGTGCTGAACCCCATATGTGGGAACAGTATTCTAGAACAGGCCGTATCTGCGCTTTGTAGATCATGAGAAGCTGTTGAGGTGTAAAGTAGCTTTTCGCACGGAACAAGAATCCGAGTTTTTGTGAAGCAGCTTTTGCGATGGATCTGACATGATTATCCCATGAAAGAGTGTTGCTGATGGAAATACCGAGCATAGATATGGTGGGCTTGGTGGGGATGGTGGAGCCAGACATTACAATATCGGGCATACTGAGTTCCGCCTTTCTAGAGAAAATGCAGGCTTGGGTTTTGGTGGCGTTGAGTTCAACTAGGTTGTTCGTTCCCCAGGCTGTGATTTCAGCAAGATCTTCATTGACAGCATTGACCTGCCTGCGCCGTGAGTTCTTAGTTTCCTGGGAAGAAATGGGAATTCTGGAAGAGAACGCAGTATGGAGGGTACTATCATCTGCAAAGCTTTGGATGGGGCAAGTTGTTACTCCCAACAGATCATTGATATGAAGCAGGAATAATGAAAATGTTGTCATATGCAGGTGGGTTATCCTTTGATCTACATTCTCCTTAGGTTTGACGTGGTCTTTACGGGACACCCTGTATATCTAACACATTTTGTACATCAAAATGGCACATCTGTGAGTGTGCCTGATCGTCCCTCCGCGTGACGCAGAGGTGGCTGGTATTGGCCAAGGAATGTGAGTGGATATGCGAGGTGTTCGTCACAGAGACCTATCTCCTAGGGCTAGGCCCTTTATATAGGTAATCTCGCTGAAGGTACCCAAGAGGGTGGGGGAGCTGTTCAGACGCGATCAGTGTGGGGAGAGGCTCACGTTTTCTTGGAGGAAAAAAAATTAAGTGGAAAAAACCATAAAAACCTCCTTCTTGTTTTTCTCGGGCAGTTGTACTGCACATTTCTGTGCAGCAAATTTGCCCAAGTTCAGTGACTGGATGTGATTTGTCATGTCCACGGCACTTTTTTATCTTCCTGATTGGGAGATAGTCCTGTCTAGGGTCTCTTGATGGAAATTGACATTAAAGTCATCTAACAGGGTACGGACAGATCATAGCTGCATTCTTTTTTTAATGATCTAGAGACTTTAGTTTTGTCTACTGGCATCCCTGACATTGCTGTCACGTCACATCCATGGGCGCTACAGAAAATCATTCTAAATTTTAATAATAGGTATGTACAGGGTATTTACTTGTTGAGGGAGATCATATTGCGAACGAGTTTTGTAATGGGCGTGTACACCTTAATGGAACTTTCAACTCAAACCATGTTTATAATGATCCTTTTATACATGAATAATGATTGACGACATAATTCGATCGAAAAATTAACTGGAATGTCTTATTTTTGGACATAAATAATAGTACCTTCTGAAAACGGACCCTCTTATGACGTAGAAACCTCATCTCGCCATAGTTAAAAGAAAATACCAAATGCCCGACGGAGACTGAGGCAACTGATATATTAATTCTTTCAACTGTGATCTCGCGCTAATTTACTCTGTCAGAAATCATGTATCATTCATCTCTGTCTGGAATAGTCTTGTTTCAGTATTAGGGTTTTGACGTCACATCATCGCCTCGTTCTCAGAGGTCCGAAAAATCGTGGATTTCAATAATTTTGTATGAAATGTAGGGAGCTCACAGCAAGAAACGGTTTGCGGTGGTGAGCTAGTTTGGGTGAGTTCTATCGAATTATTAAATGAAAATTTTTTGTGATATGAGCCCATTATGATCCGATTCTATTCAAAATTGGAATATATCTGGGGTTTTCCGGGGTTGGAGATAATGATTGGAAAATTCAAGATGTCGGATCCAATATATAGCGAAAGAAATTTCTAATTATGATCTGATTCTATTTATGATTAACATCTGAGGGTTTTCGGGGTCGAATTTTATGATTTTTTGTCAAGTTTGGGAAATTCAAGATAGCGGATCCAATGAACATCAAAATTGGTATCTGGGGATTTCCGGGGTCGAAGATTTTAATCATTTCGTCAGAATTGGGATATTCAAGATGGCTGATCCAATATGGTGGACGAGTTTTTTAATGAAGATCCGATTTAAAATTGGTATCCGGGGGTATTCATCGGGGTAGGAGATAATGATTGTATCGTAAAAATCGGAAAATTCAAGATGACGGATCCAATATGGCGAAAGACATCAGTTTATATAATTATTAATCTACCACAAATAGAAAATATGTAGGATGCAAGAGTGAAAATAGCGTGCCTATAAGTTATACTGCGCATACCTACTTCTTTGTTACTTTCATCAATAAATTATTCGAAAATGACTTTTTATTCAAGGGAGACGAAAAAATGAGGTAAAGTATATTCTATTCTTTATTTTCCTACATATTTTTCGTATTTCTTTTAGTCAGCCTACTGTTCGTCCAAGACGAAGTTTTATACATAGTGTGATATTAGTAACTCCATAAATTCTTCTCCGAGTTGGATTTCCGATAATATATTTAGCACACATGACATATGAGTACTACAGTAGTTTAGATACCCACATCGAGGTTTCCACCATTTCTCAATCATAAGGCTTTGCTCATTCAGCTCATAGATAAACTACTGCTCAGCTTGAAATCAGAATTCATTCAGTCAATTCAGTCAAACCTGGTATACAGTCTAAGAACAGTCTCTTTGTTGGTGGAATACAGTATAAGCTTTCAGTACAATTGATATGTTCCCTACCTCGCAAAGATTATGCTGGAGTAGTAAACTCTAAATCTAGAGGATTGTTCATGTATAGTTGAATCAGGAATTCCATATGGAAATTACGTATGATACGCCAGTGACCTCAATATAACCTAAAAAACAACGAATGTCAAAAATCTAGTGTTTATCCCCAGAATTGAATAAGGATGGAACTATATAACTGTTTCACAAACGTTATGAGTGAGAGGAGACGAGGATCTGTCCGTACCCTGTTAAGATGACTTAAACGTCAATTTCCATCAAGGGACCCAAGTCCTGTCTAGATCCCCCCGGTGTCTCGGGTATGTCCGAGAATCCGGGGAGATTCCCAACTATAGATTATCAGGTTCTCTAAACATATCGGTTGATGCATATATCAGCCCGTGTTTTCGTGTATGTTATGGTGTTGGCGTAGTGTGGTGATGTTCGGGGTAAGGTCACTTCCAGCGATGTGGTATTTGTAGAATTTATTTGATATTTTCAGAATGTATTCGTTGATTCTAGGCAAATTACCACATCTCGTGGGGTTCTGCCACTCGAGAGTATCTATCACCGTTGGTGATAATACGAAGTACTTAATAATAATAATACGCGTATGTTATCACAGGCCTGATGACCTGTTTGTACACCAGGACCTTGTTCTCCAACGAAAGTGCAGAGGTCCTGGATAACAAGGTGTACATCTTTTTTATGGCTCCCTGTGTCTTCTGGATGAGATAATTGGTGTGGGGCCTGAGACTCATACATACGAGTGTCCAGTTTAACCCCCAGGTACTTCACGGTGCTCGTGTCTGTCACCTCAACCCCTTTGACGGTCAAAGGTCTGTGTAGCTTGGAGTCATTTTTTTTTTCTTGTGACTTCAGTCTTCTCACTATCCACACAGATCTTTGACTCGTCAAAGTACGGCACGATTCCCCTGTCCAGATGAATATGGATTTGCTGTCTGGCAATATCCGAGACAGACGAGTGAGCATAAATCGCCCAATATGATATGAACGGCTAGTGCCTTACCTGAGAAGCTAGGGTGATGACGTGACACTTTTTTTTTCTTCTTTTCCAGACCGCTGAACTTTTATATGCTGGAACGACTCTGACCGCCGACGAGGCCGTTCGACGAGGCCTCATTTCCAAGTTGTGTTGGCCGGAAAAGTACAAGGACACATTGAAGAGTATCCTGTCGTCGATATCGCAAGGCTCGAATCAGGTAAGCATTGTCAATAGCTTGAAAATTTTGTACCTTTTGGGTGCCTTGATGCCTCGATTCGACGTATCTGTCGTTTGGACAGATTTCACAAACTGGCATCAAGGCACATCTAATCTATTGATAGAGTTTTTATTTCGATTGAGTACTTTTTCGACGCCCGGTATCTTCTGATGGAACTTATTTATTCATTTATAGAATCAAGTAAAATCTACATATTTTGTCATTGAATATTAATTACATCTAATAACCTAGAACTAGCCATACGCTCACTGGACTCAAAAAAATGTGCAGGTCCTGACGATATTCCAGTATCGTTCATTAAACAATGCAAAGACAACTTAGTTCCACCTCTCTTATATAATTATAAGTTATCTCTTCGAAATGGTATCTTTCCTTCTAAATGGAAAGCCTTTCAGATTATTCCAATTCACAAAAGTGGTGATAGACACAATATCAAAAATTATAGACCCATAAGCAAATTATGCATTTTCGAGAAGATTATTTACAACGTAATCCTTGATCAAGCTAGAGGTATAATAATTCAAGAACAACACGGATTCTTTCCTCTAAGATCGATAGAAACGAATTTGATAGATTTCACAAACTTTTTGCTAGACTCAATGGACGATCAAGTTCAGGTGGATGATGTGTACACCGATTTCAGCAAGGCTTCCGATAAAATTAGTCACAACATCTTGATACAATGACTGGCTGAAGTTGGTGTGAGCACATTCCTATTGCGATGGATTTGGTCTTACTTGGTTGGCAGGACACAGGTGGTAACACTCAACGGATTCAATTCAGATTCCTTTGAAGCAACATCTGGGGTCCCCCAAGGCAGTCACTTAGGACCATTGTTCTTCATAATTTATATAAATGAAATAATCAAATCTTTAAAATTTTGTTCAATTCTATTATTTACTTGAAAGTTCATCACACTGTGAAGGATATAAGCGACTGCAGAAAAATACAAGAAGATTTGAACCGTCTTTCATTATTCTGTGATGATGATAGTCTATTTTTGAACCTTGACAAATGCATCTCAATCACATATACCAGGAACAAGGATAAACTCAATTATACATACAAAATCAAAAACCATGAGCTGAAATCAGTATCGGAAGTTGAAGATCTCGGGGTAATCATGGACTCCAAATTGACATTCAAATCGCACATAGAAAAAAAATCAACGAATGCAATAAAATGATTCTTAAAAAGAAGTTGTCACAGTTTTAGGAATATAAAATGTCTTTTGAGTATTTATTATGCTTATGTGCACAGTAAACTTTGTTTCGCATCTGTTGTTTGGAATCCCCAATATCAAATTCATATTGACAGAATTGAGAGGGTACAGAAAAAATTTCTTAGATTCATTGCTTACAAATCGAATATCGAAATAATAAATAGTGACTACACACCACTGATGCGTGAACACAGGATGTTAGCTCTCAAAGATAGAAGATATGTTACAGATCTATTAACAATTTTCAAACTAATGAAAGGACTAGCGCAGAGTCCAAACCTTGTTTCGAAAATTGAATTCAATGTTCAAAGTAGATTACTTAGACGCCTAGAAATTTTCAAAATTTCTTTAAAAAAACAAACGCTGCACAAAATTCACCATTATGTAGGATGCTCAGAATATTCAACAGCACCTGTAATGATCTGAATAATTTCAAACTAAGTCTGGATTGTTTTAAATTCAAAATGAAGAAATATTTCATCGACCATCTCTAGACCATCTCCAGGTTGGTGCCATACAAGCGATCGCATTAATTTTCACTGTATATGTATACCATTTCCTTCAATACTCTTCACTTTTCGTTATTTTGTTTATAATATATTTTGATTTTTGTTAAGCCCACTAGAAAATTATGTAGAGGGTTCTGTTTTGGATTTTCAATCTGTTTGTAACCCCTATTTAGGTAAATAAATAATGTATAAATGCGTTAACGTTAGGACAGGTTCGCACCAGATAGCGGTCAAGAATGCTATCTGGGACAGCCCTGTACTGATGAGAGCCAAAAGCTCGAAACCGGTTTGCAGGTAGCCACGCGTTCCTGAACCGCTTAGGCTCAGCTTGGCGTTTAGAAAGAAAAAATTCGTGATTTTATTCGCGTATATGAATTATTGCATGAATTTTGGGTGGATGTAATCCAATGTTCTGCGTGGCATATAGCCAGGAAAGTAGTTGTTTTTCTCTCATCTACAATTTTCGTTCATTTTATGAACTATTGTGATAATGACTTTGAGTTTCTCTCTTTGTGACCGTTACGTCGTCACACACTGTATATTATATTTGAGGTCATACTCTGTATATGTCGAGACGACAAGTGCTGACAGTGACTTACAAAGTGGAAAAAGTCATCAGACTATATTATTACAGAAACACTTTAACAGACTACTCTACAGTGACCTTATTATTATCTTCATTATTCCCAAGAAACATACATGTTTATAGCAGGGAAAATTATGAAAGAGCAACTAAAAAAACAAAAATTAGATAATCAGATAATCATTTTTAAATCATATACATAATACATATAATGTTGTTTCTTCTAGAGACTGTTGAATATAATTTCTTGAATTGATTCAGGATGACATGAAGAGAATCAAAGACATAAGTATTTTTTCAGTTCTTTTTTGAATTTTTCAACACTTAATTTTTTCTTTAGTCTGGCAGGTAATTCATTATAGAGAATTGTTCTATTGTATAAAATAGATCTTTTACCCATATCTGATTTAATTTTGATGAGAGTTAACATATCTTTTTGTCTGGTTATGTGTTCGTGTTTATGACTATTGATTTCAAAATTCAGATTTGAATGTTTATAATTGTATTTGACAGAATGGATGAAATTCAATATTTTTAATTTGTAAATGGAGTTTATATCTAACAATTGCCTAGGTTTATAAAGATTTCTTGTTGGTTCCAAGTAATCTAGTTTGTATATACATTTAATAACTTTGTTTTGAAGGATTTTGATTGGCTTCATGATTGATAATCTAGCTGTACCCCAAACTGAAATCAAGTATTGTAATTTTGAATAAACCAAGGAAAAATATATACATTTCAAGTATTTCAAAGTGATTTGGTGTCCGATCCTGTAGAGTACTCCGATTACTGGAGATATTTTCTTTCTGATCGATTCAATATGTTTGGACCATGACAAATGTTCATCAAGGAATATTCCAAGGAATTTGATGGCTGTGGAATATTTGATGATTTCATTATTAAATTTGATATCAAATTTGATGATTTCATTATTAAATTTGATATCAAATTTTAGTTCACTTGAGAGGCGTCGTTTAGAGATATACATGAATGCTGATTTGCTGTAATTTATACTCAATTTATTATAGGACAACCATGAAGATAAAATAATCAAGTCACTTTCAATTGCATTTCTGATTTGTTGGATTGAGTCTGCGGAATAAATCAATGTAGTGTCATCAGCAAACATGTAAACTTTTTCTTTCAATTTGATGTTAACAATCGAGTTGATATATATCAAAAATAAAACAGGGCCTAAGATTGGCCCTTGTGGTACTCCACATATAATGTCATTAGCTGTACTTGAAACTGTTCCTTGATAAACAAATTGCTTTCTACCACTCAAATAATTTTGAAACCATTTATGAACTATACCTCTTAGCCAAGTTGGTATAACAAATTGAGGAGAATTTCATGATTCACAGTATCAAATGCCTTGCGAAGATCTATTGACAGAAGACCACACATCTTATTAGCATCTAGTTGCGTTTGAAATTCTGTTACAACATCCAAAACAGCTGACTCTGTGTCACAAGATTTGCGAAAGCCATATTGATGGTTGTAAAGATATTCTGTTGCCTCTAAATAATCATGCAGTCTGTTATTCATTCCACTTTGAGTATTTGGCTTTTTTGTCTATAACTCTCAGAATATTTTTTGCAGAGCTTAGAAGCAACCAAAAAGCAACTGAGAGGCCATCTGTTCAACGACGCCGAAGCAGCTATCAAGGCGGAAACGAACGCCCTCATCGAGCAGTGGCTGAGCCCCGAATGTCAGGCGAGTTTTTCGAAACTATAAAAAAATACTGAATACTATTCGAGCGCGGAAAAGAGTGTCATCGTTTCGAAATCGCGAACCATGTGGTACAAATGGATTTTATCGTAGATGTAATTGGAATTCTTCGCACGCAAACAAATTCACCTCGTGCGTTAATTATATCTCGCGGATGGCTCATTGGAATGCGTGTTTCAAACAAAAACATATTTTTTTATATTTTCATAAAGTTAGCGTCTAGGTGAATATATTCGTCTGTCCTATGTTTAGGACTCATTCAGTCATTCTAGATCATAAAACGTAGTAATAATTGATGTTTTCTTAGTGTGAAACGAAATTTAAATATTTCACCGACTGTCTGCACAGCAATCGACTATGGTGATTATCCAAAGATGGTGCAATTTTTGATAACTATCTCTATTCTTCAGGCAAGCCATAATTTCCAGACTTCTACTAAACTACTTACCAGATGAAGTGGGACAGACAAAAAATTTACTAATTTTGATATGCTATAAGTCGAACATTTCCTGACCGATGTTGAATTTCCAACCAGAGGTAGAAAGCGCCATTTTTGGGTTATGCGTCATTGGCGTCGGGTTTTTATTTTAGCGATTCGTTCTCTTTGTACAGAGTGTGAATTAAGAGCCGGAAAATTTTCAAATTTTCGACCAATAATTTGGGAAATGTGAAGGACCCTAGAATTATTTTTTAGATGTTGGGTGAATGGTTGGTCCGATACCTCGAGACGTCTTTGAAATTTTTGTGATAAATTGAGTTGCTATGGAAAAATCGCCATTTCATGAAATTCCATTTTTATCTCAAAATGTGGCCCCTTTTGGTTCAACAATAACAGCCAACATCTAAACTGCTACAAGCGATATTTCTACTGGAGATAATCAACACCAGTGGCGCGCAAAAAGGGTTTTATGATATTTAGAAATGGAAAATTAGTTTTCATTGAAAAAATTCAACAGTTTAATTGATCATTACAGTTGAAGAAGTGTCATACTCTCAATTAGCATGATGTTGACAAATTCAGAGGCGTGTAAAAATAGGCTTATGATGTTCAGAAACGAAAAAAACGTTTTTATCGAAAAAAAAAAAACAGCAGATTTGTTGATCGTTACAGTAAATAAGTTGCTATACATTTAATTAGCATGATGTTGACAAGTTCAGAGGCGTGCAAAATGTGATTCTACGTAGACAGATTGAAATTTCATTTCCATAATTTATTTCATTTTCATTTATTCGGCGTACAAAAAAAAAACATATGCTTACGTAAGTATATAAGAGAACATTATTCAAGGAACTAAAAACAAACCCCAAATAAATGAATATTTTTTCTGACAAAATTATCAAAATTTTCACTGGGCGAACAAAGAATAACACTTGATGAAATTATTAAAAATGTTTTCCCTATCAAACTGAATCGCCTTGAATGGTGGATCCTCTATAATACGCCAATGGATTACTTGGAAGATCACCTTAAATAAATAAAAAACAATGATAATGAGACTGGAATTTTAATTTGTCCACATTACATCACCTTTTACACGCCTCTGAATTTGTCAACATCATGCTAATTAAATGTATGGCAACTTTTCAACTGTAACGATCGATAAAACTGTTGATTTTTTTCAATAAAAAGGTTTTTGTCGTTTCTAAACATCATAAACCCCTTTTTCACGCGCCTCTAAATTCGTCAGTCATGCTAATTATAGGTATGACATTTTTTCAACTGTAACAATCAATAAAACTGTTGAATTTTTTCAATAAAAACGAATATTTGTTTGTAAATATCATAAACCCCTTTTTGCGTCCTCGTTGCAATTTCGATGTTGACTGTTATTGTTTAACTAAAAGAGGTCACATTCTGAAATAAAAACGGAATTTTATAAAATGGCGATTTATCCATAGCAACCCAATTTATCATAAAAAAAAATTCAGAGACTTCTCGAGGAATCGGACCAACCATTCACCCAAAATCTAAAAAAGAATTCTAGGGTCCCTCACATTTCCCAAATTATTGGTAAAAGATGTGAAATTTTTCCGGCTCTTAATTAACACTCTGTACAAAGAGAACGAATCGCTAAAATGAAAACCCGACGCCAATGACGCATAGCCCAAGGATGACGCTTTCTACCTCTGGTTGAAAATCCAACATCGGTCAAGAAATGTTCGAGTTATAACTTCAAAATCAGTCAACTTTTTGGTTGTCCCACTTCATCTGGTAAGTAGTTTATTATGCAGCTGGGTGGAGTTATAAAATCGAGTAAGCTTATTTCCTTGAAAAATGTAATTGTGCTGTGGATCAAGAAGGTTAAAAATATACAAAGTTGAAATAAATGCAAGTGGAAAAATGTTACAGTTCGAATCTTGTATCCTTCAAACTCTGGCATTATGGCTTGTCTTGAGAATACGCTCTCACACGGTATACACGGTGTTCCGTAATTATTGAAAAAGTTCATGTGAACATCTTTCCGTTTTCGCTATATTTTTAATATGTAGAATGGTAGAGATTTCAGTGAAGAACTGATTTTCCAAATCCGAAAAACTACATTACATACATTACATAGAAACTTGGTGGGTGTAAACAACCAGCATGTGAACTTTTTTCTCGGAATCGGGCATAGATTAACCCTGTTCAATCTCGACATTCGTTCCAGAACACCCTGTATATCCGATGCAAGATTTATTGGTCAATAGTCACGTTCGGTATTTACATCGCAGATTAGAGCAGATTCTAGTCACGTGGTCAAAGATAGATCGGAGCAATCGGCAATAAACGAACAAAGTGGACATTTTGTTGACAGTGTGACGGTAACCTAACCTAACCCCATTTATTTATTTCATTTATTTCAATTTCAATATGAGTATACCAGAAACTACAAAAATATAAAAAAAAATATTTCGAATTTATCATCTAAACACATTAATTAAATGTGTTCACTCACTATTATTTGTGACAATTTCTTCATAATTCTCATCTGACACCATAAAGGTGTGTGTTTTGTCTTGCTCAGAATCAAAAAGTTGTATTTCTTTCATTATGGAAACGTCATTTTGAAAATACGAATACGAGCACAACGGCCAGTCATACATAAACATTTGAACATTAACCTTACAAATTCAGATCAATCGCTTTGCTCGGTGAAAATTCTGCGAGCATTAAGATCTTTGTCAGATCGCTCCGATTTTATTTGCCGAACGGATGAGATCTACTTGCCCTACATCTAGATGTCATAAATGAACGATTCAGATTCATCGGAGCAGTCTGATGTAAATACCGAACGCGACTAATATTCGACTTGCCCCAAGCGGGCAAGACTTGAGCGTACTGGAATGAAATTCTCGACGAAAAGTCAAAATATAGATGAAAAAACAATTCGGACAATTTATATTTGCAAAGCAGAAATTTTCACTGATGGGTGACAGATTTTTTTTTTTTTAATTGTGTCTTACTTTTTTGACCACCGTCGATTAGGAAGAATCATAACTGCAAAAAACATACCGGGTGTCTGCTCCAATGGATGTCATTGATTTCGGAACATGAATATTTCATTTGAGCAAACTATGACTTTCTCATTCCATATATGTTATTTCCGATAGCTCCCTGTACAGGGTGTTTCACAGATACAAGTTCATGAGATTTTTTTAAGTAAGCTTCTAATTGGTAGATTAGAAATGCATTTTTCATCATTTACATGAATGATTTTCACATCTTCAGTTTATTTGAATAATATTATTTATAAACAACCCCTTTAAAATTCTGGATAAAATCGAATTTCTTCAGTAGATGTCCAATAATTGTTTGAATAAACCGTAAAAATTTCATTGACATCGTCTAAGGTGATTTTGAGCCATTAATGGAAAACTCAATTGAAAAAAGACCCCATAATTTGCTAGTTGAAGTTTTTGTCACTAAAACTCTGAAATTTCCTGTATGTCTTTTCCGCTTTGAATTCTTCTCGAAATAATCTTGTGTAATCCCGATATTGACTTCAATAATTCAGAATCTACCTCTTTTGCTATTATTTTTCAATTCAAAATTTCAACTGATTATTTCTAGTACCATTTTGAATGTAAAATACAAAGTGTTATACACCCTTGGATAGTTAATTTTAACCAAGGATATTCCATATGAAGGCCACAGGGGAAAAAGGGGGAATGTCACAATATAGTGGAAACTGACTTGACAGCGCCATCTGATAGCCTAACCACTATATTCTAGTATAAACAGAAGTCCATATAATAACGCAACATAGTCATCTAATATACTCGTTCACATGGAAAAACCGCGGAATGTACAGGGTCATTCCGTATATTTAAACAGCTTCTACAGGGTTCATCATTGAAGATAGAGAAAAACTTCGAAAGCAAAAGTTGGAGGGTTTGTTCTGAACCTCCAGAAAATTACACCAGATGAAATAAATGATATAAAAAATGGGTACCAACTTCGTTATTTTCAATGGAACACCCTATATATTTTTCGAAAAATTACAAGATCTCTTCTGCCTGATTCCAAAAATATATAGGTCATTGATATTTGGTTCAGCCGTTTTCGAGATATTCGAGGTTGAACATTTTAGATTTTACCAAATCGCAACTGCCATGAAAGAAAAAAAAACTCACTTTTATAACTGAAGGAGATGCAATTTCACAGATGTTCGATGTGACCACCGTTGTTTTGTATACATTTTCTGTAGTCTTTATCCAATTTATTTATCGAATTGCAAATGAACTTGAAGTGATGATTGTTCAATATTTTAATACATTCCAAAATTCTTCCTCTCAAATCAGCCAAATTTCTACTTCTTTCCTAATACACTTTATTCTTCAAATAGCCCCATATGAAGTTATCTGAAGGTGTTGATTCTGGACTGTTCGGCGGCCATTCCACTGTTCCAAATTTTCCGATCCACGTTTGATAACGATCATTCAAGTGATGCCGTACGGGCATAACTTGATGAGGTAGCTCGAGATCCCACTGCATTATTATTATTTTTGTAGAATAAACGAATCATTTCAAACTTTCCATCTTCACTGAAACCCATATTTCTTCCGAAATTCTATGCAATGAACATATGACAGAACGTTTTATTGATGACAACTTGCGTATGTGTTGTTTTTTACTCATGGCAATTGCGATTTGGTGGAATCGAATTAAAACTAAATCTAAAATGTTCAACCTCGAATATCTCTAAAACGGCTGAACCAAATATCAATGACCAATATATTTTTGGAATCAGGAAGAAGAGATCTTGAATTTTTTGAAGAATATATAGGGTGTTCTATTGAAAATAACGAAGTTGGTACCCATTTATTATATCAGCGATATTCATTTGTTTCATCTGGTATAATTTTCTGGAGGTTCAGAACAAACCCTACAACTTCTGCATTCGAAGTTTTTCTCTATGTAGAAGCTGTTTTACGTCCAAGCTTAGTGCTTGCTTGAATACAGATTCCATTGTGATTTTAATAGGTTGTTTTCAAACTGTCAAATGTCAAATTGAACTAACTCTCAGGCAAACAAAATATGAGAAAAAAAAAGAGATACGGCCACCTTTTTTTTCATATCTTGGAGCGTCCAAAATGAAATCCCTATAATGTTCGGGGAATATTGTGGGTACCTAGGGAGGATAGGGAGAGGAGGTAGGTATTGAGATGATTTTTTCAACTTTTGGAGATTATAAGTTCTTGGGAATACTCTGTTAGGCAAAAAATCCTAAGCTTCGCCGTTCTATGTATAAACGAGTTTTGGTGAAGAGTTGTTCGACATATTTCGAGGTTGACGACAAGAAGGTGTGCTGACTGGGCTTGTCGAGTACGTCTGAGTGATGGAAATAAAATAATGATATTGCTACATGATGATTCCTACTCATATTGCGTAGAATTTAGAGAAAATGATCAAATTATAGAAATGCTAGCTGTATTATCTGACAACTTACCGCTCATTAGGTAGTCAGGCAAGAATGCAGCAGATAATTGCGAGTGAACAATCCGGTTTTTTGACAATTTATTTGGACATTCCCCATTTTTCCCGTGAATCTTTGGACTTATTTTTTGGTTTCGATGATTCCCCCATTCAAATATGATTTTTATTTCTACTTGATCAACTTTATCGCTCATTATACTCCATCAAATGAATCCAGGTGGTTTGATTCAGTTTTCTCCAACTTCCGAAAAGTAAGGAGATTTTAAACTTTGAAATGCGTTTTCATCAAAATTTACTTTTTTTGACATTCCCCCTTTTTCCCCTGTGGCCATTGGAACAAGTTTTCTGTGACACCCAGTATGCGTTGTCATGTATGTCATAATTCCGTGTTTGCACTTTTTACATAGCAACATGATATAGTTGTGATTTGCTCAACAAAAAATTGAATTGATCAACAATGAATATTGCCAAAAAATCTATTATTTTGGGTGGAACAACAACGTTATGTAATAATTTTGTGTGTATAAAAAATATCTCATACACAGTGACCTATTTTCCTGGAAGAAATATTAGGAAAACTCGTTTTTGTGACTTGTATTGATACTTGATTATCAATAATTGAAATTGATTCAGAAATATGAAGAAAAAAATTGCCATGTCAATAATAATTGATAATTGCCCTTGGGGTATTTACATAGTGTAATGATATCCAGATGCGATAATTCCGCTCGGAATATTTATTTGGAAATGAAAACGGATATTTTCATTTGGCAATCGATTTTGAAACAATTTTATATGTAGGAAATATTTTTATTCGACTTTAAAATTTTCGGAAGGATCAGTAAGAGTTTTTTTTTAATTCATGTAACTCTTATAAAACGTTTTATTATATTCAGAGTGACTTTTCACATTATATGCTTGTTGAATGAATAATTTGTTATTTCTATTGGTATCAGTAAATAGATTGTACGATATTTATTTTTTTCATAATCCCCATACATACTGAATACCGAGATTGGGATTCGACGATAACCCGATTTTTTTTCGCACATACACACCCTATGTACAAAACTAAGGATATGATACATAAACATCATATTATATGTACCATAAATGTCCCCCTCTCTAGCTCACTTATTTTTGAAACGATTTGAAAATTTAAAAAATCATCTGAAATTCTGAAATTTTTTTCCGTTGCATCAGAAAATTCAGGGTGCTCGGAACAAACGATCTACAGGGTACTACTTGATTTTTCCTAATGGAACACCCTGTATTTCATTGTATTTTTAGATTCTCCCTGAAGAGCTGATTTCATCAATCACACTTGGGGTCTAGCGGGAATGATTACAGAGATATAGGGTGTTCAAAATCGAGAGTTTTCAACTTCAGGACTTTTTTGTGTCGAAACTATTCATTATTGGTCAGAACGGCTTTAATGTCCCTATCTCAACTTTTGATTTAGTAATAGATAGTAAATCAAAAGTTGAGATACGGACAAGAAAGCAGTTTTGACCGATAATGCATAGTTTCGACAGAAAAAAATCCTCAAGTTGAAAAATCTCGATTTTGAACACCCTATATCTCTGTGATCATTTTCGCTAGACCCCAATTGTGATGCATTGATGAAATCAGCTCTTCAGGGAGAATCTGAAAATACAATGAAAAATAGTGTGTTCCATTTGAATAAAATCGAATAGTACCCTGTAGATCGTTTGTTCCGAGCACCTTGTATTTTCTGATGTAGCGTAAAAAACTCTGTCGAAAATCATTTTAGATGATATTAAAATTTTTGCAATCGATTCAAAAATAACTGAGCTAGAAGGAGGAGGGACATTTATGGTGAATCACCCTGTACTGACACTAGAATGCCAATTCCCATCAAGTTTCACAGCGAAAAACGTGTGACATATGCGGCTTGTTTCATGATGTGCGCATGCTCAGTTCTAGGTTCCTTGAACTACAATGTTGCCAGATATTCAGACGAGTTATTGATGAAACTATTTTAATCGAGATTGGCCTAGAAATTTCACATATTTTGTACATAATTGTGAACGTCCATGAATAATGTTCCACTATTTAGTAGCTGGACTAATTACAATTTGATTCCGATGAAAAAGTTAATTGATTACTATCAGGTAAGTTTGGCAACCTTGCCACTCATTCGCATTTTGCACAGACGGTGTCAATTTTGAGATCACATAATACTTTCTCGATATCGATTTTGTCAGATTATCTACTTCATTCTTTTGCTGATTATCTTTCCAGAAGACAATATTTATTTCTGCAACCTACACAGAAGTCGTCCATTTTAATACCAAAATCAGCTCTTGAATTGACGTTTCTATTACTGACACAAAAATTGGTATGTTGCTAGGCAACACATTCAGTTCCTAGGAGCTAAAGGTGAACTTGAGCTTCTAGGAACTAAAAAGGGTGTACTAGAAATATCGTGAATCAGTCGGGAGAAATCCATGGAAATGTGCACGCTTATATTTCAGAATATGCCTTCTTCATTTGAAATATTCCCGACAATGCCGTATTGCCGCTTCTACTAGAAAGTAGTAGCAACATTGATATGTCGAATGGAACAGACTGTATTTCATCGCATTTTTAGATTCTCCCTGAAGAGCTGAATTCATCGATATATCGCACAAAGCTGTTGCTACTTTTTGATAGAAGCGGCAACACTGCATTGCTGAAATATTTCAAAGAGAGCGTATTCTAAAATATAAGTGTGCATATTTTCATGGATTTCTCCTGACTGATTCTCGATATACAGGGTGGGCCACCAGTAACGCCTCGGTCTCTAGAAGGCTAACCACTTATCTTCTTGGAATTCTTCCTCTCTAGGAAGTTGCATGTCAACATAGACCATTCGAAATTATTTTGAAACATACAGGATGTCCCCAAAAATCACAAAACACTGAAGTTGAACTTTTTTCAATCGAACACCCTATATATTATTTCATTTTGAGATTCTCCCTGGTGAGCTGATCTCAACAATCCATCATACTTGGGGTCTAGCAGTTATAATTACTGAGATATAGGGTGTGAGAAATCGAGATTTCTCAAGTTCAAGAATTTTTTGTGTCTAAACCATTCATAATTGGTCAAAACGGCTCACATGTCCTTATCTCAACTTTTGATCAACTATCTACTGACATTTAATTGAAACAAATACATGGTGGTGCAGAATTCAGAATCTTGATCACCCGGTATATGTCCCAATTGAATATCAGTAGATGGTTAATCAAAAGTTGAGATAGGGACATGTAAGCCGTTTTGACCAATTATGAATAGTTTCGACACAAAAAATTCTTGAACTTGGAAAATCTCGATTTTTCACACCCTATATTTCAGTAATTATAACTGCTAGACCCCAAGTATGATGGGTCGTTGAAATCAGCTCATCAGGGAGAATCTCAAAATGAAATAATATATAGGGTGTTCGATAGAAAAAAGTTTAACTTCAGTGTTTTATGGTTTTTGGGGGCACCCTGTATGTTTCGAAATAATTTTAAATGGTAGCCTATGTTGACATGCAACTTCCTAGAGAGGAAGAATTCCAAGAAGATAAGTGGTTAGCCTTCTAGAGACCGAGGCGTTACTGGTGGCCCACCCTGTAGAGATAGTGTAGGCTCGTCGTGACATACCCTGTATATTATATGATTTCTATGGTAGGATAGCTTTGAAAAGAAAAAACATTGATAATTACATTTTATTGGATTGTATAAGTGAGCGACAACAAAATCGATATGATAATTGGCAGAAACAACTGTGAATGGGTAAACGCCTGTGACTTGTGTTGAATAAGAGATGTTTTGATTTTTTCTGAATTTTCAGCAGCCCATTTCAGGTGGTAATCTATCTTATTCAGAATTTTGTCGCTATCAGGAATCCCGCCAGAGTTGGCAATGATTTCTTTCAGCTGAAATTCAATAATAAATGAAAATATCCTTTCGAATTATTTGAAATAATTATTCAGTAGTATAAGGTATTACTAGGTATATTAAACTGAGACATATAGACAATCGAGCCAAAAATCTAATTATTTCTGCATCGAAATTTGGGATTTGGGATCCTCTAGTCTCCCTGATAAACATTTAAAATAACAGATCTCTAGTTTCTATGGAAATAAATGGTATTCCCTACATACTGATGGAATATTTTTTCTGAGAATTTAATAGTTTCCGATAAATTATTGAAACTAAAATACAGTGCCGATGAATTGATGGATGGACGATGGAATACAGTTCCTATTCGATACGATTTTGATGAAATACAATTCTGATGTTTTACTAAAGCGACGAATTACGGTACTGATAATTTACTGAAGCTATGGAATAAGGTTCTGTTGGATTAGCATTCCTATGTAGTACGGTTCTGATAGAATATCATATCAATAGAATAAGATTATGATAAATTACCGTGATGATTAAATACTGTTTTGATCAAATATCAAATATCTTCAATTTTAATATTTTTAAATATTCATAAACTCACCTCTCCTATTTGTTCTTCAGTTTTTATTTTGTCAGACAATCTATTTACTATAGTTGAAATGGGAAGAAAATCTCTATACCTGAAAAACAATTAGTTTGTGCACCTATTCTTCATCAGAAGAGTCAGACTGAAACATATACTTACATTTCAACAAAGATTTTCAAATGTCTTTCCAAGAACTCCAAAGTTACATCGCACCCGAAGTCATTGTTTGATAAAACAGATTCAAATACGACAGGAGAGTAATATGTTCTGGAAATGATCGAATCCGAATCTAGAGTTTCTTTCAAAAATCTGCAATGAAAGAGACGTATTACTTTTCAAGAATGGAAAGAACTGAGAACTCACTGTGATAAAATAGTTTTTTTCGATATGCAACCGATAGCCATCAAAATGGTTTCTCTTTCAGCAGGTGACTTTGAATCCTCGAAACTTGACAAAAGGTACCTGTATACATGTTCCGGATTTGTGCTATGTTTGGCGCCATAACATAAAATGATTTCCTTTTCATTGAAATCTGAGAGACTGAAAAATTTATCAATCAGTATTGCACGAAGAATGTGAGTACAATCTTTGCGAAACAATATACACTAACCGGCAAAAAAAAACTTGCCACCCAAAAATTTTCACAAATTGTTCGACTTGTCACATTCTTCATCCTTGTCCGATTTCTGTAAAATTTCGATCAAATCGTAGATTCATGTTCCGGCATGTTAGCCTAAATATTAGTTTTAGTGGAAAGCCGATGACTTGATCATTATACAGGGAGGAGAAAACCAAAGTTACTAATTTACTTCAACGCCCTGTGGCGACATTGAGCGGTTGAACTTCTCATTATGCTTTGGATTGAAGTGTGATCCCTTCCTAACACAATAGTTTCTTATTCACGTCAATATTTTATTTTTGAAATAAGATACGAGTGTTTTGAGAAAGTATTGCATTTTTCAATTTCATTTACAATGATAAGGATTGGTCAAATCAAACTGGTAGAAGAATTCATACGAGAATAAATAAACATGCAAAACGTATAGAAACATTTTGAAATACTATTATTGACGGAGATTTCAATACCCAAAGTACATTTGCTAACCACGTACTTAACTCTATACACTCATTCAACATTAATACTGATTTAGAAATTTTTGAAATCAAATCATCTTTAATGGACAAAAATACTCTTTCACTCAATGAACAAATCCACTTCGATTGCCAAAAGCTCTTCAATGCCTTGAGTTTCTAATGTTTGTGTTATTGTTCCTTCTTGATTTGGTCTCCAGTGTAAGTTTTTCTTTTCAACATTCAACTGAAGTTACAGTTGTCTGTCAGAGATGGGTTTGACATTGACATTTGGTCACATGTTATCAGGTTAATCCAGCGATATCAAGATGAAAACGTTTTTTTTTATTTCCGAATGTCTTTCGGCCACCTAATGTGGCGAATCCACTGGCTTATCCAGCCAGATCAAAAACGCTATACTTTGCCTTTGTTAGATCAAAACTAGAATATAATCCAGTAACTTTATACATCACAGTATGGGTCAAATCCGATAGTTCTGATTTTTTGCAGACTTGTTCATGATGTTGACCTAATGAATAATCCAAGTTTGTGATCTTGAGCGCCGAACGCAACTTTGTCAAAAATCGAAAAAACTGCGAAAAAAATCGTTTTTTTTTCAGTTTCTGGCGATTATAACCCTAAAGGACTAGTTTCGAAAAAAACTCTTTCAGAACGCTTTTAAAGTAAACTAAATTTCCTACAATATGAAATAAAAATTGTCTCTGTGGACTCATTAGTTTCCGAAATTGAGCCTTTCGCAGTTCATCATTTTTTTCGAACATCGCAATTTTTTGCAATCCTGTCGATCTGATTGAATTTTGACCCTGATTATACAATCGAAGCCCTGTACTTTCATGATGAGATGATAAGAAAGAAAATGAGAAGTGTGAACGAGGATGTTTAAGCTGAAGTTCGAATAATGAAAGAAAAAAGATAAGTACAACAAAAGTTAATGAGTTTATTTGTTAGGAAATAAATTAAAGATGAAAAAATTAGATTAATTTAGCCCTCTTGGGAGGTCCCGGTTGAGGTTCGTCTGGATCTGGATCAACGTACTGGGATGGCATATCCCCATCAGGGGATGGCGATGAATCAATATGATTTGAAAGGAAAAATGCGGGTAACGTGTATTGTGGTGGATAGTGAAAGCCGTGCAGATCGGGAAAATTTGCTTAGTTTTTTCACATTCCTATCAAGAATAAGAAGAGGAATGTGGATAGCAGCCATCAAGAGAAAGGATCTAACAACAGAATCAATCATGAGAAACCAAAGGATGTGTAGCAGGTACCTGAGAGAAAACCAATACTTATTATTCATTAGGCCAACATCATGAACAAGTCTGCAAAAAATCCCCCATCTTGGAGCAGCCATTTTTTCTAATTGATGGCGGATAAGATTTGGTCCGATTCCATTCAAAATTGGAAAGTGGGGGTTTTTGAGGTCGGAGATCATGATTTTTTGTTAAAATTTATAAATTCAAGATGGCGGCTTCCGAATAATTTTTTGTTTTTGTATAAATGACGATAACTCCATTGTTATCAACACAAAACTATTACTGCGACATATCATCTGTAAGAGAAAAAAGTTATTTGTAACTAAGTCATAGTGAGCTTTGACCTACATTTGAAAAACTAAAGTTGGTGCTGCTATCTCAAATTCTAGAAGAGTTGGTATAAATTTCATATTTTTTTCGAAATCACTTTGAAAAACTGCCATGAGAATGTAAAATTCCTATTTGAATATTTTCATAAATAAAGAAGTTACGGAGGAGACATGAAAATGATCAAAATCTGATTTTTGCGTATAAAACAAAAACGAATAGATTTTATCAAAATATTTTTTCACATTATAGTTAGCCTTGACAAACTCCACATTTGGTGTCATTTAACCGACCTCGTATCTCTCACCGTTAAGAAGATACCCATGGTGAGCATGGTAAGTGGGACACACTGTAGAGAAAGTTGAATCAGTTCAGCGATTAAGTTTCTTTACTTTAGTTAAGATTATGTAATTCTGAAACTATACAAATCTCTATATTAGTAGTAACTTATATTCCTGTTCTGTAGTTGGGTATGACCTGTAGAACAGAGTAACAATAAATAAATAAATAAATAAATAAATAAATAAATCAAGCCATCAGCTTTTCTCAGGACCTAATATTCAGGCTAACGTAATATCCGATTTGGTCGAAATTTCACAAAAATCGGACAAGGTTTGAAAAAGTTACAGGGTGAACAATTTGTGCATATTTTTGGGTGGCCGGTTTTTTTGCCGGTGAGTGTAGAATAAAAATTTTGGATGTTTTTGGAATCTGGGAACTCAAAACTAGTTAACTACTTCACTTGATGAACTGCTGATAAAAACAATAGTCACCTTCTAGATTGTTGATATTCCTGGAAGGACTGTTTGGCATACTCGATGCAGTCTTCATTCCCTAGTGAACATTTCCACCTCAGTATCATCGTCTCTTTCAGTATATCAATGTGAGAGTTTCCTTCTATTTTTCTCAGAGTAGGGAAAGCACTGTCAATATACTGTAGTGTTCGTGACTAAAAACACCCGTAAAAAGAAAAAACATCAAAAAGGAAAGATTTTACAGTTTTGAAAGGCAATTTTCACATGTCATTTTCTGGAAATCATTGTTTGAAAAAGTCCATTGATTTTCTCATAAAAAAATTTGTAGTAGAATGTTAGATTTTTTTTAATCTGTATATATTGAAGTTTTTATCTCACTGCGAAGTTTGAAAAAATGTAATATACCGAGTGACACAGACTTATTCATCTTAATGAATCCCTTATTTTCTGGATAAAGTTGATTACTAGTGAAGGTAACATGATATTTTGCAATAGTATCTATAAATTTTCACTTTCCTCATATCACGAAATTATAATCATAACTTGTCAGTAATTTTTTCCAAATAAATTCGATCCTTCATAAAATGGATCTAGTTTCTAGGAATATATTTTGCAACAGCGCATGATATTTTGAGCCCATCCACACCACACAGAATACTGACAGGCACACCGAAAGCTGATCTGATATTGTTGTTATGTATGTTTTTGGATGTATGCCAAATTGATATTCATCATACAGGGCGGAATTCTTATCGTGTGTGTTCAATAGATATAATTCAATGTCCGTCGAGGCATATAGCAAGGAAAGTAGTTGTTTTCTGTTGAATAAACCGAGAAAGAATTGATATTTTCATTACATAGAGAATGCGAATTCTCAATGTATTTCTCTATATACAGGGTGTTTCCTAACTACGGTTCCTAACTGCAGGGGGTGATTTGTTAGGTCATTTCAAGAAAGAAAGTTCCCATGAACATATGTCCGGAGTTGCTTCGTTTCTGAGATACAGGGCGTTAGAATTAAAGAAAAAAAACGGTAATTATAAAATATCATGAATATCCTGGAACCGATTTGGTTGAAATTTCGTACTTTTATTTGTAAAATTTCCTGAAATTTCAGCATATCAAGTGTCAAATCAAATTTTTGGCGGAAATTATGAAAAAACTTATTTCTCCAATGAAGGTGTTCATGATATGCAATACAGTGGCTTTGATTTTTTTTCTCGAAAACGAAGTTGGATATGAAGAAAGTGCAGGAGACCAAAAAGTTGTATTTTGAGTTGCTCAATCTAAACAAAATAAAAATTCTCCAAAAAAGTCAGTGGCGTACTTTTTTTTCACAATATTGTTGGCTGTGGTGCCCACTGAGACGCCACTGGCCCCGATAATTTCAATCTAAATAGGGCTAAATAAGCGCCTTATTAGTTCAAATGAAAGTACCAAATTTTAACCAAATCGGTTCTAGGATATTCATGATATTTTATAATTACTGTTTTTTTTCTCGAACTTCAACGCCCTGCATCTCAGAAACGAAGCAACTCCGGACATAATTATGTTAATGGGAACTTTTCTTCCTAAAATGACCTAATGAATCACCACCTGCAGTTAGGAACCGTAGTTAGGAAACACCCTGTATACAGGGTGATTCATGAGGAACTGTACATACTCCTACCACGAATAGAGGCCCCTGAGGGGAATACCGAATGTCCATCAGAAAGTGTCTTCTTCACTTCTTTTCCAATATATAGGCTGAATTATGAGATTTGGCAAAAACATCTTTTGGTCATAACTTTCCAACAGCTTCTTCGATTCGTCTGATTCTTTCATGGAATATTCCGCAACTACTCTCTAATCGACTGACTCATTCAGAATCAGGATGTAATGAATATCACAAATTAAAGAAGGTGATCTTCTTATAACAATATTTTATTACTTATTATCTCAAAGTTTTTTATGTCGTCAAGGAAAAACATCAAAACAAAATATATATATACAAGATGTTATTACACAGGAAAATCTAGGACCGTTTTTGAAAAATTTTGATAGTTTAGTTTATATCGTGTATATCGAAATTGCTTCCTTCTGAAGATAAAGACAAATTGGACTTCATCAATCGCCATTCTGTATAGCGTGGTCATGAAACTGAGGATTTCCGAACTTATTTTATGAAAATTCATCTAAAGGAAACTTTTCCATCAAGTCCATATAGCTTCGTCAAAATTTGAAAATAATTGATGTCAATTTAAACTTGATAATGTATAGAAAATTGTATTTCCACATTTTTTCCCGTTATTTTCTCGATCAATGATTCGTACATGACTAAAGAAGTACCTTCAACAGTTCTATGGTATCTTCATCAGTAACTCGGTCCATCATGTACGATATGGCGTTCAATGCGGAGACCCATGGAGCGTACTCTGTCTCTTCCAACAAGAAATCCGCCAATCTGAACGCATTGATGTAGCTCATTCTTCCCACTTGTGAGAGACTGAATGCGTCGTCAACCAATTGCGCTCTGTTCAAAACATGAATCGTAGTCCGTTCACGGTTGAGAGCCACAATCAGTCTTTCCCATAGCACGTCATCATAAGAGACTCGATAGAAACCTGAAAAGAACCTTGAATACTATTAGGAACACGATTTTACTACGCTTTTATCAGCTTAGTATGTATTTTGTTATGTTACGGTTCCCACGAAAAGGGATATCCTGTAATGTTCAGGAGAACCAATATAAATACGGTAGGAATTGGTGTTCTTCTTAAATTTCTGGAGGTTATATGTCTCGGGGAACATCTCCCTTGGTTCCGGAGCCTCGCTGTTCGTTGGATGAACGAGTCTCTGGAAAGAGATGTTCTGCAGGTCTCCAAAGTGACCTCGAAGGGGTGCGAAGCCTCAACTCGAACGTAATTTTGATCCACTTGAAAACTAGTCCAGTAAAATGGTAAATTTTACCTTGCATCAAATAAGGTAGTTATGATTTTTAGATATGTTGTATGTGATGAATGTCTTATGATACATCTAAGCTTTCGACCTCGACATACCTCTGGAACTTGAAATAAACTACTCAACACTAATTTCGTCGCACACCAAAATGTCGCCCCTGTTATAATGTGAATAACTTTTTTCAGTTTAGAACAATTTGAATTTGGTTCACACTGTTCGATAGCCCAGTCCTTCAGCTATAATCTCGTACTTCATTGAAACATAAGGGTATTCACATAAAATCTCTACATGGTGTTTTCCGACACTGTGCGAAATTTTGGAATATTCAAAATGCTCTCAAATGGTGAAAATTTTTTTTTCTCAACTTCGACAACAGAGGCATGAAGATGATCTCATTACCTCGAGATGTTTCGCGAATCAACTTCCTATCCTAAGATGGCAATCAAAGATCTAGAGTTTTCTTGAAAGTGACCCAAATCTGGGACGCCCTTTGAATCTCGGTTGGAAGGAGAATTGAATGAAAATCAACTTGTTCTCGGAAAAACAATTCATTCTGGATGCGTCCATATTTTCCTCGTTCTCAGTACTCAAGAATGTGCGTGAGAAAACACAATTGAAACATGTTCTTGCAAAAACATCAGACCATTTCTCCTCTGTAATGCATGGCCCGTAACCAACGTTACAAGAATCACAGTAAGTGACTGACAAGTCAGGTTAGTTAGTTCTTGAGTCAATTCTGATATTCAGATCTCTTCATCCAAAGTTTTATCTTCAAAATGAGCCTAGGATTTCCAAAATCGGTTGACGTGGAAAAAAGTTATGGCTGCAAAACCAAAAAGTTGATTTTTTGAGATCACTCTGTAAATAAGAGAGATAGGAAGTTGATTCGCGAAACATCTCGAGGTAATGAGATCATCTTCATGCCTCTGTTGTTGAAGTTGAGAAAAAAAATGTTTTCACCATTTGAGAGCATTTTGAATATTCCGAAATTTCGCACAGTGTCGAAAAACACCATGTAGAGATTTTATGTGAATACCCTTATGTTTCAATGAAGTACGAGATTATAGCTGAAGGACTGGGCTATCGAACAGTGTGAACCAAATTCAAATTGTTCTAAACTGAAAAAAGTTATTCACATTATAACAGGGGCGACATTTTGGTGTGCGACGAAATTAGTGTTGAGTAGTTTACTTGAAAAACATCAATATTTTCTGATTTTTTTCAGATTTTGTCGATTTTGACCCTCAAGGACCCATATTATGGTGAAAGTAGCTTCACATTTTTTTGAAGTAGACAAAATATACAACAAAATGGAACAACATTGATAATTGTAGACTGAATACTTTCCGAGATATGGCAATTCGAATATTCGAAAAATTTAAAATTCTTTCTGATGTTAGCCCATTTTGACACTGAAGAATTCTTAATCTTCCATCTTAGTGCGCCATGACTATTCTGATCGAGTCACATGTACTCACATCGATAGGTGTAATGCTAATAACAAATTTTGTCTAGAATGTAAAATTTCTTGATTCATCACCAAGTTAAGTTCATCAAAATGGTTTGGTGTACCATGATCTTGTTACACCTGATATATCCTGAAAATATGCATAACACCTACCTGTTTGTTGAATATTCAGCACGATCCAAGAACCGTCCTTCAATTCAATTGACAATGCTTCGTCCTTTTTCAGCCAATCGATATGTTCTCTGTTAAAATTCTTCTCCTCGGATGTTGTATAAGTAACAGGAATATTCCATTGGGTGCTCGAATCAGAGTTGTTTTTCACGTTTGAAAACTGTTCCTTGAATAAGAATATACCAATTGAGCATCGTTTGACCAGCTATTTATAATGTTTTCTACCTGAGTAATCTCTACTTGATTATTATTCAATGTCACATGAAGCAGGGGATAACCTGATTTATATATCCATTGTTCCATCATATTTCCCAATTGAAGGGACTCCAGAAGGGATGTCGGGTTGGTGGTATTGAACTTACTAAAACACATTCTCAGATATTGTCTGATCAGGTCTCGATAACTAAGGAGAGTAGGACGGACAGTACTGTTTCGGCCCATTAGGCCACATCAGTCGCCCTCGGTCTGATAACGCCTGGTGGAGCGAAAGAGTACAGAACAACTCTATCCATCTTAGATCTATCAGTATCGAGATCTTACTCTTTAAAAAATACTTTTTAATGTTTTTTACACTAGTATGTTTCAGGGTCTTTCCACTTACTTGGACAAATATTACATGTTTGTCCTTATTTGAGTACCTATAAAACTTACTTGACTTGTAGATACAATTTAATTTTTTCCTGGAACTTGTCTTCACCTAGCACACTCTTCATCATCCTTATCACACTTGCACCTGAAATATTCAAAAACATCTAAACATGGAATCAAAGACTTGTCAGCATAATTATAAAGGGTTTCCCGATAAGGACGCTCGACCTTCAAAGTGTAATGAAATAAACAGTTTAAATAAAACGGACATAATTTGATATTTATATTGCAACATATAATATGGTGTCATTATGTTTCAAAAATTATGTCGCTCAACTGTTCGCCGCGGCTTTGCCTGGTGAGTCGAATTCTGCGAGCCTTTTTTTCAGTTTTTAATGACCTCATTACGCAAATGTGGTTCAATAGGTAATATACAATGTGGTGTTCCGCAAGGATCGGTCTTGGGTCCAATTTTGTTTTTGCTATATGTCAATGATCTGCCGACGCTTGACATTTCAGGAATTGTCACCCTGTTCGCCGATGATACCACCCTACTATGGCATAAAGATAAGGAAGCTGATCTTCATATCATCAATTCAGACATAATAAGAGTCAAAGAGTGGTGTGACTCGAACCTTCTGTCCTTCAACATATTAAAAACCAAGATAGTGCCTTTCAAATGTTCAATTGCTGATATTCATTTAAATCACCAAATTATTGAAATCAGTGTGTGCTCTAAATTCCTAGGACTATACATTGACAACGGTCTTAAATTCAATGAACATGTGAAAAACTTGAATAAAAAATTGTCTTCTGCTTGTTATGCTGTGAAAATTTCAGCGAATGAACTATAGGATACTCAACCGCAAAGACAGTATACTACTCCTTGGTAGAGTCTCATTTGCGGTACGGTATCCCATTCTGGGGAGTGTGCAGTGGTAATGTGCTCCAAAGTGTTTTTGTTTTACAAAAACGAGCCTTGAGATAGCTCTGTAAACTAAACTTTCGCGATTCGTGCAGACTTTACTTCAAGCAACACAACATACTCACGGTAGTTTCAATATTTATACTCGAAACAGTGTGTCTCATAAATAGACACAAATAAAATTTCATCACAAAGAGTAGGTACGTCACCCGCCAAAGTAACCATCTGAAACTACCATTACTACAGAAAAACAGTAAAAAAAATTCTTTCCGATAGAGCCTTTTATAGTTTGGAAGAATATTATGGGGATAAAACAGAGTGATAAGTAGACCAAAACTATACAATGTGATATCATATACCTTATTGTTTGTTTCATTTTAAAATTTTCAATTTTTGAAGTTTTGGATTCCAAGTGTATTTCATTTTTAAAAAAGTGTATATGACTGCGTTTACATATTTATATTTATATGCATGCAAACTTGTTGTAACTAATTGTTTTGATTCAATTCAATTTTCTATGGTACTGACTATTTTTATACATTTATCAAATGTTATCAATTCAATTCACGTTTATAAATACAAGCATATTTTGATTGATTGATTGGATAGCAGCAATTTGGCGTCTGATATTGGCGGAACGTTTGCCGAACAGAACATGGTTTTGGTAATAAATTATGACTATTTCGACACGTTGTTCAATTGTATACTGCTCCATATTAAATATCAAGAATAACTTAATACCCCTGACTAGGGTCCCTTAATGTAAATTGACGTATTTGTCATCTTGAAAGGGTACGGACAAATCCTCGTCTCCTCTCACTCTAAAGTGTTTGTGAAACAGTTATATAGTTCCATCTTCATTCATTTCTGGGGATAAACACTAGATTACTGACATATATGTTGCTTTTTAGGTTATATTGAAGACATTGGCGTATCATACGTAATTTCCACATGTAATTTGACATTTAACTCCACATATTATATCCAAATGATAATTTTCGAGTTTTTGATTTTTCAACTCCAGCATAATCTTCGTGAGGCAGTGAGCAAATGTTTCCGAAAGTTTAATACGTTTTTTACCAAATACGACTGTTCTTAGGCAGTACCTATCAATAAATGAATTTTGATTTCAGACTAAGCCTTATGGTTGAGAAATGGTGAAAAATTTCATGTAGGTATTTAAACTAATGTGCTCATATGTCATGTGTGCTGTATATATTCATGTTGGGAATTATTTTTGCAGTTTTTCATGAACACTTAATATTTCCTGAATGTAGGTATATTTTTTTTAATGGCAGGGCATATGCCTCTTCTTTTAATCCTCCGTTTTAATCAAAACTGTTTAAAATGCATCCAAAAACTCGTGGAGTGGATAATAACAGGCACAATAACAAAGTATAATATGTGATTTCGTATTAGGTTTACCTCGAATATTTTGCTGATGTATTTTCCAATTTTCCCAATTCGGTCACTTCACTTTCCATGTTCAAATTCATTTGCATTTGATGGAGAGCTGACAAATTCAAATTTGCCATCCAACTGATTGATACAGCCTAACGCAGCACATTTTACCATCCTTCCAAAACAGAATTGAATAGTGTCGTATTGAAATCAAGTATGACATTAGAACTTTGTAAGATCTCTTTTAACGCCTATGAATGTGACGAGACAGCAATGTCATGTCAGGGACGCCAATACACGAAACCAAAGTCACTAGATGATTAAAAGAGGAAGGAGCTATGATCTGTCCGTACCCTGTTAGATGACAAATACGTCAGTTTGCATCAAGGGACCCTACCTCTGACGACCTTTCAATGCGCTGTTGCCAAAGATCGCGCGTTCTTATTGGGAAACCCTTTACTTTGAGTAAATAATGACCTTTTCCATGTGTCAGATAATCTGCCTTCTTGAAATATTCGTCAGTAATGGTGTCGTCGATGTCATCACCAGAAAGAGCTGAAGATTCCGGATATGCATCTTCTCTAAGAGCGAGCTGTAGAACGTTAACAGTGAATTGTTTATCCAGATCCATGTCCAACCCATCGATCTTTGGAAAAATAATAATGTCAACATCCAAATAGCAAAAAACCCACTTTGAGTAGTTTGAGTTCAAAAGTAGCAGATGTTCAAACTAATGTTTTTCAATTTAATTGCTTTTCAAACATTTTCTGATTGGTTTTGAAGTCTAAAAATCACTAATGAAGTCACAGTCTTATTCAAACGGTCGAAATTTGGCGCTCATTACTACTGACGTCACGACACAATGAGTGAGGCACATAGTTGCCAGCTGTCAAAATACATCTGGAAATGACAGAATTGTTTCCACTATAAACTTTCATAAATCATAATTTGTTGCTCTCCTATTATATGGGAAGACAGATGTGTTCGATGAGACCTAAGCGTTATTAATTCTCACTAGAGGAGATTCAGTGTAAAACTTGGCTACATCGCTTCATATCTTGTGTCTTGAATTTAGACAGTGCAGTGCGCAGTTGCCGAGTTACCAACGGATATTCACCGAATGTTTGTTCACATTGCTCGTGGTTAGGTTTCGCCGATATAAGGCACTCATAAAAGGTGATGATACATTAATTTATAGAATGTGTACCTACTTCTCGGAATGTTTTGAATGATAATACACGCGTACAACAATTTTCAAAGAATTCAACAATAATTTGCGATTTGATAACAATTGACGTCATACAAATCGATGTAGGATGGTATTAAAAACCTCTTGAGGCCAGGAGCATTTTTTGTTATAGTGTTGGTAGCAACAACTGTTGATTTAGTGTCACTTGTCGTTCGTCAATTAATATTATTTATGTATCTTGAAAGTGAAAGGTCCAAGAGGTTGTGTTTTTGTTCTGATTTTCAATGTGTAACAATCCACTTCTTTCTTACTTTGTCAGGTAGGTAGTACTGGAAGTATGTAGCAAAACCGTCGTTTAGCCAAACATTCGACCACCAGTCCATAGTGGCATAGTTGCCAAACCATTGGTTAGATATTTGGCGGGCCATCAGGGGAATTATATTTTGTTTGGACAACGCTGTAGTCTTGTCTGCTTCGTCCAGTATTTCTGCCTCTCTGAAATACAAATTCCATATCAAGAAACTTATGTTGGTCAAACTAGAAGATTCATCAAAGCTAGGTTCAAGGAACATATGCAGGCTTTTTTATCTCTTGAAGCGCACGAAAGGAAATTCCCATTATGCTCGTGGAACATCGTGCGTACCTAGGGAGGATAGGGAGAGGAGGTAGGTGTTGGATTTTTTCAACTTTTGGAGGTTATAAGTTCTTGGGAATATTGTCCATTGAAAAATAATCCCAAAGATATAGTGGTCTTGGTGGGAATGGTGGTATCAGGCATAGTGAGTTCCGCCTTTCTGGAGAAAATACAGGCTTGAGTTTTGGTGGCGTTGAATTCAACTAGGTTGTGGGTTCCCCAGGCTGTTGTTTCCACAAGATCCTCATTGACAGCGTTGGCCTGCCTTCGTCGTAAGTTCTTAGTTTCCTAGGAAAAAATTGGAGTTTTACAAGAGAACGTAAAATGGGACAAGTGGTTGCTCCCAATAGATACTTGATATGAAGTAGCAACAAAATATTGATGCCAAAATTGATCCTAATGAATTATTGGCATTCAGCTACTCCACTGTGTCGTTAGGGACCAATTTTTTGCTACACTTCTCACACTTTTTCATGTGAATAATGACTGTATGCCTTATTCGAAATTGTTGAATTTCGGAGCTCATTTCAAACGTACCGTCATGACCACTATCTGGCGATACGTCGAATAAATGGTGACGTCAGCGAGGTTGTCAAGTCACCAATTATTATAACCATCAAAAACGAGTCCTGTCGTTGAATAAAACATAATAGGTGGAAACCATGATATTATAGTTCATTCTTGACTTTTTCGAGCAACCAGCATGTCCAAATATTTCCTATACTCCATAACAAAATATCATGTAAATGTTGGAGACTTGGCAACATTGTGCTGAATGCTGAGAAGGGACATGACCACGCCCACAAGTCGTGCGTGCCGTGTTGTCACGTCATTGATTTTTTATTTGCTAAATAGGAATATTACCAATACATAATTGAGAATTTATGAATGTTTGATTAATATTTCTGAAGGTCCCAATCGTTACTTTAGTTACTTGCATGGCTTTTTCACGAGAGGTTTTAATCATTTCACTACCCAACCATATTCATCCCCAAATAAAGAGACCGGACAATTTTCATATAAAATTAACATTTATTGATTGAATGGAAAGGTCATGAATAAATGCTGCCACATGGCAGGTTAGCAAAGGAAGAAGAACGTAATGGCTTGCCAAATAAACAACGCAAAATAACACTTGAAAAAAACAGTACTCACATAACGATGTCTAGCAGGGGGTTGACCAGCAGGCTTGAAGTCGGGGAAACGGCTAACATTTTCAATTGATAATTATTACTGATGACTTGTGTTGATAATAATGAATGAATGAATGCCTTATCGACTCTGGTACTATTTATATTCGGAATCGATGCTAGGTTCGCAATATTCCGCAATGAGAATGGTCGTTACCTTTCGATACGGCTCACCTAGGTATTATCGCGCGGTAAGCGTTTTTTTGCAAGTTATGAAGGAACTGACGTCTATGAACTCCGCTGACCTGATCGAAACTACAATGTACTGAATGATTTTTAATTTGGAAAAGTTAATTTGTGATAAAAGATCTTGAAATGAACGAGAGTTTGAGTGATGTTAATTCATAGGCATTTGTTCTTCTTAACAATATATGGAAATGACGCGGAATGTCCACTTCAAAAATGTGAAGGAAGGGGAACGTCCAAGCTTGGATAGGTTGTTTTCTCACTGTCAAAAGGTCAAAGTAAACTCTCAGGTGAAAAAAAAGAGATACGTCCACCTTATTTTGTTCATCTCTTGGGGCGTACGAAAGGGATTCCCTATAATGTTCGGGGAAAATCGTGGGTATCTTGGAAGGATTGGGAGAGGAGGTAGGTATTGGGATTTTTCTCAACTTTTGGAGATTATAAGTTCTTTGTAATACTCTGTTTGGCAAAAAATCCCAAATCTTTGCCGTTTTATGTATGAACGAGTTTTGGTAAAGAGTTGTTCGACATATGTCGAGGTTGACGACAAAAGATTGTGATGCTGACTGGGCTTGTCGAGTACGTCTGAGTGATGGGAATAAAATAATGAGATTGCTACATGATGATTCCTACTCATTTTACGTGGAATTAATAGAAAATGATCAAATTATAGGGATGCTAGATCTCACCGCTCATTAGGTAGTCAGGCAAGAATGGAGAAATGTACCAGAGCAAGTATTTGCGAGTAAACAATCCTCTTTTTTGACAATTTATTTGGACATTCTCCATCTTTCCCTTGAATTTTTGGACTTATTTTTTGTTTTCGATTATTTTATCATTCAAATATGAATTACTTCTAGTTGTTCAATATTATTGCTCATTATACTCCATCAAATGAATCCAGGTTGTTTGATTTCAGTTTCCTCCAACTTCCAAAAAGTAATAGTTATTTAACCAACTAGTTTATTAATCGCCTTTTAATATACAAGTTGGTTACAAAATTTTTTCGTCGACTATATTTCTCATTTCTCCTACAATGAAGAAAACTTGGTTCGCGAATTCATCATTCATCTGGAAACTGTTAAGAATCACCCAGTAGCCTTGTCACTGACATTAGTGACATTTGACATTTGTCGAAATGATCAATAACATAGAAAATAAATTCCTTGTGTTAGAAAACAGGGATTAAAATCGTGTCGGAAATTTGGAAAGGTGAACTCGTTAACAGAAAATCTTCAATGAAATCCATATTTTCGATTTAAATGCAGATTCCGTAAGTTATAGCATAAACAATGAATGCACGCGGTGTATGTTTGGTTGCCTATAAAACAATCGTACATTAATAGACAAATCGTTCATTAATAGGGGTCATCAATGAACGATTTCATATACATTAAACTTAGTCGTTAATACGAGGTCGACGGAAAAGAGGTTTTAAACTTTGAGGTGCGTTTTTCTCGAAACTTACTTTTTGTGATATTCCCTCTTTTTCCCTGTAGTCTTTAAATACCAAATATCAACTCTTATAGAATTTCCTCAAGTCTTACCTATATGTCAATAATCCCCAATTCTCCATCGCTTGAAACTTCAAATCGGGCAGAGCGACTTGATATAGCTGCTTGTCTTCCATGTCTCTGTACTGGATGCCGGTCAGATCGCCCATCGCCTTAACCAGCTGGGGCCCATGACTCAATGCCGTTCCTGTATAGTTGATCATTTCGGGTCGCGTGAATACCCTGTATATCGCGTTGACGTCGGTCGCGGCGGCGGAGACGTTGAGGAATTTCCCCATCACGAACCCCAAAAGGTACGTGGACATCGGAGGTGACGTGTAGAATTCGGTTTCCGCCCATCTAGAATCATTGATCGAAAAAAATCATTTATGCACTAGCGGGCCGTAAAGTGCACTTTACCGCCCGGTTTTGCGGGCGTTAAGTCACATTTTACCGCCCGCGGGCTCATTATGGCCCACGGGCCGTAAAGTGCACTTTACCGCCCGCTGTTCTCGGTCACCTTATATCCACATATCAATTCATGAGAAACCTATGATCATATTCCTAGATTCTAATATATCCAGCGGTTTATCATAAACTTCTTCTTTATCCGATTCCATAGTCTCGCTATTATTATTATCACTAATTTTACTTTTCAGTCAAAGAATGACAATTCAGCTCGTTTATTGGATGTATTGCTATTGACAACAACCATCAGATTGATTGAAAACGTCAAAATTAAATAAGTTAGGTTTATATACTGGGTATGCATATTGTAAAACTCTGAAGAATGAATCTCTTCTAGAGCTGAAAGAGTTTTACTATTACGATAATTGCAATATTCGTACGATAATTTTCATATGTAAATCATCCATGAACATCACGCTTCTCTTGATTACTGAATTAATACGTAACAAATTAAATTCTGGGGAATATTAGTTTGTCGAAATCTATAGTCATTACTTATGAGTCAGAAAATAAACCACTAGTGCATAAAATTTTGTATGTATCTCGTGCGTGAAATGCGTTTATGGCCTTCAGCGTGTAATGGCCCTCGGCTAGCGCCATCGGGCCATTATTCACGCCACAGGCCATAAACGCCTACTTTACGCCCTTGATACATAAATAACTATTTTGCACGACCGGGCGCAAAGAAGCACTTTACCGCTCGGTTTTTGCGGACGTAAAGTGGCAGTTTACCTCCCGGCATATAGATAACTCGTAATAGGCATTCCTTTAAAACTCAGGACATAAATGTTTCAGTTCTGATTTATTGTTTATTGTTCATTGAAAAACTAGCTTCCAGTCAGAAATAAAATTCTGGTATGAGGAAGTTGATTACAAATAACAATAATAAAATGATATAAGGTGACAACAACAACATAAAAAACTGAAAAATCTAAAAATGCTAAATCGATCAAGTCATAAAAATAGCCACAGGGACTAATCAGTAGATGGCAAAGTATGAATTTTATCCATTTCGTAATAAAATCATGTGTTTTTTAATTCAATTTTAAATTTTGAAATATGTCTGCAATGTTTCATATTATGTGGTAATTTATTAAATTCAGCTAGAGCAGCGTGAGTATATTTTTTTTGCCAATTATGGTTCCTTTTATATCTAATCTTTTGATGTAAAAACTACAAGCGAGCGTAACTGACTTTCTCTTCCTCCGGCAAATTTCAGAACCCTACCTCAATAATTACGTGAGATACGGGGGTGCTTCCATAAAAAATGCGACAAAATTTCATTTTTCCGAACTGAAAATTTTCCAAGAAAAATTTGGCTCAAGTTTCGTTTAGCTGAAATCAGTTATGAAAAAACTGTTGCTATGGCAACGATCGTCATGATAACGAGTAAACAAAAACCCGATTCCCGTGGTGAGGAAATGCGTGGTTGCCAAATTGTATCGGGTTTAGTATAGCTGAAATCGGTTATGGAAAAACTGTTGCTATGGCAACGATCGTCATGGTAAGGAGTAAACAAAAACCTGATTCCCGTGGTGAGGAAATGCGTGGTTGCCAAGTTGTATAGGGTTTAGTATGGCTGAAATCAGTTATGGAAAAACTATTGCCATGGCACCGATCGTCATGGTGACGAGGAAACAAAAATCCGATTTTCGTGGTGAGGAAATGCGTGGTTGCCAAGTTGTATCGGGGAATTATTGCTTCATTCATCAATTTCAAAAACACTCCTCAATATAACCATCCTTCGCATGCCGAGCTATTCAACAAAATCAAAAAGAAACAGAGCCATTTTGGAATATTCATTACGAGGTAACGCGAAGGATATAGGAAGAGAGACTACAGGTACTGATTTTCTAATACAGATGGAAACATCTCGTTAGGCCCACCCACATTTCCCTTTGCCTTCATTTCGATTCACCCATACCTTTCTTCATGCGCACATTTTGATTCAGCAACAGTCTTCAAACATACACGAACGATGCCTTGCTACCAAATCTGAACGATGTTGGAAAATATATGTTTTTCAAGAAGAAGGTTGATTTAAGTCGAGTTAGGTTAGATTGTTTGGAAAAAGTAGTGTCCTTTTTTAATGCAGTCTTCAAACACACACGAACGATGCCCTGCTACCAAATCTGATCGATGTTGAAAAATATATTTTTTCTAAGAAGGTTCATTTGAGCCGAGTTAGGTTAGATTGTTCAGAAAAGGTAGTATCCTTCCTTATGCGCAATTTGTTTCGCACTATTTTGTCGCTCGCTATATCGTCTAGCTCTGTTCAATAACAAAGTCTATTCTTTCCTGACGTTATTTCCATATATGATCGTCGATCAGAGAAGTAGTAATTTGGGAATTTTACAACGACGAATAGTCTTCAAGAAATTGATAAGAAGGGTATTCATTCGAATCAAGTTATTGTCTGAATACTAGCAAGAACTTTTGTGAAACAAAATTTGAGGGTCGAAGATTGCGCTGATTTCAGCTATACTAAACCCGATACAACTTGGTAACCACGCATTTCCTCACCACTGGAATCGGATTTTTGTTTACTCGTTACCGTGACGATCGTTGCCATGGCAATAGTTTTTCCATAACTGATTTCAGCCAGACTAAACCCGATACAACTTGGCAACCACGCATTTCCTCACCACGGGAATCAGGTTTTTGTTTACTCCTTACCATGACGATCGTTGCCATGGCAACAGTTTTTCCATAACTGATTTCAGCTATACTAAACCCGATACAACTTGGCAACCATGCATTTCCTCACCACGGGATTTTGTTTTCTGTTTACCTGTTACCATGACAACGGTTGCCATACCAACAAATTTTCCATAACTGATTTCAGCTAAACGAAACTTGAACCAAAAATTTGAATAGTTAGTAAATTGGGCGTCCTGATTCCAAATCTGAAGTGATTTTCGACCTATTTTGACTCCTAATATCATTTATTTTCCGGAAATTGGGGTAGTTTCATGGCTGTTGGCGAGCAGTGTATATCACTGAAGATGACCCCACTTGGTCATAGAGTACATTTTTGGTATATCTCTCGCTCCATCAAATTTCAGGATCCTTACCCAACGATTACGTAAGATACAGGGGTTGTTCCATTAGAAGTGGGTCACACTATACAGTGTGTCCCACTTACCATGCTCACCATGGGTGTCTTTTTAACGGTGAGAGATACGAGGTCGGTTAAATGACACCAAATGTGGAGTTTGTCAAAGCCCACTATAATGTGAAAAAATATTTTGATAAAATCTATTCGTTTTTGTTTTATACGCAAAAAACAGATTTTGATCATTTTCATGTCTCCTCCGTAACTTCTTTATTTATGAAAATATTCGAATAGGAATTTCACATTCTCATGGCAGTTTTTCAAAGTGATTTCGAAAAAAATATGAAATTTATACCAACTCTTCTAGAATTTGAGATACCAGCACCAACTTTAGTTTTTCAAACGTAGGTCATAGCTCACTATGACTTAGTTACAAATAACTTTTTTTTCTCTTACAGATGATATGTCGCAGTAATAGTTTTGTGTTGATAACAACGGAGTTATCGTCATTTATACAAAAACAAAAAATTATTTGGAATCCGCCATCTTGAATTTATAAATTTTAACAAAAACATCATGATTTCCGCCCTCAAACACCCCTACTTACCAATTTTGAATGGAATCGGACCAAATCTTGTCCGCCATCTTGGAGCAGCCATTTTTTCAAATCTCAACAAAAATTCCATAACCCCGATTAACTTGGCAGGTATTCATAATTTCGGTCACAACACATTACGGAATTTTTGTTGAAATTAAAAAAAATGGCTGCTCCAAGATGGCGGACAAGATTTGGTCCGATTTCATTCAAAATTGGTAAGTGGGGGTTTTTGAGGTTGGAGATCATGATTTTTCTGTTAAAATTCATAAATTGAAGATGGCGGCTTCCAAATAGTTTTTTGTTTTTGTATAAATGACGATAACTCCGTTAGTATCAACACAAAACTATTACTGCGACACATCATCTGTCAGAGAAAAAAAGTTATTTGTAAAGAAGTCATAGTGAGCTATGACCTACATTTGAAAAACTAAAGTTGGTGCTGATATCTCAAATTCTAGAAAAGTTGGTATAAATTTCATATTTTTTTCGAAATCACTTTGAAAAACTGCCATGAGAATGTGAAATTCCTATTTGAATATTTTCATAAATAAAAAAGTTACGGAGAAGACATGAAAATGATCAAAATCTGTTTTTTGCGTATAAAACAAAAACGAATAGATTTTATCAAAATATTTTTTCACATTTCAGTTGGCCTTGGCAAACTCCACATTTTGTGTCATTTAACCGACCTCGTATCTCTCACCGTTAAAAAGATACTCATGGTGAGCATGGTAAGTGGGACACACTGTATATATCTATCCATTTTTTGTGTTCATGAATATATCTGAGAATGTCTCTTCTCAATACTTCCACCTAATCAAGGGGTTCAAACTTGAACGATGGAAACTTGTTATTTTTATAGACCTCTTTCCACGTCCTGTATGATGAATGTCAATTTATGATACATACATTTATATAAAAAAAATTATTTTTTTATTTCTCAAAAAGAGAAAAGAGTCCTCAACTTCTCCAATAGAGTCGTGGACACCCGGTATACTTACCCATCTTGGGTGAATGTCGTCGATAGTATGGGGCTGTTTGCCAGAACCTCGTATGCCTGAGGATGGACAACGAATAAATCGAAGGTCGTCTTGAACCTGGGTTCGTCAAAGCACGGAAACATTCTCCTAGCAAACGAAGGAGCCAGTTGGGTAGCGATAATTTTATCGACGTTTCCATTCGCCTCGTATACCTTAGTTCTGTAAATCCCCGAGTCGCTTGTCTCGCTCAGGAGAGCTGCGTAAAGCAAAAATTTAAATAACAATGACACATTTTCAGACCTATCAGAACGTTTCTAGCTATGGCGGTCAATTCATATCTCTGTTTCTCTTCCCGAAAAAAAAAACACTACTTTTTGTGCAAAATAATTCAACTTTGGAGGGGTGAAAGAACTCACAGTCACAACTCCACCACATAAACAATTCAATAATGAACAACGGTCACCGACAAGAGGACATGTTTCGAAGGATTAATCCTTCATCATCAGCAAATTTATAAAAAGAAGAAAATCATTATTGCTGGAAAAAGATTAACTACTGTCTGTAGGTTAATCGAGGAGGTGGTACATTCATTATTCCAGATTATTTGGGATTTTCTATCCTCTATAAAATAAAATCTCAATATTATTTCAATATACGTTTAGTAAGGACATTCCCGGTATACCTGAAAAACTAACAAACGTGTTGGTGATAAGTTTCAAGTGAAAACTGTGGTCAAAACTGAATATACAATGAGATCAATTCTAACTCAAACAAAGCCGAAAAATGAAGAACAATCGTCAAAAAATTTTATTACAGTATACCTTGTGTTTGTGGAAAGTTTTATACAGGTAAAACCAAGAGAGTAAGGACGAAGGAACATAAGTACAATAAGAAGAAAACACACATCGACAAATCGAAACTAGCTGAACATATACAATATCTTCACTCAAGATGGACAACATATGGGAGAGTGGAATAATATTAAAATCATTGGAAATGAAGATAACAACCAGAAGAGAAAAATCAAGGAATTTGCTTGCATTCTTCTGAACGAGGACAATAGCATTGCTTCCTGTTCAGATGATATAGATAGAACATGGGATTCACTATTGAAGTCTGAAAATGGCAAATTCAAGATTAATTAGTGAAAACATCCTGTAACTCATTTGATTGCCAACGTCACCAATTGTCACTGAGAACTGAGAAGTGTCAAGAAAAATACGAATTAGCCATGCAAAAATCCTTTTTTCAGTTTGAAAATGGGAGCAGATTCGTTCCCGAAACGTCCAAAGATAAGTAAAAAGTCGATATTTTTTCTCTATATACCTTTATTTCTCTTCTCCAAATCTTTTTCAATACAAAACTAGTGAATTTTCTCTTTTAGACTCTGATAGGAAAATTAATTAAACGCAGTGACATTTTGGGGCAAATCATCTGATTTGTCCTTACAACACGTATATTGAAATAATATTGATATTTCTTAAATATCCTAAGAAACTATTTTCAAATCTTACATAGTGCGTGTGGGTAACTGTTAGGAAACAGATTTCATATCAACTCTATAAGAGCCTAGTTTTCACATGTTGGTTCTTTCAAATATTTTCTTCATATCAAGCAATTTTTGAAAACTAAGCTCTTATAGAGCTGTTATAATGACTGTTCCCTAACAGTTACCCACCCGCACTTTGCGCGGTTTAAAAATAGTTTCTTAGGTTACTCAAGTAATCTTTTTCCACTGATAATGATTTTCTTCTTTTTATAAATTTACTGATGATGAAGGAGTAATCCTTCGAGACATGTCCTTTTGTCCATGACCGTTGTCATTATTAAATTGTTTATGTGGTGGAGTTTCCATGGAAGAGAGTTTGTTTCTCCTCAGCAGATCCTACACGATGTGCTGAGACAATTTCTGAAATCATCATGTTGGGGATGCAAACCTACATACCGAACACTGCAAGAAGAACATCTTCCGATAAGGCCTGGTCCAGTAGAAACTGCTCTAGAGCTGTCGCTTCCAAACAAGCAGCATTCCATCGATGGCAGAAAGATTCAGGCCCTGAGACTAGAGCAGTACAGATTTCCATTGTAGGCTCGTTGATCAAACAAATTTGCAGAATATGTCGAGGCTAGAGGCATGTGCAATGAGACAATTCGATCATCAAAGGATGCTCATAATGCCAAAATAAGATCAAAACTTGTTGAATGTCCTAACGGATCCCGTTCATTTAGGTCCTTCGCCAAAGCTGTAGGAAGAAACTTCACTTCCAACTCGTTTCCTCCTCTAACCAAGGAAGATGGAACACTTGCCACAACTGCCCAGGAGAGAGCCAACATTTTTGCGCATTTTTCTGCTGGGAATTCCACTCTGGATTCCTCGGGAAAACAACCTCCAAACATAACGCCAATTGACAGTCATATGCCCGAGATCACCTTTCGCCATCGTACTATAAGGAAAATTTCATTGGGTCTCAACACCAACAAAACTTGTGGGTCCGACGGAATCCCACCGATGGTTCTCAAGAAATGTTTACCCGAACTAACACCTGGTCTCTGCCAGTTGTTCAACTACTCTTACAAATTGAGTATAATCCCGTCCAACTGGAAAATTGCAAGAGTACAACCAGTTCCTAAAAAAGGCAAAAAGACCCTACCTAGCAATTACAGACCGATCACACTGCTATATATTATTTCAAAGATGGAGAAAGTTATCAAGATCGAGCTCATGAAATACCTGGAACATTCTGGTAATAATAACGATAGACAATATGGCTTCCGTCATCAGAGATCAACTGGTGACCTGCTCGCTTACGTCTCACATATATGGCAGCAATCTATTGAAAAATATGGTGAAACCTTAGCCGTGTCACTTGATATTTCCAAGGCATTCGATCGAGTCTGGCACCACGGACTCCTCGCCAAGCTTCCATCTTATGGCTTGCCTCCCCAGCTATATTCTCTGCTAGCTAGTCTTCTCTCAAACAGGTCTCTCCATGTAGTGGTCGACGGAGTATTCCACAAGGATCAATTCTAGCACCAACACTATTTCTTCTCCATATCAACGATTTGTTGTGTACCCTCAATACCGCCTTCTCTTCCAGGGCTCCAATTCCAGCAAGGTAAATCAGAAACATTGTATTATTGTCATGTTTGCAAAAGATATCAGAGATAGAAGGTAAACATTTTAAGCAATGATTTCAAATATATCATTAGACAATCAATTCAGTTCCGTCCAGAAAAAGTCGATAACGTCCAGAGTTGGATAGTCAGTACATCGGAATCGTACGTACCCAGTACTTCCCGGATGTTCAGACCTAAATCGCTCCTGAGGACGTCCCCAGGACGTCGAGTGCTATATGGGTTAGTGCGAAAGAAAGATACAGGTTGGCATTGACCGCTATAGTTAGAATCGTTCTTGTTGGTCTGAAAACGCATCCATACCGGTGAAGTTATGGTTAATTGAATCCTCACCTGCGTATGCTATGTACAGGGTGTTTGGTTCGTCCGTTGAGGTGTTTTCTGGGCAGGAAATCGTGACTATCCCGGTGTTTTCATTGTGGGAGGAAATGTTGCATGTTTTGTTATAGTCTGCGTTAAGAACTATTTCTGTTATGTTCATGTATGCTAAAGATGCGTGTAGGAGGGTTTCGTTGGTTGCTTCGTTTGTATTGAACGATATCACCACAGATCCAGAAAGAGTGTCGCTATTGATATCTTCAATTTTGATCGTCAGAATGTAGCTTAATGGTATTGCAGTGTCTGGTAATCGATGACGCTCTGCTTCATTTTTTGAAATTTGCTCCGATATTAGCAACAGAAATATACATATCTGTGTTCCTTTTGATACCATTTTCCCTGAAAAATAGTTAGATATTTATGTACCAAGGACGAAACACTTTATATTATAGTCGAGTGTGCAAATTGATAGCCGAGGCTAGCAATCAGGCGAGACAATAGACAATTTTTCGCCGAGGTGCATATTACATTTTTTAGCCGACCTCAGACACTTACTTATATTCACATCATGGTCCTATTCACACGTGAAATCTATCGGATTTCGTGTATAATTGATTTGAAAACAGCAAATAACAGTTATTGTCAACTCACTCTCCGCGCGGACCAGGGTTGCCAGTTTGATTTTCATTCCATCAGTAAAAACCTTGTCAAAGATTCAGTAGACTTCGATAGATCTGTTTAAGATCTATTCTATGCTATACCAATGCCAAGAAAGGATAATGAAACGTCGAAACATTATGTACTTTTAGTAAAGTAGTGAAGTAACCTATTTCATGCACAATAGAAACAAACAAATCAAACATTCCCATACAAAAATAATCATATTCCTGATTCTCACTTCGAAAATATCACAAAATACAGTTACATAGGTACTTATAAGATTTGAGTAAATAAAAAACAGGAGCGAATAGTAAAAATGAACAACAAAAATTCAAAACAAATGATGTAAAAATTAAATGTAGGAACCAAACTGTTTCTACAGAGGTGTATAAGAAATTGAATTTGATCTGAATCAGATAAAGTATCGTCCTTTTTTGATTTATACATATCATCAGTACCTATATGTACAGGGTGAACAACTAAGAACGGCTGTCATCAATCCTTTTACCAACTTTGATCTTCCATAAATTCCGTTAGCGAAAGTTGCAGTTTTCGTTGGTCTGTTGAGATTTAGTTTTTCTATTTGATCGTATAACAATATGCATACATTACATTTTTAATTCGCGATATCTATCGATACTCCAGATCACGCCGACAGCCGTTCTTAGTTGTTCATCTGGTACATCATTTATTACTCATTTCCTGAAATTGATTTGAACAGAGCGTGCTGAAATGTATGTGAATAACTTAAGATGAATAATTATAAAGATGATTATAATAGTAAATAAGTGTCAAAATATTTTTCAGTCAATTATGAAATGTTTCAGTAGATCAGTAGATCAATATGCAAATCTGGAGATCTACTGAAAATCCAGCTAGTAGAACTGACAACCTTGCAGCGGACGAAAAGTTCTTGCCATCGGAAATAATCGGTTTTTCGTTCGGAAATTAGAGCGTGGAATGTGATTTCTTGTAGAGGTCAAAGAAAAACTATTTTTTATATATTATATGTTCTAGTAGGGTACAGAGTACAAAATACCATTCTTGATGCGTCATAATTCCATGAGAAAATTTTTACCACTACAAATCTATACGAATCAACATAATGCTACACCATGATTGACAGTATGTTACTAAATGTCATATACAGGGTATCCCATTTTCGATTACCTTACGGAATATCTCCCTTACCTATAAATATTCGCGGTTTTCACTAATTTTATGACACTCACGATACTGTAAACAAAATGTGCATAGCCCTGTTCGTTTTTGAAAATATTGCATTTTAGGGACTTCCCCTTGTATCTGCTCAGCTATGTCTTTTCACTTATAGAAAAAGTGAAAAGTGTCTCTTGAATACATTTTTGCGAACAAAAGAAGAATCTATGCATAATTTCCACTTTGACGTCCTGTATCTCAAAATCGAAGCGATTCCATACTTATGTTTGAAGCAACTTGAGTACTACGCCAAATAATCACCTTTCTTCAATATGTAAATGACATTCAAGAACCTGTATATTTGACAAACACGTCGGGGCATGAACATTCGATTTTTGTTCATTAAAATGAAAATAAAAGAGATATCTCCCTGTGATTTCAAAAATACTATGATACTATCTTGTTTTCACATTCCCAGCTATCGTTTGATGCCAAAAAACGAACAAAATTCTTCAACTCATACAAAACTAAGTCAGTGCTTCTTATTTAGTATTCATTTAAATTGGTGAAAAAATAATTAGGTAGGAATTAACATGTACTTACCAATGTTTGCGATTTTTTCATGCAATAGAAATGAACATATATCGACACAATATGCTTTTGAAATTTAAATCAACTATCTCAAATCATTATAATTCGTGCTAGCCACTTAGGATAATCACATTACAAATATTGAATACGATTATTTCATTTGCTATCTTCAAATTCAGATTAGAAACTTATATCTACAGATGAAATTTGGATAATCGTGTTTTGTTTATTCATGACTGCAAAACGTAACAAGCATTCGATTTTTTTATAGATATTTCAGTACCAACCAATTGAATGAAAGAATACATTTTTGTCGAAAAACAAATACTTTGGAAGATATTGTGCTTCAAAGTTTGCCTGAAACTTTATAAATTATTGATCAGAGGTTAATAGCCGAACCCAAACGTTTGCTTCCGGCGAGATCACTAGCACCGGAAGTCTCAGTGTCTTCTGCAATGTTGCCGGACGTTCAATAATCGTTGAAAAGATGTAGAATGGTGGAAGCGCACATTTTTTGAAAAACGTTGAGAACAATTTTTACTTATTGTGATTTATCCTGTCATTATGTCTCATAGAACACCCTATTCTATTCAGTGGCGTAACTAAGGGGGGGGGGTCAATGGGGTTTGGACCCCCTCCCAAAGAGCTGTCTAAAATACCGAAACAATCTTGTAAACAATTCTGATAATGGAAAAATAGACATGAGTATAGGAAATATCACGAGAAATTCATTTGTAATTTGTTAGAACCTTCCGAACGAAAATCGGCGGTTAGTTAGGTATTGTCATTTAAAATGTACGATTGTAGTTTTTGAGAGATGGAGAAAATAAGAAAAATACATCAATTTTTTGTGGTCATTCCTCACGACTGCAATATGATTCAAAATTCGATGTAAATATTTTAAGGATATATTGTTCGGGTCAAAATATGACTTTCTCTCCATATCAACATGATTTTTAAAATGCACCCCCTCCTAGCCACTGTAAGTTAGGTAAAAACCCACGAATGAAAAAAAAAAGTGTTGAAAAGGAATATTCTCAGATAAATTATGAACATTCAAAAATGGATATTATATTTATATAAAGCAATACATTGAGAATTCGCATTCTCTATGTGATGAGAATATTTACTCTTTTCCAGTTAATTCAATAGAAAACAACTACTTTCCTGGCTATATGCCACGACGAACATTGAATTATATCTATTGAACACATACGATAAGAGTTTGAAAATAAAATGTAAACATTTCTGAAATTGAGAATTTGCATTCTCCTTCAGACAAAAATAGGTATATACACACATCATTCTGAATATTCAACAGAAAACAACTACTTTCCTGGCTATTTGCCTCGTCGAACATTGAATTATATCTGATGAACAATAATATATATTTTTGAATGTTCATAATTTATCTGAGAATATTCCTTTTCAACACTTTTATACCCAATCAGGGGGTTCAAACTTGAATGATGAAAACTTGTGATTTTTATAGACCTCTAATCGCAGATTCGTGATAGAGTCTCAATTCAGAATTCATTTCCACGCCCTGTATGATGAATGTCAATTTATCATACACCCAAAAGAAAACAAAAGATTATCTAAAATAACAGATTACATCTTCTAAGAATTGGCATCCCCTCCCCTAGTCTTTTTAGACACTCATCTATTTCCTCCTTACTCTAAATTTAGTTGTTTATTATAAATGGGTGATTTATTCTGACAAGTATAGCCATGATTATTTTATGCTAAACTGACAGACTTTGCTTCGCTATCCATGGTTACATCCAGACTTTGATTTGCTATCCATGGTTACATCGTTAAAAACATAAACGCTGTCAGACCAATCAGAATTGAAAGACATCTCATGTTTTAGCGATAAGCACACACGTTGTCTCTGGTTTGTGATTGGTCAGATTCTGTGATTTGTGAAATAGTCATTTCCATAGAAAATAAATTGAGACAATTGTTCGAAAGTTATGATCTCTGACTTTCGAGGGTTGCTTTGCAACTAAGCTGGCGGTTAAAAACACTTTTTTTTTATGATGAATGAAATTCGACGTTTCGCGTGTTGAGCAGTTTATTCAATTGAAATGGGTATAATTGAAATATGGCCAAAATTGAGATAACATTCTTTATTTCAGTAATAATCATTGACAATGATTATGTGAGACATGTCTACAACAACAAAACACTCTAGATCAAATAACCTCTATATGACGAATAAATATTTAAATAATAAGTACTTATTTGATAAATGATAAAATTGGTCTAGCTCACAGGACAGGCCTTTCCGATAATTTCCAGAATTATATTCCGAAATATTACCACTATTTAATACCATGAGATGTTTTTGCCATTAATGAGGGCTCACATGTTTAGTCTCACCAGTAGACGTTACTAGAGCGTGAGGTCTAAGTCAATGTCAAAAGTCATAAAATTTTGTCGGATAGTCCTGTAGGCAGAGAAATGTAGGTACGATTTTTTTTTTTTTGGAAAATGTGGCCTGTGTAAAACAATGGTTAAACCTGGGTGTTTGACCGCCCTGTATTATTTCTTTTAAAATGTTTGACCGCCCTGTATTATTTCTATTATTTTAATCACCCTATGCAAGATGATGTTTCTTTGGGATGACATTAAAGAAGTGTTCGCCGCTGCAGCTTACCTCCGAATTCTGTCTGAAAAAGAAATTTACGCCTGCTTGGTGATGGCTCGAGCAAGGGTGCGATTTTACTAAATATACTGTACGCTAGCACAAACCACGCCCACCGTAATATCTCATCTTCGAAGTACTTAGGCAAAACTCAGAGACTATTTATCCTTAACGAAATAACCTATCCCTGATTGCAATATTTTTGAGGAAGGAAAACCGAATGGAGTGTAGAAACACATTGATTAATAATATATTTCAAAAGTTGAGTTCTTCCACAAAATTGAATAAAATGAGACTGTTTATCCTAAACGCACTAACCTATTTGACTTCAAATATCTTATGAAAAAGGAAAACCAGAATGAAGTAAAAAAACATTGGTGAAAAAGTTCAAGTTCACAGCGATTCGAACCATGGACCTTCAGACTGAAAGTCGACAGCGCTAACCAGTAGACCATTTGGGTATATGAATTTACTGCGTACAAGAGATTGACAACGAGAGAGCTTCAGTCGAATTCGTGTCAAAATCATAAAAAGTGTATTCTTGCGTTGGAGCACAGTATATTTAGTGCGATGTGCTGACTCCGAGTATATCGGTAATGTTTGGAGATATGACGTATTATGGTGGGCGTGGTTTGTGCTAGCGTGCAGTATATTTAGTAAAATCGCAGCAAGTGTAGCACCTACGAAGCCAATCTCGATTCCGCGATTGGAGCTCCAAGCTGCACTCATGGGTAGTCGACTAGCCAAAACAGTAAGAAGTACTCTAGACATAGACATTGGCGAAACCTTCTTCTGGTCAGACTTGACTACAGTTTTGTATTGGATACGGAGTGATGCCACAAAGCTCGGACAGTTCGAAGCCCATCGTATCGGAGAAATACAAGAACTCACGAATTCTGAAGACTGGCATTGGATTCCTTCAAAACTAAATGTCGCTGATTGTGCCAGCAGAACACAGCTAAGATGAAACCATTAATTTTGAAGTATGGCTAAGAGGCCCAGAATTTTTAAACACTGTTGGCCAAGGAATTGTATCGAGGTCTATGCACCAGAATCAACAGAGCTACATGATGAACATGTTCTGAGATCGACTTCTACAGAGGAAATGTCATATTTGCCTGACATCGAACGTTTTTCCAAATGGTTGCGATTAATAAGATCCACAGCATTCTTATTGAGATTCAAAATAGTAGATTGTTTTATTAGGATCGAAAGTGACACTTTGTTTGACAAGCGAATTTTGCATTTGCGAGGCGGAGCGTTTAGCGAAGCCGAGCGAAAGCAAAATTTGCGAGTCGAACAAAGTCACTTTTGATCCGAATGAAACATGCTATTTTTTCTGCAGCCGAAACAATGTGTATATGCAATGCAACAAATATTGACAAATAATCCCTGTGGTGAGAATATTTCTACCTGCATTAACAGCAGGTTAGGTCTTCAAGAATGTTCGAATTGTAGTTTCAATATAAATACAACCACAGAGTGACATATTTGTGTATGGATCAGGTGCTCTAATGGCAAATACCGCTCCAGTGCCACTTATAGGAACAAGACGTGGAAAATGTTAGGTTAGTGAGCATATCAACAATAATAATTGTGATTATTTATTCCTCTCCATACTACACTGTGTTTGACTTTATAATAAAATGAAGCTAAACAATATCGTTGTTTGAGAGAAAAAAACTATTACTTGCCGTGATTATTCAAAAACAAGTTATCCATCCCGAGAATAACGAATGAAATACAGGATCAAGCAAGTATTTGAATCTTGAAGGCTTCCCTGATCAAAACAAAAATACTTAACTGAGATGTTTATAATTCCAATACTAAACTATAATAAGGTGTATTCATATCTCCATCAGCATCGGTATGAAATGCCAAATCTGCTGAAATCGGAAACAAATCAGGTATGCGTCTCAACCCAAATAACCAACCCTCACAATGTTGTTTATTCTTGATGACGTACAGTACATTCATTTTAGTTCTAAGGTGTTAAAGTTCAACTTTAGCTCCTAGGAACCAAAATTCAACTTTAGCTCCTAGGAACTGAATATGTTGCCTAGCAACATACCTATTTTTGTGTCAGTAATAGAAACGTCAATTTAAGAGCTAATTTTGGTATCAAAATGGACGACTTTTGTGTCGGTTGCAGAAAAATATTGTTTTTGCAAAAGTTAAAAAACAAATGAATCATTCCCCAAGAATCTAACTGTTGCAGAATCAGAAGACACTGAACAGCTTAGGGTAAAGTACACCCAGTATGATTGTTTTGAAAATGAAATTGACTGCGTGAAAGCTAATAAATGTTTTAATCGTCAAAGTCGATTAAAAAACCTGTCACCAACATTGAACGAAAACGGATTTCTAGTGTTGAGCGGAAGAACCGACCGTGCCCTCGACATGGCGTACTCTACCAGACGACCCATAATTCTCTCTCGCAGACATACCTTCACGTATCTTCTGCTACATCATTACCATGAGCAATTCGCTCACTATGGCTTTGAAACAGTCTTGAATGAAGTCGGACAGCGATATTGGGTAATTGATGGAAGTAGTGCTGTGAAGTCAGTTTTTGCCAAAGGTCGAAAATGTAAATTGAGAAAAGCCAAACCAATCCTTCCAATGATGGGACAGCTTCCTGCTATACGATTGACACCAAATGTGAGACCCTTCACCTATACCGGCATGGATTGGTTTGGACCAATTCCTGTTGCAGTTGGACGGAGACAAGAAAAAAGATGGGGTGTTCTATTTATATGCCTCACCATAAGAGCTGTGCATTTGGAAGTTGCGCATTCCTTAACAACGGATTCCACAATAAGAGGTCGACCAAAAGAAATCCACTCAGACAACGGAACTAATCTTCGTGGAGTGGCTGAAGAGTTGAAGAAGGCTGTAAGGGAGTTGGACTATGACAAAATGACATAGGCCTTCACAAAAGATGGAATATCTTGGGAATTTCTGCCACCAGCTTCTCCACATATGGCAGGAGTCTGGGAACGCCTAGTAAGGTCTGTAAAAAACACCTTCAATGTTATCCTGAATGGACAATCATTGAAAGACGAACTTTTAGAAACGCTATTCACTGAATGTGAGAGTATTATCAATTCGGGACCGTTGACAAAGGTTTCAGTGGATTTGAATGACCTAGAATCTCTGACTCCCAATCATTTCTTACTAGGATATCCAAATGATACGATGGTGTTTGGAAATAGGTTGGATTTGAGATTGGGTTCCTTCACTCTTTGGTTTCCATACTTCTTTGGGTACCTTCCAACTTTGATTTCCTTCCTTCTTTGATTTCCTTCCTTCTTTGGTTTCCTTACTTCTTTGGATTCCATCAATCTTTGATTTACTTACTTCTTTGGATTCTGTCCATCTTCTATCAAACAGTAGCAACAAATCTGTTATTTCAAATAGAATACCCTGTATTTCCTTGCACTCTCAAATTCTCCCTGAAGATCTGATATCATCGAAACATCAAACTTGGGGTCTATCGGAAATGATCACAGAGATATAGGGTGTTCAAAATCGAGATTTTTCAACTTTAGAATTTGTTTGTGTTGAAACTATTCATTATCGGTCAAAACGGCTCACATGTCCCTATCTCAACTTTTGATGTACTATTTACTGATATTTAATCGGAACAGATTCAGGGTGATCAGAATTCTGAATCTTAAACCACCCTGTATCTGTTCCGATTAGATATTAGTAAATAGTGAATCAAACAGGCGAACATTCCGAAACATAAATCTACGATTTGGTCAAAATTTGACCAGAATCGGACGGAGAAGAATTGAAAAAGTCATATTGACTAATTTTTCTTTTCCGGTTTTTAGTGTCAATGAGTGTATGTTAGCTCTCATTTATAGTAAAAATTGTCAACTTTCATGATACTGGAAAGTACGACGGCTCGACGACAATCATCCTGAAACAGCTTTTATTCACAACCATATTATGTAATGTTGTCATTACTAACGTCATTGAAGGTTGGGAAGTATAGATATAGTATACTATTTTTCCACGAGTATTTGCCTAATGTACAGTTGCGATCAGTGCTGATTTACTGTTGCAACTGTAAATGAAACTTGAAAAAGTATTTTCAACTGTATTTTAGGCCAATAAAACTCAATTTGACTCTTCGCATAATTTACAGCAGCAATTGTAAATTAGGAGATGTGTAGAACTGAGATTTTTCTTCCTAATTCACAATTGAAGACATGAGAATGATAAGTGGATAACAACCACTTTTGGTGAAAAATCAAAACTGTATAGCAACTCAAACATTTGTTGCTCTAAAGAATGGCGTTGATTTAAAATCATTCGAATATCAAACTCTGCCAAATTTATATGATAATCCAATACCACCATATCCAAAAAAATTACAGAATATTATCGACTTGAGAAAGTATATTTCATCAGCATACCAGGAGTGGTATGACAATATAACCACTAATGATGAAGTTCCAGTAGAAATATCTTAAAGTTCCAATTTGACCCAGTTGTCTTTTTATGTAATGTTCTGCTAATAAACTGAGTTATTATATTCAGAATGCATTATTTTCTCGTTTTCAGCAAAATGAGAATGAGAAGTGGATAAGTGTAAAAAATATTTTTCAAATTTTTTATATTATTTTCGACTCTTTTTCAATTCCTTCTTGTCCAACTAGTTTATTGATATACCATGTGGCAAAAGAATACAAAAAACGAGATTCTCTAATTCCCACACGCTTTTCTTGATTTTCTCGGAAATTTACTTTTAGCGCTTATCCACTTATCATTCTCATGTCTTCAATCGCAACTTGAATAGGCCTCAATTTACAGTTGCAACTGGAGAAAATGTGTCAAAGAATAAGGTTTTCAAATGTGAACTAGGAGATATGTAGAAAAAAAAATGTTTTTTCTCCCTGCTTTACAGTTGCAACTGTATATCAGTCCTAATGGACGGTTGCAACTGTTAATTAACCCTAATGGGCTTATATCACAAAAAAAATTTATTTCATAATTCGATAGAACTCACCCAAACTAGCTCACAACCGCAAACCGTTTCTTGCTGTGAGCTACCTACGTTTTATACAAAATTATTGAAATCCCCGATTCTTCGGACCTCTGAAAACGAGGCGATGATGTGACGTCAACCCTAATACTGAAACAAGACTATTCCAGACAGAGATGAATGATACATGATTTTTGACAGAGTGAATTAGCGCGAGATCACAGTTGAAAGAATTAATATATCAGTTGCCTCAGTCTCCGTCGGGCGTTTGGTATTTTCTTTTAACTATGGCGAGATGAGGTTTATACGTCATAAGAGGGTCCGTTTCCAGAAGGTACTATTATTTATGTCCAAAAATAAAACATTCTAGTTAATTTTTCGATCGAATTATGTCGTCAATCATTATTTATGTATAAAAGGATCATTATAAACATGGTTTGAGTTAAAAGTTCTGCGAAGGTGTACACGCCCATTGGCAGTTTCAACTGTAAATTAGACAGATTTTTGTGAAAAAAGTTGTTCCAGGATGACAGTTCAGAGCCGTCGTCGGAAAGGCCCATGAATTAATTTAACCTAAGCTAACAGAAAATCACATATAATAGGGGCGACGCTATCAGCATCGTTCAAATGCAAATGGTGCGTCCCTTCCACCACCTGCCGCTCCAATCTCTTAGCGCTCTTTTCCATTTCATCTAAAACGGCCGTATAGTGCTCGGGATTGTCGAATTTCAGGCCGGGACTGGCCCGAATGTTGAGCACCTCGCAGGTAATTCGCGAGGCGAACTCCAACACTTGCTCGATGGTCATGAAACCGGCGGCTGACACTTTCAGTCTGGGGTCTCGCGTGAAAACGAAACCGCTGCCGTTCTTCGATGACTTCATTCCTCTTTTCAACATTATCTCGCATCCCGACCTGTCAAACGAAAAGAAAACACAATTTAATTCTAACACTTGCTCGATGGTCATGAAACGGACAGCGGGAACTTTTAGTCTCGGGTCTTGCGTGAAAACGAAACCGCTGCCGTTCTTCGATGACTTCATGCCTCTTTTCAACATTATCTCGCATCCCGACCTGTCAAATGAAAAGAAAAAAAACAATTTAATTCCAACACTTGTTCGATGGTCGTGAAACCGGCTGCAGACACTTTCAGTCTCGGGTCTCGCGTGAAAACGAAACCGCTGCCGTTCTTCGATGACTTCATGTCTCTTTTCAACATTATCTCGCATCCCGACCTGTCAAATGAAAACAAAAATCAATTTAATTCCAACACTTGCTCGACCGTGATGGAACGGGCAGCGGAAACTTTTAGTCTCGGGTCTTGCGTGAAAACGAAACCGCTGCCGTTCTTCGATGACTTCATGCCTCTTTTCAACATTATCTCGCATCCCGACCTGTCGAATGGAAAGAAAAATCAATTTGATTCCAACACTCGCTCGATAGTCATGAACGGCGTAGTCGACAGTACTACCTTGCATTTTGTTCCGCGGTTCCGTGACTATATTTTGCTGGAAATTGCACAGACTTAGTGTGCCATATTGGATTTAGAGTGATGTTACATTATTTCTAATTATTCTCGGCAAGCCCTTTCATTTGATATCCGTATTGTAGAAGTGCATGAATAACAACTATTCCGCTATCTTGGATGGTCTACCATATTGGATTCAGAATGACGTTACATTATTTTCCGAGTTGCTCTCAACGAGCCCTTCCAATTTGATACCCATATTGTAGAAGTGAAAAAAAAATAACTATTCCGCCATCTTGTATAGTCCGCCATATTGGATTTAGAATGACGTCACACTATTTTTCGAGTTACCCTCAACAATCCCTTTTATTTGATACCCATATTGTAGGAGTGCATTAAAAATAACTATTACGCCGTCCTGAGTGGTCCGCCATATTGGATTCAAAATGACGTCACATTATTTTTCGAGTTAATTACACAGTTATCCCCACCATTCGCGGCTCCATTCATGTATCCGTGTTTGGCGTATATTTTTCAATGATTTATGAATGAATCGAGGTCTCTACTGTCATTTAGTCTGTGTTACTTCTTACCTATTCATTGAGCCTGCGTGGGCATCTACCAGAACATCCAGCATGTCCTCGTAGTCGTAACAAAATGACATATAAATATGTTACAATACTGGATACTGCACATATACATATTCATAGAAATCTTGATTCATTAGATATACAGGGTGATCCACGGTGGATGGCATATTAGAAGTATCTCGAGAACGAAAAGACAGAACATTCTGAAAATTGGGATGCTTTGATAATTGAACATTCTCTATCCGTCTAAAAAATTGTTATAGATACAGTGTTGCCACTTCTATCAGAAACAACTAGCAACTTATTATCTCGAACGGAACACCTTGTATTTTATTGCATTCTCAGATTCTTCCTGAAGAACTGATTTCATCAATGTATCACATTTGGGGTCTAGCAGGAATGATTACAAAGGTATAGGATGTTCAAAATCTAGATTTTTCAATTTTCGGATTTTTTTGTGTCGAAACTATTCATTATCGTCAAAACGGTTTACATGTCCCTACCCCAACTTTTGATACACCCCAAGTGTAATACATTGATGAAATCAGCTCTTCAGGAAGAATTTAAAAATGCAATGAAATACAGGGTGCTCCATTTAAAATAACGAAGTTGCTAGTTGTTTTTGATGGAAGTGGCAACACTCAATCGATGAAAATATTTTAGACGGATAGAGAATGCTCAATTATCAAAGCATCTCAATTTTCAGAATGTTCTGTCTTTTCGTTCTCCAGATACTGCTAATAGGCCATCCACCGTGAATCCCCCTGCATATCTATAAAGAATACCAATTCTCTGGCAATAATTATACCCACCATTCGGGACTCCATTCATTTATCCGTGTTTTGCATATACTTTCCAATGATTTATGAATGAATCGCGGTCTCTTATTATAGTTCGGCACGTTTAGATAGATAGATAGATAGAAATTTACTTTATTGTCTAAGAAACAGAATTCCCTATTGACAAAGCATACTATTCAAAATTGAATCAAAATGTATAACAAAACATAAACATATACAACTAAATTGATAATATAGAAAAAATAATAAACTTATTAAGAGTGTAAAAGGACAATAAACAGAACATATTAAAAATAGAAGTGAACAATCGTCATAGCAGATAATATACAGAGTGGGCCTTTGAAAACGAAACAGAGGCTCTGTAGGTCGCCAAAACCGGATTATGAAAATAATCTGAAACACGTCATCTACATTTTCGAGGGGGACATCGTCCTACAATATTTTCAGCCCTGCGGCGTTGCCGCTGCTAACGAAAAGAAGCAACAACTTTGTTATTTCAAATGGAACACCTTGTATTTCATTGCATTTTTAGATTCTCCCCGAAAATCTGATTTCATCAATGCATCACACTTGGGGTCTAGCTGTAATGGTTTCAGGGATATAAAGTGTTCAAAATCGAGATTTTTCAACTTTAACATTTTTTTGTGTCGAAACTAATCATTATTGGTCAAAACGACTCCCATGTCCCTATCTCAACTTGTGATTCACTATCTACTAACATTTAATTGGAACAGATACAGGGTGATCAGAATTCTGAATCTTGAACCACCCTGTATTTGTTTCAAATAAATGTCAGTAGATAGTAAATCACAAGTTGAGATAGGAACATGAGAGCCGTTTTGACCAATAATGAATAGTTTTGACACAAAAAAATTTTAAAGTTGAAAAATCTCGATTTATATATTTTATATCCCTGAAACCATTACAGCTAGACCCCAAGTGTGATGCATTGATGAATTCAGCTCTTCGGAGAGAATCTAAGAATGCAATAAAATACAAGGTGTTCCATTTGAAATAACAAAGTTGTTGCTTCTTTTCGTTAGAAGCGGCAACGCCGCAGGGCTGAAAATATTTTAGAAAGATGTCCCCCCCGAAAATGTAGTTGACCTGTTTCAGTTTTTTTTGATAATCCGGTTTTGGCGACCTACAGAGCCTCTGTTTCGTTTTCAAAGGCCCACTCTGTATATACTATTTGAAGTAGTACATGTTGAGGTCATAACAACGATTCATTTTAAAATTCCTCAATATTATAGTATTTCAAAAGGGCATCTTTCACCAGTTTTCTGAATTTACTATGATCTTTTATAGTTCTTAGTTCAGTGGGTATTTGGTTATAAATCTTTTTACTTTCAAATAACAAAGAAAATTTTGTCAAACTAGATTTTGGAATGGGTAGAGCAATTTTCCTCTCAGTTATTTGTGGGGTCACATGATTTGTTTGTACTGTAGTATCAGCTATATACTTTTTGTGAATCGTACATACCGTTTCCAATATGAATAAACTTGTCAGAGTGAGAATTCCCAAGTTTGAAAATAGTTGTCTGTATGACTCTTGCATACCTTGCCTAAGTACCCCACCATTCGCGATTTCATTCAGTTCTTCATGTTTGGCGTTTAGTATTGTTGGCGTATAGGCACTTTCTAATGATTCATAAATGAATCGCCGTGTCTACTGTCATCTAGTCTGTGATCCCACTCACCTATTTATCGAGCCTGCGTGCGCATCCACCAGAACATCCAGCATGTCCTCGTAGTCGTAACAAGGCACCTCCAGGACCGGCTTGCTCTCGTACGCCAAAAACTTGTCCATGCTGCTGCCCAGCACGTCGACCATCTTCTTCGGACTGCGCACGCTCGGGCTGGCTATGTCGATGCTGACGTACTTTTCGACTTCGTTCGGGAAAATGGCGGCGTACAGGAAGGCTATGCCTCCTCCCAAGGAATGGCCTGAATAGAAAGAAACAGAGTTGAAATCGACAAGAAACTTAAAAAGAAACATTGAACCATCCTTGTTCTAACTTTTAAGCCTAATGTTGTTATTGAAAACCATTTATTCTTTCATACTTGGTGAAATGAAACGTGGTGAAATGAATTTGCAGAGTTTAAAAAATCGCAAAAGAACCATTGTTTCATTTTTAAATCATGAAATGGAATGGTGTTCTCCAAAGTTGCTGGAGTGAATTAACTTCAATATACCAAAAAGAGTATTAAGAAATGCTAACCTATTTAGAATATCTCATCATGCTACCAATTATGGACAACACTCACCTATAGGGAGAACATTGAGATTAATTGATGAAAATGGTTTGGACTTATTTTGAAACATAGAGCTCTCTCATAAGTTGGATTTATTTTATAGATTTGAGACAAGGATGAGATAATTATGGATTCATACGAAGTATTTGTGAATGAAAGAGCTTATCATGTTGACGAAATATGATTTATTGAATACAGGTACGCAGCTAATTGGCCAAATTTCCTTGGTTTTGAGTTAGGTAAGTACCTAATACCTAACCACAGATTAACAATAAAAAGGGTTGTTAATCTGTAATCTATCCATAGTATCCATAGGAGTTATCTATTACAGATGATGAATTTCTTTAAAAACCAAACAGAGAAAAAAACCGATAAATAAAGAACAACTGACATCTGTCAAGTTCTAGAAGTAAACCGTGACGTCATAATGAAGTTAGCCTGGTTAGGTTAGGGACAATGATCAACCCTCTATGGGTTGCGTGGAACATTGAAACACTACCTCACTTTTCTTATTTGTTAACAAATGATTGTAATAGGTCGCGTGCACGAAGACCGACCCTGGAGGCAAAATATTGGAACACAACCTCACTTTTTTATTTGGTTATAAGGGAATCAAAGGAATGAAATAGTTTTTCACAATATTTTGGCATACGAATCGTGTTTCTTGCGTTATTCATTAATTCAAGCATGCCTTCGCATTGTGCTGTTGTACAATGCACAAAAAATGCAGCAAGAGACTAGGGAATATGATTTTTCAGGTAAATAGTAATCTCACATAGTTAGCATTATGAAATGTTGTCATTCCTTATTAAAATTCCTTCTGCCTTCTGCCACTTCTGCAATACAAGCTAATGCTGCTAATAGATTGAAAATGTCTACAACACACACGATCGTCAGCATGTCAGACCAGTCCTACCGATTGATTGCATGAATCCAATCTTCTTGCATTATTCTAGAAATTTCAGGTATATTTCTATTAGCTGATCCTATTGCAGAAGGAATTCCGATGAGAAATCAGAGAAATAACCAAATTTCAAAAATGAAAACTATGTGAGTGACTATAGTAGGTACTTACTTTTGAATCATAATGTACCATCCGGATTTCTTCATCTTCCGCTGCAGTTTTTGTTCCTTTTTAGAACAGCACAATGTGATGGCATTAGCGAATTGATGAATAGCGGAAAAATACGATTCATATGCCAAAATAATTGTGGAAAACTATTTCGATCACTTGTAAACAAATATGTTTTGCCTCCAGGGTCGGTCATCTGACAGTTCTTGCACGCGACCTATAGAAGAGTGAGGTTGTGTTTCAATATTTTACCTCCAGGGTCGGTCATCGTGCACGCGACCTATAGATTATTTTACCTCCACGGTCGGTTATCTGTCAAATTGTATCAAACATTTACAGTCAAACTTAACGTCACCTTACCTATCACGCTGATGTTCTTCCAATCGAAGTGCTTGACGATCCGCCTGAGATACTGCACGCCGTCCCAGAAGAGATAGTAGCTTTGCCCTTGCGGTATGTGGGAAGAGAAGCCGTGGCCGGGCAGGTCGACGCAGAACACAGACAGACCGCGGCTGCGCAATCGCGGCGCCAGGTTGTCGAAGGTGCCGCAGTTGTCCTGCCACCCGTGGATCGCTATGATCGGTTGGACGTCCTGAGAACCCCACCATTTGCCTGGAATCAACTATAGAATTCCTCAATGTGCTTGACACTTTTGTTTTCACGGTTGTTTTGTGTATTTATGGTGGATTTAAGATTTAGATCTATTTAAGATATACATATATGGGAAGAATGGACCGAGAAATGGAAAAACATATCAAAAATCAATGGCAAAAGATATCACATAATAGAAAACACACCACCAAAACAACTCTGGTACAAAAAAATTGGAGGAATAAATCGTAAGGAAATTGTTACATTTAATAGACTAAGATTATCCCATTGCAGCGTCCCAGAACACCTGTACAGAATAGGAGTCAGCGAAAGCCCCAGATGTAAATGTGGAGGAATAGGAACAATCCAACATGTGCTACTAGAGTGTCCTGAGAATTTACAAAACTGTGACGAGCTGTACCATTCCATAGTCAAGAAAGAACCGTCCCCAATTAACGCAAATAGCATAGTGTGCACACCAACATTTCTCAAAATCGAAGCGATGAGTAAATTTTTGAAAAATAGTAATAATAAAATATAAAAAATTTATAGATAACTACAAACTACCCAAAAAGTAAAAAGAAAGAAAAAAACAGGAAGAGTATGGTGAAAAGCCAGACATGCCACAAGGCAAGCTCTCCCTGAGGAAAATGGAACCAACAAAAAAATTGATGATGGTTGTATCGAGAGACGAAGGCCAGTGAAGAAGGAAGAAGAAGAAGATTCAAGGCGATACCAGATAAAGGCAGTGGCAGTAGCGTCACCCCCACTACTTAATTGGCCAATAGTGTACAAAGATTGGATGACGCAAACATTTGAAGGTCACACTGCTAAAAAGCCGAGGGGTAAATCTCCAGGAGAAATGTGTACACCAGACTTCCAATGAACAGAGACTTCCAAAGACTCCCAAAGACTTACAATGACTTCCGAATACTTCCAAAGACTCCCAAAGACTTCCAACCCTCGTAAAAAGCTTACAATTTAAAGCTTTTTGCAGTGAATATTGGCGTCAATTGAGCTCTTTTCTACCTTGAACGAGAGAGAGGAAAGTTCTCCCCACTTTCATCTTTCTCTTCAGTGCTACCAACGTGGCCTGCTGAATTCAAAAATAGTTCAGTGTCACAAACTAGATGTTAGAGAAACACAGGTTTATCGGACCACTCTATATTTCAATGCGGCTACCTTGGTATCATTGAAGAGAAAGACTGAAGAGGAGAGAACTTTCCTTCCTCTCTCTCGTTCAAGATAGAAAATACCTCAATTGAGCCCTTTCCATAAAATAAGTTCAGAACTCTCCAGTTTATGTCCACACTGTACAGAATGGCGACCAATAAAGTCCAAGTCGTTTTAATTTTCAAATTAAAGCAATTTCTGGAGCTAGTCTGAAAATAGCTGTTGGTAAAGAATATAGCTAACGAATGAAAAACGAATGAAAAAAAAAAGAAGTAAAACTGGTAAACAAAAACATACATAACCACAAATGCACTCGGAGCAGGAATGCAGAGGGTAGTTGGCTTCATTATGTCAGGTTATGGTTTTGTTATTTATGCATTGAAATATCGAATAGAGCTCGAACCTAAACGAAAATATTATTGAATCAATGAATCATTATCGGCTACATTCAATGGTACTGTCCTTAATTTACTGCCATCGGTCAGAACAGAATGAAGCCGACACCCATGGTTTCTTCCTCTTGTGCCTGTCAGTATTTTGAGTGGTGTGGACGTACTCGAAGTATTAGGCGCTGTTGCAAGATATAATCTGCAACTTTCCTAGAATATAGATCCGCGCTTTATTAAGGAACGAATTCATTAGCAAGAAAATAACTGACAAGTTATGAATAACATATTGTAATATAACGATAGTGAAAAATTATAGATACTATCGCAAAATATCATAAGTTATCTTTATTAGTAATCAACTTCATTCAGCCAATAAGGAGGATTGAAGAACCAAGTATATCCCATTGCTGTTATGATATAGTTATTATGCAAAGAACAATTACCAGAAATCTAGACATATTGATGATGTCGGCAACGTCGTACGGCGACTCTGTGGATTGTCAAAAAGTAACATGTAAACGTAAGTCATAGGAATGGTGGAGGAGCCAAGTTAGTCTTTTATTTATTTTTTTCTGAAGTGAAATTTGATCTTATGAAAATAAGAAGAAATACCTATGTATTAGTTTCTTACAAACTTCACAGTGAGATGAAAACCTCAATACAGGAAACTTCACTATTTTCCATTTCTCCAATCCTACATTGCCAAATTTGAATCTTGGAAACCAAGGCTTGGTAGGTAGGTAAGTAAACTATATCCAATATCAATTGCAGAATATCCCGCACTGTGCGGCGTCGGCGTGTTTGAAGTTTTCTTTGAAGTGACTGCAGGTGCGGCACAAGATTCTGCAATTGTTTTTGTATAAACTATACGTATGTATCTTGGACATAAAATATGACTTGGTGAGCTGGAAAAAAATTGACCATTTATCCTGACAGATTTTATGGTGAAATAGATTCAGTACTTCTCTGCAGCACCCTTGAATTGGTCATTTTAATGTAAAAATTTTACATATCAGTACTTCTCTGCAGCCGCCTTGAATTGGTCATTTCAATGTAAACCATTTCACATAAAATCAAGTCCTAAGTGAAAGCAAGTAAATACCCACATTCAATTCTAGGAGACAAAGGTGCTACCATTGAAGTCAATGCAGCAATAATGGTTGCCTAGCTGTGCTACTATAAGCAGATCACCCTGGATCCCAGAGTGATCTGTGCCATAAGTAGATACTATACAGTGTCTTTCAAAAGTATCGGAACGGTCTCATATTTCAGGAACGGCTTGAGAAAAATCCACGAAATTTTCTACAGGGTGATTATTGATGATGTCCGATTCAATGGTGGCATCGGCAATGTTGCCAAGTTTACAGTTTTTCAGATATTAGGAGTAACTTTATTTTTTCAAATGGAATACCCCATTTATTTTCATTGCAATTAATTAAGCGCCTCCTTATAACTTGAGTCCCTGAATATCAGATTCGTAATTGACGTGATTTTCGAAATATGACAACATAGCATTTTCGTTAAGAAGTTCTGGAACGGTCCCATATTTCAGAAACGGGCTCAGAGAAAATTTATGAAAACTTCGACAGGATGGTTGTTGATGATGCCCGATTCAATGGTGATATCGGCAATGTTGCCAAATCAACAGTTTTTCAGATATTTAGGGTAACTCAATATTTTCAAATGAAATACCCTATTTGTTTTCATTGCATACATTCAGCGACGCCTCATTACTTATGTCTTCAAATATCTGAAAAACTGTTGATTTGGCAACATTGCCGATATCACCATTGAATCGGGCATCATCAGAAACCATCTTGTATAAAATTTCATGAATTTTTCTTGAACCGTATTGAAAATATTAGAAGGTTCCCAGACTTTTGAACGAAAAGGCCATGTTGTCATATTTCGAAAACCACTTCATTTTAAAATCTGAAATTTGGAGACATAAATAATGAGGCGTCGCTGAATGTATTGTAAAGAAAACAAATAGGGTATTTCATTTGAAAAAATTGAGTTACCCTAAATATCTGAAAAACCGTTGATTTGGCAACATTGCCGATGCCACCATTGAATCGGACATCATCGATAATCACCCTGTAGAAAATTTCGTGGATTTTTCTCAAGCCGTTACTGAAATATGAGACCGTTCCGATAGTTATGAAAGACACTGTATACAGTTGCCTAATGTGCTTAATTGATAAATAAACTACTCACCTGCAATATGGCCCCAAGGGACAGGTACTTTCACTTCCAAAAATTCTTCCTCCTTACCTAGATTAAAAAATAGTCTTCAGCTTATTTGTAATGTTTTCATTTTGGCTATTTCACAACATGAATATGAATATAAATATCATCCTTCCACAGTATATTATTCCACACATACAAATACAACATATTACAATATTGAGCAAATTAAGAACCCCTTCCTATAATTAGTAAAGAAGGGTTTGGAGAAGAGTTTAAACTGTACCATACCTTCTGGAGCAAGGAATTTCTCATAGTTGTCCCTTGACATTTTCACAAGAATTTGAATTTTTCTTTAAAATATTTCTATCAGATGACAAAACTGATTGAAGTATTCAATATTCATTCAGTTTTTTTTTTCGTTTTTATGAGGTAACAATGCCTAGCCATTTTTCATCAAAAATTGAGTGTAATATAATATTAAGATTCAGTAAATTTCCCTACTAAATTAGAGGTCATCAAATGTAAAAATAATCATCTTATTGAAGGCCTTATTAATTAAAAGTATTTTGATGATTTTTTCTTGAATCCAAAAAATGTAAATATATTCATAGATGTGCCCACCATTAAAATACCTGAATACTTGTTCATGTTGTGCAATTACCTACTAGCTAGGAATAAAATTTAATTCATACATATTTTTTTATCAATACAATTAGGATGTTTATATAAGGTATCAATTGATTACTAACCTGTTTGTCCATTACATTTATTGTGATTGTTCATTTTGTATGCCAAATATAAAGAGTAGGTATTATATTCCTTAGCTCTGAATGTTTCTGGGATTAAAAGAAGCTCAGTGAGGCGACCCTGACTTTATCATTATAAGTATAGTGAGTAACCAATTCACTTCAAGGTAGAACGCTGATTATTTGCACTAATTACACTAGCTTTTTCTGCTAATAATAATTATCCAGACATTCACCTGAGCCTGACCTCACAAGTGAAGTCTGGGTCTGTCTGCCTACCAACCAAAAATACAGTTCCATCGATTTGAGGAAACGATTTCACGGTTCGATAAAAATGGAAATGAGTATGTCTCGTTTTGTCTAATCATCGACATCACAATCATAATGTAAATATTGAATTAGTGAACTTCGAACTCAAGTTTGAGTTGCAATTTATCGGGTAATAACTTAATAACATAGTATCCATGCTAGACGAACAAGAATGAACAGTTTTTCAAGTTCTTCTAGACCTCGAAATGGCATTAAAATATGTTTTCAAATAATTCCATATTCAATTCCAGTCTTTTTAATGGACTAATGAGTATAATAATGAACCTTTATTCCTTTATTGTAATGAATCAGAATAATTTTTAATTTAACCATTTTAAGGACTAAAGAAAAACTCTTCTTCTTCTGTTTTTTGGTTTTCTCAAGTCTCGGTATACTAAACAATGCTAATGGCCTTCTATAGCAGTGTTCTTTGAATGTAACTACTCTCGGACAAGACCAGGGATGGACTGGCCTTATTATTGAATAAGTAGGTGAGATATGAAGCCCGAGGAATTTATTTGATTTACTAGTTCTTGCAAGTGAAAATTCACAGGTACTAGGCAAAACTACCAGTTATAACAATATCCTACTTGATGAATCAATTTATTGACATTCATTACTTTCAAAATGAATATAACAGTTGCTAATGAAGAGATCAATGAAATGTAATGTTAGTCTTGCTTTTACAGAGCCTTCACTTTGAGTTGCTTCATTTTGGGACCTTTCCTCTTGGCCTGTCTCTTTTCTTCCTTGATTTCCCATCGCCTTTGCTTCTCAGGATCCTCTTCGGCCATTACTTTTTCCTTTTCTTGCCGTCTTTTTTCTTCGCGTTTCGCCGCCGCTGCTTCTGCTCTCGCTTGATGGGTCGACTTCAAAAATATTTCTTCCACTCTTTGGCGATTCTTATCAGCTTTGGCTTTGGCTAAAATATTCAAACAATATGTCATTTGCGAATTTGTCTCATAGATTACGATAATGAGCAAATTTTCATTACTCTGTATAGTTTATGAGAACTCATAGCAGTTATTTCTTTTTTCGTGTGATCAAATTTGAGAAAAACATCGTGAAGATATAGTTTCTGCTCCTCCACCATTTTCATGACCAGGATGACGTAGGTACTTCTCAGAAAAACCGTTTTATGCCAGTGCAGCGTTACAAGTTCTATACCTACATCTATGTTACAAGATTTATCAATTGAATAATTTGGGAAATTTCGCTCTAACATCATAGTTAGCAATATGGTATCTGAAAATTTCATATTGAAAAAATAGTATGGGTGGAAAATAGATTATTTCTCAAAATCATATACCAAATACCTGATGAAATGGGAATTATACAAGGTGATTCTAAAATAGGTGGTCAAACTTTGAGAGCATATAGAGTGGGTGAAATAGTTACGAAAACCTCCGTAACATTTTTTTCTGAAGTGACCCCCAAGAAAGATACAGCCCCTCAAAGGGGGGAATCGGAGAATGATTTTGCATTATTATCTCCAACACCTTGTATAATGAAAATCTGAAATTTTGTCCATCCACTTACTATTCAGTTCCGGTTCGAATGGAGTTAAAATCACCTCAAAATTAAATACAGGAGTGTGTCAAAATTGGGAGGTAGGGGGTAAAAATAACCCCAACTTTTTTGTTCATCGCAATTTCAGTTATTTGACATGAAATTATGGAATCTCAGAGCTATTTACATAGCAAAGGTGCTCTTGTTGCATCTCGATAAAATGAACTATTAGCGAATGAAATATAAAAAAAAGCTTGTTTTTAACAATATTTTTTATTTTAGTATTTTCAATAGGATCAAACTATAATCACGAAACTCTTCATATATTTTTAATTCATGAATTCCGACAACGAATTCAAAATTTCCAACCCCAAAAACCCTTACAAACCAATTCTGAATCGAATCGGACCATAATCACAAATCTGGTCAGCCGCATTGGAGCCGCCATATTTTTCAAGTCCACAACGCCGGTCAACTGTCATCTGCCAGATTCCAAGTTGATCAGACGACTAGAAGTAGGTAAAAATTCAGTTGCAAGATCTGAACTAGATAATTAAACTTAAGTGCATACCAAAATTGCAATTTAAATGAAATCTTGGAAAAATAAATTTTGCGATAAACTGAATATCGAGATTCAACATGTTAATAGCCCTGAGATTTCATAAGTTTGTGTGAAAAAGCTGAAATTGCGATGAACAAAATAGTTGGGGTTATTTTTACCTCCAACCTCCCTATTTTGACACACCCCTGTATTTAATTTTGAGGTGATTTAAACTCCATTGGAACCGGCACTGAATAGTTGGTGAATAAACAAAATTTTAGATTATCATCATACAAGGTGTTGGAGATAATAATACAAAATCATTCTCCGAGGCCCCCCTCTGAGGGGCTGTATCTTTCTTGGGGGGCACTTCAGAAAAAAATGTTACCGAGGTTTTCGTAAGTATTTCACTCACTCTATATACTCCCAAAGTTTGACCACCTATTTTAGAATCACCTTGTATATAGACATAACATATAAATATTAGAATAGCATAATAATGATTATAAATTGATGGGTAACTAGAAAATAATTCTGGTTTGAATTTCTGTTGAAAGGTTGGAGAGATATTCAATTCCACCAAGAAATTGACAACTCAAGTCTGCAACAGTGGTTGTAAACCTGATTCACAGTATAATTGCATTTTTCAACTAGGTTTTGCGCCATTGTGATATTTAGAGAATAATTGCGCTTTTTCTTCTTCTGAATACTATTACAAGTATATATTGCGTAGGTAACGCTGTTGGATTACATATAAGTTTATAATGTAAAAAATCAATGATAAGTTTCACAAATCTCAGACTTGTGTGCAAAAACCGGCAGTAAACTAGTTTCATGAACAAAATTTGAAATCTGGAAAAGCCAGATTTCAAAGCATTTGCCATTGCCACTTACAAGGACCTGTCATATATCTTACTCGCTCTAACTAATGATTCTGAACAGCAAGATACATGAGTCAATGTCATATGAAGGACAGTTTGGGGAACAATTTGGATGACATTCTCGGGTTGCTGATGGATGATATTATGATAACTAACGGTCTAGATTATAGTTTTGCCAGTGGAATTCATCTGTCAGATAATGCGCATGCGCAAATTTGATTGTTGTGCTTTTTTATTAGATATTGTGCTTTTGTGTTGGCAGCATTGTGCTTTTTCCTTTTTGAACAGCGGACCGGAAACACTGCTTATCATAGACAAATACCCTCAAATGTCACTAGATCTAGGTAGTAGGACATAGCTGGTCTTTGGGGTCTATTCAGTGATGAATAAGGATATCATTAGGTCAACAATATATTGGCCAACAAGAATGATAAAAATCCTAGAAGCTGATCCAGTATCCATGTCATTACAGAAAACAGAATGTTGATGTTCTATGGCTGAAAATGCATGAAGCGTTTGACTATTCTTAGTTTTAGGTTCTTTTGGTACTATGTTCCAGAAAACAAGAAAATAATATTCCCCCACTATTTTTTCCCACCTATACATTTGGCAAAGTAGCACATCTCATCTGGTAACTATTATATTAACTGGAATGGGTTGTTACCATGAACATATAAACAAGATCAGAAGAACAGTAGATCACTTGTAGGTATCCTTGCTGACTTTCTTGTTGCCTAAAGTCAGTGTGTATACTTTTATTTTTTTTCTATTCAAAGATCTATTACAATAGTGTTATTCTGGAATGATACTTCAAAAATTTAATCACATGAAGGCATGTAAATATACTAGAAATAATGAAGAATTTACCTGTGTACTATATTATCTTTTCTCCAACTAGTTCCACTAGTGGTAACCCTGGTAATTTGTTATTATTTTAATAATGAGCAAAACAATAACAACATAAATGACAAATATGAATCCTTAAGGATTGTGATTTGCTAATGATGTAGTTAAGCCTTACAAAATTGCCCCCATAGTCTGCATCATTAATAATGTCTGAATCACTGTATTTGGGAAATTAAAATTATTTGAATAGTCATTTTGATTGATTGATTGTCTTTATTACCCCAAGAAACATTTCTGTTTATGATAGGGATACATAAATACATATAAAAAAAATAATAAAGGGTTAACTATAATGAATTCCACTCAGTGGAAATGAATTAATATTGTGTCTTATAAGATTAAAGTTATATTTCATTCCTAAGTAATCAAATCATGCCACATATTTTTCATTCAAATTGTCCTGAGCAAGTATTTTTTAAGATTGATTTTAAACCTTCTTGCATCATGTATATTTTTCAACTCATTTGGTAATGAATTGTATAAAATTATTCCATTGTGAAAAACAGATCTTTTGCCAATGTTTGACTTGAATGTATTTGCTATCAAGTAATTCAATTGTCTAGTCCCATAATTATGGACTGTATTGACTTCATTGAAAGTTAAATTTGATATTTTTTAATTTATTCTTGGCAAAATGAATGAAGCAACATATTTTAAGTTTATATAACAAAATCAGGTTCAGAAAATGTTTTGGTTTATATAAATTTATCTTTGGTTCTAGAAAATGTAGATGAAAAATGCACTTAATTGATTTGTTTTGTAATTTCATTAGTGGTATCAGACGTGAAATATTTGTACTCCCCCAAATAGAAATTAAATATTGCAAATTTGAATAAATGAGGCAAAAGTAAATACATTTCAAGTATTTTATGGGAATAATATTTTAGACATCAGAAAGCTGATACTAATGGTAGTTGTATGATAATTTGTTCCAGGAAAACTTCCTCATTGTTGCACTGTATGCAGGTGATAATCTACTTTATACTGAAGGTAGCCACATTACTTTTAACTTAACTAGCTTAACCTGGATGCAATGATATTCAATTGCCTACCTTCTCTGGAGAGTCTGAATCTCTTTATTTTATCCACACAATAAAACACCATATTCATCAAAGGAGACAGTTTTGCACAAGCCTCCTCAAGCACCATTCCTTTTGTTTGTATATTGAAACTAAACATGAGTACCTGAAAATTATTTTTTCACACAATAAATCCTAATAATAACTAGCTGAAAAGCTACTAACCTTTTCAGTGTCAGGTAATTTCAAGGCCCCATTGTCTTCACTTTGTTTGGGACCAGAAAATTGGTCAGAAAAATGAATATAATCAATATATTCAGAATACTTATTGATAACAGTGGTAACCTTACTATCTAATATAACTGGAATTGCCTCTGACAATTCACTCATGACATTGAAACCCAAAGGTAAATTGTGTTTGTCTCCTGGCTTGCGCTCTGGACAGTAAACACTCAGGTCTGCCATGTCTTTTACAAGCTGCTGGGCAGTTTTCTTGGCAGCCACACAAAAAACAAAACTATCCATGTCTTCTTTGTTCATTTTTATTGTTATGTGAATCTGGTCCAGAGTGGGTCTCATCATGCTTGACAAGATAGCTAACAAATCTTGGCGCTGCAACAATTTTCTCTAAGCACTTACCCAAGGAACTAAATATTTCAATACTACACTTACTTTTATCAGCTTCAATTCTACAAGCATTCCCTCACAACATGTTCTTCCACTACACCACAATGTGAAAATATTTTCACTCTCTTTCACAAGGCTCACATTTTCATATCTATCTAAAGAGCCATCATCTCCAACTAATGAAAAATTGTCTTCCAATAGCTGTCTGTGAGTATTGAACCATGTACTTGCTATTTTACTATTCTTATTCTTCCCAATAGCAAAATTCATGAAATAAACTATGAGCCCAGACATCATTAAAATTTCCAAATAGTAGCTGTCCCAATTCTGTCTGAAATTCAAAGGAACTTTGGCAATAGTGATCTTTGGTTCTGAAGTAGGATTCTCTTCCTTGACTTCAAAACCTTCAAATTCTTCAACATCCTGGAAGTGCTCAAATTCAGAATCATCATCATCTACAGTTAATTCATCATTGTCGTTGTCTATTTCATCATTTGGAATGAATGAATTTGTGTTCACTGATGCTGGTTGTTCTTCATTCACATAAAATTCCTCCTCAGCCTCCTCAAAGTCTTCAAATTCGGCAAATTCGTTATCAGATAGGTCTCTATATTGTTCAGCAAGGCCTCGTTGGAAAAAAAGTGTGATAAGTAACAATAGGTACCCCAAACCTTGACCTATTTTCATCTTCATGGATTGTTCTGATCTGCTGATGTGAATATGGAAACTGAAATAAGTATTGGTTCTTGAATATTTCCAGGTTTTAGTAGAATTACTTAGGGTTACCTTATGAAAACCTAAATCACTTTACATTCGACATGAAATGAGTAAAAAAAACAAAACTGAACTGAAGAGTGAAGACTCTGAAGAGATCCAAAAATTCCGAAATTACAGATGTGATTTTATTGTTGATTGATGTGACTGATGTGAAGATGATTTGAGGGTTCTCTTGGGAAGTTTGATAACACGTGACACGTTGACATGACAAATGGCAATTATCGACTGATCGGTGACACTGTCAAGTTAGAACTGTTCGGCGTAGTCGTTCTGCACCGGTTCCCATTTCATTGTTCGCGTCTTGCACTGAGTTCTAAGTTCAAACACGATTACCATTCATAGTATCAGCGTGTTTTTCATTCCATCGAAAGAAGTGGGCACTGATAGATGCGCTGTTTTGTCGTGACGTCACCAATTGTTCAAGTTCTGATGTATACTGGAGTGGCTGGTAAACATAGATGCGCTGTTTTGTCGTGACGTCACCAATTGTTCAAGTTCTGATGTATACTGGAGTGGCTGGTACCATGGAACTGAGATGTTTATCTTTTTACAAGTCTTTAGGCTCTTTAGATGGAACAATGGATTAAACAACTCATTGATGGAAATACACATTTCGTTGTGTCTCAGTCGTCATGTATCTTCATAATCAGAAGAGGCTGATACGATTTTATTGATTAACACCCATTACTCCATCTTCTGTAATCTCTCAAGAATCTCAAAATTCTAAAATGTCTCAATACGTTTAATAAATATACTTAGAATGTATCAATTGTCAAGTCAATCTCCTACAATCAAACCGCTGAGTTCTCGCAATGCGATTTGAAAGTGCGTATTTTATTACAACAGTTTGATGGATTTTCATCGACGTTCCAGCTTCCAGCGGAATTTTGCAACAGTTCGATGGTTCCTTCAATTCATGCAAATCATGCGCATGACAAAATGTTGGAGTGAAAAACGCACCCATCGAAGTCAACTTTAACGAATTTATCAGTCAAAATCATATTTGCGCCATAGAAATTATATAATTTGGGCAGATGTCATAGAGGCTCGTCTTCAACAAAGTTCTAGTACATTTTATTCTGAAAAATAATTGTTCTTCGCAATGTTGGTAGAACTGATGATGATCAAATCAGTTCTACCAACCTTGTCCTTGATTGCTAATGACATCTATATCTAATTACTTCAACTTGAATGTTGTTTAAAATTCCAGAAGTTTTCATTCTTTGAAAAATACGAATTTGCGATTCGTGGAAACACGAAAAATACTCAGTTCCATTTGTTTAGTTTTTTAGATTTAAATAGTTGTTTTCATAGATCGAAAAAATGAGTGGCATATTGAAGCTAAATTCATTTTTAGCTAGGAAAATTTTCACAGCAGGAAAGGTAAGAATATTTTATTATAACTATAGGTAACCTACAATGTTACATAACTTTTTTTTTTCGAAAATATTTTGCTTCGATTCGAATTCTGGATTTTGTGATATCACCAATATTTAATGAATGTTTGGGGTAGTATATGCTTTATAATTAGGTATACATCTAGTCATCAATGATAATATTTTCATCAGGTAGGTAGATACTAGAGCTCTGTAGATACCTAGGTACCTACCTACCAGAATCAGAAATGCAGATAAGAACTGTTTGATGTTTCCTAATATTCCATATGTAGATAGATACATATCTACCATTCAGAGAAATACCTTCATATGTCTAATAGACCAAGATGATCAAGAAATATCTAGGTAAACCATCTCATTACTTCTCTAACAGATGATCTACCTTGTACCTGAGTGTAAACTTATTATGATACAAGGTTTTCTGTCGTCAATAGGAACCTACCATCTTAGCTTATTGTCATGATTACATCACCTATGATAGCAATAGCTGAATATTCCATCTGGTAGATTATGAAGAACTGTTTTTGTCTAGACCAGAGGAAGTTACAAATTGAGGCTGTGGGCCCCCTTGCTGTGCTACAAATTTCAAAATGTCCGTGGGACAACTCCCCTTTTATTTTTTTCTTGTGTTTCTTGTATTATAAACATGATTATGTGAACTATTTATTCAAAAGTGAATGGTTGAATAGATATTTTGAAATGAAAAAATGTCTACAAAAAACTCAAAATATACTTCATGAAGAATTTACTTTGGTTCAAATATGCCTTCAGATAATCTGTTTTTCATTGATGATACTTTACATATCAGTGCCTAATTAGGATGATTGTCTTGTTATTTTCCAATGATTATAGTAAATCCCAGTTGAATCATGTTTTAAAAAGAAACCACAAAACCATATTATTTGAGACAATGAATAATACATGAGAATATTGATTGTTGTATCACATTTTATGTAGTTGTAGTATTGATTCATATTTCCATTTTAAGTAGGTAAGTAGAGTCCTATGTTTTTGAACCAGTGGATAGCTTTGTTTACTATGTTGATTTTATGACACTGATTTCTTGTATTTCTTGTCTACTTAAGTAAACATTATTTTTATATTAAGGCTTGGAAATTTCCAAATGAAGATTATTGTGATGTTCACTTTTGAAGTCACTGGATGTCAGTACATGATATTGAAAGTCATTTTAAATCATTGAAAGTCAATTAAAGTTGAGTTTTTGTTTAAGCCCCTTAGCCTTTGTTCCATACTGAAAGCTGCTGAATTTCTGAAATTCAGTGAAAACCTAACCTGACAAGTATTTGGAATCTGGAAGGTCTCAATTTTTTGGATGTTATTTGATGTATTTTTTTATCTCTTGGAGCGCACCAAAGAGAATCCCTACAATTTCCTGAAGAACATCAAGTGTACCCAAGAAGGATAGGGAGAGACTGTAGGTATTGGATTTTTTTGAACTGTTGGAGGTTATAAGTTCTTGACATCATATGTTACTAAGTAAAGTTACTTAGTTATTGAAAGTTACTAAATTCTTACAAGTCCAAGTCTAAAAATCAACGAGTTTTTAGAAGTCACTTAGCCACTGGAAATTATCAATAATTACCTACTGGATTATTTTGGATTCCTAGAGATGTCTTCATTGAAAGTCACTTGATTGATTAGTTTTTGGAAGTCACTGAGTCTTTAGAAGTCTCCCAGTTTTTTGGAACTCACTAGGAGCAACAAGTGTTTTGTACAAGATTTTGGAACTATTGACAGCAATCAAATGTCACTGACAGTTCAAGTTACTAGGAATAATTCAAGGTTACAAAGCCTTTTGAAATCACTAGAAGTCAATAAGTCTCTTGAAGTCACTAAAAGTCTGGTAACTGGATGTATGTTAGTCACTGGAAGTAAATTTACAGAGTCAAGTTCTTGGAAGTTACTTAGTTTAAGTCCCAAGTCTTTTGGACAAAATGAATTTTGGACGTCTTCCTAAGTTCCAGTCTTTTGAAGTCTATACCTACTGGAAATCAGTGAATGTTATTGCAAGTTACTGGGTATCTTCAGAAGTTACTATGTCTTCAAAAATCACTATAGGTGCCACTAAGTCTCTCGAAGTAACTGAAAGTCTAGCCACTAAGTCCTTAGTACTTGGAAATCCCTAAGCCCAGAAGCCTTTGAAAGTGTCTGGAAATTATTCAAAGTTACTAAGCCTTTGGAATTAACTAAAGACCACTGATTCTCTAACTGAAAGTCTAGATACTACTGACAGCCATTGAAAGTATTTTAAAGAAATCAAGTCTATGAAAGTCACTGAGTCTCTGATTGTCTTTGGATGTCACTAGGTCTTTAGACGTCATGAAGTTTTTGAATGTAACCAGGTCTTAAGGTGTCATGAAGTTTTTGGATGTTGCTAGGTCATTGGACGTTACGAAGTTTTTGGATGTCACTGAGTCCTTGGACGTCACTAAGTCTTTTTAAAATCCGCTGAGTCATTGAAGGTCCGTGACAATTTTGGATGTGATTGATTGACAGACATTCTAAGTCTTTAGAAGCCCTTAATTCTTTGAAAGTTACTGAATGTATGCTGTAGTCCCTGGAATTCATTTTACCATATTTTACTAAGTCAAGTTCTTGAAGGTTACAAGGAATTCAGAAGTCCTAAGTCTTTTTAAATCAATGAGTTTTCAGAAGTCTCTGGAAGTCTCTGAGTAGTTTGTAGGCTGAGATGGAAATAGTGATTATTATAGAAATTTACTGGATATCTTTAGAGTTCATAATTCTATGGAACTCAGTATAGAAACCACTCTTTTGAAGTCACTAGATGCCACTATGTCCCTCAAAGTCACTGACAGTCTGGATACCACTGACAGACATTGGAAGTATTTTAAAGACATCAAGTCTTTGGAAGTCACTGATTCTCTGAATGTTTTTATGAGTCGCTGCCGTCTTTAGATGTCACTAAGTCTTTGGATGTCATTAAGTTTTTGTACGTCAGTAAGTCGTTGGATGTCACTTAGTTTTTGGATGTCACTAAGTCTCTGGATGCCACTATTGTCTGTCAAATTGTTCAAGGTCAGCCTACCTCTGCCGACTGTTTCGCGAGCGCTGCACATCCACGTGGACAGAAAGAACGCCAACGTTTCGGATGCCGTTTCCAAGGTGTATCCGGTGGTCGATCACACGTTCGACGCCATCGTGGTGGGGGCGGGCGGGGCGGGACTGAGGGCGGCCGTCGGCCTATGCCAGGAGGGCTTCGAGACGGCCGTCATCACGAAGCTGTTTCCTACTAGGTCGCACACGGTGGCCGCGCAGGGAGGGATCAACGCTTCGCTAGGTGAGTGTTTTTGGGGTACAAGGGGTGAGGTGGGCAACGTTGCCAATATCCTAAGATATCGGATTTCTAACACTCGCTATAGGCAAGAAAACTGATTTCTAAAAGAATACTATGACAACCCAGGCAACCAGATGACGTTTCAGTGACGTCTTTTTACGTCAGTTGAAGGTCCAAGGTGACGTCAGGAGTTGACGTCGTATGACGTGATAAATGACGTGAATAAGTCACAGCCCAATGACGTCATTTTACTCACGTTTATTGACGTCATTTCCCCACTGACCTCTGATGACATATAATATTGATATTGATTATGTATTGTTGAGTCTGCATGGTGGTTCCTCCGGTGTCATGTTCATTCAATCATCTATTCAGCACCGCTTTCCCTCAGTATGCATCTTCATCAGAGTAAAATCAGTAACTCGTATTTGTATCAAAAATTATGTAGTTTGTGTCGGCGAGATGTAAGCAAATCAAAAATAGTTTGATAGCAATGGAAAGTATGTTGGCGAAGTTAGCTTCACTTTGTTGAGAAACGTATATTCATTTATTATTTGTCATCCAACAAAAATCTAAAAAACAAATTATTGAAAAATTTTCTGAATGACGAAGCTCACCAAATTGGTACGTCACACCGATGTGATTTTTAGACGTCATAGATACGTCACTGCAACGTCATTAAAGTGACGGTTTCAATATAAGTACACCTATATTATCATTTGTATATATACATATTTAGCTTGATTGGTTTCCAAGATATACAGGGTGTCAAAAGTTTGAAAAAAGTTTCCTCTTACTTTTTTAATTTACCGTCGACAGGACGTCCCTGCAACGTCATGACACTGACGTCTTCTTTTATCCATCTAAGTGACGTTCACTCGACGTCGAGATGATGACGTGATTCTCACGTCGTCATAAATTGGTGTGTGACGTCTCTGACGAAAAATCACCAATTAGGGACGTCACAGTGACGTGATCATTCGTCATATGGTTGCCTGGGAATTAGCATGATGCGAAAAGGCACAAGTAATTTTTTTTGAGCGGTATTGACGTCACAAGTACTATATTGGTAGTCGAGAAAGATCGATTTTTCCTCGGATATTTGCCTATTCAGTGAGATGAACAGCGTTGCTGACTCAACCAATTTTTTAGCTTGTTTGGATATTTCAACATTATTGCTCTCAAGATTTAACTGATTTCTAGTATGTAATCGTATGTAATGGATGAAATATGCAAGACAGATTAAAACTCACTTGTTCTTGTTTTCTTATAAACAGGATTGTGACATGAATAAATTCATGTATATTATGAATGAAAATAAGCGTATCCACTACTTTATGAAATCATTGAATGAAATAATGGACACACTGTATACAAAGCCTATGTGTTATATATTTTTTCGACAACTTCTACAAAAAATCACATTTCACGTTCTAATTTCCGAACGAAAAACCGACTATTTCCGAAAGGAAGTACTTTTCGTCCGCTGCAGGAATGCCAGTTCAACTGAATTTTTAGTAGATAAATATCCTGATTTGCATATTAAATCTACTGATCTACAGAAAAATTTCATAATGTACTGAAAAATATTTTGACACTCATTCATTATTATAATTACCTATATTGTTATGAATCTTTAGTTGGTCACATACACTTATAAATTGCATATTTCGGCACGCTTTGTTTGAACTAATTTTACAAAAATGTAAATATAGTAACTAATGATATGTATAAACCAAAAAAGGACAATACTTTATCTGATTCAGATCAAATTCAATTTTTTTATTTGTTTTGTATTTTTGTTGTTCATTTTTACTATTTGTTCCTGTTTGTTATATACTCAAATATTATGATGTATTTTGTGATATTTGTGAGTATTTTTTAATTGGGAATCAGTGCCGGATTTAGGGGGGGGCTGTGGGACTATCAGCCCCCGGCGGTGAATTTCAAGAGGCGGTACAGAAAAAGAGAAAAGAGGAAAAGCAAGCAGCAATTCAGTCTTCGACTGGTTGAGATACTGTTTTTGTGAAAATCATAACATGCACTAATCTAGCGTCAGCTGTGTCTTGGCGTTACCAACGATAATCTCGATGGTAACGGTCTTGGACGCTACAATACAAAAGCGGCGGCGGTACATACTTTTATTTGATGATGAGAAGAAAAACCGCATTTTACTCGTCTAACTCAATAACAAAAAAACAAAATCAGAGTGGTTGTCCTTGGTATTATTGGTAATGGTACTAATAATAAATAAATATTAAAACTTGAATTTAAAAAAATGAGTAAAAAAGGTGGTGCATTCTGGAAACGGCAGAAGATTAATAAACAGAATTAGTTTGACGAATTTGTCAAGAAATGCCCTGAAATACATTCATTTTTTATAAATTCAAATGAGACAGTATCAGAACCGATAGAACCGTCTCCGGGAACGATCTCAAGACAGGAATGGTAAGTTTCATATATTTTTAAATTCAATACGCGAAAAAGAAGAGTTAGAATCTCAAAAATAGATGATCAGAATATGAACATGACTAAGCGTTGTTTTAGGGATAATCACAACAAATTCATTGAATATTGGCAATTACTGAGAATTTTTGTACTATCCCTGATGATTCGTAATGCCAGTGGTGAAATGTCATTCTAAACAGAGTGAAAAACTACCTTAGGAATTCCATGGTAGAGGATATGTTGAATATCTTATCAATTTTAAGTATTAACAGTGAGATGTTATCAAATCTGAATTTTGATGCCATTGACGACTTTGCATCAAGAAAATTATTGTACCTAAGTAGTATTCATCTGAAAAAAATATGTGTTGTTTGTTGTTATGTTTAACGTGTGTAGAAAATATAATTTGATTCGTTGTACATAATGATTTCATGTTATTGTTATATACTGTAAAAAAAGCAGTGAAAGGATTATTTGAATTTTGAAACTGACAATTGAAAATTAAATATTTGGCGGCGGCGCGGCGGCTTCGTGAAAGTTAGCCCCCGGCGTAAGGGAGTATAAATTCGGCACTGTTGGGAATTATGAATATGATTATTTTTGTATAATGTTCATTTTGTTTGTTTCTATTTTGTTGGAAATAGGTATAGGTATATTGTAGCCAAGCGGCGTCCATTTAATGAAAAAACCAAGGCCAATTAGATCCCATTCAAAGGCTGAAAAATCCAGCGATTTTTTTTACAAAAAAAAACGTCTTGCCAGTCTTGCCACCACTGAAATTCGTCTAAAATAGATATGTACCAAGTTTCATGAAAAAATATCCAACATTAACGAATCTACAGTGTGTCTCATTTCAAACGGCGGCCCAGTGGTCGAGAGCGCGAAGGCGTTGAGTTCGTATGGGGACTCCCACCGAGGCATGGGTTCGAATCCCAGTTAGGCCATGGATGTTTGTAAATGTATGCTTTCCTAACCCCGCACAACTTTCGACTTATGGGGTGTTGGATCCAGTGCTGGGTCCAACGAGGAAATGCAATTGAAAATAAAAAAAAACTCCCCCCTCTATATCTCAGCTAATAGACGTGCGATCTTAACCAAATACATCATTTTGGACACTGCCGTGCGTTTTTATCAAAATGAAAAGAGGGTCAAGGTTTTATGAAATCATATTAGTTATGTTCTACTGGGGAATTGACCTTATTATATTGTTCTTCTTGGTTTCAAACCCTTTTATGTGAATTTTCATATCCCTAAGAAGGGCACATCTGAACAGCATTTTTGCGAACATAATAATTATTTACTCAGAGTTCAATATAAAATAATATTTCTTGTCTTTTCTTTCAAAACACGATACCTTGTATTACGGTAACCTGTCTCTTTAACACTCGTGTTGTTTAATGTATGAATTTGTTTTTATCCAATGATTGGACTACTAGAGATCTTTTTTTTTATCTAAACAGGCAAAAAAGTGAAGACAGAACTTCATTGTTTCATGTTATGTGAAATATCGCTAAATTTGGCGTGTTTTTTTTTTCTTCAAAAGGACTGAATTTGTTTTTGTGAATTGATTATTGTTGGAAAGATTTGTGTCGAATGAGAATATATAATTTCAATTTTGTATCATTTGACTTCCTAATCCTGTGAGAATAAAAAAGATATTTCACTTTTGAGTCGATGAAAAAATCAATAATTATTTTTAAATAATAATTGATTGCAACATTATCCTTTTTCCTAAATGAATATTTATATTTAATCACGTATACTCTTGAATTAAAGCAAAAAACAAGAAAATATTTCAAGCAATGTGAGCATTTCCGATTAGCCAACATAAGATAGAAAGAGATAGGTATTTCGCTTCACTCGTCGTTTATATTGAGTTCATTGATAAAAATACAATAATTTCGACAGTAGCACCACTTTCATTCATATTTGACATATGACACCTTTGCAGTTAACCTCTCAATATGAAATGTCTTGCCATTGAAAATACATAACACTAGGGTCCCTTGATGTAAATTGACGTATTTGTCATCTTAACAGGGTACGGACAGATCCTCGTCTCCTCTCACTCTAAAGTGTTTGTGAAACGGTTATATAGTTCCATCTTTATTCATTGACCATTCCAGAACACGTGATTTTGACATGGTTTCTTCAGGGGCACACAAACTATCTGTTATATAGGTTACCTTTGATGAGCATAGCCCTGGCCATATCTGCCACATCCACAATATAATAACAGTTTCACCAAACAAAACTATGAAATTCTTCTGGTTCCAACTCGGGTTCCGAGGAAAACGATTCCACTAATTCTGGTTTCATATGACGAATCTTGACAAAATACAATGTTTGCCCCTCAGCAACCTGTCAAATGTCGTAATTCTGGAATGATTAATTTCTGGGGATCAACACTAGATTTCTGACATTTGTTGTTTTTTAGGTTATATTGAAGACATTGACGTATCACACGTAATTTGCACATGTAATTTCTCATTCAACTCTACATATTATATCTAAATGATGATGATAATTTTCGAGTTTAATACGTTTTACCAAATGGGACTGTTCTTAGGCAGTAGGTACCTATCAATACATTAATTTTGATTTCAGAATAAGCCTTATGGTCGAGAAGTGGTGAAAAATTGTTTTTCTACAAACGTCAAAAAATGACAAGGTTCGCGCATTGATAACAAATTGCGAAGTGACACTTTTTTCAGTTTCCTACGTTACTCCATGATAACTTGCACAAAACAATGCGCGAAGTAAAACAGTGCGCGAAGTACCTACTTCGCGCATTGTTATGTAAAATATAAGAGATATTTATATTTCAACTTTATGGTCGTCAATCGAGCAAACATCTACAAAATCATTAATTTCTGAATGTTCAACAATAACTTTGTTTCATCTCGTGGAGCGCACGAGAGGAAATTCCTATCATGTTCGTGGAACATCGTGCGTTCCTAGGGAGGACAGGGAGAGGCCTTTCAAGTCAGTTCAACACTATTTTTTTTATCAAGCTGAGCATATTTTTACTTTAGAACTATATTTCTTGACGTTTGTAGAAAAAATGTTGTTTGCAGCTCGAGCGCGAAATACTTTGGTCATCTCGACTATTTTTTTAACTCGACTACGCCTCGTCAAAAAAATCAGATCTCGATCACCAAAGTAGCATTTCGCACTCTAGATACAAAAATAACTAATGTAGGTATCCAAACTAATGTGCTCATATGTCATGTGCGCTGTATATATTCATGTTGTGAATAATTTTTGCAGTTTTTCACGAACACTTGATATTTTCTGAATGTAGGTATAATGTTTCAAATGTAGGCATATGCCTCTTCTTTTCGTTTTAATCAAAACTGTTTCTACTAGAATGCTCTCAAAAACTCATGGAGTGGAAAATTATAGGCACAATGAGAGAGTATAATATGTGATTTCTTATTATTTTCACCTCGAATATTTTGCTGATGTATTTACCAATTTTCCCCATTCGGTCACTTTCTTTCCATGTTCTAAGTTCATTTGAATTTTATGGAAAGCTGACAAATTCAAATTTGCCATCCAACTGATCGATACAGCCTAACGCAGCAAATGTTACCATCCTTCCAGAACAGAATTGAATAATGCCGTTTTAAGATCAAGTATGAAATTGAAATTTTGTAAGATCTCTTTTAACGCCTATGAATCTGACGTGACAACAATGTCATGTCAGGGACGCCAATACACGAAACCAAAGTCACTAGATGATTAAAATAGAAAGGAGCTATGATCTGTCCGTACCCTGTTAGATGACAAATACATCAGTTTGCATCAAGGGACCCTACAGAACATGGTGGAAATATACAGGGTGTTTGAAAAAAACTGACCCCCTTACTAGGATAGGTAGAACACTGCAAAATAAGTTGGGTTTATTTAGTAAAAAAATGTCCTTACGGCATCCGTTATCAAGATAAAAGGTGTTGACAAAATGATTTTTTTACACATTTTTCAAGATTGTGTCGAAACAACTGGCATCATTGTAATGAAATTTTGTATGGATGTTGCTTGAAATCTGACACATCATCATCACTAGTAACACGGTTCGTATCGAGTAGTTTTGAACACTATTTTTTTGAGGTTAGATTTTTCATTCTAATTTGATGTGAACTTGAACATCATTCAATTTCACATCAAAAAGATACTCTTGGTAAAACTCGATAATGTGTTCCCTTTTCGGAATATTTCGATTTGAAAATGATGAAGTGATAACTGTTGATGGTATAAAGCTATGTATTAGAGTGAGTAATATGAAAAAATATCACCTATTTATTGAATACCGAAAACAACAATACATTTCTGATGCTGAACTTATTGATTTAACAATGAATCACAAGAATACATAACATCGAAACAGATTTGACTAAGAACATGGATTACATAGTTTTGTTGTATCTTGAGCAGAAAGTCTATGCTACATAGGTAAATTCACGTCAAGAGTTGTAAGACATAATTGAACATCACTTAAATGATCTAACAGCTGATCCTCAACTGTTTAGAAGCATAATACATTCTTAAGAAAAGACTATAGAATCGTGTATTCGTCGAAACGTAGGACATTTTGAACACTTACTCTAACTGATTCAATATTTCATGTTTCTAGTCAAATATCTCTTAATTTTCTTCTTTTGATTCTTTGTTCTATCAATAACTTCAGCACAAGAATAATTAAGGCAATTGAATAAAATAGGTAATTGAACTCAATAAAATTCATTTTATACCAGTATCAGCTATTACTCCATTATTTTCATATCGAAATATTCCGAAAACGGAACATAGTATCGAGTTTCAACTGAATGATGTTCAAGTTCATATCATATTTGGATTGAAAAATTTAACTTCAAAAAAGTTATGTTCTAAACTACTCGGTACGAACTGTGTAACTAGCGCCCTCTATGAGAATCAGATATAAAAACAAATTCATGCGATGTGTCAGATTTCAAGAAACATCCATATAAAATTCCATTACAATGTGCCAGTAGTTTCGACATAATCGTGAAAAATGTGTAAAAAAATCATTTTTTCAACACCTTGTGTCATGAAAACGAATGGCGTTACGACATTTTCTCACTGAGAAAACAAAACTTATTTTGCAGTGTTCTACCTACCCTAGCAAGGGGGTCAGTTTTTTTTAAACACCCTGTATATGGTGAGCTACTCAGGTATCTTGAATTCGTATTTTCTGCGCATAACGTCATTGCGAGTCTATACTCCCACCAAAATGATCACGGCGACTCGGGCGAACTGATAACAGACTGCTAGCAATTGTTTTACTCGCAGTGACGTATACGAAGATGCGTCGTAGCACACCATACTAATTCCACCATGCATAAGACCAATTCGAGAATAATTGAATCATCCACCAGCCAACATGGAGGCGGACACGTGGCAATACCACATGTACGACACGGTGAAGGGCAGCGATTGGCTGGGCGACCAGGACGCCATCCACTACATGACGCGCGAGGCGCCCAACGCCGTCATCGAGCTGGAGAACGCCGGCATGCCCTTCTCCAGAACCACCGACGGCAAGATATACCAGAGGGCGTTCGGTGGGCAGTCGCTCAAGTTCGGCAAGGGCGGACAGGCTCACAGGTCGGTCTTTATTAGGGTAAACTAAGAGTTCCTAAATGTACTTGACACTGCTGTATTGACGTTTCTTGTATATTAGAGTACGGACATTATTCGCGAAAATCACGAACCAATAGGTCGCGTGCAAGAACTGTCAGATGACCGACCCTGGAGGCAAAACATATTTGTTTACAAGTGATCGAAATAGTTTTCCACAATTATTTTGGCATATGAATCGTATTTTTCCGCTATTCATCAATTCGCTTATGCCATCACATTGTGCTGTTGTAAAATGCACAAAAACTGCAGCGGAAGATGAAGAAATCCGGATGGTACATTATGATTCAAAAGTAAGTACCTACTATAGTCACTCACATAGTTTTCATTTTTGAAATTTGGTTATTTCTCTGATTTCTCATCGGAATTCCTTCTGCAATGAGAGCTAATAGAAATATACCTGAAATTTCTAGAATAATGCAAGAAGATTGGATTCATGCAATCAATCGGGAGGACTGGTCTGACATGCTGACGATCGTGTGTGTTGTAGACATTTTCAATCTATTAGCAGTATTAGCTTGTATTGCAGAAGTGGCAGAAGGCAGAAGGAATTTTATTAAGGAATGACAACATTTCATAATGCTAACTATGTGAGATTACTATTTATCTGAAAAATCATATTCCCTAGTCTCTTGCTGCATTTTTTGTGCATTGTACAACAGCACAATGCGAAGGCATGCTTGAATTAATGAATAACGCAAGAAACACGATTCGTATGCCAAAATATTGTGAAAAACTATTTCAACCTTTTGATTCCTCTGTAAACAAATGAAAAAGTGAGGTTGTGTTTCAATAATTCACAGAAGAATGAGGTTGTGTTTCAATATTTTGCCTCCAGGGTCGGTCTTCGTGCACGCGACCTATAGATGACGCTATTAAACGTCAAATCAACGTCAAGTTTGAAACTGAGTATGAACAACAAAAACATTGCCGTATGTATCCATTGCAAATTGGTTATTTCGAAATCATTTTGCAAAATAGTAAATAATAGGTTGACTTCGTGAAATCTTCATAATTGATGTGCAAGGTTTCCAGTATGGAAAAAAGAACTTTTTGTGCAGAGAAATTGTCATTTTGATGTGGACAATGGTGGTATTCATCATTGATATCACATTACAATTCCACTATTTTCAAACATAAGGAATGGTCGGAATGGTCCACTCAACACTTGCCTGGATTGGAATGGAACCATAAGAAATCAGCTATTACAACAATATGGTATATGTATTAAAACATAATTGAATCCATCAAGAAATATCATTGGCTGTTATGAAGGAGATGAAATTCTAGTGAAGGGGTTGGGAAAAGAAGATATGGTTGGAGAGACTGAGAAGAATGAACTATATCATCGATTTACATAAACAAGGATCCCTAGCAATTAAGTACTTGAAGTTATTTTCAAGATCGAATCATTGCAACCAATATTTATATAATGATGTGTAATAATTGTGCCTTAGAAAATGTATATTATTCAAGGTAGGTACTGGTTTCTTCATTGTAAACAATAAAAGTTAATGCAATAATTCGAGTTTTATATAAGGGAAAAATGAGGTTCTGGAATATGCACTTCAACAAATAAATAATTTTCAAATGAAACACATAATCATGAAACTCAAAACAATGGTCGCCATATTTGTTGTCATTGTTGTTCATACTTGCAAGACTTGTAGGGTTAGCCACCAGAGGCCGCACACTTCGCGATTCTCGTGAATGGCAAGCGCTGACAATCAGACATAACCACAAATAAATTGATGGAAAAAGCGGGAACTGACAGTACACGGACGTGCATAACATAAATTTCAAAGGTTTGATAAATTGAGAGAATTAAGAAAAAGATGCAAGTTTGTGCCGTTTCCAACTGTGAGAACACGGAAAATCAATTCACCTTATTTGAATTTCCATCGGATAACGTAATTCTACAAAAATGGAATATGATGCGGCCGGCATGGAATATAGGTTCAGGCCACAAAATTTTCGAGGTTTTAAAATTTCTTGGTAGGATATATAATATTTTTCAACTCATTTTCATCAGGTAAACTTCAGAACGGAAGTTTTGATGTTGAAGAATAGGATCGTATTGGGAGAAAGAGCCGAACCCTCAATTTATAAACTGAGCGAGTTTCGAAAAGAACCTTATTCCAATTTAGAACCAACAAGAAACGAAAAACTTGCAGATGATGAAATTCTTTTCGAACATATTTTGAAAGAAAAAGACTTGAGAATCGAATTTTTAGAGCATTCAAAAATCCAAGGTTTACGAGTGGAAGATAGTGAGGAATTCAGGAAACAAATAGAAGAAAAAAATAGAGTTGGAACATAAGTAAAAGCAAAAATATTTAGATACAAAAGTCAGAGTTAGCAAAATTCAAAACTATGACCTAATAATTATTCCAGATTTTAAACAAAATCAGCAAATATCTTCAGAGAAATACAAGAAAATTGAACAAGCAAATTCAATGAACAATACTATGAAAAACTTTTGCATTTGAAAAACCGAATGGCAGATTTGAATAACAAATTGAATAATATCAGTAAAAATGTTGCCTCACATGAGCATGATTCCTCTCAAATATGACAATTTAATGGGAACAGATGGGATGCAAAAAGTTTGGAAAAAACTTTGGTGATCAAATTCACGTGTGGTTCATCTGAACCACTTCTTGGGTACCAAGATACGAGCACAGAACAGGAATGCTTGAAGAGTGCACCATTTATGTTAGGTATTGAAAATGATCTTTCGATGGCCGTGAGTCGAGCGCTGAAGTCCATTATACCTACTTCCGTATGTCTTGGAGAACTTTTATTATTTATCCTAACTGAAATCAAGTGTTATTGTTGTCATATCATTTGTTTATTTATTAATTACTTATTACCTACCACTCTTGTACAAGTGAAATTGTTTCATACGAAATAAAAGTATGTTCCATTGGTTGAAATTCATGTTTTTACCCCATTCTAAACTTTGGTGATGAAAAAATATTCAACTGAACGTATCTACACATATAAGAGAGTTATTTCATAGGAATAGTATATGTATTTCGTTGGTATATATGTACATAATAATAAGATATCGACTTTCATTGAGGTCCTTCAGCCTTATCATTCAATATTTCCAGAAGAAATAATTCACTAATCAATTTATCATACCCTTTTACCCACTCGAGGAGACGCTATGCACTTTCATACCAAAATCAAAAACAGAGAAAGATATATGAATGTACTCTTCCCAGAGGAAGGAGGATGCGAGGATCCTTTATCTAAGTGAAAAACATATTCTTGTCCTTGGCAAAACATATAGGTCGCGTGCACGATGACCGACCCTGGAGGCAAAATATTGAAACACAACCTCATTCTTCTGTAAATTATTGAAACACAACCTCACTTTTTTATTTGGTTACAGAGGAATCAAAGGATTGAAATAGTTTTTCACAATATTTTGGCATATGAATCGTGTTTTTTGCGCTATTCATTAATTCAAGCATGCCTTCGCATTGTGCTATTGTACAATGCACAAAAAATGCAGCAAGAGACTAAGGAATATGATTTTTCAGGTAAATAGTAATCTCACATAGTTATCATTATGAAATGTTGTCATTCCTTATTAAAATTCCTTCTGCCTTCTGCCACTCCTGCAATACAAGCTAATACTGCTAATAGATTGAAAATGTCTACAACACACACGATCGTCAGCATGTCAGACCAGTCCTCCCGATTGATTGCATGAATCCAATCTTCTTGCATTATTTTAGAAATTTCAGGTGTATTTCTATTAGCTCCTATCGCAGAAGGAATTCCGATGAGAAATAAGAGAAATTACCAAATTTCAAAAATGAAAACTATAGGTGAGTGACTATTAGTAGGTACTTACTTTTAAATCATAATGTACCATCCGGTTTCCTTCTTCTTCCGCTGCAGTTTTTGTGCATTTTACAACAGCACAATGTGATGGCATGAGCGAATTGATGAAAAGCGGAAAAATACGATTCGTATGCCAAAATAATTGTGGAAACTATTTCGATCACTTGTAAACAAATAAGAAAAGTGACATTGTGTTTCAATATTTTGCCTCCAGTGTCGGTCATCTGACAGTTCTTGCACGCAACCCATGATTTGCATAAAAATCGTTTGTGGTTATGTTTGCCTAGTGTCCGTCCTCTAATATACAAAAAACGTCAAAACAGCAGTGTCAAGTACATTTAGGAACTCTATATAGTTGCCACCAGGATGATGATAAATTCATAATCAGAAATTATGTCAATTCGAGAATGTCAGTGGTGACAAGTGTGTCCTCCATGTGTCTTCACTCTCATAGTGGAAGGAGAAGATGGTGTGCTCAACAGAATGCTCAAACTCGTCTTGTTCTGCGCATGACGTCAGCTGGGATATAACTGTCATTGCTATATTTCATCAATATTGCTATTATTTGTTTTCGTGATTGATGTCTCGAACTTCAGATATTATATAAGTACTGAAATTGTATGATATGATTTCGAAATGCCCACTTGTTTCGTTTCTGATTATGGAAATTCCAACTAACATACAAAAGGCACAGATTTTAAATTTTTCTGCTTTTCCAAGAATGGAGATCTAATGAAACGATGGGAGCTTGCTGCCGACAGAATATAAACTCAAATAATGGTACCTACCTTATATTCCTTATATCCTCATTCCAAAGTATTCTCCTATCATATTATTATCACATTCATATTACAGCACGTTTTTCTTCAAAACATTTTCATGGAAAATGTTCCCAAACAGCTACGAAAGTACGGTTCTTGATAAAAAATCACAAATATTTGAAACAAGATGCCATTCCTACAGAACATCTTCCGTCGAATATCAAGTCAGAAAAAACTGAAAATGAATTCCAAACTCTTAATTTCTCACAAAATATAAATTGCAGCAAAGATTTGAATAACAAAACGGCAAAAATTGATACTCCTGTTGTCGATGTCGGAGCAGAAGCAATGTCAACGTCGTTAACTGCTGAATTTGAATCTGTCAGAATCGACACAGTAGTGGATCATTCAGATGGGATTGGCAATGCATGATAATTCGTAGGTTTTTGCGATTGCGAATTACCTCAACGTCACAATCTCCAGAATCAATGAAATAGTAAAATCGAAGGAATATGTACCTGTTTATATAAATTGACTTTTTTCTAAACAGATCGAGAAACTCGTAGAAATTTCAATAAACGTGATTGAATCCATTGCGCACGCCCATGGCAACGGTAATGTCTGTGACTAGCAGCTGATATGGGTATCCCAGATGACGTCACATAATATGCGCGTAGGCACACCATCTTCTCCTTCCACTATGCTTCAATCTCTAAAAAGCATTAAACGTCAGATCTGCTAGGCACTCTAGGACTTCATAACGTATGAGCATTTTTGTCGGCTATTTTTCGCTAAACGAAGATCTCTCTCCGTGAATACAGGGCGTGCTGCGTGGCAGACAGGACCGGTCACAGCTTGCTGCACACCCTGTACGGCCAGACCTTGCAGTACGACAATTGCAAGTACTTCGTGGAGTACTTCGCATTGGATCTGCTGTACGAGGACGGCGAATGTCGTGGGGTGATAGCTTTGTGTTTGGAGGACGGGACTTTGCACAGATTCCGCGCCAAAAATACGGTGAGTCCGAATAAGCAAATTCCCAATATTGAAATTTTCAAACCTCTGTATATTTCATGAGAATTCATTGAACATATATTTTTAATTCTTTTCCTGTGATCAAATTTCAGTTCAAAAATAGTATATTATACACCTAGGGTGAGAAGTGAGGTATACAGTCTGTCCAAGATAAGGTTGAACAGCATGGGGATCTCGGAAACGGTAGGAGATACGAAGTCGTTCAAATGGGGAAAAAGTTGCGCATTCGGAGGCTCATATCAAGAGCCTTCGAAAATTTTCAAAATTATTTTTAGTTTTTTAGTTATATCAAAAAAAGTGAATTTTTGGAATATCTATTTTTTTCTCCGTTATTATTAGGGATACAGAAAAACTGAAAAAACTTTTCCATAGCAACTTTTGATGACGTATAACGTGGTGATACGAATTTTTTTATGCGACGTTTCGTATTCGTAGAACCATCATCAACTTTTGTTTTTTGAATACGGTCCTGATAATTTTTTCACAGATTCTGAAAGGTTTTTTTATTCTGAATTCAACTATGTATTATACAAGGTGGTTCATGTGAGTTTCGACCTATTTTTAACCATCATCAATGTTTTTTCGAAATTCCAAAGGAAAAATGCCATCAGTTCCACTTATTTTGAAGGAAAATCAGTCAACACACTAATACCTCATCAACTGGTTTCAATCGACAACCTATTTCATTTTGCGGAAACAAAAATTCCATCCATACAAATTCAAAATATGTCAAGCGCTTAAACCAGGCGATGACGAAATGCGCAGGACATTCTGTGAGTGGTATACCAGGAAATGTGAAAATTTTGCAAATTTCCCGCGAACAATCATCTATACTGATGAAAGCATGGTCACTAATCATGGTATCTTCGATAGAAAAAATACACATTGTTCACGAGAAAATGAACATTTATGCATTACAGCGAGACACCAACACCGTTTAATATGTGAGTTGCAGTATTTGGTACACGAATTATTGGTCCTTTTATTCACCATGAAATAGAGACTTCCTAACGTTATAAAAATTTGCTTGAAAATCATCTTGAGGAAGCTCTGGATGATTTACCGATTGCGGAAGTTCAGAACTGTTGGTTTCAACAAGATGGCGCTCCGGTACATAATTCCAGAGAAGTTCGTGCGTTTTCATCCAGAAAAATGGATTGGTACTCATTCTGCAGTCCCTTGGCCGGCGCGGTCACCTGATTCGACACAACTGGATTTTTTTAAGGGGATTTATCAAAAACTTTGTACACGCAGATAGCTTTGATGATGAAGATGAACTGAGGGACAGTGTCATCGAAGCATTCAATAGAATAACCCCAGAAATGCTTAGTATTGTCTTAGAAGCAACTGTGAGAAGGGGATATCTTTGTTCAGAAACTGATGGTTATTATTTTGAACAATTCTTATGAATGTTTCTGTAGTTATTGTCAAAGTCAAGTTGTTAAAGTAATTCGTGTAAGAATTCATCAACAATTTTAAGCGCTGCATTGAATGATGTAGTGAAATATTTTTTATTCACTTTTCAGTATCGAATAACTAATCCATCAATGTTTGACACTAAATGATCAGAAATAAATGGAACTGATGGCACTTTTCCTTTGGAAGTTCGAAAAAACATTGATGATGGATGGAAATAGGTCGAAACACATTCGAATCACCTTGTATAATACATGGTTGAATTCAGAATAAAAAAACCTTTCAGAATCTGTGAAAAAATTATCAGGACCGTATTTAGAAAACACATAAAATAGGAATAGGAAGGAATAGGCTATTTTCTATCTGAAGCCGATGACAACTAAAAGCTTGTTATCAATAGAAACGAAGTGAACAAAATTTCGATCAATATGAGTGTTGATGTTAATATCAATATTGTCAAGTTGTCATGAATACTACAGAATGTTTGTTATAAATTCCTACATCCTACATGGTCCTTCGAGCCGGACCATTCAACGACAGCTCGCCCGCTGACAGTTTGAAAACGGACTTCACCGCCCCTTTTCCCCTCTCTTCGACAGATTCTGGCCACTGGCGGCTACGGCAGGGCCTACTTCTCGTGCACGTCGGCGCACACGTGCACCGGCGACGGCTCCGCCATGGTGTCCAGGATCGGGCTGGCCCTCGAGGACCAGGAGTTCGTGCAGTTCCACCCGACGGGCATCTACGGGGCGGGCTGTCTCATCACGGAGGGGTGCCGCGGGGAGGGCGGGTACCTCATCAATTCGGAGGGGGAGCGGTTCATGGAGCGGTACGCGCCCGTCGCGAAGGATTTGGCTGGCAGGGATGTAGTGTGCAGAAGCATGACGCTGGAGATTTTGGAAGGTTGGTATACAGGGTGTCCCATAATTAGCCTGCCAAACTTCACCAGCGGCTTCTACGATCAAAAATAGGAAGGAAAGTTTCAATGATTATGAGACGAGGAATGTCTCATGAGGGAGCTACGGCCCCCTGAAAGGGGGCTCCTGAAGATGATGTTTGTTGAGAATTTCCGAAACTCCATTAATACCAATAAAACTGAATATATAATATTCCATCAAAAAAATAAACAGAATATTAGTCTCAATCTCCAAATTAAAAATAAAGTATTGAAAAGAACTATACAAATAAAGTATCTTGGTATGTGGATTGATGAAAAATTGAAATGGGACAAGCATATAGAGGTTCTGATACAAAAAATATCTCCAATCATTGGAGCTTTGCGAAGATGTCCTAAACTTGACAAAAAATTCATAAACATAGTACTTCATTCTCATATACTCAGTCGTATTACCTATATGATAAACGTTTGGGGATCTTGTTCAAAAAATTATTTCAGTAAAATATCTGCACTTTATAAGAAAGCACTGAAAGTATTGTATCGCCTCTCATTTGATATCCCAACAAATGATCTGTATGCCATAACAGAAAAATGTTCATTGGATGAATTATATAAAATAGATTCTCTTAAAGTTTCATATAATATAATAAACAATAATCTGAAATCCAATTTTATTTTGATAAGAAACTCAGAAATTCATGATCATCACACGAGACAATCAAACTTATTTCATCTTGATTCTGCTACTTCTATAATTGGCCAAAAAAAATTTACTCACGATGCTCTAGCTGAATTTAATAAATTACCACATAATATAAAAAATTGCAGACATATTTCAAAATTTAAAGTTGAATTAAAAAAACACATGATTTCATTACGAAATAGATAAAATTTATACTTTGCAATCTACTGATTAGTCCCTGTGGCTATTTTTATGACTTGATCGATTTAGCATTTTTAAATTTCTCTTGATTTTGTTGTTGTTGTTGTCACCTTATATTATTTTATTATTGTTGTTTGTAATCAACTTCCTCATACCAGAATTTTATTTCTGACTGGAAGCTAGTTTTTGAATAAACAATAAATTTCAAAATTTCACTCAGGAGTGTATCAGTGTCTCTAGGTCCCATTGTTTCTAAGTTTTCTTGCCGTATACTTTTCAATGATTTACGAATAAATCGCGGTGTCTACATATTGCTATTTAGTTTGAGATTATTCCCTTCATTCGCGATTTTATTCATTTATTCGTGTTTGGCGTTTGAGATCGTTGGCATATTATATTTTTTCGAATGAATTGAGGTGTCTATCTATTGCTATTTACTATCGAACATTCGTTGATTGATGATTAGGTCGAGGTGTGGGGCCAGAAAAAGACCACGTGTACCTGCAGCTGCACCACTTGCCCATCGAGCAACTCCAGATGCGGCTGCCCGGAATCAGTGAATCGGCGATGATCTTCGCTGGCGTGGACGTGTCCAGGGAGCCCATTCCGGTCATACCGACCGTGCACTACAACATGGGCGGCGTGCCGACCAACTACAAAGGACAAGTGAGTAGCGCGAGTTCGACCAATTAGAACGATTGTAGCGACGGCGGTCAATTCGAATAGGTCGCGTGCAAGAACTGTCAGATGACCGACCCTGGAGGCAAAACATATTTGTTTACAAGTGATCGAAATAGTTTTCCACAATTATTTTGGCATATGAATCGTATTTTTCCGCTATTCATCAATTCGCTAATGCCATCACATTGTGCTGTTGTAAAATGCACAAAAACTGCAGCGGAAGAGGAAGAAATCCGGATGGTACATTATGATTCAAAAGTAAGTACCTACTATAGTCCCTCACATAGTTTTCATTTTTGAAATTTGGTTATTTCTCTGATTTCTCATCGGAATTCCTTCTGCAATAGGATCAGCTAATAGAAATATACCTGGAATTTCTAGAATAATGCAAGAAGATTGGATTCATGCTATCAATCGGTAGGACTGGTCTGACATGCTGACGATCGTGTGCGTTGTAGACATTTTCAATCTATTAGCAGCATTAGCTTGTATTGCAAAAGTGGCAGAAGGCAGAAGGAATTTTAATAAGGAATGACAACATTTCATAATGCTAACTATGTGAGATTACTATTTACCTGAGAAATCATATTCCCTAGTCTCTTGCTGCATTTTTTGTGCATTGTACAACAGCACAATGCGAAGGCATGCTTGAATTAATGAATAACGCAAGAAACACGATTTGTATGCCAAAATATTGTGAAAAACTATTTCAACCTTTTGATTCCTCTGTAACCAAGTAAAAAAGTGAGGTTGTGTTTCAATAATTCACAGAAGAATGAGGTTGTGTTTCAATATTTTGCCTCCAGGGTCGGTCTTCGTGCACGCGACCTATGAGATTCGGATATCTGTAACATTTCACGAAAAAAAAAAAATTGTGTGCCTAGAGGACCACACGTCGGAAGTTATAACCCCCACCACCGGCCGTCGATGGTTCGTTGATCATGACGCTTGTTTGCCGTTCTACTCCCATCTCAGAAAGATAGATTCCTGCATTCTTTTGATTTCTTTCCTCTTCAGATTTCTTCCTTTTTTGGTTTCCTTCCTTCTTTAGTTTCCCTACTTCTTTGAATTCCCCCCTCCTTTGGTTCCTTTATTTCTTTGGTTTCCTACCTTTTTTGGTTTTATTCCTTCTTTGGTTTCTTTACGCGGTGACCCGAGAGCTCCTACCAGATCAGTAAATCAATATGCAAATAAGTAGATCAATTGGCAACCCTGGGTACGATGACCGTGTTATCATTGATCAATTGGCAACCCTGGGTACGGTGACCGTGTTATCATATATCATTGAACTCATCTTTCTGAGCTCTATCCATGGATGAAATGAAATTCAGGGACTTTAATTCGAAAATTTCGAAAATATGATCGATTTGCAGAATACGTCATCACTTTTAGCAAATTCAAAATTTAAAATTTCTAAATATTGACGAAATATCCAGATAACATATAGAATTAATTTATTACTAGAACTGCGCTTCAAAAAGTTGATACTCAACGTTTCAATAGGTTTTCAAATTTGGTTATTTATTGAAGAAGATCATAGATAAGTCCGAAACGGGTAATCTCAGATCTAGAGTGAGTAGATTAAATAGAGTCACGACAGTAGATCTCCAAATAGCTGCCGTTTCCGGAAGGTCATTCGTCGAGTCACTGAATTGCTAAAAATCTGAAGGGTATCTCCCATGCAGTAATGAATTTGCGACTTCAAAGTGCCCACCTGATGTTAGGCTTAGACATTTGATATTTTTATTTCATCATCTAAATAATCTGAGAACTCCAAAAGACGGATTCTAATAGTCAATATCCAAGGTTATGACGTATAGAGTTTCATGTCTGATTGTTGAACGTTTTGTGGCCAAAGCAAAAAACAGAGACAAAGCATTAACAAAGTGAAATAGAATGCGTAGAACTGAATGGAGAGAACAAGAGATGGATGCACCTCCATATTAGAGGTCTAACCAATCCAAAAGTGTACCACTATTTTCGTTACTCTATTTATAAAGTTACTCTACTCAGACCCATGTCATCATATATCATTGAACTCACATATTATGGTATATTTGGTATGTCACAGGCATATGGATCTTTCTGTATAGTTGATATCTATAAAAAAGAAAGTTCATATGACTATAAGCAACTTAAATGCTCAATTTTTTTGCATCTATTCTAGTTTAGCAGATAAAGTGGTGGCCCATGTTATGACTTGCGTCTGCGGAGTCTGCGTCATAAAATGGAATAGTGGTGGGGACTTCGTGTACCGTGTCAGTCATATCAATGTTGCCGGATTGTGCTGATTTTCTTCAACTTGAGGAAGAAAGTACTGCAATGATCTTGAACTGATGGGATAACCCAAAAAGAAAAGAGACTATTTTGAAACACCATCAAACCTTTACTCTCGAAAATTGTTTTGTCAAAACTTTATCTCATCATTAAATGCCACTACAGTACTTTTTTCAGGGAGGAAGGAAAATATCCCTCTGCATGAAAAAGGACTCTACTTTTTAAAACCATCTAACCTTACTCGGCCTAAATGAACCTTCTTCCTAAAAAGACAGTAGCTACTTTTTTCAGGGAGAAAGGAAAATATCCATCTGCATGAAAAAGGACACTACTTTTTTAAAACCATCTTACCTTACTCAACCTAAATGAACCTTCTTCCTAAGGGGTACTTTCTACAGGGAGGAAGGAAAATATCCATCCTGCATAAAAAAGACACTACTTTTTTCAAACCATCTAACCTTAGCATTCTGACTGCCATGTCAGTCAATTTTGGCCGACAGCTTGATCTCGTGCTGACCCAATGCATTTTCATTGGTTCGAACGCGTCAGGCCACGCGAAGTTTTCAGAGTAGGGGGCATCTGAGTGATCAGCATATTGCTGCTCAGACATTGTAATGTCGTTCTGTTATACAGAAGTGCATAAAAGGACGTCAGCTAAAATCGACCGACGCGGCCTGACAAGACGATTTTTCTCAATGTATTTATAAGTGAAAGTGCGTGATATACTCCTATTAGTTATTAATTTATCGATATACTCCTATTAGTTATTAATTTATCGATAAACTCACAGGGCTTGGAACATTTGCTATAACAGCAGAAGGATAAAACACCGAAAGCCAGAAAATGTTTTCAATTTGTTACAGAAAGGAGGTTAAAAATGAGTTGAAGAGAGTGCAGACGCATTGAGAAGGCTGCCAAGAGATGCCTTCTATGTGCATTGAATGTCATGTGAAAACCCATTGCAACAATAATTAGATTCAGATATGTTCATGAGTTTTTTCACATTTTATACAATAAACATTTTCGTGGCATTATTGTAGCTATAAATTACATAGTGAGCGCCACAAAAAAATCCACATACGTTCATTTGAGCGCCGCGAATTCAGATCTAATGGAGATTTGAATGCATCGTCGGTTGTTTTTGAATGACACGGCTGGAACTGAAACTTTTGCTGTAGGTTAAAAATCACTGCCAAGCGCCGTTTTTTATAAATCACCGTCGGTCACATATGACTGACAAAGCCTGTAATAGAGAGAGAAAAACAGCTACCGGCAGCCAAAGTGTTAATCGGCATAAATGAACCTTCCTAAAAATTATATTTTTCGGATAATTACTTGGGAAAACAGAACTAATACAAAGAGCCGACCGTCGCAGGCATTGAACCCGGGTCGCCGACGTGAGATTCAAACGCAGTCAACTACTCCACGAGTCGTAGTAACTGCGGTAGTATCAGGAAGCATTTAGTTGCTGTACCCGCACTTGCCGCGCTGATTATATTTGTTATCCTTATGTCTAGTATTCGAACAAAGAGGCGATTACTAGCAACGCTGCCCTCCCCCCACAATTCTAAAATTTATAGCAAGTATACTCCCCAGACGCTACTCATGTTATGTGTATACAATGATGTTGGCATTATTATTTTCTCGTTCAGGTGTTGAAAACTGTAGATGGCGTCGACGAAATCGTCAACGGTTTGTACGCGTGCGGCGAAGTGGCTTGCACTTCGGTGCACGGCGCCAATCGCTTGGGAGCCAACTCGCTGCTGGACATCGTCGTTTTCGGCCGCGCCTGCGCCATCACCATAGCCGAGGAACACAAACCGGGCGAGTCGATCGGCAGTCTTAGAGAGGTGAGTGTTGGTGTACTGGATCTGCTTCCTTTGTACAGGGTGTTTCTCAAGTACGTGTAGAAAATTCAGGAGCATGTTGCTGACGTCAAAATATATGTCCGAAAGTTCTTCGTGTCTGAGATACAGAATGCAATAAATACTGGACACTTTCTCTTGCTTTCCCTTTCAATGATTTTTGTAATCTGCACATATTTTCTCGTTTGGAAAACTCACATGTTTCTGTAGTTTCCTGAAAATACATTATGAAGCTTAGCCACTCCATAGGATCTCCACTAAATGAAGGTAATTCTTTAGATGCCGATGACTGTCTGAATAAAATTTTCTGCATATCCAAAGTATTATTTCCAGGATTCGCTGTTTTTCCTACTATCTGTTTTTCATCTAAATTTGCTGGAATATCATCTATCCATTTCTGTATATCTGCTGATGTTTGTGAATAATGAGACTAGCCTTCTTCATTCACTTCAGAAATTGCACATTCACTATCAATCTTCAGCAGACTCAATTTCTTTTGTATGATTTCCTGTTCTAACTTCAGTTTATCTTGTTCTAGTTGAAGATTTATTTCAAGTAATTCGAGTTCAATTCTTGCTTTTTCTTTCTTACTACTCCTGCTCGATTTGGACACGCAATCTATGCACTTTGACTGACTTGATTCCTTCGAAATTGATGCTGCTATTTCTTCTAAACCTTTACGAGTTTCCTGATTTTTCGAATCCTCTGAAATCACTCACAGACGGCGATTTCTTAGATTTATTATCCGTCTTTTTGTATATTTCCTTCCGACACAATTACAGAAATTGATGTCAAAATAATTATTTTGGTTTTTATTATTCCCCGCTGTTCCCTGGTTTCCGCACCGATGTTTGGCTTATAACAGGTTGATAAGTGGCTAATAGAATTAGACTGAATTAAAGAAAAGCTCATAAACGAAAAACTGTATTGCAGATGAAAATATTACAATACATCTTATTGATAATATTCATTACTGTCTCTCTTGTCACTAAACTTCTTGATCCCAAAGCAAAAACAAAATACAGGGTGATAATATCTGTAACAGTGTATGAAAATTTATCAGAAACAAATAAATTTCGGACATATATTTATACGAACTTTTCTTCTTATTTTGACGTCAGCAACATGCTCCTGAATTTTCATGCCTTATTAAATCTGAGTTATTGAAATAAACAACAGATAAAAAAATAATAATAGTAAAAAAAATCTCAAAAGTTCACTATCACATAATGAAATGAATTAGTGAATGAGAAATCATTCACTCAGGTTTGATTTTCTCCTTTCATGATTTTAATTCGAATTGATATTTGTGCAACTTTTGATATCATGAGGTAATTTTTTGAATTTGGAGATGTCCCGTGAGTAAACTTTTTTGGCCAAGTGTAGAATTAGCAGCATCAAGATGAAACAAGTCATATTTTCTAGTATGATTTTCATGGATTTGGGAATTCCTTACCAATATGAAGTTAGATTTGAGGTGTTTGTTGATATATCATAAAAAAATTTAAGGGTATTGATCAGACACTGCTCTTCTAAAGAGAATGTATTTGTTTCTTCATATAGTTGATTTGATGGTTATAACTCGGAATCAACGTTAATGCAACATTAATTTGCATAACAAGTGGGAGAATTCCACATGAATTAGGTAATTTTGAACTAGAACTCAATATCAATGTTAATGTGTTGATTCCTTATTACCACTAGATTAACTACAACATTATGTTTTACAATTATTTTGTGCTAGAACTCAATATCAATGTTGATGCGTTAACTCCTTGTTAACGCCCTAGATTAACGTCGATATCATTATTTAAATCGACATCAACGTTAATAAAACGTAACAATTCGAGATTTAACGTTGATATAACGTTTCTTGTCTCAGTTTGAAACAAGTTGATGTTGAAACATGAATTAGCCTTACCTAAACTGAATGGACATCGATTAACATTAATTGCATGTTTCAACGTGAAAGGATTCAAGTTTGGCATGAATTTAACATTTTCAGGTCAGTTTCATGTTATTACTTCAGATCAATCATGTGCCAATTCATCATAAATATTATGTTTGTTAATATAACCTTATTTCATGTTGGAACTTGAAACTGACGTGAATTCATTGTTGAAACCCAAAGTGAATAAGTTGACTGCATGTGAAACTTCAATTATTGTAACAGTAATGTGACAGTGTCACGTATAAACGTATGAACATTCACTATTTTTTTATATCCACAAGTTTTTTAAAACAAGAATTTACTTGACAAAATTTTTTTATTTAACAACAGCCAGCCAAATTATTATTGTACTAAGTTACGACTGTTACAACTGAAACAATATCGAATAAATGATGTCTTTAGCTTGATATACATGGAAAATAAAAAGAAAAACAGGTTTAAACTCCGAATTAACGTCAGTACAATGTTCATTTCAAGGTAAAACTCAAAATCAACGATAATGTAACGTTAGTTCCATGTTAGCAATGTCAACGTCTGTAGAACATCAATTTTATATCACAACTCGAAATTAACCTTATTATGTCTTTTCATGTTTATTATAATTTTAACTTCATTTTACAACTAGGCATCAGCGTCATCAGAACGCCAGTTTCATGTTTCAACTTGGAATTGACGTTATTATAATGTAAATTCCATGTTACGACTCCAAATTAACGTCATGAAAACGTTAATGTCATGTTTAACTTGAAATTAACGTCAATACGATGTAATTTTCATGTTAAAACTCAAAATCGAATGACTAAAACGCTTGCAGAACGCCGGAGAGTCCTCGGTGGCCAACCTAGACTGGTGCAGGTTCGCGCAAGGCGCCACCCCCTCCTCGGTGCTGCGTCTGCAAATGCAAAAGGTGATGCAACGCGACGCCGCCGTCTTCCGCACAGCCGACTCTCTGAAGGACGGCGTCCGCAAGATGACCGACATCTACGGCAAACTGCACGACCTCAGGGTGAACGACACCAGCCTGATTTGGAACTCGGATTTGGTGGAGGCGCTCGAGTTGCAGAATCTGCTGTTGAACGCGCTGCAAACGGTGGCGGCAGCCGAGAACCGCAAGGAAAGTAGAGGGGCGCACGCCAGAGAGGATTACAAGGTGCGAGTGGACGAGTACGATTATACGAAGCCGCTGGAGGGGCAGCAGAAGGTAAGAGGAAACGGCAGAGTGTTTGATAATTTTCGCAATTTTAACCCTGCGTCGCCCAGGTGGGGTCTCAGATGAACAGACAAATTTTAAATGACTGGCATTTCAATTTGAATGCACGTACGTTTCATTGGTTGCCTTTAGCTTCCCAAAAACAATTCATTCTGTGATATTCTGGCGAGAATTCAGTCTTTAGTTGGCTACCAAGATAGTAACAGTGCAACCAACGAAGATCAAAATAAACGTACATCCGACTTTGCAATACAGAGAATCATTACATAACTTGGCACCATGAAGATAGATACGTAAGTACTTACAAAATTATCTCTAGAAGACGCAGGGGATGAACCATAGTGAGTGCTGGCTGATCAGATTCAAACTGTCCCCTTGCCTTATCGACTGTTCGATATTTATTTAGAATATTTTGACATAGTCAGCGTTTTACTCCATATGCGAGTATTTCATTCCGGTTGACTGAGCTGCCAACGTGAGTGAAACATTATGCGCGTTTCCTTTAATCAAATGTTATACGATGAAAAAATGAATAATGAACTTTGTAGGAATATAAACCCTCTATACAAGATATTGTGTCATGGTGATAATAATAATATCTAGTATTGATTGTACTTATGAAACTTGAAGTAGTAATAAAACTAAGGAGGAATTATTCCAAGAGTTATTATCAATATTGTTACAAACTTTACTAATGAAAACTGTTCTTGAATCGATATAATTTCGAATATAGTAGCTATGATAAAATATTTTTGGTTCCTATCGTGAAAATATGTCGGCGTCAATTAGTGAAATCCGTCATTCCCTGAAATGCCTAGCCATTTCAAGTATTGTATATTTTTTAAAAAGTTTTCAGAGATATTATGTTTTTTCCCGTGACAATCATAATTATGAAGTAAATACATCTAAAAAAAAAAAAAAAACTAAAAACTCATTTCACATACAAATCTGGAAAAATTCCTAATGTTTTTTTTTCTCATGTTTCTAATTATGGGGTACCTCAGACCCCACCTGGGTGATGATGTACAGATTTTCCACCTAGGTGACGCTGGGTTAAATATGAATGATCAGCTATTTATGTCAACACAATGATAATTTCAAGTAACAGTTCAGTAAAATTTATTTGTAACGTTGATTTACTGTAGCACCAACGTTAGTTTCTTGTTTCTTCTTGTAATATATCCAAGTTCTGAATCAATAATGATCAATAGTGATGAAAATCATGCTTGTAGCTTTTCTTGTGGATAGACAAATAAGTTCATATTGTGTAAGATTTACAGGGCTGTTGTGAGGATCAAGATTTTGAATACACAATAATTGTTCCACCATATGCAATATCACGTGAAGGTCACTTCTTGACCTTCATCTGTAGTTGAAGTTCTGAATAATCAAAAATACAGTTTATTTCTTTTATCACCTTCAGCAAATCATTGTCTTATGGAGACTGGAAAAGAATTACTTCATATTTAATTTCATGCTTGAATTTTCATTAAAATAACGGTGAGTTCGTATCAACACTCAATTCAGTCAAGATTCATCTCAGGGTCAATTAAGATGAATTCAACAGTATAATTTCGTGCTACAACTCTAGATTAACGTCAATACAGCGTCAATTCCACGTAACCACTCGATATTAACGTTAATTGCGTGTTCTAACTGGAATTTAATGTACTAAACAGGTTAACTGTTGGTGACTTAACTGTTGAATCATGACGGTGCCCCACCAAAGGCCGATGACTCAATAGCTTGGCCATGTGCAATCTGAACAAAGTTGATTTCTGGGTTTATTCCAGGGCCTCTTTTTGTGAAAACATACCTCAGAGGCCAGTCATTCAACCATAGGCCTGTTCGTTTGTGCTTGGTCTGCCTGCTAAACTTGATTTTTTTCTATGACTTTCTCTGTTTACATCATGCTATGGGAAAAAATCAACCTTAGCAAGTTTAGCAACACAAACGAACAGGCCTCTAGAGTCATACTAGTTTCAGGTATAATGGCACAAAACCATCAATAACCAACACAACACTAATGACTGTGTTTTTCACAAATTCAATTAAAAAATGCTTGACATTCAGCAAGTTCCAACATCTGATGCAGGCAGTTGTGTCAATGTTAATAACAGGTGGATTTGATGTTGATTTACGTCCTTTTTCTGTTTCTGAACGATAGTATAACGTTTCTTTCATGTTACATATTGGAATTGATGTTGAAATACAAAAATTCTGAGTTTTTAACATGGAATCAATCAAATATTACATTGTGATTTTGAACTATTATCTGATCAACATTATTCTAGTGCTGAAATACGTTGATATAATTAACTTGAAAGTCTATTTTATTCAGATTAACGTTGATTTTATTTTTCAAAACGATAGTTTGGGGTTAGTTTCGTGTTATAACTAGAAATTAACGTTAATATGACATTAAATCAATGTAAATATTACATTATGGTGTTTCAACTCATAATACACGTTTGAATCATGTTACAATTTGGAAAATCTTTCATTATTCAGAAACCAATGTCCGAACACTGGAGAAAACACACCTTGACGACGATCGACGAAAAGACTGGAAAAGTTTCGATAACCTACCGGCCCGTCATCGACGAAACTCTCGACGAAAAGGAGGCGGCGACGATTCCACCATCGATCAGGTATTACTAAGAATGTTGTTCGATCGGGTGATTCGATGACACCGATTTCATTTGTACGATATAATAAATAACTCATTGATTGAACCTGATAGATTAATAATTGCTAGGTGCCACTACTTCTTGTCTGTGTAAATACATCTTGAATTGTGAATGATTGAGCAGTTCATTTTTGCAGTTTCTAGTCCCCATTGGACGGTCTTATAATACAATTTATTAAATGTTCGGTTTGTATTTCATTTCGGAAAATCGTCGAGAGCTTCATTTTGTTTGTTTTAAGTGTATTGTCAAACCACCGAATCGAATCATCAAGGTCTAAATTTTTGAGGTGGAAATTATCTAAAAAAAGTATTGCTTACTTAAGTAACTTATTATTCTGAAACTAGATTTAGTAATATTTTGTGTTATATCGATATCCAGGTATTTTATTGTAGGATTAATTATATTTGTATTTTATAGTTACCCAATTTTATTTTAAATAAATTATGTTCAGCAGTATTTGTTGCAAATAGAAAATTTTTTCGTCTTGTAGTTTGGAGAAGTTGAATTGGGTAAATTTGAAATAAATTATAGTACAAAAATATTTGAAATAATTATATTTAATATTGAAAGAAAATCCAACATTATTTCTATGGCAAACACTTCCCTGAACAATGAGTTGCATGAAAACGATGAAATTTCAAGGAAAATTATTGTCATTGTCATTTTTTTTCTGAAAATATCAAAACTAGGCGTGGAGACTTCAAGAAGTATTATATTTCACCACAGTTCTTTCAAGGGTGTGTTGAGTTTCCAAAGTTGGCTGTGGTTTGCCGTACCGTATGTACTGGTCAAATCAATTACCAGCTGAAAACTGGTTAATTACGGAACACGGTTCCTGACACAACAATAATTTGGGTTGAAAAATATGGATGTACGTATGAAATAGGTAAATAATAATTCTCTGATAAAAAAATCGTCCATCCTCACAAAAATCTGAAACTTTTTTTTTGACGAATGACAAAACACCTGCGTCATAGCCTGCGTTCCGTATATAAACCGGATTATTCAGTCATACCTGTCAACCACCGATTACCACTCTGCCATTTTCGGTGAATCATTCGGTTAACCAACTAGGGAAATGGAACATCGTCCAAGTTTTGCGATCAATAGGAGCGTTTTTTTGGTTTCCTACTGGTGGCAGTAGAAGTGACGACCAATAAAACGATGTGATGCATAATTGAAAGTTGTGACATTCAGCTGATCTTTTTTAGGATAATTTTTGGATTTTGCTGTTCATCAAGTAATACCGCAAATGTATTTTTCAACATTCAGAAGTAATTTCAGGATGAGTCCAGAAGTTTTTGAAAGTATTCTGGGTAGAATTGAGAATAATTCCAAAATATTTCCTGAGGCGAGTTCACTTTACGGCAATTTTAGATCAGATTTTGAGGTTAGATAGAATACCACCATTTCCGCCATTTCATATACTCCCTCCACAATCGTCTTCCTGTCACTCCGTATGAGAAGACGGAATGAAAAGTTGAAACCAGTTTCAGAATTTCGTTCAATAAAACGACATGAATTGTCATTCCGGTGTAAGAATCTTACCAATAAACGCACCTAATGTCATGCAAAAGAACGATATTACCATTTGTTTCTGGGAAAAAATAATACTTGACGTCGCGAGGCCTGCTGTCGGGGGCCGAAAATAAAATAGATTTTCAATAAAAAATTGCTTTCCTTCGAAACCGTTCCGAAAGTACCTACCCACTTACCGGAAGATATTTTTCTTTGAGAAAGAAGCTCTTGTTCATCCTAGTCCAGGAAGTACGTTGTACGCTTGTTTATTCTAAGCAGTATGATGATTCATATTAATATAAACAAGAATTAGAATAATCCAGATACATGTAAATATCACAAAGAAACGTGCTTTATTGATTATTCCTCACAGTTGCCGAAAAATCACTACTCAAAACGCCTGGAATAGTATATTGTTTAACGAGCACGGAACAATAGTGATTTCCCACGTGAATGAAGTTTGCAGCATGAGCTGTAGGCGAATACTGCTGATGCTTAGAAAAAATTTACCCATTGTTAAACGTCGTCGCGGCGTCAGATGATAAACTTGAAATCCGTCAATAAATATAGAGGGAGCTAGAGAATGATAAAGAGGAAAAGACGTACCTCCTCGACTCGGCTGGTAAAGTATTACTTTCGAAAGAAAAATGTTGATTGGGCCTGAAATTATCGTACGTTCTGTATAGTAACAGTCGAGGAAAACTCTATCGTTTCCAGAACTTTTTACCATTAATGAATAATTATTCAGGACATGTATTGAACTGACATGAGTTCATCTTCAGCATTTATTTATTATTTATTAACTACATCAAGCTCCATGAAACTTTGTTGTGGAGACAAATCGAACAAAATAGAAATTAGTTGTAGAGATTCCGAGTTTTCATCAATAATTGATGAATGAAAATGACAAAAACACCCGTTTCAAATCGATCAGACATCGATCAGAATGCCCCTATTGATCCTCTATTGATCCAATGCTTTTCCGGCACGTCAGAGCGGAAAGTGATGTACATGACGAAATTACCACTGACATAAATACTATCTAGACCGCTTTATGTCATAACTCAGCGAACTGCCGTTCCTGACATCGAGTCATGTGTCTTGGTGTTTGATAACATGAGTGAGAGTTAGTAAGATATATGAGTTCGATCATGTTCACTTGAACTGCTTGTTGCTACTTGTGAAAGCTCCAGCTCCTTAGCACTCACTGTTATTCGAGGTAGTCTTGAATGCTGCTCTGTATTCTTTCTGAAGAACTTGGCAGTCTTGAAGGTTTCATATTTGAATAGATCCGGCTCGAAGGACCAATATGTTGGATGATTGATAGATAGTGGACTGTATTTGTAATGATATATGGTAATTTAAATAGGATTTATATTAGAATTGCAATTCGTATTGCAATCCTTCTGTATTTATTGATTTTTATTGATAAATCTTGTTTTAACAACACCTCATCATGTTAACAAAAAATGAAAAACTCTTATACTATATGGGGTAATACAAGTACCAAACTATTATATAGGGTCGTATAAGTACTAAACAGATCTCCTGAGTGGAATAGCTTCTTTCTAATGGCATTAGCGGTCTAAATGGTAGTTTATGTCAGTGTCCGCGAGTTTGAAATGAACAGACGTTTCAAATTTATCATACATGCACAAATATTATATTTCAGTATAAAAATAAAAAAAATCTTACTCATAAAATATACAAATCAATCGTCCAACTGGCACAGCCCGGCCACTCCCCTATTGATCCAGTGCTTTTCCGGCACGTCGGAGCTGAAAGTGGTGTACATCACGAAATTCGTAGAGTGGCCAGTGGTGGACAGAACACCCCGTCTAGCGGTCGTTTTGTACACCGGACAATTGTAACAGGGCTGCGGGACGTAGTCGGCGATGGCGCCCGGCTTCAGCCACATAATGGGGATGGGGTCGAACAGGATTTTCGGCAGGGATTCGTTCAGTTTTCTCAGTTTTCTGTCCCATCTGGCGCCTTCAAGGAAAAGACCCTGCGAGAAAATTGTCATATTATGTAATACCATATACACACACTGGCATAATTAGGGAAACGGGTAAAATTTACACTAAGTTTGACATCAATTTTCTCTCGAACCGATCACTCGATTCAGATTTGTTTTTCACGAATTGTAGCTTCATTCTACACGAATACATCTGAGAAATAACCACCTCCAAACGATTCGTCTTTATATCATATACAGGGGTGTAAAGAAAGTACGGATTTTTCGGTATTCTTTGAGACATCGTGTGGAGTGAACCACTGATAATTGAAACGATTTTCCAACACCAAATTATAGCCCAATCCATCCCGAATATTTTCGTTTTTCATTCATCTTGATATCCCAATTATCCAAGAAAATATAGAGTTTCAAAGAAGATGTGGATATTGGTATTAATTTTACCACCTCGAAACTCGAACTGGGGAGAACGTGTCGTTTTTCAACTTGTTTCTGTGAGGATTGTTACTTCATAATGAGAATTTTTCACAGTTTTACCTATCGGTTTTCTGTTCAAAGACACATATACGAATACTCTCATGAATATGCAGGGGTGATAAAAATTGCTCCAATGTTCTTTTGGTGAAATGCTATTTTCGTTTATCAACGTTGGCTCTTTTGTTAATGTCATTAATTATTGTCAAAGTCAAGCGATTCACCATTCATAAATTTGATTAATGAAAATTCAACGTGAGAGATTTGACTCCTACTGATGTGGCGAGGGCTGTAGCATTAATTGAAAATGACCATGCAGTGGGCCAATGTTCTTTTGACATATGAGAGCCGCATCTGCACCAATTCAATAGATGGCAGGAAAAGACTATATCGCCGAGGTGAACAAAATGAACAATTTGATTTTACTGCTTCTGTGTCCTATGGCAGAGGTTTAGTCATGGTTAGGTTAGGTTAGTCAAGAAAGGACACATTTTCAGATCCAATTTGAATTTTGAGGTGTTAAATTGATACCAATATCCACCTTTCCTTTGAAACTCTGTATTTTCTTGAATAATTGGGATATCAAGATGAATAAAAAACGAAAATATTCGGAATAGATTGGGCTCCAATTTGGTGTTGAGAAATCGTTTCAATTATCAGTGGTTCAGTCCACAGGATGTCTCAAAAAATACCGAAAAATCCGTACTTTCTTTACACCCCTGTATATGATAGAAAGACTAATCGTTCGAAAGTAATTATCTCTCAGATGTATTCGTGAAGAATAAAGCTACAATTCGTGAAGAAAAAAATTCGAATCGAGCGATCGTATGTGTATATTTATCACTGTTTATAATGTTTATAATGAAATATTATTCTCAGTTTTCATCATCATAACAACTACAATAATAGTCATGGAGTAATTTCGAAATTGAACGATCAATAACAAATATATCTTCAAGAGGAATGTGGAGGAATGGGAATCCGGACGTGTATGAAATGCAGGCGATGATGATTTTCGGAGCTACCTGTTCACCATGTATTGCCCAATATGTTAAGAATTCAAATGCTGCAGAGTACAAACATGAATTTCCTGAGGTATATGATGCAATTTTGAATAAACACTATGTAGATGATTATGAGAGTAGAGAGAAGCGATAGAGGAGGTTTAGGAGAGTAGTAGAGAAAGCGATAGCGCAGATTAGGAGAGTAGAGAGAGACGATAGAGCAGATATCGGAGAGTAGAGAGAAACGTTAGAAAGATAGGTGAAAAGCAAGGTTGGTAGAACTGATTATAATTTGTATAGGAAGGTTGCCTCGATCGGTAGTGCGGCAAGGGGGGAAACGGTCACTCGTGACGTCACAGGCAGTAAGACGACAAGTTGTCAACCTTAAAGCGACATGTCATGAAATGTTTACCAAATAGAGTATACAAACATGATACAAACTTTTTGGTCTGCTCAGCATATTTATATTGATTTATTGTATATAATTATAAGTGAGTACCATTAAAAAATATGGTTATTTACATATACTTCTGTATAATACCTTCAATCTTCGAAATGAGAAGGCAATTTTGGATGGATCAGTAGTACAGAGAGGAATACCTATCTGAAATTTTGTTCCAGGGGCTATTTACCAGGTCGTGGTACCAGGTATGTGTGTTTTGAGGTATGGAGCATAATTATGGAGCTAGTGATTACTTATGCATTGATTATGAACCTACTCATCCTATAAATATCCTGCAAATCAGATAATGTGAACAAAAAACTACAGAAAATATAAGAATAATCAACTGATGATCCAGAAGTAGTAGCAGTGGACCAATATTTGTACACAACAGATCACTTATTTTATCAATATAACTGTATTCTGAAAAATTGACAAACTTTCCTAGATACCTATAGAAAATACAAGAGGAAATAGTATTTCATTGTTTGATTATATTGTAGTCAAAAACAGAGCAATTGATCGAAGTATTTGAGCATTTAAAAATAACAAAATATGATTCTGAACAAAATTAATGAAAAATAACACTACTATTATAAGTGAACCTATAATGAAGGATAGTTCAAGGAATCTCTCAAATAAACATAGCTCCTCTTCGTTGGGTAACGTACTCTTGCTCAAAAATCTCAACTTGAAAACACGTGTGATATCTTCTGATGTCCATTTTACCCGTTCAGCAAGAATCTCAATATTCACAACTGGTCTGGTTCTGATCATTTTTCCAAACTTGAATTCTTGGTGTTTCTCTTGTTGTATTTGGTATTATTGATGGGATTCCTACCTTGAGTTTTCATCTCTTTGGTGTGTGATTTAGCAATTCTGCTTGTGCCGTTCAAAATCCTCGGCATCGAAATGGGCAGAACATATTCGCCAAGTTTTGGTATTAAATGAATTAAAATTACGTCCACAAAATTGAATCCATTTCTCACGAATAGACTCATCTTGTGGAAATTAATGGAAACACAAACTGCATTCACTAGTCTTATTACACTTGTACGAATTTTAACAAAAAGTGACCGAACAAATTATCATTTTTACATTTTTAAGTTCAAAATGGTTCAAATATTCGAAAATACTGACAACTGTCAACTCAATACATGCGCCGGCCGATCGCCGGCGTACATATCATACACGAAGTGTACGAGAGTGCTACACTTTTCGTGCAAAAGAAGGGCCTATTACGTCATGAGTTACTCAAGGTCACTCGCGGGGTGCGATCGAGGCAACCTTCCTCTACAAAATAGTCATCAGTTCTACCAACCTTGGTGAAAAGAGATTGGTGAGTTAAGAGAGGTGACAGAAGAGAGATTGGAGAGTCGAGGAGATAGTAGAGAAGGCGAGAGAGCAGATATAGGATAGTAGAGACAGGCGATAGAGAGATACGAGAAAGAGGCGAGAGATGTTAAAGAAGAGATTCAAGAGGCGAGAGTAAAGAGGGAGATAGGAAAGTAGAGAAAAGATAGGAGGTAGGAGATAGGGTAGTAGAAAAGGAGATAGGAGAGGAGAGAAGATAGTATAGAGAGAGAAGAGGAATAGAGAGAGATGAGATGGAGGTTGTTTATTCGAGAATTTTCTTTTCTTTTTATATTATTTTAAAAGTCGTAGGTATTTATTCAACTCATCTTGACGGATGCAACCCATTGGATAATTCTAGGCAACCTCAGGTAGATTGCCATCTACATCTGTGACTAAAACGTTGTGATTTAATTATTGTGACCAAAGCTGCGTTTCATTTGCTTCAAGAAAAAAGTTCTCTTACTTTGCAGTATACTCCGAACGAGCAGATCGAGTCTGTATCGGTTTCGAAATCTGTGACGCTAAACTCGAATTGTATGAGATCGATCGGCAAGTTTTGGCTCCTCGAAAAATTTTGCAAAACTCCCGTCAAAAACGACTGAGTGAAGTAGAAACCTGACAGCCAAAATACATTCGGTGCTCCGCTGTCGATCCAATCTTGAAAAAATTTCAATCTGGAAAGAAGAAACGGATTTTCAACTTTGTCACTTGAGAGAATCAACTCCTCTTCATAAAAAAGCGATAGCAATAACAAAAGAAATATGAAATCCATTTTACCTTGCAATTAAATCATTCACGTATGATCCAAGCGGTTTCAAACTTGGATAGCTTTTGCTGGCCCAAGCGACTGGAACTTTTCCCACCACAAGGGCATTGAAGGTCTCTTCTAATTCGGCCGACATCACTACGAGACCCTTAACAGCTTTTATCATATCTTGTAGGGTCCTTTTCACCACCACTATCAGCCTGTTGAACCTAATAAGTTCCTGTGGAATTTTGACAAGATCAATCTTTTTGCTGTGGGCGTTTTATATCTTTGTGGTCGATGAAATTTCCATGAAAGAGGGGCAAAAGAAGAACGTGTTATTTGTGAGATTTATTTGACGATAACCCGCTCGATCGTTCGTGGGCAGCGTGCCTTCCGTTGAAGGTTCGATATCGCTACTCGTGGCCAAATTCCCGATCGAAATCGAATTCTCGTGTAGATTAATGCAGTTCAGGGTACCGGAAATATGTACACGATTAGAAAAAGGCTTCATAATACAGTTACTAACCCAGAAAACATCATCGAGAAGTACAGTCACTTTTGCAAATCAGGCCTTGATCTTCCAAAATTCTCAACAGAGTATTAGCACATAACAGAATTCCTAATTTTTTATAATTTCATTAAAAGCTAGCTTTCTAAATCTCATATGTACCTCCCTATATCTAAAATTGGCAAGAACAATTATTTCTAGAAAAAATACTATAAACGATGAAGAAAGGTGCAGAGAATTTTTTAAAACATATTATTTATTTATTTATTTCATTTATTGTGTTACATTTTTCTCCACTAATACATTTTATACAAATAACATATAAAGTATAATCAATTTTCTAGTACGAATGACATGAATGATCAGACAGTAATTCCTGGTATACAATCATTCATGAAGTATTATCGACTATTGGTATAATTGTAATCACAAATAGTAAACGAAACTTAGATATCATTAAGGTATTTCGAAATAACAGTACTCATATAGCAAATAAGTACTCTTGAAACACGAACATTCACATCGGTACTGACGTCACAAGTGCTACAACTTGCCGACCGTCTATTGGTAGTTATACCAGAAAGTAGGAACTTTGATATTTCAAATGAAGCACCCTGTATTTCATTGCATTTTTAGATTTTCCATGAAAATATGATTTCATCGATGTCTCACACTTGGGGTCTAGGGGGAATGATTACAGAGATATAAGTTGTTCAAAATCGAGATTTGGTATATGATAGTAAATCTGAAGTTGAAATCGGGACATGAAAGCCGTTTTGACCGATAATGAATAGTTTCGTCACAAAATAACCCTAAAGTTGAAAAATCTCGATTTTGAACACCCTATATCTCTGTAATCGTTCCCGCTAGACCCTATAAGTGTGATACACATTGATGAAATCAGCTCTTTAGGGAGATTCTAAAAATGCAATGAAATACAAGGAGTTCCATCTGAAATGCCAAAGTTGCTACTACTTTCTGGCATAAGCGGCAAAATGCTGCATTGCTGAAAATATTTCAGATCGACAGACCAAGAGCAACTACTTGAGTAACCAAATTTTCAGAACGATCTTATGTCCCGCTCTCCGTAAACGTCTAAGGTAACATTGACCATGACCCACCCTGTATAATATGCACATCTATACTAATATTATAAAGAGGAAAGATTTTGGAATTTGGAAATTCAAGATGGCGGACGAGTTTTCTAATTATAATCCGATTATTTTCAAAATAGGTATCTAGGGGTTTTCGTGATCGGGGATTATGATTCCTTCGTCAAAATTAAGAAATTCAAGATGGTAGATCTAAAATGGCAGATTTTGTAATTAGGACCCGATTTAATTCAAATTTGATATCTAGTGGTTCACGGGGTCGGAGATTATGATTTTTTCGTCAAAACTAGGAAATTCATGATGGCGGACCCAATATGGCGGACGAGTATTGTAATTATGATCCGACTCTCTTCAAAATTGTTTTCGGGGTCGGATATTATGATTCTTTTGTCAAAATTTGGGAAGGGCGGGATTTGGAAGTTCAAGACGGTGGAACCAATATACCGGACGAGTTTTGTAATTAATTATATACCGATTCTTCTCAAATTTTGTAAGTGGGCGTTTTCGGGATCAAAAATTATGATTCCTTCGTCGAAATTAGGGAATTCAAGATGGTAGATCCAATATTGCGGATAAGTTTTGTAATTATGTTCCGATTCTGTTCAAAATTTTCATCTGGGGTTTTCGGAGCCGGATATTATAATTCTTTCGTCAAAATTGGAAAATTCAAGTGAACTAAAAAGGAGTTCAAATAAATGGTAGTTTGAAGAACTAAAGAAACACGCTTTTGAAGATAGCGAAACTAAAAAGAAGTAGAAAATAAAATAATAGTATCTTGATGAATATTGAACTGAACAAATATATATATAGAAATAATGTATATAGCAAAACAACGTTTGCGAGGTCTGCTAATTTACAACAAATTTACGCATTTTTGTGTTCTTGCATATTACCTGTCTCAGCACTGTGTTCATCGAGTTGCTGTACATGACGGGATACTTCTTACTGACTGCTCTGATGTCAAAAACATCAGGAACCTTCCCCAAAATATCTTTGGCCAATTCTATTATCATCTCGTGCGTATCTTCACCGCCACCGCCAGCTGTGATTTGCGTTTGCGTCAGCAAAACGCCATGCAGCAACTGGAAGAATGTTTTGACTAGAAGTAGTAGGTCAAGTGATAAGTCATTTGGAAGGGCTCAAAATCATATCTATTCACCATGATTCAACGGTATAAAAAAACTGAAATTGAGTCAGTTAGAGAACTAGCGTCTGGAGAAAGGAGGATGTAAATGACCAACGTAGCGGGAGAACCCCGCCAAGCGCGATAGTGTAGTTTGTTTATGGCGGGCACAAATCACCTAGCGACGTGAGGGAAGAACGTAGGAGCGAAACAATATTATAATATTATTATTGGTAGGTAAATAGCCAATACCCTTAATTGGCGCCGAATTATGTATCAAGGGAAGGAGTGTATAGTCCGTTGACATTCAACTGTTTTCAGAATATCTACTCATTTATTCTTAGTTATAGTTTGGTCTGCCAGCGTTGCACACATATAAAAATAAAAATGAAATCAAACTGCTGTTGTGCACAGTGTACAAAAACGTTCAGCTCTTTTCATCATCTCAGAAGGCATTGTTTGAAGTCTCAACCAAATAAAATAGCCCCATCTTTTGAAAATGGGGGAAAGTGTATAAATTTTCCAATGAAAGATCTGGATACAAGTTCAACAATGAGAAACATTTCAGACCTCACAAAAAAAAATTCCAATTTACCTATCATCATCTGATTGTTCATTGTGCAGTGAAAACATTTTGAGTGATCAATTCGAGAATCATTTAGAGAATTCGCATGACTTAACGTTGGTTAAGGAACATCTTGAAATTCCATCTTATGAACGATTTATCGAATGGAAAAACTATACGTAGAAGTGAAAGATAGAACTCATTTCGTCAAGAATTATTCCGGAACGAAAAGATCGTCCAGATTAGAGATACAATATTTTTATTGTCATCGCTCGGGATATTTTCACTCAAAGAGCACTGGAAAGAGGCAAGTTAAAATACAGGACAGGTGTTTTTATTTTTCAAATATACATACAGGGTGTTTCACAGGTAAAGGGAAATATTTCAATGGTAGATAGGGGTCACCAAGGTGGTTCTGAAAATACCATATTTGATAGGTCTTGGAGTTTTCATAACGGAGATACAGGGCGATTTATCGATTTCGAATAATTATTCATTCGTCTATAAGTATTGAACTACCCAGTATATTTTTCTAAAATTTGGTATGGAGCTTAAACTTGGAACGTTGAATTCATTCACCTATCGTGCGGAGAGAAAATCCAGGTTCGGCTTCAGGAAAAATTCACATTTATTCGAAATATTGAAATAACACACTGTATGTAATAATTGACAGAGTTCATCATAAGAATCGTAAAGAGGAGGAAAAACTGAACTGGATTTGATGCTTTTTGTTTTCCCGCCACCAATTCTCATCGTAACAATCTTAAACAGAAAGGTGAAAGTATGTCAATTTGATGAGTATTGAAATTATGAAACCAGTGTCAATTATGATTATTCGATATATTTTAGTCAAAAAATCGCTCGAAAGAACTTACTAAGTCTCACAGTTTTTATAACGGAGATACAAGGTGAATTATCGGTTTTGAATAATTATTCACTCGTCCATAAGTATAAAACTACCCAGTAACATTTTCTCAAATATGGTAAGTAGCTTACTTGGGACGATGGATTCATTAACCTATCAGGCGGAATTATAATTCGATAATTTACCCTGTATCTCTGTTATAAAGACTATGAGACTTTTCCTAAAGCTGAACCTGTATTTCCATTCTGCCTGATAGGTCAATGAATCCATCGTCCCAAGTAAGCTCAATACCAAATTTGAGAAAATATTACTGCGATGGGTAGTTTAATACTTATGGACGAGTGATAATTCACCCTGTATCTCTGTTATAAAGACTGTTAGACTAAGTAAGTTCTTTCGAACGATCATTTAACAAGAATATATCAAATAATCATAATTGAAAGTGGTTTCATAATTTTAATACTCTTGAAATTGACATACTTTTAGCTTCCTGTTTATGATTGTTACTATGAGAATTGGTGGCGGGAAAACAAAAAGCATCAAATCTAGTTCAGTTTTTCCTCCTCTTCACGATTCCTTTGATGAACTTTGTCAATTATTACATACAGTGTGTTATTTTGATATTTCGAATAAATGTAAATTCTTCCTGAAGCCGAACCTGGATTTTCACTTCGCCCGATAGGTGAATGCATTCAACGTTTCAAGTTAAAGCTCCATACCAAATTTTAGAAAAATATACTGGGTAGTTCAATACTTATAGACGAATGAATAATTATTCGAAATCGATAAATCGCCCTGTATCTCCGTTATGAAAACTCTAAGACCTATCAAATATGGTATTTTCAGAACCACCTTGGTGACTCCTATCTACCATTGAAATATTTCCCTTTACCTGTGAAACACCCTGTATATGTACTATTCTGTGTATTTTTTGCCGTTTTCGGAGATATAGGTATACAGAACTTCACATTCACAAGTTATCTTCGTTGTTACAAAATAAAATAAAAACCCGAAGTTGGATACGTCGATATTATTTTTGCAAGGAGACGGGGAACTTTTGTGGAATCATCATGCTCGAAAGTTCAACCCGTATAGGGCGAAAATGATATCTACCAATTTTGGATTTACAAATGGAATACACTGTACATTATTCTATGACTGATTATGGGTTGCCATTACTATACCACAAATATACTAACAATAATATATCAACTTACTTGCCATTTTCACTATATAGTCTTATTATTAGTAATTAATTTAATAATAAATTTATTCAGTTTCTTTCATGATGTATAAACTTGAATGCTGAAATAAGTTATTTAGGTTTTTCTAAATGATATTGTATTTTATGAATACCTATATATATCCTAATTTCATTTCCTTTTATGGCCTCAACCTCCAAATCCTCATATCAGTATTCAAAGTGTCAGTTTTGTGTTATCAGTATCTACGATTCAAAGACAAAATAACATGCAATAACATGTACAGGGTGTAAATTTGAAAACTTTCAATGCGAATATCTCGCGAAATAAAACCTGTCACCCTGTCAGCGCGACACACTCCATCTTTGAAATGTCAAATGGCACTACCTCTTTTGTGATACCTCAAATGAACGGTTTCAGTCAGTAGTATTCACCTGTACAAGACTTTTTTTCCACCCACTACAGGGTGTACGAAAAACAAAGTCGAGGGTCTAAATTTGAAAACTTTCAATGCGAATATCTTGCTAAATAAAAAAGTTAGGAAAACGCCGTTTGGCACAAATGCTACAGAGTTAGGGGGAACTAGAACCACCATACTTCAGTAAAGGGATGAGTCACCCCGTCGGCGCGACACACTCCATCTTTGAAATATCATATGGCACTATCTCTTTTGTGATACCTCAAATGAACGGTCTCAGTCAGTAGTATTCACCTGTACAAGACTTATTTTCCACCCACTACAGGGTGAACGGAAAACATAAAGTCGAATAAAATAAAATGCAGAATGCCGATATATTCCAAGAGATGTGTTCCAAAATGTCAGAATGGCATTTGAACATCGATTATACTATTGCTTACAACAGAATGAAATGCATTTTGAACATCTGATCAAATAAATTATCTTTTTAACACAATTCATTTTATTTTATTCGACTTTATATTTTTCGTACACCCTGTAGTGGGAGGAGAAAAAGTCTTGTACAGGTGAATACTACTGACTGAGGCTGTTCATTTGAGGCATCACAAAAGAGGTAGTGCCATTTGACATTTCAAAGTTGGGGTGTGTCGCGCCGACGGGGTGACTCATCCCTTGACCGAAATATGGTGGTTCTAGTTCCCTTTAACTCTTTAGCATTTGTGCCAAATGGCGTTTTTCTAACTTTTTTCTTTCGCGAGATATTCGCATTGGAAGTTTTCAAATTTACACCCTGTATAATCAGCCGCGCGTCGCTAGGTGATGAGCACAGGTGATCTTTGCTCGCGCTTGCCGCTGTTCTCCCGCTACGTTGGTCATTTACATCCTCCTGCCTCCAGACGCTAGTAGTTAGAGAGAAACTTCGAGTCAAAGAAAGCCTCAATGAACTGGAGTATTAACTTATTTTTTAATCTAGATTTCGAATACTAACGATTTGTGTTTCTTGGTTATCTTTGGTGATATCGGCATTCGCGTGTAAACCGAACACTTCCGGTTGCGGAATAATAGGCAACGACTTGATGTAGTCGACACAACCGTCGTGGGTCGTGCTTTCGGGCACATGGTACAAACCGCTGGCCGAAAAAGTATATCTGGAAAATAATAAGGATGAATGAAGTAACGGAAACAGATCGATTTGGGTACACACTTGGGTTTTTTCAAAACTTCGGGGTTATAAAACGTCGACAATAGGGAGTTCAGAAGTCTTCTGTCTTTGTCGTCTGTCACTCTACCACCGTAGTTGCATTCTCCTGTCAAATAAGTTAGAGCGTCGTATGGTACATCCACATATTCGGTGAGAAACATCTGAAAAACATCATCAGAACAAATCGAATATATTTTTTTTTCTATAACAATAATTATTTCAGATCATATTTTTTCAATAATGAGAAGATAATGCCATGAATAATAATAAAACATAAATGAATGATGTATAAATGACTGGTTTCTGTAAGACGAAAGACAAAAAGACGAACCGATGGGCAAGTTTCCCAGTGTTTTTTAAACGGAAATTCACGCCATAGAAATGTGCATTCATTTCAACTTCGACAGGAAATACCGGAACAAGGAGATCGATATCCTTTCCGATAGCCAAGCAGCCATCAAAGCGTTGAGCTCCTTTAACATCAACTCAAAGATAATAATAATAATAATCGTTTATTGTCTGCCAATGAATAAAATAACAAATTTCATGTTTGAACAATTATATTAGTACAAAAAAAAGGTATAGGTGGCAAACAAAAGGTGAAGTGATAGGTCAGAGGACCGATTCTTCCACACTCCCTTAGAGACAAAAACAAAACAAAAAATAAGTTATGTCTTTCAAGTAAATAAATATCGAGGCGATGTTATTTTCAAAAGAAAAACTATCATACTAATATATTATAAATCAACTATCATTGTTTCAATTTTTTTCTTCGTTTTTTCGTATTACTGCTGTGAAAGGATTTTTTTCTTAAATTTGTTTTCAAATGAATTCAATGATGGGTAGAAATTCGGGACATCCAAAGAATAGCTCACAGTCGCAATTTGATAGGAAAAAGATGACATAGATTTCTTTGTTATGCGAAGGTATGTTGATACCATGCTTTCTTCCCAGGTTTAAATTGTGACTAACAGTCCTATACGTGATTTTTCTGAAGAGATACTCTGGCTGTTTAGTTTTCAGTACTTTATTGATAAGGTGATACGAGTGAAGTCTACGACGATTGTTCATACTCAACCAACCCATTTCCTTGAGTTTATGAGATGTACGATATCTTTTCCTTATTCCATGGATAAAAAGCAGACATGAATTTTGGAATTTTCTGTATGCGATATGCATCTGATTTACGTAAAAAAGGTCCATAGAATCGCATAACATTTTCTTTGTAAGTGTATTCATATGTTATGTCTATGAGGATACAAAAGTTTGAGAGAAACATATTAAGCTGTTCTAATTTTCATTGTAACATGTTTCTCAAACCTCAACTTTGAGTCTGGATTCAGACCAAGGTTTTTGACTTGTTCACTGAAGTCAATTAATCATTTCCAATGGAAATTTGCAACTGGCTCTTTGCCGCTATTTTCTGACTCTCACTACCAAACAAAACAGCACAGGACTTCGAGGTATTTATATTCAAGAGATGTTTTACAGATAATGATCCAAGTTCTGATAGATCATGATTGATCCTCAAATTTGCATTCTGAATATCTTTCAATTCGAAAGAAAAATAAACCTGCGTATCATCGGCATATAAATGGTAGTTACAATGACAAGAATGACGATGAAAGTTAGATGTATAAAGAGTATATAAAAGAGGGTTAGGGAATGCCTAGACAAACTCAACAATCTTAGGAAGGAAAAATAAGGCTATCCTCCTCTGGGTGCCGAGGCACATCGGAGTGGAGGGAAATGAACAAGCAGACATTCTGGCACGAAAAAGAGCATCAACGGCACTGATCGGACCAGAATCATTCTGCGTCCTTGGAAATTGTTATTTCCAAGAAGAACTTAATGAAGCTGAAGAAGCAATGAGAGTAACACACTGGCGAAGACTTCCAGGCCTGCGGCAGGCCAAAGATCTCCTCGGCAATTTCAACCGATCTAGATCGAAGACACTGACTAACCTCAGCAAAAGAAGTCTCAAAGCAATAACGGGATTCATAACGGGGCATTGCAGACTCAAAGAACACCTAAGGAAGCTAGGCTTACAGGAGGACGGCACCTGCAGATTCTGTGAGGATGAACCAGAAACACCCCATCACATACTGATGGAGTGTGACGCTGTACATCACAAAAGATTGAACATACTGGGAACACACCAGCTGATTGTGGAAGAAATACCACAACTAGAACCCTTCAAAGTCCTCAAATCCCTGAAGGAATTGAATCTCGAGGGGCTGCTATGAACAAGAAATCCTTGATATAGCAGAAGCAGATGGGGCACAATAGATCTGATTAGGTCGCAGCGCATCCAACCTACCAATACCAATACCGACCTCCGCTCCGCGTCCTTGCAATCTTCTACTCGTAGAAGCGGATGTCCATTCAAAATTGATTTCGAAAGTACGGTAACAATTCCAAACCCTGAATACGGATGGTAGGGATAACTCTTCGGAATCATTGCTAGAGAATGGAAATTCTTCATGGATATACACACACTAGCACAATTAGGGGAACGGGCAAAATTTACACTAAGTTTGACATCAATTTTCTTTCGAACCGATCGCTCGATTCAAATTTTTTTCTTCACAAAATGTAGCTTCATTCTTCACGAATACATCTGCGAAATAACCACCTCCAAATTATTCGTCTTTATATCATATACAGGGGTGTAAAGAAAGTACGGATTTTTCGGTATTCTTTAAGACATCCTGTGGAGTGAACCACTGATAATTGAAACGATTTCTCAACACCAAATTGGAGCCCAATCTATTCCGAATATTTTCGTTTTTTATTTATCTTGATATCTCAATTATTCAAGAAAATACAGAGTTTCAAAGGAATGGTGGATATTGGTATCAATTTCACACCCTCAAAACTCAAATTGGATCTGAAAATGTGTCGTTTCTTGAATAACCTAACCTAACCATGACTAAACCTCTGCCATAGGAGACAGAAGCAGTAAAATCAAATTGTTCATTTTGTTCACCTCGGCGATATAGTCTTTCCCTGCCATCTATTGAATTGGTGCAGATGCGGCTCTCATATGTTAAAAGAACATTGGCCCACTGGTCATTTTCAATTAATGCTACAGCTCTCGCCACATCAGTAGGAGTCAAATCTCTCACGTTGAATTTTCATTAATCAAATTTATGAATTGTGAATCGCTTGACTTTGACAATAATTGATGACATTAACAAAATAGCCAACGTTGATTAACAAAAATAGCATTTCACCAAAAGAACATTGGAGCAACTCTTATCACCCCTGCATATTCATGAGAGTATTCGTATAATATGTGTCTTTGACAGTAAACCGATAGGTAAAACTGTGAACAATTCTCATCTTGAAGTAAAAATCCTCACAGAAACAAGTTGAAAAATGACACGTTCTCCCCAGTTCGAGTTTCGAGGTGGTAAAATGAATACCAATATCCACCTCTTCTTTGAAACTCTATATTTTCTTGGATAATTGGGATATCAAGATGAATAAAAAACTAAAATATTCGGGAAAGATTGGGCTATAATTTGGTGTTGGAAAATCGTTTCAATTATCAGTGGTTCACTCCACAGGATGTCTTAAAGAATACCGAAAAATCCGTACTTTCTTTACACCCCTGTATATGATATAAAGACGAATCATTTGGAGGTGGTTATTTCTCAGATGTATTTGTGAAGAATGGAGCTACAATTCATGAAAAACAAATTGGAATCGAGTGATTGGTTCGAGAGAAAATTGATGTCAAACTTAGTGTAAATTTTACCCGTTCCCCTAATTGTGCCAGTGTGTGTATTTTATATATCTAAAAATTCGGGAGGTGACCAACGCCATCTTCAGCGGCGCGCTGATGGAGCAGGAGGAGATCTGCACCGAGCAGATCGAGCAGTGTCAAGCTGGTGCAGGGAAAGCTTAGTTTCAAAGCAATAACGGGATTTCTAACGGGGCATTGTAGACTCAAAGAAGACCTAAAGAAGCTTGGCTTAGAGGAGGACAGCACTTGAAGATTCTGCGGGGAACATCCAGAAACACCCCACCACATCTTGCTGGAGTGTTTTGCTGTACACCACAAAAGATCGAACATACTGGAAGCATACCAGCTGACCGTGGAAATACCACAAACAGTTACCCTCAAAATCCTCAGCTTCCTGAAAGAATTGAAGCTTGAGGGGCTGCTATAAACAAGAAAACCTCGAGAGAGCAGAAGAAGATGGGACACAATAGATCTAATAATCTGACAGATCTGTCACCATCCACACTTAGCAATACCATAGTGGAAGGAGAAGATGGTGTGCTCAACAGAAAGCTCAAACTCGTCTTGTTCTGCGCATGACGTCAGCTGGGATATAACTGTCATGTTCAATTTTTGGACAGAAATAATAGTACCATCTGAAAACGGACCCTCTTATGACGTAGAAACCTCATCTCGCCATAGTTGGAAGAAAATACAAAATGCCCGACGGAGGCTGAGGCAACTGATATATTAATTCTTTCAACTGTGATCTCGCGCTAATTCACTCTGTAAGAAATCATGTATCATTCATCTCTGTCTGGAATAGTCTTGTTTCAGTATTAGGGTTTTGACGTCACATCATCGCCTCGTTTTCAGAGGTCCGAAAAATCGGGGATTTCAATAATTTTTTATAAAACCTAGGGAGCTCACAGCGATAAACGGTTTGCTGTGGTGAGCTAGTTTGGGTGAGTTCTATCGAATTATGGAATAAAATTTTTTTGTGATATAAGCCCATTGAAAATGAATTCGAAACTCTCAATTTCTCACAAAATATAAATTGCAGCAAAGATTTGAATAACAAAACGGCAAAAATTGATACTCCTGTTGTCGATGTCGGAGCAGAAGCAACGTCAACGTCGTTAACTGCTGAATTTTAATCTGTCAGAATCGACACAGTAGTGGATCATTCAGATGGGATTGGCGACCTTTCACTTTTCTATCGATACTTCCACGGGAAATGTTCTTCGGAAATCTCTGCTATCATCCCTTCACTAGCAATACCAATCAGACGAACTAGACAAGCCCAGTCAGCACATCCTTTCGTTGTCAACCTCGAAAGATGTCGAACAGCACTTTATCAAAACTCCTTCATCCATAGAACGGCTAGGCTCTGGAATTCATTGCTTGTGGAAGTATTTCCAACAACATATAATCTCCAAAAGTTCAAAAAAAATTCCAATACCTACCTCCTGTCCCTATCCTCCCTAGGAACGCACGATGTTCTTTGAACATTATAGGGATTCCCTTTCGTGCGCTCCAAGCGATAAAAAAAAATTCGTATGCATTTGCTATTTGCCATTGCGAATTACCTCAAGATCACAATTTCCATAATCAATAAAATAGTAAAATCGAAGGAATAGGTACCTGTTGATATAAATTGAATTATATCTAAACAGATCGAGAAACTTATAGAAATTTCAATGAGCATGATTGAATTCATTGCGCACGCCCATGGCAACGGTATCTGTCTGTGACTAGCAGCTGATATTGGTATCCCAGATGACGTCACATAATATGCGCGTAGGCACACCATCTTCTCCTTCCACTATGAGCAATACCAAGACAAAATATGTATTAGTGACGTGTTTTACCTGCAATTGAAGAACGCAGATCCTGAGATCAGATTCGTTGAATTCGTACGGTATGTTCCAGCCCAACGGGCCGAATTTTCTTCTTTCTTGGATGAGGGCGTGGAAGAAGCAAAGCGTAAACAGAAGCGGACGGAAAGCTTTCCAGTTGGGACAGGAGTTGTAGAATTCCGGATCGGATATGGGGTCAGACATGTAGGATCTCAGGAGATTTTGTCTCAGTCCCTTCGGTGCTTCGTTTGTCATCTTCACACCTAGAATAGAAAGTTAAAAAAATCAGACAATGGTAATTTTTTTCAGCTTCAACCTTCATCCAACAAGGGTTAGTGATTTTTTTCCTCCGTGTGATGTTGTACTTTTGGGATGTATTGCGAAAGGCTATAGTACTTTGGCATATCTGTTGAGGAAGAATTGAACGCCTATTTTGATAGTCTTTTTTGTGAGGATGTTCAATTGTTGTGACAAAGTCGAACTGTTGAATCGTATATAGTAGAAGAAATGTAAAGCGAACGAAGTGCTGTTGTTACGAAATTGTATAACAAGATCGAGATTTAGTCTGACCTCGAGAATAACAACTTGTTTTATTGAGCTAGAGAGTTAAGCTTTCCCGTGAATAATAACTAGGGTATTATCCTCCTAGACAGATGGACATCGAAGAGATCAATGTTGGAAATCTATAGTTGGCATATCGTAACGTGGTAAGTATATAGAAAAAAGCCATTGTTTGTTATAATGTATTTTCTGAATACCAATTTCATCATGTCTTCATTATGGCTCAATATATTTATTCTACCTCGCAGAACTTATGCAATGCGAGAGGTGACATCCAGGCACAGTGTGCAGTGACGGAGTGTAGCAGGTACAAGAAAAACACTAAGCAGTGTAGCGACTCCAAAAAAGTGCTTAGTGCCAAAAGATTATGAATGGGCAGTGTTTGGATGCATCTCCTATTATTCTCGCTAGTACCTTCAGTTTTACATTAGTATATAAGCAGTGTGTGTGACTCAATCCTCATGCACCAGGAGGAAGAACTAGAAACCAAAATCAATCAATCAACAGAAGCTGAAGCAACCTGTAAGTCCTTCAGGCATTGCCGAAATCTTCACATTCATAATTTTTCTTCTAAATAAATAAAAATTACAGTTTACGTCAAATGAAATGGCAACAAAGAGTGAGAAACTCAATGTCATTACAACAATAGTTTATAAAATGAATGAAAGATGGTAGATAACGAGAGACAAAAAACATTTTCCTTGCTACATGCCACGCAGAACATAAAATTACATCCATCCAAAATCAACGCAACGATTAAATGCTGGAATGTGTTGACGTTGGGTCAGGTTCGCACCAGATTGCGGTCATGAATGCCAAAACATAGTTACCGTTCTGCAGTATAGCTACAGGAAAGGCTCTACTCGGGTAACTTGTGAGCCACAATCTGAAATTAGGGTTGGCACTCTCTGGCACTATTACTTCATCGCAAATCCTGTCCAACTCTCTCATCCAACTTTCTGCCAAATGGCAGTTTTGTAATACGGCCCACTGGCCGGTTTCTAGACCGATGTTTATCATGTTCGCTGCTATCGGCCCCTGAAAAATTCAATAAAATCAGCCATCCAATGTATTTTTATACCAGTATTTATTGATGACGAGTTTAAAAGAAGCGTTTTTCACATTGCATCAAGTCTGTGTTATAAAGTTGATTGATTGATTGATTGATTGATTGATTGATATATTCTACAGACAGTATATAAAATAATAGGATTTTCATTTTCATATCAAAGTACAGTTTTGTGCATAAACAAGTCGTACAAGGTTCGTATGGGTTATACCTGCCTATGATGATCCATATTTCATTAAATTTCATCATTTGCGCGTTACTGGAAAATATAGTTTGAATTCTGACACTACTTGTCAAAAGTATCTCCACAACTTTTATTGAAATGATCAAAGATTAAAGGTACATGTTTCGGGCTTATATAAAACCCATCATCAGCCGATAATTAGTTCAATTCAATTTGCTGGTTATTTCCGATGCCACATCATACTTTTAATAGTTTGATATTTTCCAGGGCAATTGCCACTTTTCGGTGATTTAAGGGCACGTAGGCCCTTAGAAAATATAAACCCGACCCTCTGACAATTATTCATAAAAAATATGAACTTTTTATAAAAAACACAAATTTTATATGAACTATCATGATGCATTTGCCTTTGTTTGCTCTGTTATTGTCTACTTTTGAATTTGTACTGTACCGTATCGTCTGCATAGTATATTTACTTCCTATTGCCATTTTGGTGATATTTTGAATTTACAGGGTGATTCAGAATTCGGAGTAAATATTCCGTGGACATATTTTTGGGATGAGAATAAGACTTTTTCTTCATATAAACATGAACCTCCAACGCACCCAAAACTGGGGCATGCCAATTTTCAGAATATTCAAACCGATATTTTAATCACAATTTTAGATAATCTTGTTTTTCTTTACCTTACTTACTGCGGCTACAGATCGAAGAGTGTGCATTTTCGGACGCATGTTTATATGACGAAAAAGTATTATTTTGATTCCAACAATATGTCCCAACAATATGTCCCAAAAATAAGATTGGTTCTAAAACACATCCTTGAGAAACACCGTTAGTCATCAGTTGTCATTACACTCTGGGTTGGTAGATTATAGATGTCTAAAATACTAGCATTGTGATAGTTGAGGTATATAAACAACATCATTACTCTATTTCCAAGGCAACAATGATGGATTGTTTTTCATGATATAATCATATATTATATTTCAGAAGATGTACCAGCTTATTTGTTAGATTACATGATTATTGAGATTATATGTTTTTGTGCCATTTTAGAGTGAAAATTATCCTAATTATGGTTCATTTAAATTCTTTTTAGATAAAAAACCTTTGTGCTTCCGTGTTCGACAACCTTGACAAAATAAAATTTGCGTTTCATACTAACAGCTGTCTCATATAAAAGGCAAAATTGTAGCTTCTCGACAATCAAGTGTAGGGTACCACAAGGATCAGTTCCGGGGCCACACTCAATTCTCACATTCATAAATTCAAAGAACGGCAAAACTTGAAACAGAGTATCGCTCGTAAGTCATTCTCACCTGTCCTTGTCCTAGCGAGATCGTCATTAGGCTCGTTTTTTCGATACCTTTGTCGGCAGCGAACCTGACCAGACCGGCCATAGGATCGGAACCGGGCGACAGGATGAATATCAGCGGGGAACAGCAGTTGCTGTCGTTGTACGACTCCTCCAAGTTGAATTGCGGCGGCTCCAAATAGGAAGAGCCCATTTCTTCCACGACGTACGTCTAGAATGATGTGGATGTCAAACTACACTGTTTTACATTCACCGCTGAGCAAACCGATGCTTTTAACGCCTCGACACGTGATTAACTTCACCTGAAGATGCTAATCGAAACACGTGTCGAGTCGTTTAAAAATCGGTTTGGTTAGGAGTAAAACAATGTATTGTGATTATCGTGCCAAAGGTTCCAGCCTTCGATATAAAATGAGTGTGTACAAAATATAATAATTATGCAAGCTTTATCCTGGCTAGCAGAGCGGTTTACTTCTGTAGCTCATGACCTTTGACATCCTACTAGACGGCAACTAGATGGCGTTAATATATTTAAGATAGATAGATTTAAAAAAAGTTGTTCTATCCGTCATTCGGTTGCCCCCTTACGAGCAACCCTCAGAAGTCTCCGAGAGTCTTGTGCGAGCAAGGAATGACGGGGGCCTCATGTTTTAACGTGTGATCCCAAACACTTTCTTGGGCCATCAGAAAAATTTCTGTAGTCGATGGGAATCTAACCCATGACCGGCAAGCATATGCGGATTACAATATAGACACAATGTCCGCACGGCTACCTGGCCCCTGAATTGAAGATGTTGAGGTACATTGAGTACATTGATAAGATAACTTAATTAACAGTTCATTAACCGAGTTAATGTCTCAAGTTGAAAATAAATCAATTTTTTATGGCCATTGTAGTTCTAAATGAAGACCTGGTAGGCGACGTATGATATTATCTGTTCACTGACCTAAAATATGTCTGCCTGCTAATAGCGCTGGTTTACTTTAAAATGTCAATAGCTCATTGGTCATGGACAATTTTAGGTGGATGTTTTCATCTGCTATTTTTTTATAATTATTGTACAGGTTGATTCACCATAATGACCCCAGAATTTGAAGAATCATTTGAAATAATTTTTGATATATTTTTTTCTGCTACATCAGAAGAAAACAGGATGCTCGGAATAAACGATCCACAGGGTACTAGTGGATTTTTTTTAAATGGAACACCCTGTATTTCATACCATTTTAAGATTCTCCCTGAAGAGCTGATTTCATCAATAAATCACACTTGGAGTCGAGCGGGAATGATCACAGAGATATAGGGTGTTCAAAATCAAGATTCTTCAACTTTCGAATTTTTTTGAGTATTGCTCCAATTAAATGTCAGTAGATAGTAAATCGAAAGTTGAGATACGGAAAAATTAGGTGAGTCGTTTTGTCCAATAATGAATAGTTTAGACACAAAAAAATCCTAAAGTTGAAAAATCTCGATTTTGAACACCCTATATCTCTGTAATCATCCCCGCTAGACCCCAAGTATGATGCATTGATGAAATCAGCTCTTCAGGGAGAAACAAAAATGCAATGAAACACAGGGTATCCCATTTGAAAAAATCAACTAGTACCCTGTAGATCGTTTGTTCCGAGCACTCTGAATTTTCTGATGTAGCGGGAAAAAAATCTGTTAAATCATTCAGGATGATTTTTCAAATTTTGAAGTCGGTTCGAAAATAAGTGAGCTAGAGGAAAGGACATTTATGGTGAATCACCCTGTACCTATACCCAGAAAAGGCACATTTTGATTTAATCATGTACAGATAGTTATTTATTATACAAGGGAAAAAATTAGTGGATAGCTCCATGTTGTGTTGTGACGCGTAGCGGAGGGAGACAAAAAACCGTGAGTTGAAATCTAATATTTTTCCCGTGTATAATACACTATTTTTTCTGTGACAGAAGAAAGTACGAATCAATATTGAGAAGATATTACATTATTTTGAAATCTGAAAATTATCGACGTGAAATTCTAAGTTTTTAACAGTAGGGACACCTGCGTTGTAGGCATCTTTATCATTCTTTTGAAGTAATCAAATATCTGATGTCACTTCTGTCAGTCTAATTTTGTGATTCGATTTCAAAAAATTTAGTGGTTGTTTAGTGATATACGTAACCGCGAAGTCGAATGGAAGATAAAAGGACATGCAGTTCTTTCTCGGAGACGGTATTATTGACTCATTTCTCGGAACTATAGCATAACAAAAGCCATCAACAGTGTAAATATATTTGATATATATCCGAGAAAAAAGTACTAATTTTCTTCCCATGGGAAAAAAGTAATTCATGAAAAGTGACATTTTATAACCTGTCAACAGAGATGAAATGCCATACTTTTTTCCCATCACAGAAAAAAGATATTTTTCTGACTGGTTGAACTGAAACGGACTGATACTTGAAAACTTACCTGTACAGCAGGAACAACCTTATCTGGTCTAAGGCATCGTAAAATAACAAGCCTAAATAAGCCATGAACTTCATGAAACGGTGGAGGACAAGGAATTTCATTGGGATTGGAGACGTCATAGAAGTTTTCCCAATCAGCATTATTGATTTCTATAGATGATTTGAAGTTTTCTAACCTAAAAAAAGAACAGCAAGAATAGTCAAAAACCATGATTACAAGTTGAACAATTTTTATGGAAATTTCATTGAATATTAATGCCAAAATAAACTATTGAATAAAATACGTCAACACCTCCAGAACTAACAAAATCTAACAGCTATACTTCTTTGTGAATATTCACGAATTAATAGTGAAACGTCGACTTACCCTTTCAATGAGCTAGCCTTCACAATCTCTGACCAAGATTTATCAGTCAGCCATTCCGGAGAGGGGTTTGGATGAGGGTTCTCTAGTCCAACTCCTCCTGTCAGAAGAAAATTCCACATTTCTTCATCGATTTTTCCCTAAAATGAAAACAGAAACTGACCATTCTACCTTACTCTTTTACCCCAAACTTTTTGGTATCAAAGGAAATGCTTGATTCATAAAATGAACAAAAAAAAAACGGTAATCTAGGCGAATTCTATTCCTTTTTTGTACGTTTACGAAAATAATAAAGTTGCCTATATGCTTCTGATTTTTGATGAGTGTCGCCAAAGTGCAACAGCAGCTAGCATTTCGTTTGCACACCGAAAGATGTTCGTTGAGAAATCATCTAAAACCGCGAAACCCTCAATTTTGTGCAAAGGTGTCATGATAAATGATGTTTGAAGAATCAAAGAGGAGAAAATGTGGGAAAGCATGTACCAAGGATTATTAACTCAAGAGGATGGTCCATCCGGCCGTAACCAATCAATGACAGTTGTAGTTTTGTCAAGAATTCTCACATCAAAATTCGTTTTGAAATTTCAAGAAATAATTTCCTATTTTAATTTATTGAAATGAATGCGCAGTTATTCAGGGGTTATGAAGATATTTCAGAAAATTAGATATTGGTTTGACTGCTACACTTGGAGGGAACCAGTCTAGAGTGGTTGGATACATATATTTTTTCACGAATTCCATTTGCCAAAAGAAGATTTCTTCCTGTTAGAACTGTTGCTAAAATTTCAAACGGTAAAAATATCTAAGATACACTGCCAAAAGTATACCCAACAGTATATTTCCCACTGACACTGTACGTATATACTCACATAACATTAAAAAAATTGCTGCTTTTAATTATGTTGTTGAAGATTCAAATAGAATTCTAGAATAATTAGGAATAATCCGCCAAAAAAATTTAAATCAGTTCGAAGACATAACGTCAAATAATGAATAGAATGAAATTCAAGATATCTGTCAATATGTCATTGTCAATCATTGAATTGTATACATGCACCAATCAGCGAGGATATGACGTCAAATTTGTGTCATATATTGATGTATAGGAAATTAATTATCCATCCTGTTGAGTTAACAATTCTTGGTCCTGTACCACCTGGAATGGGGAAGATACCAGGATCGTAAAAACCTTTATAGCTCGATAGGAAGTGCAATCATAGTGCCAAACGGACTGAAAAGAGCAGTGATATTACTCACCCTTGCTCTCAAAATCCCAACAGTCAAAACGAAAGAGAAAATAAGCTTGTCTTTCTCAAACAGCGACCTACAAACGTTCCTGTATATGCTGTTGGTGAAATGATCGTTCAAAAAGTGCAGCCTCTCTTCCAACATCGATGATTTCCTGCTGTTAGTGATCGATTGACTGTAGAGATTGATGGACCACGTCAGAGAGTACTGATACATCGGATCGACATTGGCCAAATCGGAGATGCAAAAAAACAGAAGGGAAGTGTTTGGAGACAAGGATCGATAAGAAGTGCAATTATAGTGCCAAACTTACTAAAATAAGCAGTGATCTTACTCACCATCGCTCTCAAAATCCCAACAGTCAAAACGAAAGAGAAAATAAGCTTGTCTTTCTCAAACAGCGACCTACAAACGTTTCTGTATATGCTGTTGGTGAAATGGTCGTTCAAAAAGTGCAGCCTCTCTTCCAACATCGATGATTTCCTGCTGTCAGTGATTGATTGATAGTAAAGATTGATGAATCACGTCAGAGTAGTGATACATCGGATCGACAATGGCCAAATCGGAGATGCAGAAAAACAGAAGGGAAGTGTTTGGAGACAAGGATCGATAAGAAGTGCAATTATAGTGCGAAACAGATTGAAATAAGCAGTGAACTTACTCACCCCCGCTCTCAGAATCCCAACAGTCAAAACGAAAGAGAAAATAAGCTTGTCTTTCTCAAACAGCGACCTACAAACATTTCTGTATATGCTGTTGGTGAAATGATCGTTCAAAAAGTGCAGCCTCTCTTCCAACATCGAAGATTTCCTAGAGAATGATGGACCACGTCAGAGAGTACTGATACATCGGATCGACATGGGCCAAATCGCAGATGAAGAAAAACAGAAGGGAAGTGTTTGGAGACAAGGATCGATAAGAAGTGCAAACATAGTGCGAAAAAGATTGAAATAAGCAGTGAACATACTCACCCCCGCTCTCAAAATCCCAACAGTCAAAACGAAAGAGAAAATAAGCTTGTCTTTCTCAAACAGCGACCTACAAACGTTCCTGTATATGCTGTTGGTGAAATGATCGTTCAAAAAGTGCAGCCTCTCTTCCAACATCGAAGATTTCCTGCTGTCAGTGATCGATTGATTGTAGAGAATGATGGACCACGTCAGAGAGTACTGATACATCGGATCGACATGGGCCAAATCGCAGATGAAGAAAAACAGAAGGGAAGTGTTTGGAGACAAGGATCGATAAGAAGTGCAAACATAGTGCGAAAAAGATTGAAATAAGCAGTGAACATACTCACCCCCGCTCTCAAAATCCCAACAGTCAAAACGAAAGAGAAAATAAGCTTGTCTTTCTCAAACAGCGACCTACAAACGTTCCTGTATATGCTGTTGGTGAAATGATCGTTCAAAAAGTGCAGCCTCTCTTCCAACATCGATGATTTCCTGCTGTTAGTGATCGATTGATTGTAGAGATTGATGAACCACGTCAGAGAGTACTGATACATCGGATCGACATTCGCCAAATCGGAGATGCAGAAAAACAGAAGGAAAGTGTTTGGAGACAAGGATCGATAAGAAGTGAAATTATAGGACGAAACAGATTGAAATAAGCAGTGAACATACTCACCCCCGCTCTCAGAATCCCAACAGTCAAAACGAAAGAGAAAATAAGCTTGTCTTTCTCAAACAGCGACCTACAAACGTTCCTGTATATGCTGTTGGTGAAATGATCGTTCAAAAAGTGCAGCCTCTCTTCCAACATCGAAGATTTCCTGCTGTCAGTGATCGATTGATTGTAGAGAATGATGGACCACGTCAGAGAGTACTGATACATCGGATCGACATGGGCCAAATCGCAGATGAAGAAAAACAGAAGGGAAGTGTTTGGAGACAAGGATCGATAAGAAGTGCAAACATAGTGCGAAAAAGATTGAAATAAGCAGTGAACATACTCACCCCCGCTCTCAAAATCCCAACAGTCAAAACGAAAGAGAAAATAAGCTTGTCTTTCTCAAACAGCGACCTACAAACGTTCCTGTATATGCTGTTGGTGAAATGATCGTTCAAAAAGTGCAGCCTCTCTTCCAACATCGATGATTTCCTGCTGTTAGTGATCGATTGATTGTAGAGATTGATGAACCACGTCAGAGAGTACTGATACATCGGATCGACATTCGCCAAATCGGAGATGCAGAAAAACAGAAGGAAAGTGTTTGGAGACAAGGATCGATAAGAAGTGAAATTATAGGACGAAACAGATTGAAATAAGCAGTGAACTTACTCACCCCCGCTCTCAGAATCCCAACAGTCAAAACGAAAGAGAAAATAAGCTTGTCTTTCTCAAACAGCGACCTACAAACGTTCCTGTATATGCTGTTGGTGAAATGATCGTTCAAAAAGTGCAGCCTCTCTTCCAACATCGAAGATTTCCTGCTGTCAGTGATCGATTGATTGTAGAGAATGATGGACCACGTCAGAGAGTACTGATACATCGGATCGACATGGGCCAAATCGCAGATGAAGAAAAACAGAAGGGAAGTGTTTGGAGACAAGGATCGATAAGAAGTGCAAACATAGTGCGAAAAAGATTGAAATAAGCAGTGAACATACTCACCCCCGCTCTCAAAATCCCAACAGTCAAAACGAAAGAGAAAATAAGCTTGTCTTTCTCAAACAGCGACCTACAAACGTTCCTGTATATGCTGTTGGTGAAATGATCGTTCAAAAAGTGCAGCCTCTCTTCCAACATCGGAGATTTCCTGCTGTCAGTGATCGATTGATTGTAGAGAATGATGGACCACGTCAGAGAGTACTGATACATCGGATCGACATGGGCCAAATCGCAGATGAAGAAAAACAGAAGGGAAGTGTTTGGAGACAAGGATCGATAAGAAGTGCAAACATAGTGCGAAAAAGATTGAAATAAGCAGTGAACATACTCACCCCCGCTCTCAAAATCCCAACAATCAAAACGAAAGAGAAAATAAGCTTGTCTTTCTCAAACAGCGACCTACAAACGTTCCTGTATATGCTGTTGGTGAAATGATCGTTCAAAAAGTGCAGCCTCTCTTCCAACATCGATGATTTCCTGCTGTTAGTGATCGATTGATTGTAGAGATTGATGAACCACGTCAGAGAGTACTGATACATCGGATCGACATTCGCCAAATCGGAGATGCAGAAAAACAGAAGGAAAGTGTTTGGAGACAAGGATCGATAAGAAGTGAAATTATAGGACGAAACAGATTGAAATAAGCAGTGAACATACTCACCCCCGCTCTCAAAATCCCAACAGTCAAAACGAAAGAGAAAATAAGCTTGTCTTTCTCAAACAGCGACCTACAAACGTTCCTGTATATGCTGTTGGTGAAATGATCGTTCAAAAAGTGCAGCCTCTCTTCCAACATCGAAGATTTCCTGCTGTCAGTGATCGATTGATTGTAGAGAATGATGGACCACGTCAGAGAGTACTGATACATCGGATCGACATGGGCCAAATCGCAGATGAAGAAAAACAGAAGGGAAGTGTTTGGAGACAAGGATCGATAAGAAGTGCAAACATAGTGCGAAAAAGATTGAAATAAGCAGTGAACATACTCACCCCCGCTCTCAAAATCCCAACAGTCAAAACGAAAGAGAAAATAAGCTTGTCTTTCTCAAACAGCGACCTACAAACGTTCCTGTATATGCTGTTGGTGAAATGATCGTTCAAAAAGTGCAGCCTCTCTTCCAACATCGATGATTTCCTGCTGTTAGTGATCGATTGATTGTAGAGATTGATGAACCACGTCAGAGAGTACTGATACATCGGATCGACATTCGCCAAATCGGAGATGCAGAAAAACAGAAGGAAAGTGTTTGGAGACAAGGATCGATAAGAAGTGAAATTA